TATGTGAGAGAGTCAGTGTCTGTGTGGGAGAGTATGCGTACATGTGGGAGCATAATTGCAAGACTAGATGATCGCTGAAGCGTACTCGTCTAAGGAGAAGGACTTACCTATGTAGTGGTATGTCCCGTACGCGTAAGCTGTGAGGTAGAAATGAAGAAATATGTGTTGCCTGAGGAACAGTGTGGTATAATTGCACAAAGTGTCGAGCGGTGCTGACGATACAGGAGTATCAGACTCTGTTCAGCCCCATACTTAGTATGGCAAGTAAGGCAGACTCTCTCCTTAGGCATGACCTATGCATCGCTCACGAGCAAGCGAGTTGTCTGCCTGGAATGTACTCCACATTGTGTTACTCTCCATGTATCTTCTCAGCACCGCCTCAGATTGTTCTCCCCAGGCGACCCAGCCCCATAGCTAGCGCTCGCGCTCACAACTTGGTCCACCCAGGTTGTACTGCTTCTGGTTGATCTCGTATCCCGAAGGCTGACGCCCGTGTGTACAACAAGATCGAGGTCGCGACACGAGTCAGAGTCTCTGCTCGCGTGGACTAATCAGTCGTACTTTGTCAGCTTGACTTGTCATAGACTCTGTTGATGATGTCCTTCCATAGGTGTGATGCATCTCAACGATTGGGGATTTCGGTGCGTTGACCATGTATAACATGGCGTGCAACATTCTTCATCCCCCTCAAGCTCCGGCAATATTGTCGCCGCTCCGCCTTCTGGAGTGGCATCCAGGACCGGAGGGAGCTTGTGCCGATGGACCTTCAGACTACTGCGCTCCTGAGTGTGATGGATCGGCTTGATACAAAAACACGTCGACAAGGCTGTGGCAACAGTTGAAGGTTCTGAGCATAGGTTCAACAGCGTTTTCCTGGTAGTCTCATCAGCTTCAATTACACGGCTTTGCCCTCTGCATCCTAGCCGTCGATGAGAGTTACAAGGCCACTTGTTTGAGGCGGTTGTCAGACTTTGCTGTGCAGCCAGCTAGCCACATCCATCACAGTTGTCGGCGATCAAGCCATGGAGTTGTTCTAATGCTCGCCGGCATCTAGTCCCCAGCTGGAAGCGGACTCCAGACGGATCGCTGGAAGCCCAAGTTTCACAGAGGCTTCCAAGGCCAGACATACCTTCACGGCGTCAAACTCTTCAGCCGGATGTGGAGGCACGAATTGCAAGGGATTCTTCACGCTCGGTAGTCTCTTTTCAATATACGCGGTAGGCATGTCACCAGCAGCAAGGGAATTTGTGGATCAGGTATTCCCAGGGCCCCTCTTTCACATCGACAACAACCCAAAGTCCCGGTCTCGACTCGCGGACCATATTTCCTCCTGCTCTCTGACGGCAAGCAGCCGCACAGGATCGGGAGCGAAGTGCCTGCTGATATGCTGTTATCAGATTGTTGCTACTTGTAAGCATCACATTCGAGGTGGTAGGCATGAATGCTCTTCGAGGAGAGTTGATATTCGCATGTCGCTAGTGACGAAGAGCTCTGCTACCGCCACACGAGGATCAGAGAACCAAAGGGACTCGCATGTATGACAGACGTGACGACTCGGGCTCTGTGCTTCTGAATCATGCGCAGGCTTACTCCGTACTGGGAACGAGAAAGTTGCCAGCTGTCAAGTGCTTGTCAGAACATGCCCCTTGTGTCCATTCTGGTCGAACTCACCTACCTCCTGAAGGATGCTATGTGGGTCAGCTGGTCTCTGAACCATGCTGGCCAGGTTGATCTGCTTCTAGCTGCGTCATGGCCGGTATTGCAACTCTGGAATCTGTGCGGACAAACTGACACGTCACTGGAAGAGTAGGCAGTGGTGGGAACGTGGCTGTCCTGGTGGTCTATCTGGGCATGACAACATGGAAGGAATAGCCGGCTGCTCCTTCGACGGTCTAGATCCCTTTGGCAATCATTGGGCTTGGAGAATCGAAGGTGGAATGGAGATCGAATCCAAAAATTGGTTCGCATCAAAGCCTTCCGCATCTGTGTGCCGCACACCATCTCAGAATCGAGGCCTGGCGGAGGAGAAGGCTGGGTCAATCTGGTCGAATTTCAACGAAGTTTGGTAGGAATTGAGGAATGTGACCCTGAAATTGCTAGCTGTGACTGGAATCAAAAGCCACTAATTTAGACCGCCATACGAAATTCAGTCGGAGCTCTCGCGAACATGGTCGTATCGACTCTCGGTTCCGGACCGTGCGTCAAACCCATGTCGTAGGCTAGGAAGTTCAACCATCTCTGCAGCGCAGATTTTCTCCCAAGGAGGAGGCGGCAATCGCAAAATGACCTGTCACATCATGCTAAACAAAGAGGAAATTTGCCGTCTCGAGACTCCCAGAGTCGCTAAGCAGAATGTGAATCGCGCTTCCTGGTGCCAAACCATGCAGGCCTGTCGGGCTAAGTGGCCGTCTGACCTTCTCGACCCCTTGTTCCCACGTAGTTGGCTGGTCGAACCGCCTGCGCTGAAGGGGCAAACAGACGCAAAAGCCAGACACGTCATTTATTGGTGGTGTGTCAGGGGGCATAACCTTGCATGATGGTATAGGCACGGATGGTAATGCTCTTTGACGTTAGCCTTAGCGAATCCGAAATCCAGCTGCAGGACGATGAGAAAAGATTTCGCGGCCTATCGTAGTGGATAGGCACATCCCTCTCTGTACCCAGACATCACGAGGTCTTGGTCGCCCAACAAGTCCACCTAGTGCCGTTGCCTGGTAGGGCATTGTCAAGACAGTGGACAGCAAAGAGAGTAAGACGCTCCGGAACCATACCAACGCCAAAAAGCGACCTTCCGCAACTATGAACGTCCGAGCTTGACAAGAGTAAAATTGCCGAAATAGGAGGGAGAGATTCCAGTACCATGGTTGTTCGAGCCGTAAGTAGAGTCGGGGAGCGGGCCATATATCAGATTCGTATCTGCGTCGACAACGGGAGAAAGGGTAGGCGGCCCCCACACAGCAAGCTTAGCAAGAGAAATGAAGATGCGTGCTCGCTAACGCGAAAATCAGCGAATCTTCGTCATGGGGCCAATGAAAGCACGACTGGCGAGAGCCTGCATGGAGGTGCCTCCGTGAATCGAGCTTGCTGAGGAAGGGCCGTTGTGAAGGCTGAGGGGTCTGAGTCGAGGATACCTGGTAAAAGGACTCTGGTGGGTCCTGTGCAGAAGCACAAGTTAGATGTTATGAGCAAAGGGCTAGATCAGTAGCGGGTATGGCCACGGACAATGGTGGCGGCATCGAGACCCATACAGAACCGTAGCCGGTTGTCTCCACGCTCTGAAGAAATCCAGCGGGAACGCCTCACAGTCCCGCGTTTCGGTTTGTGCGAATCTGTTCGTTCAGGACGAAAAGCTGCTTCTGGCTCCGCACCCACTCCGCGCACGGCCTAATCAATTCGAGCTCACGCATGGTAACCAATAACGAGGCTGAGTTTCCCCTCTTTGATCAGACACATGCGCTCCCAGCACGAAAGCTCTGATTAATGGCGCCAGCGCCGGGGTCTTCCATCGGAGAACGGCCTCACAAAGAACCCGGCAGCAATACATGTAGGACAGCACCGGGGAAAGAAGTAAATCGCGAGAAAGTGGCTGCCAAACTCGGATTGAGACGTGGCAGACGACAGCAGCTGTGCTAGTGTGGAGCTACCCACGCCACAGACTTTCCGAGGAGACCACTCGCACTCTTGAGTGCTTGGGCGCTGGTCTTATTGAGCCAAGCCGTCTCTGGCGCCGTCCAAGCCTGGCAGTTGCTGTGTCGAGAGTCGTCATGAGTCTGTGTTCATCACAACTGCACACCTGATGGGGAGGCTAATCTACGCTTAGCTGAGCTGCTGCAGTAGTGCCACGTGTGACCAAGTGCTGCTGCGAAGCGCCTAAATTGTGGAAGATCTTTGGCAGGGAGCATCCTTGAGAAGCCAATCAAGGCCGGGCGGACAATGCGCCATTGGCGTCTATCGGCAGCGGATCCGGAAGTGGTTCGACACTCCTGCACGGGTTGGCTTCTCTCCATTGGCCGATCCAGGTGAACGCGACCTCCATCCACTCTAAATAGACCTGAGCACCGAATTCTCGAATTCGGCACCGCATCACGGTCTCTTCTGCAGTAGCGCTGGAGAAAAAGAAGGTCTTTGTCATTGCCTCCTGGTGTAACAGTACGGAGTACGGGGTAGTATCAGTGCAGATGCTTGTTCTCCATCCGACACGGCCTTGTGGAGGCATCGTCCTAAGCATCGAACCGACTGGGTTATTGGCATCACCTGTGCTTGGAGCTTGAATCATGCGGATCTGAACGCGTGGCAATCTTGACTCGCTGGATTGACAGCGACCTAGGCCACCGGGCGCTGGTCTAGCACCCGTAAAGATCTGCGGCGGATATGTTTGCATTGCGATGCCAATTGCTGAGCTTCTCGACACGCCCGTTTCGGCCACGAGTGAGGGAGTTTGCATGCGTTGGGCTCCCTGTCGAACAGGTCGACATGCACAATCCCCGTGTATGCCCCAAACAATTGAGCGTCCAGCAGGACAAGCTTGACCGCCCGATTTATGCGCGGGGGTCTCCACTTGGCTCAAACATCGGATGTGGGTGAAATGTGAGAAAAGTCGGCGCAGCAACTGACTTTTTAAGCTTAGTGGCAACAGACGGAAATGGTTGAACACAGGCCTCGAGCAAGACCTTGGAAGGAACATGTTGTTGGCACCATTCTGGTGTTCGACCAGACTGTCGGGACAACTTAAGGCATATTAAGGCCAGAGCTTTTGGCACGGATGCCGTCTATACCGTCCCTCGAAGCGTTTGCTCTCGACAAGGCACACTGAGTATATCTCTTCCCCTCCGAATTCTTGCGTTAGCGTAAGTTTCCTCTCATCAAGCCAGGCAGACGTAGGAATGTATCTCAACACGCCCAAGACGAGTGAATCAGCTCGGAGCCAATCCCCTCCCAACCCAATGCGGATTGCAACAATCTTGAATGGTCTGGAGAAAGACAAGCAGCGAAGAACTGGTCGTCCTCGGGCACCCTGCAAGAAGTACGACTCAGAACAATCCTATTGGATTTGGTACCACCGAACGGATCTTGGTGAAGCTTGGGATGAGATAGAACAAAAGTTCGATCTCCAATTTGGTGAAAGCAGGAAAAAGGGTGGGCTCCAGTGCAAGTTTTATCGGGTGCTCGAGACACACGGTGTAGAGAAGGTGAGAGCACAAACCAGGTCGGCGCACAAGAGGCTTGGGTTCAAAGTTGGCAAATTTGGCGTGGTGCAGAGAACCACCAAGCGGTATACTTGGATGTAAGTCATCTTCATCCAGCTCGACAATGCTGACGATGTCGTAGGCGGCCGACTGACCAGACAAAGCCTCCGCTACCCTGTTTTGCGGACAGGCTGTGGTAGCCGAGAACGTTCAACGTGCTTGGCGAAGTAGTTGCTTCGTCAAAAGATCGCTGTATCAGCCGGTGTCCGCTGTATGTTCGGGTGGCAGCTTCTGAGCGTTTGCTGTGTGCGTGTAAGACCATCTGGTCTTTCCATGAGTTGAATCAGTGTTGCTGGTGCGGCATGTCTAGCCAGTTGGGACCCCCAGTGGAGAGGGCTAATCATGTTTACGGCGGCGTGATGCTTTGGTCCAGGCACAGCTGAAGGGTGGCGTGTCATCAGCCATATTAGTCGTCAAACTCATGATCGGATCCATACGCCCGATACTTGTACGCGTTATAGCTGAACTCATCGTCAGACGAGACTTCATCTTCTGGGTAATCGTTGGCAGGGTTGTCCTCGGCTGCGTGGTGTCAGTGTTTACGGATCAAGCAAAGGTGCGGTAATCACCGTTAGAGTCTTCTTCATCCCAATCAGTCTCGTCCTCGCTGTCGACGTACTTTTGCCACAAATCTTCATCTTCGTCGTCGATAACAAGAATGCCATAATTGGACTGAAGGTTTGTAGTGTCACCTGGATCGCCATCGTAAGGTACCCGGACGTAAGTCTCGTAGATGTACCCGTCCTCCTGATCGCGAGTGGTCATGGCAACGTCTCGAGGGGCTGGAGGAGGTGAGACAGGGCGCTCTTTCGGAGGCTCCGCCTCGACTCTGTCCTTCAACTCTGGGTCGAATTCCATTGCGAGAGCAGCAAGCTCGTCTGCCAGTTGATCAGAGTCCAAGTCCCAGGTGCTAGGATGGTCTCGGATGGAAGTGCCGTTCCTTATTGTCTTGGGCCGTGCTTGAACAAATGTGTTCGTTGGACTTCGCGTCAACGCATTCAAAGTATCGAGAGTCGGCTCTTCGCCTTCTTCTGGTATTGTGTGTCGTGAGCTCTCCTCCTTCGGCACTTCCAGCATCTTGTCAACAGGTTTACCACGATATAGAGGATTCTGCTCATGGTCGAAGACCGCTCCATGTCTTTCAATGAATGTGGCAAGAGGAGGTCGGATAAAGTGTTTGGATTTACGAATGCCACCAGCTGCGTGCGGACTTAGGACTGATGATATATGACGGGCGAGGTGGAAACGACGAGCCTGATGTGCTGGCTGGCTGCCAGTGGGCGTGGGAGGGGCCGATTTGCTGCTCGTATGCGCACTGGGTGTTCCCGGTAACTTGTGCTTCTCTTCGTCGGTGGTTTCAGCTTTTGCTTCGGCAGCTATCTTGGCCATGGAAGAATCCTCCTTCAAGCCCTCAAGCGCTGTCAGACGGATTGGGGGGACACCGGGAGCCAGAGGCTTTGACCACACAGCTTGCGGCGTCGCCGTATCCCGCTGGGAAATAGGTGCAATTGTATCATTTCGAAGACGCTGGAAATAGTAGTCTGTCACCCGCCGCTTCTTCTCTGTGCCATCTCCCCGCTCCAGGTCTGGAAGGGGCGAGTTAGCAGTTTGTTCCACCGGGGAGCTGGGAGGGAGTGTTACAGAGAGTCTCGACCGGTTCTTCCTGCCGTCTGCGCTTGACACTGATACGCTCCGGAGGAAGCGACATGACTGCGACGGGGAAGGAGGGACGGACGGTACTATCTAGCGTGATAGACCGTTCGGAAGATAGTGATACTATTTGAGTTTGAGATTCTCGCGCAGGCGACGGCTTGTTTTCTCGCTAGGGCTAGGAAGAATTACACTACGCCGTACTCCGTACGTCCAGTAAAGTTCCCCGCAGCAGTACGTAACCGCGTCGCGCATGTGAGGCGATTCACTTTCACCTCACTGTGGCATTACCGTACTTTACCCGACCTTTATATTAGACACCCGTGGACCTTTATGTCATCCCCCATTTCTAATTATCTTACAACGAAGCGATTCAATATCCAGTCTTCCATCGCTGAGTCAGTGTCGCAAACCCAATTACCTCAAGCATAGGAGGCAGGATCTTTAATGGCAACATCGCATTCTCATCCGCACTCATTGCAGAACGTCCACTATGTGCGCTGTGATAGCTAGTGGCACTCATCAATGATGGACACCGGTCAGGACCAGCTCATTGCAGCTTCTACATTTCCCGGGGCTATTCTTGTTCGTGTTGGTATCACTTCTGACGCGTCCTTATCCGCTTTCGCTGAGCTTGAAGGATTAAGTAAACACCTGGGTGACACCTGCAATATGATCATCCGCTCGTTCGCTGTCTGAGGCTCAGGACTCAACGATATCACCATGACAGCTGCTCACAGCAACACCACGATTCAGCGAGGCGCTAACAGGAAGGGCTTTTAGTACCACAATAGACCAGGGTCTTCAGATGCCGAACCAAGTCACCCACAGCTAGAATTCGGCCATACGCTTGCCTCGCGAGCCATGACAGCCATTTGTCCAATCCTTCGTTTCAATGCTGATTACTGGTCTGTCACCGACAAGACCAATGTCACTTAACCACAAATGGGGCACGACGGCAGCCAGCAGGCACCACCAAAGCCATGTTCACTTGTTCCTGTTACTCTTACTGATGATCTGTTACAGCCCTGACCAAAGGATGTCATTCTATATGCATGGTATGCATTGAAGAGCGGTCCATGATGGTCTACGTCTTGTCGAAAGAGAACTGATCCACCTTTCCGCATTCAGGCTTTAGTAGCTGGGCTCGTGCCTCGGTCACACTGCTCGACTCTTTCCTTACTTGGTGGTTGAAACGTTTTGAACCAAGGGTCCGAAAGGCGATCTCGGGTGAGGAGAATTCCCTGCTCCCTATCACGTTCGATGAGGGGTTACAGTTGCGCAGGCTCGCGTAAAGCTGGGAGTTTGATACAGGAAATGCCCGAGGGCTGCGATTTGGAATCCATCAGAGAGCCATGCTCGAGCCATGTTGCAAGTGTCAGATGTTATCAGACCGACCCAGCATCGAGAGGCCGGTTGCTCTACCTGAGCAGATGGGAAATTCAGTAAACAGCCGACACTCGGAGAAGATCCTAAGCGTGCGGCAGCACTCGCACATCATTACACTGGGTCCGTAGTTACCTCTCTTGTGCACAGGGAGTGACGAAGAGGTCAGTTCGCAATGAGCCGCCTGAGTATCTCCACAGGGCGGAGGTCACCAATATCAAGACGCTATTTTAATCACCCGGAGCCTAACGAACTCCGCCAGCTGGGCAGCGCTAAGTTAGCCTGACTGAACAAGAGAGCACATCGGCGCTGCACAGTTCAGTAACTTGGAGATTCCCGCTAAGAAACTTTGGCCCAGCGGTTCTGATGCTCAAGTCAACCTCCGCTGAAGCCAACGTCTGCTACGACTTCCAGGTTGGTCACGATCAAGTTCCGGACAGCACCATGGCTCTCTGCCATGTGTGCACGGAACGGAAGAGAGGTAAGGACTAGAAAACTGGACGCGGCGCAGCATAGCACGGTACACGCGGATGACTCTCGGTCGTTCGGGCCCAACATCACGCCATTGCCCTACCATACGTTGCACTACATTGCAGTGCCCTGCGCGTAATCGACCGGCGTGCACGGTCCATCCACAGCTCTGCATGACTCACTGTAGTGAGAGCTCACACGTCAATCCACCGGCCCATCCACTTCTCCACGACAGCCTTGGCCTCATCCACGAGCCCGAGCTCAAGCAAGACCTGCGTCGCGGCGCGGACACCGCTCTCCAATGCACTGGCGATCCAGGAGCTCGTGTAGGATGTTCCCTCGCCGCCCATGACGATGCCCTTTTCCGTCTTGAAGAAGGCGGGGATGAAGGCCTTGCGCATGCCCACGTCCGGGCTCGCCCAGGAGATGGTCTCGTATTGGTCGAGGAGCCAGCAGCGGCGGTTGTAGTTGCCGGCTGGACAGGACGCTGTTAGCGGTTGAGTACGGAGTACTCGTGACGAGTGCAGAGATAGGTGAAGGGATAATGAGCGCTGAGGTATATGAAGGGGAACAGGTGAGTGGGGAAAAGAGGTCAGCGAGGCCGCAGCATCCCTTCCCTTGTCTGGTCTGACGGGATACGAAAGAGCACAAAACATAACAAAAACAACTGCAACTCACTGTACTGATCATACACGACCTGGCCGTGGATCTCGGCCATCGCATCCACCACGTACTGCACGTGGACTTGCTCGGGGATCGAGGGCCATCGCAGGCCATCGTCTCCCGAGGTATAGCTGGCCAGCATGACCCCCGGGCCTGTAGAGTTGATATCATAGCTCGGGTAGCAGATGCTGCCGATGCCGGGAATGTCGGTCGTCGTCGAGCAGGACCCGTAGATCGGGTTCTCAAAATGCTCCCAGAAGCGCGTCTTGAACTGCAACGCGACCTTGCAGACCTGCGTGTACGTGTAGCTGTCGATGGCTGTGCTGAGCAAGTCGGAGAACGCGGGCAGGCGCCACGTCCGCACCAAGGGCATCGGCACCGTGACCACGGCGAGATCGTAGCTCGCGTTCTGAAACGTCCGGTCGAGAGGCTTGGTCTTCCATTGCAGCGTTACCCGCCTGGTCGTCTCGTTGTACTGCACGCGTTGGATCTTGCGGTTCATATGCGTGACCCCGTCCACGAGTGGGTGGAAGGCGCTGGGCAGTCGGGTCAATCCGCCGTCGATGGTCCGCCAGTCTGTGGCGGAGAAGTACATGCTCTCGTACAGATTGTCCCAGAAACTCTCGCTGCCGCTGTCGCCGATGCCGACAAAGGTTTCTTTCAAATCGTACCCGAGCACATTGTGCACGTAGGCAAATTCGGAAAAGTCGTCTCCACCACGGCCATTCAAGCCCTGGTCGAGAAAAGTTTTATGTGCCCGGTAGATGTTCCGGGCCATTTGTTCAAGGAAAGTGGCATTGTTGTAAACTGCATTAATGTCCGTATTCACCTCCTCGAGGATTGGATCATCTGGCCCGCTGTCTTGAGGCCCCAGCAGCGAAGCGTTCGCACTGACTTCAGACAGGGTCGGTACTTGGCCGTTGGGTTTGCGTGCTCCATTCACGTAGTACAGGCCGTTGGGCGAGCTCTGGTACCACTTGATGAAGTCGACGGTGAAGTTGGTGTTGTTCTTGTTGAGGTTGTTGACTTCGGCGGCAAGTTGGAAGACGATGCGGTGGTCTTGGATCTGCACCGTCTCGTTCGTCTCGGATGAGGTGTAAGACAAGGGGAACCGCATGGGGCCCATCTCCTGGTACTGTCGGTCGCTTGGGTCGCCGAAATATGCGGTGTGGACGCGGCCACCGAGGCGCTGAGCGGCTTCGATCAGAGACAGATTGGTCATGCCGGACTGGTTCAGCGCCAGCCAAGTCATCAGCCCAGCCATGCCAGCGCCCACGATGGCAACCTCCTTTGATTTTGCTACCCGGACATTGACAGCACTGATCTCCGAGTTCTGCAGGAGAGCCACCCCATCGAACCAAGGCCCTTCGGCATCAATGCCGCTGGAGTTGTCCATGGCGATGCTGAAGTCTTGCTGCCGCTTTTTCAGGCGTCTCCGCGTGGTTTTGGCGCTTGCCGAGATGGAGACTGGAGCGCTTCTGCCCACCAAGCTTTGTCCATCCCATGCTGACAGGCAGTGTCCTGTGGGAGCATACTCCGGCACCTTCCACAGCAGCCGATCATGGTCGCGCGACTTGGAACGAGCAACTAGATGGTGGGCCTGTCCTGGCGTCTGAGCGTCACATGGTCCATAAGTGTAGGTCACCTCGAAAGAAATAGGCTTGTCAAAGGAGACATGGACGTTGGCCAGTCCCGAGTCAACGGTTCGCTTCAGGTGCAAGTGCACAGGAAGAGAAGCGCTGGCAGCAAGCACACAGGGCAATAGCAATGCCGCGAAAAGCACGCGCCCAGCCATTCCGAATCCAGAACAGAAGGGGCGTCCCGACGAGCTGAAGAGCACACCATCATTCTCGCGGCCGACGACCACCGACTTTTGTACATGGACGCACCACCTGTCTATCACCTGGTAGCCTCTATAGTCGGCAATCCCGCATTGCCGGTGCGGTTGCCCTGTGGCGGTGTTTGATCACTCGAGATACTGTAGTCGTCCATGTCCGATATGAAAAAGCAATCTGTGATTCGTTCAGATTAATAGGTTGCATAGACGAGAGATATGGCAGTTACCTGCCACATCGAGCAAGAGGCGTGCTGCCACGGCCCATGCCTATTCCGCTATGCGTCCTTGTGTGCAGATCGCGTTTGTGGGATCTTGTCAACCTGCCAGCTGGCGGGCTCGCTAAATCTGGTGTCGCACGGCCGATGACCGGACCCTGGGGGTTTTGCCAGTCCGAGCAGTGAGTGGTATGGAGCGTTCAAGATCCAAAGAGCGTTGAGCAAGAAGTTCGGCCACATGGGTATCGTTTCTTCCACGTTGTTCGGCGTCGAAATCATGGCGAGCGCGCCAAAGCTTCGCTGCTGCATTGCCATCTGGACGGATGAGAGGCTCTGGGTGACGACCAGATCAAATGTGCCACATGATGGTAGCAGAATTCTGTGGGGGTCCATTCTGCGGGCTTCGAGAACGGCGACGCAGATTTACCGAGCGACTGAGGGCCTCCATTCGTACGATAAAGCTGCGGAGAAGGATGCTCGTCGTTCGATGGAGGAGCTTGACAGCAGCAGCGGTGAGCTTGTTACCGGAAGAGGCCATCAGTCAGTCTACACCGAGCTCCTACTGCACGAATCCCCGCATTCTCGTATATGCAAGTCCCACCACCGGGCCGAGTAGATCTACGACAAAAGCAGTAAGTCATACGAGCACGAGGTACAGACCGTGGAGATCAAGCAACCCTTCAATGCAGGCGCGTGGGCAGCCACTTGTTCCCCTGCCGTAATTCAACTTGGTCATAATCTTCATCATTCTTCCGGGGTGTTTTATGGCAATGGGTGATAGCCGCTCAAATTAGTACTGCGATGCAGACACCCACTGCTGTTCTCCCAGAGCGAATGTCTGCTCCAAGTTCACCACGCTCAAATCCCGGCGAACCCAGTCTATGCATGCTCCCTCGATCCATCGGCCGTTGCCTCGTGCCGTGCCAACGTCGTGGCTCTCGATCTTGTTCATCCGTCATTGCTGCTCGGTTGATTATTCGTTGTCCCAGCCTCGCCATGTGGCACCGCTTCTGCCACGCGCTGTCTCTTTGCATCAGCCCCATCTGTGGTGACTGCGGTGACATGATGCTGCACATTGCTGACATCTCCTAGCGGCGTTCTCTTCACAGCCTGCAGCCCACGATCTCCTCCGCCAAAATCGCTCAGATTCGGACCATGGGTTGCATTCGATTCCTGCGGCCCTCGCCTCGTAGGAGGTCGATAGGCCGAAGTGCCTGGCGCCCGGATACCTGGAAATTGTCCATTGGCTCCCGGAGCGCCTACTCGTCTGAGTGGCTCTGCTTGAGGAGTCACAAGCTCCCTTCTTATGGGCGTGGTGTCTACCGATAAATCACGCTTTAGGGGAACGGACTTGCTGTGGTTGACTCCAGATGTTTTGCGAATCGACGGGCTGTCAGCGTGAGGATTGAACCTGGGCGCAGCGGCCGGTCCGCCTCCAATCACGTTGTTGTTGCCATCCAGACTGTCAGCGGCCTTGGCTGAATAGAAGCCCAGGACTTGACCTGTCTGTGGAGGCGAAGACAGCCGAGGCACATTCTCTGATGGAGGTCGAAATTCTGCCGCCGGAGGCCTTGTGGCCGGACCAGACGGAGCTTGTGCTCGCTGGCCTGGCAGCGGCTGTGGTATCACATTGGTTGGAGCGGAGATCTGGGCTGTCCTTGAGGCCTCGGGTCGAAGGCCTGGCGGGCGAGTTAACTGTGGCTTTGATGGTGTGGTCAGATCAGCTCTTGGTGGCGGGAACGATCGCTCTGGAGCGGAATTAGCTGACTTGCGTGTTGGGTCCGCCGGTTCTGCTGGCAAAGCGACCTCATCTGGATGACCCATGTTGCCTTCACTGAAGTCCATCTCCTCAAAATCTGCCAACTCGAAGCTGTCCTCGAATTCCGGGGTTTCTTCTTGTGCGGGGATAGATGGCTTCGTCCTCGCCGGCTCTGAGCCACCTTCTACTGCGGCAGCAGGTAAGATTCGCTTGACTTCGTCCGGCTCTTTCTTAGGCGCAAAGTCTGCATGTCGATGCAGCATGCTTTCGTCCCATTTGGTAGCCCCAACCTTCAGTTTGGTGACTTTCTGCAAGTAGGCCTTATCGTAAACGCAATTTCCCAAGACGTTGCCAAAGTTCCTGAGTGCTCTTTTCAGTCCATCTGTAGTGCCCTCCTTCTTCGCTTTTTCGAATGCCGCAGCTTTGCCCTTGCAGTTGTCAATCTGGCCGTAGCCAATGTCTTCGTGGTGTGTGCCATCTTTAAGCGTAACTCGCACAATCACTGACAATCCGAGGGAGATCTTCCCGGTCTGCGGGTTCTCGTCGACAAAGTCGATTTGAATGTTCTGGATTGAGCTACTCCAGCCATTGAAGCCAAAGACTTCGTTGGCAAGGCTGATGGCCTTCTCAGCCGCAAGATAATGTACTTTTGAGCCACCTGGTCCTGCTCTTGAGGAGATATATTCTGGCCCAAGCTGCCTGTGCAGTCGACTCTGTAACGTGGCGATTTCTTGCGCGGTATATTCTGTTATCCGGAGAGGTTGTTCTTCGAACGGATTGCTTGTCGTGCTGCCATTCGGCTTATGCTGGTCGCCAATCCTGTTGGAAGTCAGCCGATATCCACTTTGACAACCGATCTAGCACCCACGCTGGCATGGTCGAAGCATGAGAAGGGACGCTGCACGGTATACCTGTGTGCGATTGCTACGGCCTAGGCGGATAGTTCACTGGCTGAGGTGGAGGTGAATGCAACAACCGCAAACGACGCGTAGGCAGACGCGTCGGCACGACCCGGGCACACGCCTTATCACGTGAGTAGAATTCTCTGGACCCTCGCCTCCAGACAGTCACACAGCAAAGTCAACTAAGCAATTGCTATGAAGTACTCCGTACTCAACTGTTCTTGATCTACTGATCTTCTCGCCTGCACTACCTCAAGCAACCCACAATCTACATGTACCATCACCACCGGCACTTACAAGCCACGGATGCTGAGGGTGCCAGTCCAAATCCATGACTCCTAACCCTCCTGTAACCTTATGTCCTCGCAATACTTTGAGTGGTACAATCTGTGCATTACTCATCATATCACTTGTGACCTGACCGTGGAAGATTTGGATACTGCCATCATCGCTACCATCTGCGAACAACGGATATCGATTCGTCGCCGGGTGGAAGCGGACTGACCGAATCGCTTTCTCATGGAAACGGAGTGTCTTGTACGGACGAGGTGAGAGGTCGAGATCCATCCAAAGCAAGCGGCGGTCGTATGAGCCAACTATAAGGTTATCTGAGCCAGCCGTGGAAGAACTTGTCGGGTGGATATCGAAGCTGCTGATCCAGCGTGCACCAGGTTGGATGATTTTCAGCAAGGACTGCCTGGTCAGATCATATGCTCGGATCACTCGTTGGTTTGCCACAAAGAGGATCGGCTTGGTCGGATGGAAGTGTGCAACCTGAGGAGTGCCGCCACCCTTCAGCCGCTTGCGGAAGGGTAATTGCGTTTGATGTTTGGTGATCGTGTGAATAGCAATCGCTTGGGATGCTGGAACTGTGGTAGCCGGACAGATTGTAACAAAGTGATTTCCACCAGAGTGGAAAGACAACGTCTTCGCAGTATGGCCGAGGTGGATGACCACAGCCACACCTTGATCTCTTTGGGAAGAGGGTGGCCGAGTCCACTTGACGGAAGACGATTTCGGAGTGGTATTCTCGGAAGTGGCATATCCCCAACCGGCATCAAGGACAGCCTGAGCTGCTTCCGCGTCATGTCCACTGTCCGTGCCGAGTCGAGGAACGCAGAGGTATATGTCGTCTTCGGCACAAGCCGCTAGAATGGGAATATCTGTGCCAGGACGCCACCGGACCACGTTAACCGCAGCGTCCGACGCCAATTGAGCAGACCAGATCTCTCGAGGAGGCTGCAGCGTCCAAACCTTTGCATGCCCGTCATCACCACCAGTAGCCAGAAATTGTCCGGATGGATCAATGGCCAGGGATCGAACACGACCTCTGTGACCATGGAAACGTCCCGCTTCATGTGTGGGGAATGGTCGGAGTTCGTCGGGATTGGGCAGCTTCGGCAGCAGTGATTCTGGATCGATGTTGAGCTTTGTTCGACGGACTCGAGGTGCAAGGTAGAGGTCGAGACACCGCTCGAATTTCTCCTTGACGAATCGATCATAGCCTGGCACTTTACGTAGTGCAGCGTGGTCTGTGGGCAGGTAATCCCTGTCTCGGTCTTCCTCGTCTGTTTTCTCCCACGCCTCTTTTTCTTTCTTGTCTGGCAGATACTCCGGTGGCGGGTGGTATGACTCGTCAAATCCGGGAGGTGGAAGCTTTGGAGCAGGCATGTGCATAGCATGATCAGGTCTGGGTTGTTCGTCAGCCCATATGTCGTAGTTCTGTATGCCTTCATCTTGCTCCTCTTCTTCCGTAGGAGGTTTGTAAGGCAGAATGCGACCTTCTCGAATCGCTCGGACGATTTTCATGACTCGTTTTTGCTCGTGCTTGGACGGCACGAAACGTCTCTTGGGCTCTGGCGCTGAACTGAGTGGCATGATTTCCGTCTTGCTAGTGAACCACTCTACAGTGGGCTCATAGGGATCATAGCCATCAGCGGCGACCTCATTCATCTGCACCTTCTTCAACAGCTTCAATTCTTCTTGACTGAGTTCAAGAGGCTTGCCTGTAGCAGGGTCTGTAAGGCCAGTCCATCCCTTGGGGACATCAATGGTGTCAAGGAGTGCGTCCAATGCTTCTCCTTTTGCTGGCCGCATGATTTTCTTGCCATTGATGTTGTAGCCGATGTGAGGATATGAGTCGTAGAATGAGAGGGGAATATTGCCGATAGTATTGGCTTCATTCTCCGGGACCGAATAGTCTGAATCATCGCCCGGATCTATCTCAGGGTAAAGGTATCTGTCGTTTCCATTGGCGTCCTTGACGATCGTGTAATTGGCCTCTGCCTTCTCTTCGCCTGTGACCGCCGCATTCCCGACTCCTGTTTCCTCTGTTTGCGTTTCGCCCTTTCTCTTCAGGTGCAGCAGATCGCCGTTGTCATCTGAAGGTACTTCCTCACTTCCGAGGGATATCGCGTCACTGTCATCTTCTGCGCCGGTACTCGCATCTTCTGCTTCGGAGCCACTGGCAGAGTCGTCGTCGTCGTCGGCAAGGATATCATCCAGGTGTGCAAAGTCGAACTCGTCACCTGAGACAACCGCAGCGTCTTCTTCGACGTCTCGTGTGACAGCTTTTCGTTTCTTCGAGTCTGCCATTTTGCTGCTCTGTAGTTTACTATCGTAGCTGTGCCTACGTAGTTTACTATCGTAGCTGGTAGGCACAAGGTCCAAAATTTCGAGGGACGCTGCGGTTGCGACCACGAAAATTGTGGAGACAAAGACGGGAACTTTTTCTGCCAGAGCGGTGTGCAGCAACTTTCCACGCTACACTTTAGAGTCAATTCAGCTTGAACTCAGCTTGAATTTCGGTGACTTTTGGCATATATCTGTCGCCATTGTTTGCGTTTCGCTCGGGCTCACTGAGACTCGTTCCTATTTCATCACTGACGCTTACTATGGGCTCTCTTAAGACGCCTTTGGATTATGTTCAAGCAGGCTGGGCTCGGGTCCAGGAAAATTCTCCAGTCTACAAGTTCTTTTTCTCGGATATCGAAATCGTTTCTGCTGAAAATGGCTCGATGGTTGCCCGCCTGCCTGTCTCTGCGCACCTTCTCAATTCCAAAAGCGGCCTGCATGGGTCGGTTTCTGCCACCATTGTCGATTGGGCAGGAGGCATGGCCATCGCAAGCACTGGCATGGAGAAGACCGGAGTCAGCACAGACATCCACGTATCATACGTCTCGACCGCGAAGTTGGGCGATGTCTTGACCATTGAGGGCAAGGTCAGTCGAGTAGGAAAGAATCTGGGCTTCACAACCGTCACGATCCTGAAGGGGGAAGGAGAGAACAAGAGCGTGGTTGCCCATGGCACTCATACCAAGTACATCCTTCGTGATCAGCCACCGAGCCAGAGCTCGTGATCTTATTACCCGGCATCTTCTTTGCATCAGGCAGCAACACTCCTCCATTCTGCTATGATTCACTCGGATGTCGAAGAGCAAATACGTCACACCTACGCTTTAGATCTCAGACGATCAAACATACATTCAGTTCGGTATGAGAATTATGGTGTGGTACAGAGACAGAACTGGTTCGTCCATCATGCAATCAATCGGCCCTTTGAAAGCCATTCTTCCCATACACCTCCAAGTTGCTTTGCCAGGTCTGCCGGCGTGCGGCCTTCACTGTCCACCAGGGTCCTAATGTCTGGCTCATCGTTCCTGTCTTCCTGCTGCAGGCCAAGACCTTGCATCGCTTGGAGAACGATAGAAGGAAACTTCTCCCATTCCAATTGCGAGCCGAGCGCCAGGAGTAACCAGGCTACCTCTTCTTGATCGTATCGGATGGCGACGTGCAGCCCTGAACCATCGATTCCTTCGAAAGTACCACGATATCTCAAGATATCATCGATCTCTTCGTATTCCTCGCCGTCGTCATCTTTCGAGTCTTTGATCATGTGAATTATAGCATCGATATCACCCTCCCGACAGAACTCCAGGTATGCATGTCCTTTGCGTTCTTCAGGATAGGCCCGCATATACGCTTCCTCGGTGGCAGCCGGGAGTATGTCATATTTTTCTTGGAGGCCGCCTTCGCTCCGGAGGGTGACCAGGACCTGTTGCGATCCACTCGGAGAAAGAACGGAGATGTCTTTGTCGCAATTCGGGCATTGTGTGATGGTGTACGACTCTAGAAAGCATTCCCTGGACCATCTGTTAGGGATGTAGTTACTACTAACAATGGGGCAGTGTGTACCAATGATAATGACAGCCGCAAGTCAATTCGACATCATCTGGGACGCTCTCAGTCTGTGCTGGTGCCTTTGTTTCCTCGCTGTCGCTATCTGGCTCGACCTCGATGAGCAGCGGCTCCTGGCAGCTTGCGCAGAGTGGTTCGGCCATTCTCGTAGTCGCCGTGCTGTTAGACAGAAAATATCATGTAACCGACGTTCTGGCTACGCGAATCCTCGAATCAAAAATTGCCAATTGCGGGCAGAACTTTTCTGAAAATTGACAGGGATGTGGCGTGTGTCCACGCGGCGATCACGAAGATTGGGCCGTGGGGCGCCCCCTGCCGCCCCTAGCTTTAGCGCGTGGCCCCTAACGGACATCTCGGGCATGTGTTCTTCCAGCCCTGAACTTCATCTGCGATGCCCCGAGAGAGCCGAGCTTACACAGTATGCGGATCGAAAGTGTCTTGTCTGCCCACGACAAGTTGCAACGCCTTTTCCATCGGTGCACGCAGGCCGCGCCATGAGCCAGTGCAACTATGGAGAAAAGACCTAGCGCCATTGAAGTCACGGAAGGCGAGGGTGGCCGTTCCGAATCCTCTCCCGCCGTCCCCAAACATTCCTCGACGCCGCCTACACTATCTACGCAGCCGCTGACAACTTCTGCTATCATTGACGCTACCCTCAAATTTTTAGCAAACGCGAGCAATGAGACTCTTGGAGCCTGTGCGGTCGGCCTATGCGCTTCGACTTACCTCGTGCTTGGTCGCGTTGGCTTAGTCCTGATCGGCGCAGTCGGGGGCGTCGTTCTTCACGCTACCTGGGAAAGTCAATATGGAGGCCGGTCGCAGGAAGAGAAAGCCGAGCTGGACCAGCGCAGGAAAGAGTTGGGTGTGGAAGTCGCGCAGAGAGTGCTCGACTGGCGGGAGAGGAGGCCACCACGAGATAACGAGAACGATCCCAACGAAGCCAAGATACTCGACTATTCTGACTTCGAGCCTGAGACCAGAGCGTCGCTCATCAACTTCACTGATGCTGTCATGCGAGACTATGTCAGATGGTGGTATAGCCCTCTGCTTCCGAAAGACCAGTCCTTTCCAGCAGCTGCCAGAAATACCTTCACCAGCTTCGTTCTCTCCTTTTCCAATCATCTGTCGCGCAAACGGGCTGCTGAACCCGTCCTCGACTTCTTTGCCAACTCGACCTCCATCATTATCGTGTTCTTGAACGAGCTATCTACCGCCATCAAGGCATCGTCGAATCAGGATGCCGAGACGGCCATCAAGACATACCTCCAGTTCCAACCCGAAAGCAATCTAGCCAATGTTCTGAGCAAGGATCAGCAGGACCGAAAGTTCAACCTCGTGGCGGATGACATCTTGCAAAACTTCCTCGACCCCAAAGCATACAACTGTCCTCTGGTAAAGGCTTTCCTCCGGGAGGTGTTGGCAGGCCTTGTCCTGGAGACCACCGTCGAAATGTGTTCGAAGCCAGAATGGATAAACGGCTGGATTGTGTTTTTATTGGAGCAGGGAGAGCCTGAGATCATGAACGCTATAGATGCCGGGGTGGAAGACATGAGCGAAGCTATGTCCCACACAAAGGAGAACATAGATCCCGGGAAATCACACACTAGACGGGTGAGCAGGGCGGAAGAAGCCATGCAAGAGGCGATGCGTGAAGCCCAACGGCTTAATGAGATGATTGCCGAAGATGAAGCCCGGCGGAAACGTGGTGTGCCTGCTAGCGAACCGGAAGAGACGAGTTCGGTGGCGACAAACGACGTCGGGCTGGCCACACCCACCTCTTCTGATAGTGACCGGAACCGCCAAGCAGAATCGTCACTCGACACATCCTTGGTCTTCGACAACGACGGCAATGCCTATTCGTCGACGAGCCCCAGTCCCACCAAGGAGCAGGCTTCCTTTACGAACTTTGACCAGATGATGGAGACGGTCTCTAATGTTGTGCCGCCCTCGCCTGTGTCGACAGCTCCCGCACCTGTTGAAGTCATGGTGGCGGTTCCATTGACCCTACACAACGCATCTATCACCATCTTGGACCTGGGCGACTTGAACGAAAAATCAACCTTCCGCCAGAGACCCAATAACGAATACCTGCTGCAAATCGAACCAGCGTCGCATCGTTTCCCCGGCTGGATGGTATCACGCAGATATCCCGACTTTGAACCGCTCCACCAGACCCTCACAACGATAGCCCGCATCTCTGGAGTTCCCGAGTTTGGTCAGAAGTATCCGAACCTGCCGACCTGGAGAGGTCAGACAAGTTCCACGCTTAACCAGAGCTTGGAGGCGTACCTGAGGTTTATAGTCAGATATGAGCCACTGGCTGAGACAGAGGCCATGAAGAAGTTCTTGGACAAGGAGACTGGTCTACAGAAAGCGCCTGCGCAGAGCAAGAACGTCCTCGTGCAAGGGGGCGCCGCGCTGGAAAACGTGGGCAAGAACTTCATCAGTGTGCTGGGTCAAGGCGGAAAGAACATCGCTGGCGGCGGCAAGGCTGTACTTGGAGGTGTGCAGGGTGTTTTTGGTGCAGTGGCTACCGGAGTGCAGGGTGCGCCGAAGAGATTGATCCCTACGAGACCTAGCCCTGCGAGAACTCCATCCGGGCAGCCGTCGATCTCTACTCCGAGGTTCAGCCAAGAACTACCCAGGCAAAGCTCTGATAGCATAGAGTCCAGACCATCACAGTTGCCAGCAAGACCAAGCGTTGAAACTCCAAATCAAGAATACGCTCAGTCGCCAATCAGCCAGAATGGTTCAGCACGGCAATCGGAAGAGAGCATTTCAATGCCTCCACTGCCGAGTATGATTTCAGATGACTATCAGCCCTCATCTATATCAAAGCCTGCGACACCGCCACGACCTCGGCAGGACACGATCACTCCGACAACACCTGCACCATCCATGAAGCCGGAGGATGTAGTGTCGGCGCTTGCCACGAACAACGCTGCCAAAAAGGCTCCGTCCCGAAAAGTCAAGAAGGATATCCCCATCTCCGAAGAAGAAACGCGCATCCTGATTGAACTCATTTTCGCCATTCTGACTGAGCTGTACTCAATGGGCGGTGCCTGGTCAATCAGGTTGTCTCTCCTCGGTGCAGCCAAGACGTTTCTTCTACGCCCGAACAATCCACAGCTCGAATCCATCCGCACACTGATCCAGGAAAGTGTCGTGGACGCCAACTTTTCTGATAAAGGATTAGCGACTCACATCAACACACTCCGATACAATACTCTGCCTACGGCGGAAGAAAAAGCGACTTGGCCCAAGGAACTGACGCCAGAGGAGAAAGAAATGCTGCGCATAAAAGCCAGGAGACTGCTTGTTGAACGAGGCATGCCGCAGGCCTTGACAAGCGTCATGGGCGCGGCGGCCAGTGGAGAAGCTCTAGGCAAGGTATTTGACTGTTTACAGGTCGGAAGTGTTGCCCGAGGGTTGATATTCGCGCTTATGTTACAGGCTATCAGGGCCACGACGCAATAGTACGAGGTGATATGTGATGCTTCTAGAAATGAACGGCGTGTGGATTATGACAGGCAACGAGGCAAATGTACAATACAAAGAGCGGCTGGCGCCGCGAGGGTGGTGTTGTGGCCCTGGTCCTTGTGGTCGTGAAAGTGTAGTGGCCCATAGCAATTCAGGAATGCTCGAGGGCCGAAGCGGGGTTGCGTTACGCGCAAGCTGTCGTGTCTTCGCAGGACGAAGGTGTAGAGTCAATGCAATGCCGTCGATAGGAGTCATACGTGTATATGAGGTTACAGGTAGGAAAGGCCTGCTGGCATTCACCTCGCCGGCCGTGCACAGCTTCACTCACATGACACTTTCACGTGACAAGCGCTAATAGAAGCCCACAATTAAGATGCAGCGGGCAACTCTGGGTGGTGCGAATTTTGGCCAATGACGTCGCTCGAGTTTTCTGTTTGCTTTCCGAATGCGGGAGGAATTATTAGCAAAGTAGGAGATAAAATTGTTAACCAGCATGACAACCATCTCAACTTCTCCTCCCCCCCCCCAAAGCCCACCACGTCGTCTACCCATAGCGCTATCCCATCTCCGATTCCCGAAAGATAGGGTCAGTCTGGCTTGCCGTCGCTCTCGGTCGAACCATTCCAAGCCTAGTATCCCTACACCAGTACAGGTCGACGGAAGATGGGGAAGGCCTGAGTCATATCTCTATCTTCCCCCTTCCTCCCTCAAACTTGCCTCACCAGCCGTCGAGGCAGCATCTTCATCTGTTGTGATCTGCCGACACGATGCCGACTGTACATCTGCTCGACTATGTCGCCGGCAATATCCGCTCCCTTGTCAACGCCATTGAGAAGTGTGGATGGGAAGTGGAATGGATTAGAAGCCCCCAGGATGTTGAGAAAGCGGAAGTAAGTTTCCCTGGTTATTTGTACTTGTGCTTCCGGGGACCCGGCAACGGCCGAATATCGATGCTTGGGGAGCCTTTCCTTGTCGTCCAACCTCAACCGCCTGAATCACCAACTCTAAACCATAGGTGCCCCTCTACAGAAAATCATCCTTCCCGGCGTTGGCCACTTCGGCCACTGCCTCAACTCCCTTTCATGTGCTGGCTATCTTCCCGCCATCCAAAAGCACATCACCGCCGGGAAACCTTTCTTCGGCATCTGCGTGGGTCTGCAAGCGCTGTTCTCAGGCTCCGCAGAAGCACCTTCTGTGCCGGGCCTCGGCCTCATCCCAGCGTCGTTGACCCGCTTCTCCGGAAGCAACAAAGATGGATCGAAGAAGTCTGTCCCCTGTATAGGGTGGAACGATGCATCTACTCTCCACCACGACCGCGATCAAGACCATCAGGGTGAGGGGAGAAGTTTCTACGGTTTGAATCCAGGGAGTAAGTACTATTACGTGCATAGCTACTTCGCTCCGTACGTAGCCGGTGAGCTTGAGGAACAAGGCTGGACCGTCGCCACCGCGACGTATGGCGAGGAGTCGTACGTGGGCGCGATCGGCAAGGGAAACATTTTTGCCACACAGTTCCATCCCGAAAAGTCGGGCGCCGCGGGATTGAGAGTCATCAAGGCGTTCCTCGAGGGCAAAATGTGGTCAGATCCCATCCGCGCTTCATTATCTTGCACTGCAACCGCGAGTAACGGGATTCCGCCCAACGACGCAGGCACAAACGGACTCACCCGGCGAATAATCGCCTGCCTTGACGTCCGCACAAATGACCAAGGTGACCTCGTCGTCACAAAAGGAGACCAGTACGATGTTCGGGAGAAGACGGCCGGGTCTCAAGTCCGTAACCTGGGTAAACCAGTCGAGATGGCACAACGCTACTACAACCAGGGAGCCGACGAAGTCACGTTCCTCAACATCACATCCTTCCGGGACTGCCCCATCACCGACCTACCGATGCTCGAGATCCTTCGACGAACGTCCGAGACGGTCTTCGTGCCACTCACAATCGGCGGTGGCATCCGAGACATGGTCGACCCAGCCACGGGGAAGACCGTATCAGCACTGGACGTGGCGAAGTTGTACTTCGCCTCGGGGGCAGACAAAGTCAGCATAGGGAGCGACGCAGTCCTTGCAGCTGAAGAATATTATTCCGCGGGCGGCAACCTCTCAGGCAGGACGAGTATAGAGACCATCTCAGCGGCGTACGGTGCTCAGGCCGTGGTCGTCAGCGTCGACCCGAAGAGGGTCTTCGTCTCGTCACAGTCCGAAACCGCCCACCATACCATCAAGACGGACGAACCGGACGCTCAAGGCAGGGGACACGTCTGGTACGCATGCACGATCCGAGGCGGTCGCGAGACCCGCGACCTCGACGTCGTGCAGCTCGTCAAGGCTGTTGAGGCAATGGGCGCGGGCGAGATCCTGCTCAACGCCATCGACCGAGATGGCTCGAATCGCGGGTATGACCTTGAGTTGATCGATATGGTCAAGAGCGCAGTGACCATTCCGGTAATTGCCTCCTCCGGGGCCGGAAATCCGGTCCATTTCGACGAGGTGTTTAGGAAGACGAAGGTCGACGCGGCGTTGGGAGCCGGAATGGTAAGTGCCTGCTCGATTGTGTAACTTATTGGGTTCACACTAGCTGACAACGTTTTCTCGCGCATAGTTCCACCGCGGCGAATACACAGTCATGCAGGTCAAAGAACACCTCGGGCAGGCCGGGCTGTTGGTCCGCCCATTTGAAGAGTTCGACGACGGACGGTAAAGGTCGAAGGTCGAAGCCGGGGGCGAAGGCGAGGTCCGAGGAATAAGTGGTGAGCCAGATATGCCCAGGGGTTCCCGCCCGGGGCAGAACGTACAGTATCGAAGAACGGTACTACCGTACCGTCCTCTGTCAATCTCCAAGGCGCACCTGCTTCTGCTTCAGTGCTGAGCACTGTGCCACAATCAGAGATGGGGTCAATCTGATAGGTGGGTCAATGTGATAGATGCGATCAATGTGATAGATGCGATCAATGTGATAGATGCGATCAATGTGATAGATGCGATCAATGTGATAGATGCGATCAATGTGATAGATGCGGACAACGCGAGAAATACTTCCAATGTGAGAGATGCATTCCACGTACAGCCTCAACTAAACCCGTCTGAAGCATCTTTGTTTGTTCCCCTCTCCCCATAACCACTTGGTTGCTGCAAGTAGACATGGGACAAGTTATGCGCGGGAAGTGCTATGAAGACAGACCGGGCTGGGGAAGATAGGAGGGGGCAGGAGAAGACAGGAGCGGTAGAAGTTACTTGAAGAAGCTGTGACTGATTCGCTCCCTCGGGACAGCTACATGCTGTAGTTGACCCGATATCCATGTATGCATGTCGTGCAAGAAATCTACCTTGGAGTGAGGGCCATGTGGGTGTTCTTAGAGCTCCACTGCACCGGCCCCATTGCGTCCTGAACTCAACACTCCGGATGACTTTGTGTGAGTCCGGATGAGTCCGTGTGATCTGGACATATTGGTAGTAAGTGAAAAGCAGCAATACATCGACTTCTCCACCAACAGCACCACCACCACTGCGATGCTCTTTGCGATCGCGCATCTTTCATCTCCTTGCCTGTTATTCCACGGGGTATGTAACAGCTGTACTCAAGCTTGCTTTTAGACCTTCCTAGCCTTCAATGGCTGGTAGCGTTGTCATCATTACTCGTAAACTCGTGTCCGCAGTTGTCTGCCAGCCTCCTGTGTCCTTCGGTGGTTGGCGATTGACGCCCTCAAACCAAAAGAAAGGGTTCTCCCAACTGCTCGTGTATGGTAGAGAAGGTTCCCTGGACATACCGGATGCGCACCCCATACCTCCCGACCATAGAGGAAGGCTGCCAATGCTTGCGTCGTAACGTGGTCACCATGAGGCTGTCAATGCAAAGGTATTTGCCATTGCAGGTCAAGCTAGACAGTATCTCTCTCGACAGTCATGCTCACATGCGCTTTGCGCTTGAGCCACAACTCAGCGCAGGGCATGAAGGAGTAAGGTTGAGCCCACACGACCTGCTTCTGCCTCTCAACGCGGGAACTCAAGACTCTTTCTTCTGATTGCGGAAAGCACGAGATCCGGGGTCTTGAGCCATGGCAGTGAGGACGTCGAGCATATTCTCCCGGGTGTCCCGTGTTAGTTGATCGACGTCGGCAGGAGTAAGACCCTTTGTGGGAATCGGATCAAGCACTGTCTCGACGGTCAGCCCCTCGACCCGGTTAAAAAGATCATCGTCCCGGGGACGCATCCTACCTTTGACTCGTATGGTGCCGGCATTAAACCTCTTCAATTTCGGACTCAACACTGCACTATAATTCTCGGCTACGACGGGCACGATATCCACGCCTCCCTGAACCGCAAGATGGAACGCTCCCTTCTTGAACGGCAGTAGCATCGGCTCCAGAGAGTAACTCCTTGTCCCCTCGGGGAAGATGACCACGCTCTGTCTCTTCTCCTTCATAGCTTTTGCGGCGCCTTCGAAGGCTTTCATGGCGGCGGATCTGTCCACACGGTCGATAAAGATAGTGCCGCTGAGCGTCATAAACCAGCCCAAGAAGGGGATGTTTCGCAGGCTCTTTTTCGCAGTGACGGAGCAGTTCTTGGGCCAGATCCAGCCGAGGAGGAGGACGTCGAGTTCTGTCTGGTGGTTCACTATGAAAACCGCTGGGCGGGTGCTGTTCAAGATCTGTTCTCCGTTGTCCAGGATCTCAAATCGTACGCCCAGGGTGTAGGTGCACAGATTCTTGAAGGCTTTGGCGGTAGTCCACTGCCCGTAGGTAAAGTGCAACCCAAAGAGCCTCAGGATAGCAGATGCGATGGTACCGTAGGCGGCGCAAGCGATGAGGCTTAGGTACGCAGCCATGGTACGGGCTAAGAAACCAAGAATCGGAGGCGCGCCGGGGAGGTAGGTATGCAGGGCGAAGAAGGAGAGCATGATGAAGACGTAGAAGGAGAAAAAGTAGACGGTCCAGCGCAGGAGGAAGAACATGGCGGTGAAAAGTGGTAATCGTTAGTCAGAGGATCGAGGAAGACGGGAACGAATATAGCCGGCTCGAACTGCTAAAGATGAGTCAAGGAGAAATGAACTCGAGGTCGACGACATGCGTGCAACAAGCTCGAAGCGAACAGTGTGACATGCAAAGAGTGGTCACAAGGCACAAGCACGAATTTCTTCTGAGCAGCTGGAGACGCAGAAACCCCACGTAATTTTTGGTGGGCGGAAGGACGCAGCCTTGTTGGAGTCGTCAACCTCGGCGCTGACGTCATGTTGAATGGATTTAGATTCCGACGAGGCTGAGGATGTCTTCCACCAGCCTGAATCTAATTAGCCGAGCCTGTTCTATGCCATCCCATGCTATGCTGGTAGCTATTTTCTTCGTTGCGGAGTTCCATGTTCGTTAAAATGTCCTGTTGCTTCTCATAAACTGTTCATGCTCTGCCGGGTCGTAAGCCAGTGTCTTCTTGTCATGACTGGTGGTCTCAATGCGACGCATCAGTCCTCCACCATGCGGAAGAAGTAAATGTATGCAAACTTCTTCATCTCATCCACGTCCACCGCCTTGACCACTTTCTCATCATTAAACAGCACCCAGTGCTTGTCTTTGTCCGTTCCGGGAATGGCTCGTCGAATGAACGCCACATAATGTCCGGCGTGGATGCTTGACCCTTTGTGGCATACAATGCTCTGAAGTTCGAACTTCGCAGGGAGTTGTTCGCTTCCGGGAAGCGTCTTAGATTCCTTCGCAGCAGTTGGTGCGTCTTCACCAAAATCGCCTTGATCATCGGGATGGCTAAACACCCAATCTAGAGCTCGGTTGACGTCGCCATTGCACTCTCGCAATGCTTTTCGTGCCTGCGGTGCACCGATACCCATATCCCCAAGCTGCGCAATCTTGTCAGCATCATCTGCTGAGCCACCGCCCGCCCCGCCACCGAGATCCAGAGGCTGATCGATGTCTGGGTCGTCCATATGCGAGAAGAGCCAATTCATAGCAGCCTCTGCATCGGCATTGCCAGTCGCATGGAGCGCCTTTTCGCATCGGTTTCGAGGGAAGCCCATAGATTCAAGTTGGCCGAGAGCTTCTGCGTTGGGGGTAAAGGCTGCAGCCGACGAACTAGAGCCACCAACGTCTGCGTCTTCTGGCAGCTCCTCCTCAGTTGGCTGCAGACCTGAGGACTTGTAGGCACTCAGATCGAACGCCTCATCCGTTACCTGAACAGGGATATCGAGTTTTGTCGGTACCCAGTTGATGATCTCAAAGCGAAGAGGATTGATCGCCAAGTTCTTCGGGAAGGTTTTGAACTTTGAGGTCTTGGTGAATCCAGCCTTGGACCCGCAAGCAGGACAGGTCAACTCCACAGCAGTCGTCGCAGTGAAGACGTCCAGACACTCTTTCAGCGATATTGGTTCAAACTCGGACCCTTTTGGCTCATCTGCTGCACCGCTTTGGCCGTTAACAGCCTGCCTTCTCCGCACGGGCACAGGAATCGAGATGTTGTCCTGTTCATCCGTTCGGTACCGGACGCGCTTACAATTCGAGCACTGCAAGCGCTGCTCCATGACGAAGCGAAAAGATTGCACTGGGTCTTGCGAAGATTGGGAGTTGTTGGATATGCTGATATGTTTGAAGAGGTGGAGCAGAAATTCGAACGCGTCTTGTTGTCTCATGGTCGAGAACTCTTCATGGTTCCGTCCGATGAGATGCTTGAACATTGCAGGTGAAAGACCTTTCTGATGGGGCACTTCTGGATCATCCGGCGAGACATGCGTGTTGGTCTCTGGCCGTGAATATCGACCAGAGAGCACACCATCAGCAAGCTTACGCAGCTGGGTCTCCAGGTCTTCCGCTGGTACTTGAGTGGTCGGTGGAGGTTCGTCAGGGCGATAGTATCGGATTTGAAAATCGGGCAACGAGAAGAGACATTGAACGGCACTGTTGAGGTAGCAGCTATTCCCGATGTTCTTCAGGCCTGTAAAGCCCTGGCCGAACAGAGGGGACAGCTCCTTGCCGTCTTCTGTGGTCATTGAAAAATCCCATTTCAAGTTCTGCTCAACTTGCATCTCCATTAGACTCTTTTCGGTCTTCTCACGTTCTGCAATACTGATGCCCCAATGGGCGAGATGTTTGGCCAGTTCTGTGTCCACCCGTTCTTCGTTGCACTGGTAGCAGTAGACGTCGGCATTACCTTCCGGAGTGATGGAACCAAGCTTGACAGCGACAGCGTGTCCGCTCTCTGTCGCGTGAGCCAGTCCGTGAGAATTGCCGCCGACGCCACCGAATTGCGCTCTGCCGCAGCCTAGATTTCCACACTCTAAGCAGAGCCAGAGGTTCTCTTTTAGCTCACACCTGGAGCATGAACCCAGGTTTTGTGACTCAATCTGTCTGCCCGCCTCTTGCTGGAGGCACAGGGTATGTTCGCAGGGTGTAAACTCTTGCTCCCACGCTTTGACTTCTTCTGATTTGGCGAACGTCATGGCTTTCATGACCCCGTTGACAACTGCAGGCAGGTTTCCTAATGACCGGTCCACATCTTGAATACCACACGCATGGCATTTGACTCTGGTCGTTGTATCGTACTTGTCCTCCTCCGTTTCGGCAGCGATTGCAAGTTTGGTCAGCTTCGGAGGAGGCTCATCACGCTGGACGTGTTTCTGGGTTCGCTTGATGTTCAGCACCAGAGGGTGGCTCGTCAGAGAGTAGTGAAGGAGAGAGTGGTTGCGGTCGCCAGCACAACCTCCGTTGAAGCAGCTTAGACAGACGTCAAGGCCAGCTTCATCGTCTATAGAATCAAAACACTGCGTACAGTCTTCACGGTAGACACTCTGGTTGGGTCTCGGAGGACGAAGGTCCTGGGACTGGGCGTGTGGACACGCCATGACGAGACTGAAGGAGCTAAAAACGTGGGTTGAGAAGGTGAGAAGCAACGGGAGAGGTAAGAAAGGCGACAATGTGAAGAAAGGCTTGAAGACTTTAGTAATGGGCACGAGGGCAAGAGTATCCCCGCCGCATGAGACAAGGCTTGGGAAGGCTAGCTGTGCCACTGGCAAGGCTGACGTAGAACACTGCAATTTGGTTGGTTGATGTCTGCAGCTCATTAACGCCGTAAACTCCTGGCTTAGGCTTAGCCTGGACCCCTCAACTCCCGCCTGTTTCGGGCTAACATCACTAACAATCCTACTTGTCGTTTACAGAGGTCGTCGCTTCAGTCCACAACGGGTTCAGGTCATGCAGAACGTCGTTGCGTAGCGCCGTCACGTTCGCAACTTCAGGACCCTGCAATGGCCACGGTCGCACTCCCTCATATGGACCCGGTGTCCTGTTCGGTCATTTTCTGATCATCTTTGGCCCATTACTCGAGCGCCGAGGGCACGACACTCAGCATGGCTCTATTACAGAATGAAGAGTGAGTGAATTGGCTTGACTGCCGAAGAAGATCCCGCAGTCAACCGACCGATCTGAAGGGAGGGATTTCCGCTAACCTCCACCACAGCTTTGCTATATGGTATCTACGGACGTCTTATTTGGCCAGCGCCAAGGACGGGATCGCTGAGCGACTGATCAACGTCAACTCATCAATCCTTAACACACCTGGGTTTCGTGCAGCTGGCTGGTCCGCTGACCCCATACAGCGGACTTATTCTCCTCCCATTCCGACATCTGTCAACACCAACTATTTCAAGGAAGGTGCGGACCTTCAGCAGCTGAACTCACTTGATGCCGAAGAGGATGAAGGTGGCCTCGTTACTGGCAGAACTAGCAATGATACGATCGGGCCCGCACTCCATATGAGGCGGCGGAGAAGGAGAGAACAGGTGGAGGACGACGACAGTAGCGATTTAACTGATGAGTCGGAAGATGAAGGCGATGGTGGCCAACGCACTATCCAGCAAATCCGGTTTGCAAAGATGCCTGCTCGCAACCGTGCAGACTCATCCCCAATCCACGGTACCGATGGAGACGGTGGAACAACCTCGCCGAACAAACCAGCAATCGACAACAGGCGCAGGACCGGTTCGCTTGGTGCCGTTGAAGCTGTCAAAGCCCGCGCCAGGCGTGACACTACAACGAGCAGTGAAATGTCTTCGGAGAACGAAGTCGATCCAGCATATTTCCAACGCCGTCAACTGACCGCGGGTCGAACCTCCAAATCTGCTCCGCTTCCTGGCGAAGACCCCATCGGTGTAGGTGCACAAGCTGGTCAGCACGTAGGCCTCCAGGACGACTCCGATGCCGAATCGGTCGGATCTGCCATGTCTTCCGAGTTAGGGGACACCATGGACTCGGCATCTCTGCTCAACACTTTAGGTGACCCGAATCTGAGTTCTACACCGTTGGGCAGTTTAACGAGTTCGGCACCTCGCTCAGTTCAGCCCGGATCGCCTAGAAGACAGAGGACAATGTCAATATTGCATGAGCTACCGCCGCCACGGCCCATAAGCATGGTCCAGCCTAAAAGTCTACTTTCAGCGGCTCTTGGCGCACAGAAAAAAGGCCCCAGCAACCCTTTGCAAGCGTTCGCTGGGCTCTCTGGAAAGGGGACTCCAAATCCTCTGTGGATCAAGATATACGCCCCGTTCTCGGAGGATCCCGAGGAGCCATTTGAAATGCCGCTGGCTCGGACATCCAAAGATGGCAATCCTATCATAGTTGCGGAAGCGATTGGCCATGCTCTTTGGAGGTACCAGGAGGAAGGGTTGAAACCAGCGCTCACTCCGGAACAACTCGATGTCAATAAGTGGACGCTGCGAATGGTGGAAGACGGAGAGGTCGACGAAGACTTCCCTCCGCTTGTCCGTACCAGGCCCGTGACGGATTTTACTGACAATAACAATCGAGCGGGTAGAGGCAGGAGCAGGGGCCGGCCTTTTGATGAGTTTGGTCTTGTCGAGGCATCCGCTTCTCAATACGAAGCTAACAAGAAGGAGACACCTCAACTCAGACCTCTCGAACAGACAGAAGCTGGCCCCGTCATCACAGTCGAAGGGCAGGCTCCACAGCCCCCAATAGAGCGTCCTGGCACTCCCAAAGGAGGAGTGTCACGAACTAATATCCTCCTTGCTGGACAACCTTTCACCACCGCTCTCACCAATGCTTCCTTGACCCCTGCAGATCTTCCTGCGCCCGCGGCGCCGCAGGCCACCCCTCGCATGGGCTCCACGAAACCCCTAAAGGTCCGATACCTCAACCACGATATGACGGCGCAGACAATGATGATAGAGACATCAACCGACAGCTACATCGCTGAAATCTTGGACCATGTGTGCAAGAGATGGAACCTTGAGAAGGCGGGCTTTGTGCTCAAGGTGGCTGGCACTAACACCGTGGCGCCGCTGGACCGAACGGTGGAAGCTTTGGGCGTGCGATCTGAGTTGGACCTCGTCCGGCGGCGGTTCGGAGCCGGAGTCACATTGACGGGATCACCTGGAAGCTCCTCACCCAATGCGCCCCTGTTGCTGGATATTCAGGGCCCGACAAAGAAGAACAAGAGGGGACAACCTATGCAAGCTTCGTCGTTGAAGGCAGACATGCTGTCGAGCGCAAGCAATTTCAAAAAGTATTACGTGACGAGGAAACAGTTAGGAGGTTTTGCACAGGGAAGTCAAAGAGTGTTGGTGTTTGACGGCGACATAGTCCATGTCATGCCGGCAGACAACAGCTCCAACGCCAAATTCAGCTCGATTGCATTCAACGACATCTTGAAGTGCAAGGTCAGCTCCAAACATCCGAAGCTGGTTCGAATCGTGGTCCGAAGAGTTAACGAGTCCAAACGATACGATTTCGAGGCGCGGACAGCAGGTGAAGCGCAGGAGATCGTAGATGAAGTGACCCGTGAGATGAAGTTGGCACGAGGGTGAAAGTGGTCCGATGTTTACCTCAGCGCCGGTGAGCTCTGCGTCGGAGTATCCGCTTTTACATAGTACGGCCTGGTGCCGCGGCAGATATCATATCGTCGAAGCCAGCGGTCAGACTCCGTACTCCGCGTTCCTCTTCCCAGCCAGTCGGCTGGGTCCCTCTGACCTCGTTGGCGGGGTCAAGATGGCTTAATCCGTGACATATGTGGCTTGAAAAGAGGAGTGGAGGTGCACAGACTGGAGGGCCAACAGGCGGCCTGGGGTACCACAGTGGTCATTGCTGGCTCTATCCTCTGGATTAGGCTTGTCTTATGGTAATGGTTCGTGAAGAGTGTCACCAGTGTAATGCAAGAGAACCGGGCACGCTTTGCTGGCCAGCTTCCCCGCGTCTCGAGCCTGCGTTCTCGTCTGTGTGCGAACAGCATAGGCACCGTACGAGTAGGAGGGGAAGATCTTGTCTGCTCGCCACGCATATCTTGATCGCGGACTGTAACCCTGCTAGCACCGACGCAACTGCCCGCTCGTCACTGGTGCCCCTCGTCGCCAATAATATCACTAACAAGCCTACAGCTCGGCCTCTTAGTACTCGTAGCAGTTGGGAGCAAGCGTCGTAGAGTTCAAAGATCCCGCCTCAACTTGCTTCGAGCTGCAGCTCTCATCTTCAACCTGTATTTCTCTGTGATACAAACCTAGCTGCTTATGCTGTGCTCTCCCTCACTTGTTCACCCAACTCACCGGTTGCACGATAGCTGATATCTTCCTCTGGACTGGCTTTAGTGGTATTGCGTCTCGATTGGAGCTTATCGGCCTGCATTGCAGCTTCCCAGCGGCCAGCCGTTACCCGACCGAATTATCGACGGCCTGCGTCGATAGATCCTTGATTTGGCTGTCGCAATTGCTGCTACCCCTCCCCACCTGCTCTCAGGTCGGCCTCACTCCATTCCACGTTCCACGTTGTGACTCGGTAGGCAGTCCTGACGGGCCTCGAAGCTCCTTTTGAAATCACCTATTGTTAGCATTCCATTCTCGGGGAACCGTGCGCTCCCCTACGTCAGCCAAATGCCGACCTTTGGAGGCCTGCTCAAGAAAAAGAAGACCAAAGAGTCTGACGACAAGCCCGCTCACCAAAGCGGCGGCAATTATCAGCCGATTCAATACAAATCTTCGCACAAGACTGACACGTCGTCACCGTCATCAAAGGCCACTGGCACCTCCGATGCTCCCACCCAGTCAACTGCAGCCACCACTACCGTGACCACCACCTCTACCCCCGACCCCCATGCCAAAACAACTGAGAGCAACGGCGGAGTGAACATGAACTCCGCACCTGTTGTCAGTCCTTCGGGGGGCGTGGTGGACTCCAAAGCGGTGCAAAGACAGACCAAGGGCAAATATACACTCACAGACTTTACCATTCAGAGGACATTGGGTACCGGTAGCTTCGGGCGGGTGCATCTCGTGCAGTCAAAGCATAATCAACGCTACTATGCTATCAAGGTCTTGAAGAAGGCCCAGGTGGTCAAGATGAAGCAGATCGAGCACACCAATGACGAAAGACGCATGCTGCAGCGAGTCAAGCACCCTTTCCTAATCACTCTGTGGGGAACGTTCCAAGATTCCAGGAATCTATATATGGTCATGGACTTTATTGAAGGTGGTGAGCTGTTCAGTCTCCTTCGGAAGTCGCAGGTAATGCCGCACCCTGACCCCTGCCAGACCACCACTGGTACTGACCTTTGAAGCGCTTCCCGAACCCTGTCGCCAAGTTCTACGCCGCCGAAGTCACCCTAGCACTCGAATATCTGCATGGTCAAAATATAATATACCGAGACCTCAAACCTGAAAACTTGCTGCTCGACCGGCATGGCCACGTCAAGATCACGGACTTCGGTTTCGCGAAAGATGTACCTGATATCACCTGGACTCTTTGCGGTACTCCAGATTACCTCGCTCCGGAAGTGGTAGCCTCAAAAGGTTATAACAAGTCAGTTGACTGGTGAGATACTCGTGTCCCTATCCTCCTTGGGAGATACTGAGGCAATTAGGTGGTCTCTCGGTATTTTGATCTTCGAAATGCTGTGTGGTTTTACCCCATTCTGGGACGGCGGCTCTCCCGTCAAGATCTACGAGAACATCCTGAAAGGCCGAGTCAAGTATCCTCCGTACATTCACGCGGATGCTCAAGATCTCCTGGTTCAACTCATCACAAATGACCTGACCAAGAGGTTGGGCAACTTGCATGGCGGTCCGTCCGATATCAAGAACCATGCATGGTTCGCAGAAGTCACATGGGAGAGGCTGCTCAAGAAAGACATCGATGCGCCCTACGTACCTCCAGTGAAGGGTGGCGCTGGCGACGCTAGTCAGTTCGACAAGTATCCTGAAGAAACAGAGGAATATGGCAAGAAAGGAGAGGACCCGTATGGTACCCATGAGTTGGCCCTGAATGCCGAAGCTGACCTGTTTTACAGATTCGGCCATTTCTTTGTGGACTTCTGATCGCAATGTGTCGAGGACAGACTACTCACCGAGTGGTGACCGATGCGACCGAACCGGGAAGGCTGAACAAACGAATGCGTACCGCCAATCGGGTATTGATGAGTATATGTATTGAGTGCTACGCAACGAACAGACAAAAAGGGGCTTGGATTCGGGTTCTCCTCCCGTGAGAGCAGTTTTGGTTTTTTCTGCCGCGAGGTTCACGACAGCGGACTGCGGCCGTCGCCTTTGGTCCCATCCCAGCAAGTTCTTGGGTGTGGTAATGGCGCCGGGGGTTTCTGCGAAGTTTGGTTGGCCGCAGCGGTTGTGGGCGGCCGCTCTTGTCTGAACATCAGTCGGTATTGAATGAGGCATGGGGAGCTGCCAACGACCTATTTATGATTCCTTAAGGCCATATCGACAATCATACGAGGCACTCAACCAGTGTACGAGACCAAGACCCTCCTGAATGCGTCGAAGTATTATTACTGCACGCTTGCAGATTATGAATTTGTTCATTTCCAAGCGCAAAGCCCACGACACCAAGTCAATGCGAAGTAACTGGGTTCTGAACGGATATTCATATCTGCCTCCAAAGTCTATGAACGCTTTTGCGTTCTTGGATAGCGAGCTAATCCTGCCCTCATCGCAACGTGAGAGGAGTTATTGTACATAAGTGACCAGAAACGCTGGCTAAGGCGTATCCTTTCACGAAGCATATCCTTGACCTTCTGTCACCCCCAGCTCTGGTGGTGAGATGACTAATGTACATTTGTGTTGGATGCCCACCTAACGGCACATTCCTGAGCGAACGGGTCTCTGACGAAATCGTGGATATACTAATTCGAAGAGGACCGCGGCGCATACAACTGAACCGGCCAGGCACATCGTACACGGATAAGGAGGTGACTTGATCGAAGTCAAGCAATCGGGCAAGTCCACTTTTCGAAGCTTGACGGCAACGTAAGTCGCAGATATCCTGGAAGAGGTGCCGCTGAGTCCACAACTTTTGCTCGTCCAGGGCTTGGCGAGGCTGGGGTTAAGCGTTCGTATGCGACGGGTACACCGACAACTTGAGTCGTCCACTCCGCTCCCTATTTCCCTCAAAAGAGCTCCTTCCCACCTCCTGCCTGCGCGCCTGCCCCTCCCAGACCAGCAAACGCTGCACTCTCCTTCTGCAACCGTGCTGTATACGTCCTACTCGTGACGTTCCAGGCATCAATGTATTTCTCCATACACGCCGTGAGACATTTCTGCTCGCCGGAGCTGAGACTCCCGCCCGGAGAAGGCACGCATTTCTCAAAGCAGTTTGTATTGACGTTGGAGATGAGTTGCTTGGCGTTGCTGACGTTGCTTTGTTCCGTGATGGCTGATTGGATGCGTTGGAGAGTTTGTGTTGTCGAGGGCGACGAGGATGGAAAGGAAGAGGAGAGCGGATTCGTGATGGTGGGTGAAGAGTCCGTCGAAGAGTTGTTGTTTTTGTCGCCCGAGGACGAGGAACCGCCAAAGAAGCCGCCGAATGCCATGATTGCGGGGCTCGAGGTGTGGCGCGATGAGGACGGTGTGTGCAAGTGTACTTTTGTGGTCCGTGAACGTTGGTCGAGCTCTTTATCGAATATATTTCTAATTATGTTAAGGCAAAGGCCGGAGTGCAGATGCAGGTGGTTTGCGTCAATCCATCGTGCTGACTGCATTAGGCAAGTATGCCGCAGAAAGGCCACAGGCCGATTGGTGGAGGCAATTTACAGGGGATTGTGAGGCCGTTTCTGATGGAGCACCACCAATTGAACACGTTTGCAATCCAGTAACGACGTTCACAGTCTACTAGTTCCGGAGGCGTGACTTTCAGCGAGCGGGTGTTCCTTGCCATGCGGCCACTGTGACATTCATTCTTCTCTCCGTTCCATTGACGTCGGGAGCACAAACCCTCAGCCTTGAAGTGGCCATCCAGCATGTGGTCCTCATTATGGCTGTTAGCGGCATGTGCAGTTGGCACGCGGGCAGCCGTCGAGGCAGATCCAGAGATGAAGAGCGTCGCTGTAAGCTAGCCTGCGATACATCCATCCGCGACAAGTGGTGTCCAAGGCTAATAGTATTCTCTTCAAGCTGCGGACACATAGTCTCCAGTCACCATACCTCGACTCCGACATGTCCAGCCGATGGTTCGATTTTGGCGGCGACACCATCGTCCGCACCGACAAGTACATACGGTTAGCCTCCGACTTGCCTTCGCAGTCAGGCTGGATCTTCTCACGAATACCCCTCACCGCGACCAATTGGGAAGTCGAGTTCGAGTTCGCGATTCACGGGAAGGGACATTTACATGGCGATGGGTTCGCGCTGTGGATCACCAAGGACAGGGCACAGCCAGGCAACGTGTTTGGACACAAAGACCAATTCGAGGGTCTGGGCATATTCTTCGACACGTACAAGAATAATCGGCCAGGCGTGGTTTTTCCTTACGTGATGGGCATGCTGGGAGATGGGAAGACGACATATGATGCCGCGAACGATGGCAAGGCGAATGAGATTGGCGGGTGTTCGGTAAGAAGGGCGCACAAAACAGGATTTTCCCGGACGAACTCTGACTGACTGGGCACACAGGCACGAGGACTGCGCGGTGCAGCAGTACCGACAAAGGCCAAGCTGACGTACTTCCAAGACAAGTCCCTCTCGTTGCAACTTCAATACAAAGCACCTGACGCTTGGATCGATTGCTTCAGCATCACACCAACCGCAGACCAGCCGCTCAAAATGCCCAACACCGCGTACCTGGGATTCAGCGCACATACGGGCGAATTATCAGACAACTTCGACATTATCAGCGTGGAGACGAGGAATCTGTACAGCCCTGTCGCGGCGCAGAGCGGGCGAGACAAACATTCTCAGAACAGAGCTAGTGGGAGGGGGAGAAGTCCGCAGCAGCAAGGTGGTGGTTGGGGTTGGTTTTTCTTCAAAGTGCTACTGTTCGCTGGGGTGGCGGGTGGTGGCTACGTTGGGTACAAGAAGTACAAAGAAAAGCAGCGTTATGAGGGGTTCAAGGGGTTCTAGGGGTCACTTCGTGAATTGGAGCATGAGGTCTCGATGAACTCACGTGTACAATGATCGGTCCATCCAAAAGCCACAATTCCGTGCGATTGGTTCAGCTCACCAGCGGCTGAATGATGGATCTTGAGATGATCTACTGCGTACAGCTCTGTTACCGGCCGCCCGTCCAAGGTCTCCAGCGCTAGACATAAGAAGCGTGCAAGGCCAAAGCTGACCAGGATCTCTAAGCCTCGTCTGAGCGTGAACCTGAGAGAAACTGGCAATCATGGTCAGGTGATCTGTGATCTGAATTGAATGCTCCCCAGTCTCTGCGGCCTGCACGTGAATCAGCCACTTGCGCTAGTCTGATCCGCGGACTAGCCCCGCCCGAAACAATGCGAGATATCACGACCAATCAGAACCACGCATTCGCTCTTTCGATGTGCTCAGAAACAAGTGCTGCTTTCCAGCACGTCTTTTGCCTGATCTTGTGAGGCGGTTTTCTGGTGAGGAAAATCAACTCTGAATCACTGGCAGCCGCCAAGCCCAAGTTGATCCCGCCCGTCGCTCCTGCCCTGCTCTTTCGCTTATATCCTTCCTTCTCCTTCCTCTTTGTCTTTCCTCTTTCTCTCCCCTTTTGCCCACTTCTTACTGCATCCTCAGCTTTGAACCCATCCACCAACCATCATCAACTTCTTCATCCTTCATATCATCATCTTCAGTACACCACTGCAACTATGACTGGACGTAAGTTCTTTCCTTTACGCGTCGATGGTTGCGATGATTGCAGTTGCGGTCGCCTTCGCAGCTCGCCGTCGCGTCACCTCGTTTTCGATCTGACGCAGGCCACTTTCCGCCCCCAATCCCCGACCACTTGTACAATGCAACAACACCTGCATCATACCATGTACTGACAGTCTTCTTATACAGGCGGCAAAGGTGGCAAGGGTCTCGGCAAAGGCGGTGCCAAGAGACATCGCAAGATCTTGCGCGACAACATTCAAGGTATCACCAAGCCTGCCATCCGACGTCTCGCTCGTCGTGGTGGTGTCAAGCGTATCTCGGCCATGATCTACGAAGAGACCCGTGGTGTCCTCAAGTCGTTCCTCGAGTCCGTCATCCGTGACGCCGTCACCTACACCGAACACGCAAAGAGAAAGACCGTCACCTCTCTTGGTATGTTGACACTACAATATGCCTAGCAAGACGATATGACTAACGAATGTTCAAGATGTCGTTTACGCCCTGAAACGCCAAGGCAGAACTCTCTACGGTTTCGGTGGTTGAACGCTTTCTTTTATACGGGAAGGCAGAACGCTGCATGGTTTCCGTGGTTGAGCGCTTCCTCAGCACGAACGACACCTGTTTACTAGAGCTGCTCCACAGACTACATTGGAATGGATCATGGTGCTTACGGATGATGAACATGGCGCAACTGGGTTTTCTGTATTCCATGGGCAATTGATTGACATTGGGTTTCTGCAAGTGCATGCAAAGGACTTGCAACAACAGATCTGCCTTGTGCTCAGCAAAGATGCAACTTGCGCAAGCTGGATTTGTATCTTCTGAGAGAACTTCTACACAAGACAATTGCTACTACTAGCCATTGATTGTAGCACCAATCAACAATCGAAACAAAGTGAACTTCTCTCTTGCTACCTCTTCCGCACTCTCTAGACTTTGACCTCGAGCGTTTCGTAGGTTTGTTGGGGCGCAGTGGCGGTTGTATTGCTGAGAGGCGAGACAATGGTGGCTCCTAGGCGAGGTCGGAGGGTGCCTGTTCAACCTCGATTTCATCACAAAATGGCTTCACCCTCAGCCTAGGGCCGCAGTGCAGTGAACATGGTATATGCACGTTGTCTTGTGAAGAAATACAGGATCAGTTACTCAGTACCTGCTGGCCGAAATGCACAGGCAGCAGTATCGCCGAATCCTATGCGAAGAGCGAGTACGGCGAGCCAGTCGGAATGGCGCCTATTTCGCCTTCTCTGGGCTCCAGGCGGCCACCCGGGGGCCTTGTTGTGTGGCGAATATTGGCTCCTTGCGCCGAGTGGACAGGCAGCAGCCTTTCCACTGCTTCCGATATACCCAAGATTCACCCCGCCTCCATCTCCGGGCCCTGCATGAGCGTCTCGTTGCTACTGGCGTCGACTTTTCCAACGATTCCAAGGGATTAACCATCGGCAGTCTCGTCGCACACCACGTCTTCGACATGAGGCAGTAAAGCAAGTCAAGGATCGGACAATCAGCAGGCGTCGACAAGGGCTCTGTAACCATGTTTCACCGGAGGGGTACCTATCTCCAGCGCCTGTCCAAATTGTACTCGGACACCAAGCAATCGTATGAGAGCGCGAAGGTCACGCCAGCCGCGGCTAATGTCACCGATCTGCCCGAAGTAAGAGAGCTGCGGCGCGACTTTCAAATCCAGCAGGACAGATTGCTAGCATGGGGCATGCACTGGACCGACGTCGGTGCGCCGTACTCAGCACAAGGCGATGTCGACATCGACAAGAAAATCGATCAGGCCGGGCTCGGTGAAGTAGTGGCGAGCGTCATGTCGGAGATCAAACGGTTACTGGAAGAGAGTGGCAGACTTGAGCATCCCGAGCGGTACGAGATGAAGAAGTCCGGCCGAGGACCTGGCTCGAGTCCCGTCGCCCAGCGAAAGGACTGGACGAGTCACGAGGTCAGGACTGGTCGGACTCTGCTTGACCAGCTGACCACCTGCATCGACGTTCTGTACAGCCTGGAGGAGTCAAGGAGGGCCGACGAGAAGGGCAGTGATGCGAAGAGAGCAAAACATGCTCACCCACTGCCTGCTCCAGATGGGACTGACCATGCCCACCTCTACGACCATCCTCTACACGTGGACTGGAACGGACTGGAATTCAATATTTCGCATTTCCAGGCGGCTGATCCGCCTCCATATGATCCAGCCGAGGGCTCAACACCCACGCGAGAAAGGTCGATCGCCTATTTTCGACAGGGGGCCTGCCCGGTACTCATTGACTTCCTCGCCGCTGACTGCCCACCATATGTGATCGGCAGTGCAGAGGATGTCTTTGAGCTTCATGAGCTGGGAGAGAAACTGTGCAAGAACCGCGACTTGTCTTGGTGCGGCCACCTGAGACTCCTTGGCTTTACCGTCGACCCCAATGGACCTCGTTGTGCGATGGTCTATGCTTTGCCCGAAGGCCATGATCATAAGACCTTGCAGCAACACAGGACCCTTGCCTCCCTGCTGGCCGCTAGCAACACCCAGGAAGGATCACAGCCGGCTCTTGAAGATCGTTTCCGTCTGGCATACAACCTTGCCCTTTCCATCATGGGTTACTTTGCGCAGGGCGAGACCCATCAGTATGTCAACAGCAACAACATCTTGCTTGTCGGGACAAGAGAGCACATCCACCATTCCAGCATGCCACGGGAGCTGAGGTCGCCTTATCTGCTCCAATCTTGCCAGGATTTTCTGTCGCGACTACAGGCAGAAGAGCCATTCTCGGCAACCATCTACCGGCATCCAGACCATGATATCCATGCATCCGAAGTGGTCCCTGCCTACGACATCTATAGTCTGGGATTGCTCTTCCTGGAGATTGGCCTTTGGGTTCCACTACAGAAACTGTGGAAACCAAAGTACGACCGCGACATCTTCATGGAGAGAGTCCAGCGTATATACGCAAACAAGCTCGCCCCGAAATGTGGGAGCAAGTACATGCGCGTGGTCCAGAAATGCTTGCAAGCTCCAGATGAGCTGCAGTATAGGAACAATTACGAAGACGCGGGGGCGTTCCTGCTTCAGGTTGCAAAGGACCTCCAGCAATGCTGCATCCTGGACGAGGAAGGACCTCCACCTGTTTCTGATATCGAAGTTTTCGAACTGTTGATCATCGAACAAATGGTCAAGGCCGAAGAGAAAGCAGCAATGGAGGAGAAGAAATTGCCATCCATGCCCGGGAGTTACGACGAGGTCCAACCCGAGCCCCCCAAGCGAAAGAACTCCAAGCGCAAGGCAGAAGCTATTCACCAACAGACGCCGCCGGCCGAGAAACCTCTGCGCAAATGGCCTGACGTCGACATCCCTCAGCAAGACTTGGACCAGTGGAATACCATGGTCATGCCGAAACTCGGCAAGATACTTGAGCATGCTCTCAAGGACTCGCCTGAATCGTCCTGCAGCCTGAGTCTGATGATGTTCGGGAGCAGACCGGAAAGTGCAAAGACGACCATATGTATACAATGTGGACAGATCAACAAAGTCCGTGATGTCTTAAGGAAGAAGTTCCGACCCAAAAAGGGCTGGGGAGTCGTCTTGCTCAATGGCGAGGTCAGAAGAAGCGGCACACGGCGAAGAAGAAAGCCCCGGCGATCCGGCTACGGCTCGCACAGAGGCCCCAAACCTCTGGCTCGAAGGCCTCTTGAACAGAAATACCAGGAGAAGCCCACCAGTGGAGCCAGCATCGGCGCCTTCAAGGACTGCGAACACCTCCCGCCTGTTTCCTTCGGCGGCACCATCCTCGTCGACGGCGAACCCTACGGCATGACGGTGCACCACATGCTCGACATCCCCAGCGATGATGACGAAGACGACGATTTCGACGACGACGTTGTCCGGCGTAGTGAGGACCCCCAGCCTCGCTGGGCCATGGCGCCCCCGCGTAAGATGCCCGGCCAGTATGATGCTGCAGCGGATGTACGTTTCATGCAATCCGAGGAAGACCTCTCCCACTTTTCCGACCTAGCCATATCTGACGAGGACTTTGAGAATGACAGTGATGACGGCAGCGACGCGAGCACGATCCGCCCCGACTACGCCATCATGGACGCAGACGGCAACGAGTTCTGGTTTCTGGACGACACGCCCGAACTGGAGGATGACGACGGATCCGACATATCGTCCTCGTCCTCGTCCGAGGAAGAAGTAGACGTCGACGACGACGCGGCCTCGATAGGCGATAAGCGAGGCATAGCGCCGTACTCGGACGACGACCTATACGTGACGCAGCCCGCCATCGACGACGTGGACGACGACTTCTTCCCTAGCGAAGAGGATCGCGACGACGACCACCTCGCCTCCCACGCCTTCGGCCACGTCTTCGCCAGCAGCGGCATCCGGCGCGTCAAGCGCGACGCGATGAAACACGAAGTCGACTGGGCGCTGATCCGCGTGCAGGAGGACCGCCTGAAGATCGAAAACGCCATCGCCGACAAAATCACGCCCTCGAACCCTCCCACGGCACGGAACCGGCAAGTCTCACAACCGGCGCAACGCACCAGCAACAGCAGCAGCACCATCCCCGTCCTCACGACCATCACGCCCCTTTCATCCCTGTCTGGCCTGCGCGTCCACTGCCGTGGCCGCAGTAGCGGCTTCCGCCGCGGCCGCATCAGCCAAGCCATGTCTCTCGTGAAAATGCACGGGCGGCAATCCTTCTCCACGTCCTTCTGCGTCGAAGGCGGCTTCGGGATCCCCGGCGACAGCGGCGCCTGGGTCTATGAGCCCCTGAGCGGCGGCCTGTGCGGCCACGTGCTGGCGTGGGGCGAGAAGAGCAAGACGGCGTACATCGCCCCCATGGAGGTGCTGTTCGAGGACATCAAAAATAGGCTCGGCGCCGAGGAGGTCGAATTGCCTGTGCCTGAGGGGTTAGGCAAGCCTGTTGCTACTTCCCGGGGGAGCGTCAAGGAAGACTCGGGCATCGGCATGGAGTCCGGGGGCGAGGACATGGCGGGTACGTTGCGGGAGATGAGGATTGGCGATGATAGGACTCCGTCGTCGGGGGGAGCTCCCGGCAATGCTGCTGCTGCTCCTGCTGCTGGTGGGGCTGGTACTGTGCCTCCTGCTGGTGGTGGTACTGGCGCGGCTGGGAAGGCGAAAGGAGTCGTTGGCGTCCGGCCCCTCAGGGTCATGGCTGGCGCGGTGTCTTGACTGTTGCTTGGCAAGGGTTGCGAGTGGTCGTGAGTGTTTGAGTTCTTTTGGTTTGTTTTCTCACCTTTTATATTTTTTTGTATATGGTGTATCGTTCATATTGTGCCGACGTAAGATGCCAATGCGACTACATGTCCACGATTCGAGCATCTACTCAGATACCCTCGCTTGAAAATACAGGACTTTGTAATGTCCCGCAGGCTGAGCGCTCATGGTATATTTATGGTACAGGCGATGTGTTTCCACAAGTATAGATAAACGTCCACGCCTCTATCACGCCTCTATCATGGTCTATTTATCGTATAGGTCATGTGTCGTGGCTCCAGCTCCAGCAACAGCTCCAGCCCCAGCTACAGCTACAGCACATGGAAGAAAAAAACGACTGAAAAGGACGACACCAGTGTCAGGCATGCCTCAGCAGGTAGTGGACGTATTTCGTGTTCATTTCCCAGCTGGGCAAGAGCTCGGTTCTGGTTGATACATCCATCTCTATCGGTCTACGATCAAATGGGATGTATTTCTTCTTAGTCACAACGACATCCAATGTCAAGAGTACTCTAGTCCACAATCAGTACGGGGTACCTAGGACGACCTGGGGCGCAGGTTAGACTTACATAGAGCAATGTGACAAGGTAATCTGCCTCCATGCTTGCAGGCCATGTCTCCGCCAGCAAGCTGCATAGCCACTGTCCGTTCGAACAGAGACTCCTTTGCGGAAGTCTGGATCGGACATTCCATCTTCAAGGGAGCCGAGTGCCCGCCTCTTTAGGTATCAACGATCCTTGGATTTTGCTTGTCCAACCACACGCCGGCTGATCTTTTTACGTGATGAGGGTGGGCTCCTTGAGTTGCCACGACCCCCGTACTATATAGGGGTCTCGCGTCCCTTTTGCCTCAATATGGTGAAAGATACCACAACTGTGGCACCATCTCAGGTAGGCTTGGCGGACATCTATCGCTCATTTGTGCTCGGTCACTGTCGATAGTAGCTCATAATAGTGTTGTGCTCGCTTTCAGCATTTGACTTCAGGGAGGAGTATCTGGTGATGCAGGCGGAGCTGCAGATGGTGCCTGAGCCCTCCTCTTCGGCTTGATGAGCAGCAGGACAAACATGCCGACCACGAGGAGGAAAAGCAGCAGGAGAATCTTCCGCTTAGTGTTACGACGTTGGTAGTTAGTCGCGACGACCAGCTCCTTCTCCGCCCCTTTCACATCTGTGGCCATACGCTCGACATTGTAGTCAATGCGATCGAGCATGGTTCCCTGGTCGATGACCATGGCTTGAAGGTCGCGGAAGATATCTGCCAGTTCAATGATGCCCTTGGCGATGTCGTTGATTTCCTGTTCCCGCTGGGCGATGGCGGCGTCATTCCTGTGCAGCCGTTTCTGCGCCGTCTGTTGCAAGGCGGACTGGCCCAGCCGTTTATCCACTTCGGACTCCATCAACGCTGGGTCGGAATACGGATTCTGCACCGGGGTCGAGGCTCGGCCGATCGGCGATTCGAAGCCGCCCAGTTGCCGCAGCTTGTTGAGATAGTTGCTCTGCTTCTTCCTGAACGTTGCGCTGACTTCCTGGACCCGCGAGGCCAGAGCGACTTGGATGTTCTTCGCCATGACCTCGTCTCCTTTCTGCAGGTTGCCGGTCCGACTCGCTTCTTTGACCATGGTCTCAATGCGCTTGATGGCCTTTTGGCATTCTTGGAAGCCTCGTGTGATCTCCGTGGTCAGTTGCTCGATCTCGCGCTCCTCCTGCAACTTGACCGAGTCGTCTTCAAAGCCTGGCAGGACGTGCTTCGAATGCAGCTTGTCCAACTTGGCCGCCTTCAGGGTGATATCTTTCAGCAAGTCCCCAACCTCATCTTGCACGTCAATCCATCGCGGAGGGAGCAGGTCCATCTCGATCACGGCATCGCCATCGTCGTATGCGTCTGTTGACATGAGACCGCGAGTCTCCTCCGAGCCGTGGTCGGCGAAGCCATTGCTTGCTGGGAATCGGGGTTTCTTCGCAGGGTGGTGTGAATAGGACTGTCGATAGGATATGTAGCTGAAAAGTGTTAGCGCAGCTCGTGTGGTGTTGGGGGCTTGAGCTATACAGATTCGTGCGGTCTCTCCACATGTTCGAGATGTGGTGAAGTTGACGGGCTTCAGGTGCGACTGTCGCCTGTCGTCTGGAACTCAGCTGCAGTCGTTGTCATGGCGCGTCAAGGCACGGCTAGATCAGAGGTTGTCCAAGATCACTGCTTCAGGATAAGAACATCTGAAGCAACCTGGAATCCTTGCGTCGGAAGAGTGTTCGCACCAGTCGTAGCTGAAGGACATGGACGACGCAGGGCTACAGGCACCCACCACCTTCCAGGAGCAGCCACAGTTGGAAGTGGCCGGGCAGGAAGAACATTGATCCGGGCGAGGGATTCGCCGCGCTCCTTCGAGCCTCCAGCGGCGGGCGGCCTCAGCGGCCAGTCAAGGTTCGAGGCTCCTTTTACAGAGAACAGCGCAATTCAATTACGCCGCTATTTCAGCTGCTGTGAAATACTGACTCTTTTCCGACGCACAAAGTCATCCATAAACAGCTTCGTATACTGCGCGCACTCGAAAATCGTTCCCGGCCACCATCAAACTCAATTCCCGCTCAATACACTTCCATCATGGTACGACTTTGGTCGAGATTGTGGTTACAATCGTGAAACCTCACTCTCCTAGATCACCCACTGACACTTGGCTGGGCACAGGCCGACTCGCTGACCGAAGAGCAAGTTTCCGAGTTCAAGGAAGCCTTCTCTCTGTTCGTATGTTCGCATCGCTCCGGTATTGACGCCATCAGTGCTGACACGCAGGCTCGCAGGACAAAGACGGTGATGGTATGTCCTCCTATGCACAGTCTCTCCGCGCCGAGGCAATTACTCGTCATCTCTAGAACGGCCGCTGACACGCACTTCTAGGGCAAATCACAACCAAGGAGCTGGGCACTGTCATGAGGTCGCTGGGCCAGAATCCCTCGGAATCTGAACTGCAAGACATGATCAACGAGGTGGATGCAGACAACAATGGCACCATTGACTTTCCAGGTACGAAAAGAAGGCCCCGCGCGTGTTATGGATGTTGGCTGACGGATCACGCCAGAGTTCCTCACGATGATGGCGCGAAAGATGAAGGATACCGACTCCGAGGAGGAGATTCGAGAGGCGTTCAAGGTGTTTGACCGAGACAACAACGGCTTCATTTCTGCCGCCGAGCTGCGCCATGTCATGACCTCAATCGGCGAAAAGCTCACAGATGACGAGGTGGATGAGATGATCCGGGAAGCCGACCAGGATGGCGATGGTCGCATCGACTACAACGAATTCGTACAATTGATGATGCAGAAATGAAGAATGACGACAACGACGATCCATCGCGGAGAGGGAGGGCTGACGGCAGAGGCTTTGAGAGCTGGATGAGCAATGGGCGGGCGAGACCGGGCAGCAGCCGGAAGTGCTAGCGGGATACAAAGGCATCGTTTTGTTCTGTGCTTCCAAAGAGATCACCTCTGAAGCGATACAGGTTTACTGGGAAAGCGGACCCTACAGCACTAATTGAGCAAGAAGGCATTCCACAGCTGCTCCTCAATGCTACGACTCTAAGTGCACCGAGTTCCTCATTGTGTTCATGCTACGGGTATCATTTGTTTTGTCGTCACCATACCGTTCAAACAAGCAAGGAAGCTGCGTCAAACTCCAGTGTGATAGCGTCAGTGCGCCTTTAGCCAGTTGAGCATCTGCCGGAAGGCTGTTTCTTGAGCTTGCTTGATAGCTGGCGAATCGTAGTCTCCGTACACAGCGAATCCTGTTCGATGTCAGCTTTTACAGGGTCGACAACGAAAACCTCTCTCGCAGGTTGAGACTCACCGTGTGGCACTTCTGGATATATACTGACTTCGTGTTCGACGTTGCTCGCTGCAAAGTATTTTCGGCCGATCTCAAGCACCTCTTCAGGAAACAAAGGGTCGTTCTCTGGAACTCGGTCAGCAGTCGTCCCGTAGCAACTTGTGCGTGCTTCGACTCACCGACACAAACCAGCATCAATGGCGCCTTGACAGCCTTCATGTCCTCCCTCGTCACCAAGGTGGCATGAGCGACGGCCCCTGCCTTTATCAGTGGACCTTTTTGGGCTGACCCTGCTTCTACATCCTTCGCAGCCTGTCCCTGCGGAGCAGTCTCCTGGTGCTCTCCAGCAAGCATGACCACGTACTTGCCTCCAAAGCAATACCCAATAGCATAGATCCCTTCACCGTGGGCCACAGCATCAGCATATTCGTCCTTACATGTCTCAATCACCTTCAACAAAACAGGGAGAACCTTCTCGGGCGTCTGTCTGGCCAGCCACATGTCTACCATGAATGATTTGGCTGTTTCGACCGCACCAAGCTTGATCCTCTCTAGGAGGCCTGGGCCCTGCGGCTCCACCGGAGACGAGAGTGTCGCCTTGTTGGAGGTCGGCGCAGAATCACCCTTGAATTGATCGGGCATGATGACAACAAAGCCCTCTTGAGCGAACATATCTGCTTGGATCTGATTGTTCGTCGAGTGGACACCCGTGCCTGGGGTGAGTAGGAGGAGAAGCTTCGCCGGTGTGTTGGGATAGTCCGCTGGTTTGGAGATGTAGACGTCTATGTCGGACATTTTGGACATTTCTCCTGATGGTTGCCGGTCCGAAGGTGTGGGTCGGTCCGTCACGCAGTGCTCACCCATGCTGGGTCCATCCTGGGCTCTTGAGTCCTGTGCTGAAATGAGCGTGTGTTCAGTGTTTGCTGCGTCCTCCATGGCATCGGACTCGGGGGCTTTGGTTGCTGGTTCGGGGCTGGACATGGCGATAGCTTGATGCCTGGACGTCCGAATGTGACGCTGGAGAAAGTCCTATATTGTCACCCTGGCTGTGGCTTCCCTGCGGTTTAGTGTATTGTATCTCGGTCGCACGTGACACCGATTCTGATTTCTGTCCGAGAGAAGAGATCAACAGACCACCTTTGAAGGACTGCACTTTGGTTAATTCAGACGATCTGAGGGATATACCCCGCTAAACGTGGGTGCTAAGCATCAACAACGAATGAATCGGACGTTTGGGGATTTCACTACGTCGACCGCTTTTGAGCAGGCATCGATCCAAAAGGCACGAGTAGACGTACCAATGTGATCAAGGTTGTCCATGCGAAATAGTATTGAGGACCGTTGGACACAACGTCACTCGTTGGAGCAGTGGCGGTCCGTCGCTCAGGCTGCACAAGGCGGCAGCCTTTTAGTGGGCCACTTTAAACGCGCTCGAACGCGTCGCGAAGTGGCGGGGGTTTTGTAATTCAGTAATTACTTTCGACGTTGCAGTCCTGCCGACAACAACATTGCCCTGCGAATCCTCATTGTCGTCAATCTACACCAAAGCTCGTCCCCTGGCATATCGACACCACCTTTCCAGCCATGAACAATCCCGCTGATGCGCTTCGGCGTATCGATGCTGGTTGCCTTGCCGACATCTTTGCCGACCGTCCTGGAAGAGTCAGCAATCCCGTGGTGCAAGCAGTCCAGATCAAGCCCATCGCTGCTCAAGGTGGTGCTCAAGAACGTCACAGAGTCATCTTCAACGATACCAAAAACTATGTGCAGACAATGCTTGCTGTGCAGGAGAATAACCTCATCGAGGAGAAGATTCTGCGCAAAGGAGTCCTAGTTCAACTGCTGGGCTATTCTGCCAACAAGGTCAAGGCGAAGCGGTATGTACTATTCCAACTCTCATGGGCAACGCTAACGGCGATATACAGTATCCTCATTGTCACCAGAATCAAGGTCCTGGAGGAGTATGGCGAGCACGAGAAACTGGGCAACCCAGTACCATTGGAGTTGAAAGAAGAAGAGGAAGAGAAGCCATTCAACACAGCCATCACGAGCAACGGCTTCTATGGCAAGCAAGAGTCGCCAAAGCAGAGTCGACCTATGCCAACTCACGCTAAGCCGTCGTCATCAGCGCATGCGAACATCTACCCGATTGAAGCGATCTCGCCATACTCAAACAAGTGGACTATCAAGGCACGATGCACGAACAAGTCTGATATCAAGACATGGCACAACCGGAACGGCGAGGGCAAGCTCTTCAGTGTCAATCTGCTCGATGAGAGCGGCGAAATTCGAGCCACCGGCTTCAACGAGCAGTGCGACCAGCTCTACGACGTGTTTCAAGAAGGTGGCGTGTACTACATCTCAAGTCCTTGTCGGGTGACATTCGCCAAAAAGCAGTTCTCAAATCTCCCAAACGACTATGAACTACACTTCGAGAAGGAAACCCTAGTTGAGAAGGCCGAAGAACAAGATGGCGTGCCCCAGGTCCGATACAACTTCACCTCGATTTCAGACCTGCAGTTTGTGGAGAAGGACACCACTATCGACATTATTGGCGTTCTCAAGGACGTTGGCGAGACATCCCAGATCACGTCCAAGACCACCAGCAAGCCCTACGACAAGAGAGAACTGACGTTGGTCGATAACACCGGCTACTCTGTGCGACTGACCATCTGGGGGAAGACTGCCGCCTCATTCGACGTCCCACCTGAATCCATTGTGGCTTTCAAGGGTGTCAAAGTGTCAGACTTCGGCGGACGCAGTCTCAGTCTGCTGAGCTCCGGCTCCGTGAGCGCAAACCCAGACATGCCCGAGGCACACAAATTGAAAGGTTGGTTTGAAGACCAAGGCCGAAGTGGCAACTTTGCGACACACGCAAATGTTCAAGGCACCGTCGGCCCTGGGGCTGGTTCTCGTAGCGATCCGTTCAAGACCATCTCGCAAGTCAAGGACGAACAACTGGGCATGTCTGAAAATGCAGACTTCTTCTCCGTCAAGGCGTCGATACAATACATCAAGCAAGACAACTTCTGCTACCCAGCATGTCGGTCAGAAGGATGTAACAAGAAAGTCTTCGAAAGCGACCCTGGTCAGTGGCGATGCGAGCGATGCGACAAAACTCATGACAAGCCAGAATACCGGTATATCATGTCCGTCAATATCAGCGATCACACCGGCCAATTGTGGGTCAGCTGCTTCGATGAGACGGGCAGGATGATCATCGGCAAGACTGCCGATGAGCTGATGGAGATCAAAGAAGTTGACGAGAAGAAACTAGCCGAGCTATTCTCGGAGGCGAATTGCAAGACGTGGAACTGGAAGTGCAAGGCTAAACTCGACAGTTTCCAAGAACAACAACGGTAAGAATGGTTTTTCATAATGCACCGTCGGGTGAGAGGCTGACATTGCCTTCAGAGTTCGTTATCAAGTGACATCAGCAGCACCTTTGAACTTCGTGGTCGAGTCACAAAAATTGATCGAGCTGATCAAACAATACAACATCGACGACTAGGCAGGTCACGCAAGCGCAACGTATTTGATGGAACTGCTGGAACGAGTGCCGAAGGCCGATTTGATATCTGGATGAGTACAGAATACGAGTACCATGAACGCTGAAACCACAGGCTCGGTTGGTATTGCTGCACCTTGTTGGCTGCCTGGCTGAGCCTTTTGCATCCGCAGGGAGAGTACTGCTGGGAAAGGCTTTGCTTTGCCAGGAACATGTACTCCGTATGTTAGCGGACGGTGTGATTGACGACGAGCAAATCCGCCGGAAATGAGCGCGGAAATGCCTGTCGAGTAGGAGAATTGCGTCATCAGCAATTTTTCTTACTACCGACCGGTCCGGGCACTCAACGGGCAACTCACGGGCAAGGGTCATCATAACCCGAGTGCATAGAAGCTGGGAGTGAAGTCACATGTATTTCGCCTCTCCCTCTTGCATGATTCTCTGTTGGGTTCACAGGCCAGTTCTGACCGGGTAAGCATAGTTTCTGTGCACGTTCTGTCTTGTTTCGCCTGTCCGTCCTTCCGAGACTGTGATATCTGCGCCTTCGAATGAACCACATCGCGGCTGCCCGTGCGAAGACCACATTAGAAATCACGCAGCTCGCACGGCTAAGGACCGGATATTCTCCGTTCGCAGTAGCAGTCCGCCCTCACACAGGCTCGGCACGTTCGTATATCCTCCAAACAAGGCCCAGGACATTCACGGTCTTCTCTTCAAAGACAGCAAGCCCCGCGACCATCGGCAGAAGGTCTCCCCGCTACGAAGGGCTAACAACCACAAGCGTCCGTACCATGGCAACAATGCGCGCAGTCGACATCAGGGGCGGCACAGGCGGCATCTCTTCGCTCTTCATCAACGATCAGATCCCCAAACCCACGCCAAGGGGTTCGCAAGCCCTCGTCAAAATCAAGGCGTTTGGCCTCAACAGAATGGACCTCCTCCAGCGTGAGGGCAAATACCCACTGCCGCCACAAGCCGGGCCCATCATGGGCGTCGAGTTCTCCGGCACCATCGAAGGCTTTGGCGGAGATCCCGAACGCGGCTTCAACATCGGTGATGAGGTGTTCGGACTGGCCTACGGGGGTGCCTATGCCGAGTACATCGCCGTGAGCACGCACATGCTGGTGCACAAGCCGAAGGAGCTGAGCTGGGAGGAGGCCGCGGGCATCCCGGAGACGTGGATCACCGCCACCCAGGCGCTGTACCTGGTCGGCGAGTTCAAGCCCGGGATGAGCGTGCTGTGGCATGCCGGCGCGAGCAGCGTGAGCATTGCCGGGATCCAGCTGAGCAAGGCCGACGGCGCGTCTGCGATATACGTGACTGCGTCGACGAGGGAGAAAATCGAATTCACCAAGTCGCTGGGCGCGACCGAGGGGTTCTCATACAAGGACGGGGATTGGGCGCAGGCCCTGCTCAAGCATACCGACGGCAAGGGCGTGGATTTGATCGTCGACTTCATCGGCGCCGGGTACTTCGACCAGAACCTCGACGCCGCGGCGCGGGACGCCCACATTGTCAACCTGGGCAATCTGGGCGGGAACGTGGTTCAGAAGCCGGTCGATATCTCTCGCTTCTTGCGCAAGAGGCTGCGGTATGAGGGCTCGAGTTTGAGGAGTCGTGATGAGCAGTACCAGGGTAAGCTGCGGGATATGCTTGTCGAGCATGCCTTGCCGAGATTCATCGACGGGCGGTTCAAGGTCATTGTCGAAAAGGTGTTCAAGATGGAGGACATCCAGGAGGCCCACACGCTGATGGAGAGTAACCAGACCATGGGCAAGTTGATCTGCACTGTGGGCTGAGCGGAGGGTACGAGGAGGAATCCTTCCAGTCAGTCAACTGTACATACACAGCAAGTAGTGCATCTATAGCATGTGTGGAAATGTGGAAGAATCGAACAATGATGCTTTATAAGAGTCTTGCATGCCATTACTGCTGTTTGGTTTCTAGGTGAAGTAGTATATGAAAAGTGTCGCCCCCAAGAATCTCATAAGTAACGTGTCGATCAATTCGGGGCACCGATATATGAAGTAATGCCTATTGCTCAAAAGGGTGATTTTCCTAAGCACCAATCGAACTACCTCGTAAGAGGTACGGCGGGTGAGCCGCTGTTTTAGGGGCACGAGGCTAGGCGCCGTACGGAGGACTTGGCTGAGTAAGATGGATTTGCAGGCAACGCGCTGTCTTTTCGCAAGCATGGCTGTCGAGTGTGTCAAGGCAAGATAGGGACCTATGGTCTTTCTGTCGGGAATATATGGTGAAGGAGTGGGGCCGATTCCGGCTCTCGTGTGACCCATTCGTTCTATCCTGAGAAGACCAAGGACCTAGGATTCGTCCGTACACAGGCGAAGGCATTGCGCTTCCTCATTACCTGAGCGGATTGACAGAGTGACTTTCGATAGTCGAGGACCGCCAGGCGGAGAGGCCGTGAGAGGCTGCCGTGGAAACGAAGCTAGGCCGAAAGTGGTTTGAGACAACAATGACATCAGGTGGAGGGCCACCAAAGCCGCAGCCTCGCCAGCCTTGTCAGCCCAACCTCTTCACTTTCCACCTGCCACCACGAATTTACCACTAAACAGGAAGCCACTGCACAAGTCACTCTCCTGCCAAACGTGAGTCCTCAATCCAACTTGCTGCTCCGCTGTTCTGACACTTTCCGACTTTCAACGAGCACTTGAGTCCTAGACATCCCTCACCTCAAGATTCGATATAGTTGAACTACACAACCCCTCCACGCACTGAGCACCGTACGATCGCAGGAGCACTGTGCTCCGCTCTGCCACTATGGCTCCAGTACTCCCTCACATTGACATTCCCGACCTCAAATTTTCCTCACTCGAACTCGATGCACGCTCAACAAAGGCAGAAGAATCACCCGTCACTTCTTTCCTCAAACGAGATGTCTTTTCTGCTGGCATCGACAATCCCTTCCTACCCCGGAGTGATGACTCGTCACCAATCCTCTCTCCGATCGACACATACCATGTTCTCGCCGCAAGAGATGCAAAGCCCACGGCGGATCCCAATCCAGGCGCAGGATCCGTCGACCCCAACGACATCAACATGAAAGGCATCCAAGCTCTGTTTGCCATCATCGGAGCTGCCTTCGCACTGGGTGCGATCTGGTTCTTCTTCTGGGCCAAAAATGGTGGCTTCCAGTGGCGAAAGGGTGACTGGGACGAATACAAATCTACGGTTCTGAGACGAAAGGGCCCCAACGGTACCACATTGAGCAATGCAACTAAGAGCACCATACTCGGAGGCGGCAGTGTCGTTGGAGACGGCTACTCGGACAAGGACACCGCTAGCAGGACAGATGGGACCATGTCAGAGGGAATGACCGAGACTGGGACCGTCATGTCCTCCGAAGCACCTATCATCAAAGAGAAGCAATCCAGGAAGAAGAAGAAAGAGACTGCCAAAGAGAAGAAAATTCGTGAGCAGAATGCTGCAGCTTGGGAAGGCGGCCATGACGATGACGTTCGTGCCTATCGCCACGAAAAAGCTGCACGTGTGGGAGGTCTCAACAAGGATTCAGACGCTCAATTCTATGGAACAGATTACAGCGAGACCGACCGGACTGGCAGCGACGTGTACAGCAACAGCAGCAGCAACCCTGTACCCACTTCGCGTCAACCCAGCCCCGACAAGCGCACATCTCGCCGAGACTTTTCCTACAGCCAGGAAGAGAGTTTCAACGTTTCGCATCCTCCGCCTCCACCGGTTCATGCTCCTTCCCAGGGGCCTCGTCCAGCCAGACACCAGTCACCAGAGAAGAACCGAACCGCCCAGCGTCCTATCCGCCACGTGCCTGGGTCTATTCATGTTCCTGGATCGTACGCCGAGCCTCTAGATTTCGATGTCCAAAGCGTTCAAAGCCAGAACACCAAGAGCTATCACCATCCTCTTCCCAGCCTGAGTGGTCAGCCACAGCCGAAGGCCAATGGATACAGACGAGACAGACGAGACACTCTGGATGACTGAGAGGTCTGCCGGAAAAACCGTAACACATCCGTGGTATAGATTTTTTGTCATGGATCAAGGAATGACTGTGGGTTGAGCATACGAAGCGACGACCACACTCGAATTGTACTTAGACCGTACGGTGTATGTAAAGGGATGCTCAAAAGGCATGGCAAGGCACGGCACGGCGCAGTATCGGAGCTCAACTACGGGGATATGGGCATGGGCATGAAGGGAACGAAACGGAAAGGCAGGGCTAGGCACTGAACGACGGGACATGACTGGTACAACATAGGTCAATATCGAAATGATACCACCATGCACGCGGATATCCCATACTCCATAGACTAAGATCGAACATACCGGGTTCACGGTATTCAACCACATAAGTAAATCATTCAACGACCGCCCCACTGTGTGCAATGTTATAAGTTCCGCGGTCGCTGCATTGCCGGTCTTTGCTTCATTTCCCAGTTGGCGACCGTGGCTTCATCCTGGATATGAACATGCATACGGAGTACTCCGTAAAGAAAAACGGATATGAAGATGAAACCAGGCAGAATTTCAATTGCACTGCCCCTTCTTTGCTCACTCAACCAGTCCACAATCGTGGCTTCATCCCGATGTGGAACATGGATAGCACTATAATAAATATCACGAGTATGAATACCTCGTACTCCACACGAAGATTTAATAAGGCGCAAAACGTCCGTTGCATTCTCCCTTCTTTGCTCGTTAATCGGTCCACAACCGTGGCTTCGGCCTTGATGTGAACGTTATTTAACAGGATTACGAATAATAAAGATGGATACGCCGTACCCGCGCGAATGCATGTCCAAAAAAGCACAGGGCCAGCAGAATACATGATCCAAAGGGGACGGAAAGAGAGTCAGAGAATGAATGGGTGGGATCATATGCGGCGGGAGAATACAGCCGGAGTAGAGCAGCGCAGAAGAGGGCAAACAGAAGACATGATACGGAAGACAGAAGGGAAGAAGGGAAGACTGAGTGGGTTATGCGCGAAGCAAGAGATACAGTGTAAAGCCAGGGTAACGCAGGGCAGGGCAGGGCAGGGCAGGGCAGGGCAAGGCCAGGGTCGCGTGTCGAACGGGTCAATGTCAGGAAGGCGGAACGTCGAAACTCGGCTCTCGTAATATAGGTAACCATAGCATTCCTCGTGTACGTACTTGCTTGCTTGCTTGCGTGTGCATGATGTGGTATCCTGTCCAGTCCTATCCCATCCTACCCTATCGTACCCAACCAATTCAAGCAAGCAGTACTGGAAATGGAAACAACGCCGCCGTCGTACAAAAGATCGCAATAGAGCACCGAAGAAGGAAAGCAGCTTCGCTGCTAGCTAGGTCAGTCCACATGGTAGTGGTAGTTCCTTTCGGCACCATTCCCGCAGGTTGCGAGAGTGGCGCCTTGTCTGCGATATCACCACCGGAACTGCTAAGGGATCGTTGTCGCCTAAGCTTGAGTGGAAAATCAAGTCGAGTGTCGAATCCTAGCACAATCGCACATCGCGTCCTCTGGCTACCAGCTCGCTTTGACAGTCGCGCTTCTTCGCCTAAGCCTCCACGGTCTTGACTTTCGCGGTCCTGCTATTCTTGCCGTCCGTGCCGCGCATCTTCTTGGTGCCCGCCGCTTTTTTGGCCGGCTTGCCTTCGATTGTCCCCTCGATCTTTTCGACCGCGCCCTCGACCTTGTCTTTGACGCTGGGCTTCCTTTTGTGGGTTGTGTTTGCGGCGCGCTTCTTGGTCACGCCTGCACCTGTGGCGCTCTTGGTGGTCTTCGCCTTTGTGCCTGCGGTCGTGCTGGTGGCGGGAGTCTTGCGCTTGCGCGTTGGCTCGGTGGAGACGGTCGCGAAGACTCGTGGCTTGGAGTTGCCGGTTGCGCCGCGTGTTTGGGCCATTTGGGGGCTTGGGTGTCTCTGTTTTTGGTGGTTTGGCTTGGTGGCGATGGTACTGTGTAGGTCGTCAGGTTTGGGCGAGAGTTGAAGAGCTACTTATGTAGTAATGTCAGTTTGTGGGCTAGGTGATGTGCAGCAGATGTGTGAGAAAGCGGGGGTGAGCCCGGGAAACGGTGAGGCAGCCAGTGAGGAATGTGGTGATAACTAGCGGGAGCACTGTCGCACTTATATATGCTTGGGGGAAACGGAAGATAACTCCTTCGCGACACCAGATGAGTCACGCGAAAGACCTAAATGCAGTGGTGGAGGGTGAGAGTTAGGCAACAAGCTCGAAGGTGTAGTCGAGGCATCGGCGATAAACCAAGGAACATATGTACATACCTGGAGATGGAGAAGTCGCGACGAGCTCAAATTTACACGTCGAGTCAATAACGACAAGGCGACCGGTTTCCGCCCAATTTCGAAGAAAAGTAAGGCGTGGTGATGGCGTGGTGGAGGAAGAGGTCGAAGGAGGTGAGGTGGGTGGGAGTTCGCCTTTTGAGCTGTCGAATTGCGAAACCAATCCAACGCAGCAGGACAATCGGCTGATCACAACATCACAACACACTCGCCCTGCTCCCAACACACCATCAGACATTGATCCTTCTCATCAGCCACAGCCAAGTATCTCCTTTTCTGCCGTCCGCTGTTTCGTAATTCGTCGGTGGTTTGTGTCTCGTCCGTCTATGCTGCTTGTGCTTGATTTGGTCGGTGCAGCTCATCTCCCGCCCGGTCGCCTAAGCGCCACTGTCGCTCGGCGCTTGGGGAGCCAGATAACTCGCGTCTCTTGAACCCTCTCGACGCGGCAGCCAGTGGACGACATGCTTTGGAGTTTTGACGCGACAGCCCGATATTTCTAACCTTCAATCGTACCAATCTTTGAGCGCCAGCGATCGATCGTCCACGGCTGGACCACCTGCAAGACACAGCGCATTACGCACCTCCCATTCCAACTCGGCAAGGGCTCGCAGCTCCGTTCCAACAAAGAAGCCCCCAATTAGACCGTGCAGCGTCCCAGCCATGATACCAAAGGTGCTCAGTAAGACAAGTATAAAGGCCACATAATTCCTGGGTGACCACCACACCGCCACGAAGCATCCGATCGAGGTCAATGACGCGCCGACAAAGTGCAGGACACCGTACCGCCGTTGTCGGCGTTCTCGCAGTTTGTACTTTTCAACCATGCGAAGAATGTCCTTGTAGAAGTCCTGGCTGACTCGCCCCTGCGTTGGAACGGCAGAGATGGCCCTATCAAAGTCCTTGTCGTCGAAACCCGCTACCTCTAGGCTGGGGTCTTGGGTGTCTGAGTCGTTCAAAGCCGCATGAGCTTCGACCTTGGCAATCATCGACGGTTTCGTGTTACTTCTCTCAACGGTCGCCTGCACTGCAAAGTGGTCGCTGAGTGAGCATAGTAGGGTCGGATGCCTTTCGGTAAGCGCAACTTTCACATCAGCGACTTTCCACCCATGGCCTAGCCCACTGAAAAAGATATAATCCAGACGCTTGGCCTTAGGATCCAAGTCGGATGCTAACACTTTGCGATCATGACCCTGTGCCAATTGTTTCTGATGGGCCTTGTCCCACCGCCATGTGTTCAAGACTGAATCGCATGTGTGGCCATGTTCTTGAAGGCTAGTTTCCACGGTCGGAGTCTCTTCTTCATTCATGCGCTTCCGCCGCTCCTGCTCAGGTGGGTCGATACTGGCACCAATACTGCTTGCAGGTTTCATCGCTCGCCAGACATCTTGCACGCCCGCTCTGCTCTCCACAAGGACATGCGCGAAGCTCAATGGGACCATGTTGAAGTCTCCAAGACCAATGACCAAGCTACCTCGATCCGACGCGGCGCGCATGAGCTTAGCTATTTCCCAGGCCTGCGCCGTACGGTGGCAGATGTAGCTGTCGTTCGGCTCTCTCTCGTAAGGGGCATGCAAATGAGTATTAAACACTTCAATGTTGACACCGCCGGGCAATCCAATCGTTGCACATGCCACACCCTTGCCAACAAACCAGTCACCTCGAAAGAAAGCCTGGGGTCGACCATTCAGAGGATACTTGTGCATGGAGGATTCTTTGATTGGCCAGCGACTGAGGATAGCCAGCCCGCCGCCGAAGATACCTGAATGATAGAACTTTGCATATGGAAGTATAGACCGGGTGCTGTCTCGGATCGACAGATAGTCGTGATACGTCCAGCATTCTTGCAGACCGACAATATCGAGTTGAGGAGTATAGGTCGCCAGGCGATTGCCTATTTCGGATAGCCGCTCTTTCCTGTATTTCGAGATGTACTTCAGTCCCCAGCAATTCAAGGTCAATATGTTGATTTTTGAAACGCCGGACGCCCTCTCAGATCCCTGTGTCTGCAAAGCCATATTGAAAGTCGATCCTGGTGATGTGCGGGATCTTAGACGGTCTTGTAAGTCCTGCTCAATTGGTAACGCCAAGGCGTGAGTGAAGCTAACGAACGCTGCAGGGTTGGTGGCATCTTTGGAAATGAGCGAAGTCAAAGTTAACATATGATGGACGATGATGCAAAAGATCCTGCACCCTCACGGAGAGGAATATTACCAGCGGAGGCACCGAGAAAGCTGGGTGTGCTGCACGTCTCACACCTGCAGAAAGAAGATGAAGGAATGAAAGAAAAGTGTCACAATATCACAGGAAAAGAGAGCCGGTCTCACGTGATATGATGACATAATACCCCGGAGGGAAATCACGCTAACCTCGGATGGCACTAGACTACAGTAGATACTGGTCAAGCCCAGGGAAGATGTGGCGTGCGGACTCGCCAGGGGCGACAGGAACGAAGTGAGATCTTTCGTGGGTAGTCAGTAGATAACATCATCCTCTTGTCCCCGTTCAAGCTCCTCGCCGCCGTGGTCATGCTCGTCACTTTTATTGCTGCTCGTTGGCCTTCCCGCTTCAGCCTGCTTTGCAGGCTCCTGATCGTCGTTGGATGATCGAAGAGTTTCCTCGGGCACAGGCCGGTCAACGTTCATCTTATCGTCGATACTGTGGTCGTGACTCTGGGTTTCGACGTCCGGGCCTCCCGTCTTCTCGTGCGGCTTTTCGTCTCCAGATTGGCGGCCCTCGTCAACATCCATTGCACCACCGCGACTCGTCGTCGGACTCGGCGGTAGCTCTTTCCTATCCTTTTCTCCATTCGATCCATCTGCAATATCGTCCTGTTGTCGTTTTCGCTTCTTTTCTTCGAAAACTTCGACTTCGCGCTCGATTTTCGCTTCCACATCTACCATCTGCTGCTTGATTCGTTCGATTTCCATGTCGCGTAATTCCCAGGGTTTGTAGTACAACTTTGGTTCAGCCTTCGTCTGCAGGAACCCAGCCATGGCGCGCATGTTCCTATGCCGCATTCGCATGGCTTCTTCGTCCCACTGGAGCTGTTCTTTTCGCCGTGCGCGGTTCAATTCCTCCCGTTTTTGGCGCGCGGATTCGGCGATCTCATGCGATTCACGCTTTAGCCGTTCCCTTTGTCGGAACTCAATCTCTTCGCGGCGCGAACTGACTACGCCCGTCGACGTGTTTGACTTCGGAGCGCCGCTCGCGGAGGATCTGCGCACAGGTTGGGAGGACTGAGAGAGGGTGCCTAGTAATGCGCCAAACAGGCGCCGGTTGCGCGACTTGTCTTGCTCGAGGCCAGAGGTCTGCCGGCGGCGTGGTGCAGGGGGTGACATTGCACTTGGGGGCCTTGGCGCACTCCTGTCTGTGGTTGGGGAGGATGCGGCGGCAGGGAATACTTCGCCATCGTTCGATGCGTTGGATTTCTGCGTGTCGAGTCGAGGGCGCTTGTTTGAATCTGAGCTCTGAGAGGCGGACGACTGACGTCGTTTCAGCGAGCCGTTCTGCTGTTCTTGTTCCGGCCGTGGTTCCTCGGGGATGAGGACGGCTGAAGATATCATTGTTGATTCTGACATTGGGGCCCTTCCACAGCAGATCAAGAGAGTGAGTAGATGATGGCCGAGGTCAGGACAACACCCAGTCGCCAGCAGGGTCAATGCCAGTGGCTAGGCTGAGCACATGGCTTTGGGGAGATCATGAGCAAACATCGAATCACAAGAGCAGGAAACCCTCGGCGATCTTGTGCACGTGCTAGTCTTGGCCTTTGCGGGGGGGTTGAGACTGATTGGTGGGCTGAATTCTGTCCCCCTTGGAAGACGAGGCTTAGAAATCTCCACGCGAGGCTGGCCACCTCGACACTTCGATCTTGTTCTGCGCCGTCTCCTTGACCGTATTTGAACACTTGCTCCTTCTCTTCCCGACGTCGCTTCTGTGCCATAAATACCGCCAGATCGCAGCGGCCAGAAATAGAGTTCGATATCTCCGCCTCTGTATACCCACCCACTTCCGTCAAGACTTTACGATGTCCCGCCACCACCCCGACTTGGTAATGTGCCGCAAAGCACCCGGTATCTCTCTGGGCCGGCTCTGCGACAAATGCGACGGCAAATGTCCCGTCTGCGACTCCTACGTGCGACCCACCACTCTCGTTCGCATCTGCGACGAATGCTCCTTCGGCAACTACCAAAATAAATGTATCGTCTGCGGCGGCGAAGGCATATCAGATGCGTTCTACTGCTTCGAGTGTACGAGACTGGAGAAGGATAGGGACGGGTGTCCGAAGATTATCAACTTGGGCAGTTCCAGGACGGACTTGTTCTACCAGAAAAAGAATTTCAGGAATCAGCAATATTAATAAGAAATCAGAGTCTGTGTTCCCTCTTAGGGAAAAGTCACACAGAGTACCTACGGCTGTCCGTGGACCTTTTCACGATAAACTTCTCGGCTTCCATTCACCTTTAAAACGGGATTCAGCGGGTTATCAATGCGAGGGACTTCGGGTCTACAGCCGCACGAGCCAATAGGCAACCGCATTTCCAAGTTTCAGCCCAAAGAGGCAGAAGGAGGGATAGCAGGCGGAGTAAGAGAAGTGGTCACTATTACACCGCAAATACGGCTTACACCATGAACCGAAGCTGAATTTGACGAGTACCAGGCGGCGAGTCCTGCACCCAAACACGGCCTTGGAGATATCCGGCTATCAGCACGGAACCGCGTCAACCTCTCAGTTGCAGAGAGAATTGAGACTTTGGGACTTCTTCTCCACCAATGAATTAGGCCGATCTCAGCGAGTCATTCGCTGGAGAAGGAATGTCCGTCACAACATGGTAGTGGTGGCTGGCTAAGACGAACAGGGACGTTTCAACACTGATACAGGAGCCTCCACCAGGACAAGGCCAAATGCCAAGAAGCAACGAGGAAAGGAGGTCAGGGCACACTCATAAGTGAGCATGATCCGCTCGGTCATTGCTCTCATGGCGGTTGGATGAGCGTAGTAACTTTGATATACCGCTCAAATCAGCATTTGCCCTCTACATTCTTTCGTGTCTACACCGTCGTTGCTGCGTAATGCTCATAATCATGCAGCATAATGCTCGTACAGCAGAAGCCTCGGCCGTCGCTAGTGTCTTTTTCGTGCTCTCCGTGTGTCCTGAAGCCTCAATCCATGCACGTGTTCGCTCTGCTCACCTCTTCCCTGGCCTCTTCGGCCGGGCAAACCCACTCCTCGGCGTCGCGGTTCCTGACCCGGGCGCCGGTGATTCTTCGTTATCACCCCCAACAATACCTCCCGCAACACCCGCCGCGGCCGTCAGGGCCTTCACCTCCTCCTCTAACCTACCGCCGCCCAACTCCTCCGGATCACCGGCCTCTAGCCTCTTCACAATCTCCACTCCTTCCCAGCCTGCAAGCTTGGTCATGCCCAGCCGCGAACTCGCGTGGATCATTCTCTCCTTGATCTTTGACGACCCGGGGCAGACGTAGATGAAGATACTCCCCGGCACGCCGGGGGCGTTGTAGAGTGTATAACTCGGCTTGTCGGTGGGGATGTTGCTTGCCACGGAGGCGGGCTGCATGCCCGTTTTCGAGGAGACAAGTCGGATTTCTTCCGTCGGTATATCGATTGAGAAGATAGCAACCTTGCCCTCACTCGCCGCGACGTCCTTGAAGACGGATAGAGCGGATTTAGCCTCGTCGCTGATCTTCAAAGCATTCCTGCCCTTTCCTTCTCCCTTTTTTCCGGTCATGAAGTCGGCGCCCGAGCCACCTTCGCCCATCAGATCCCTGCCGCGAGTGCCGTGGCGTTCTTCTTCTTCTGCGCGTTTGACGGCTTGAAGCTCCCTCTCCTCGACGCTCAATAAGCCCTCGTCTATGGCGGCTCGCGCGGCTCCTGCAGTCGGAACACCGCCACTCGCAGCAGCGCTCCCCTTCGCCCGCTCCTCCCATTGCGCTGGATCGAGGATCTCTTCCCTTTCTGTGAGGAAGACTGTTTCTGAGAATTTCTCACTCCCCAGTTCTCTCATCAGCGTGTTTCTCGTGCTTGCAAAGAGAGTTTTTTGCCGCACCGGCGCTCGCGAGGGGATGTATGTGATTGCGACGAGTTCATTGGAAGAGGGCGCGCGGCGGAGGAGAAGAAACAGAGGCTCTGTGGGTGTCAGAAGGGAAGAAAGAGTGTGGATGCTGTTGAACAGGCCAGAGTGAGAGGACGGGAACGGTGTGGAAGGCAGAGGTTGTAGAGATTCAGAGACTATCGTTATAGGGAGCGCGAAGAGACTGGCGTCCGAGGTAAAGGTCTGAAAGGCGGATTGCAGTTCTGAGGAGGCTGTTATGCCAGACTGCATCGTGAGAGACGGCTGTTGGAAGGAGTTTGCGTGGATGGTATGTGCGGATACCCTGAGGTACGACTAAAGCGAATTCCTTTGACCTCACTGCTGCATGTCAGGGAACAGCAATAGCAATATCGAAATTCTCTTTGCTGCGTAGAGCACTACTGTGTACGAGTATCCTGCGTGGCTGCACAGTATCTTGCCGTCTGGTGCTGCGTATGGCGGGGTCTCCGCTGTGGAGTCAGTAAGCCTTGAGTTGCAAGGATGTCGGCCATTCACTTCGCCATCCTCAATACACAAATCCATCTCGGCTCGCCATGAGTCCATGAATGCCGACTCGAGACTGCGGAAACGCGTCCCCCGATGTCCCTGCCTCGCCTCTGACTGTACTGTAGTACGGGGCCGACGCTCGCAGATCCACGATGAGATCCCTCATCTTTTTCACAGGCTCACCGCTCTCGTTTCCAATAGACCGCGCTGACATCCGGTTCCAGCGGCACAAAGGTACAAGCCTTCGCCTTACGTATGCTCGGCCTATTACCGTCCGCTGTGCCATAACCTGGCAGAGAGCGGCATACATGACTGTCAGCGTTGGTGAAGACTGCCTGCAGTATATGTTCCGCCAGTGTGTCGCACTGCGTCCTCTTTCTTACATCCTGTGAACAACCTCTACAGCCCTTTCGTGTCCTCAGAGCAGGGAGATGGCTCCTGGAAACAGCGCAGCACTCGATGTGCAGCATGCCTCTTCTCAGCGTGGCCGCAAGAGAAGTCGATATACGCCCCATGCCTGCCAGCGATGCCAGAAAGCCAAGGTTCGCTGTGATGGACGCCTCCCCTGCTCCTACTGCGCTGCTCGTGCAGGAGAGTGCCATTACAGTGTTCAGGCCCCACCCAGCTTCCAGGCTCACGTGTCACAGTCACAGTAGGATCACGTCTAATTTCAGGTGAGCAATCGCTGAGGTTGATAGGGACGAGCAGAACGGCTTCCAGGCAGAAATCGCGACGCTGCTACGAGAACAAAACGAGAAGCTGGATCTTCTGGTCAAGAGAACAGCAACCGTTGAGGCAGCATACGAAGTCCCCGGGAAGAGCGATGCAAGCACGGCTGTCGCTGTTCCGCCACCCCGGAAGCAGCCATTGCCACTTTTTCAGACCTCCACCAGCGCCTTCTACTGCGTCAACGTGGTGAAGGTGGGGCTTCAAAGCCTTGGTCCCGAAACCTCGCTGGAGCACAAGCTTCCCGCTGCTGATGCTTCGGCGAAGACGCGACCCGCATTATCAATCATCCATGGAGAGGTGGTCAATGGCGAGTCGAATGACATAAGCCCGAATGAGCTTGATGAATCCGGAGATGCAGCATTGTGTAGCAGCACAGATGGTCGATATGCGCATTCGCACGCGAAGGTCGTCGATGCCCTCGACGAGCTCGATCATGACCTCCTTCTAAAAGCGGTCCGAGCATTTGCTGATTTGGAATCTCCAATGTACCCTATCTTGGACATGGCAGATATTGCACGAAAGGTGAAGAAGTGCGCCAGCGCGGGTGCAGCCTCTTGCGAGCGTTCTGCCCGAAGAATGCACCTGTCTGACGAGCGTGAGATCAGTAAGGATGATCTGGCCATACTCAAAATGGTGGTGGCCTTGGGTCTCCTTGCAGAAGGGGAAATCCACCAAAAGCTCGCTGCGACGTTGTTCGACTCTGTCCGTTCACAAGTGGAGGCGATGATCTGGAATGCCGCTGTTGACTTGAAGGATCTAATCTTGATGACACTCGTGGTATGGCCCAATTTTGGATGCTGAGATCTAAGATGGAATGGCTAACCATTGACATTGCAGATTTTGTTTCACTTCCACTGTGGGAAATGGCGGCTGGCTTGGAGATTCCAGGGCAATGTAAGCCGAATCATCCTAGAACTGGGCTTGAACAGAAAAGCGGTCCTTGATCGTTCGTTCCCCGAGATCAACAGCCGAGTGCAGGCGATCAACACGATCTGGACCATTTTTGTCCTTGAACAGCATCTTAGTTATGCTTTGGGCTTTTCCGACGCGATGCCCAATCTGCGTTTGGAGGCGAATTTTCCCCAGCCCGTAAGTTTGGGTCTCTCGATGGCAACATCTTTGCCGGGCGAAGCCGCTGTCAGCTCGTCGCTAACTTCTTGTCGAAGGTCGATGCTCCATTTTTGACACTAATGATTGACTACGCGTGCATTGGACGACAGTCATGCGATGCCTTGCTGAGCGACAAGGTCCTCAGCCCTGAACAATCGGCAACGTGGCAGGACGACTACGACTACTTTCGCTACCGAGTATCGCTTTGGGCCATGCGTGCTTCTGAAAGTTTCACAGACGACAGCTTGAGCCCGGGAATCCAGATGGTGCGCACAATCCTTCACTTGCGGGCAAATCACCTGAGAATACTGGTCGCTCGGGCTTTTTTGTGCTCGAGCCTGAGACAAGCCGCCCCGTTGAATATCTGGACGATAGTAGACATCACAGCCGATACGATCCAAGTTCTGACGCGCCTAGACCCCTGCGAAAAGGAGTACCGATTTCACGAAGCGCAATTCAACCATTTCTTGGTGTCGGCCTTGGATATTCTGCTCTTCGCAACCACCCACAAAACGTCAGGCGTGCAGTCACCGTCAGCCAACGGAGAGGCGCTCTCGATCCCACCTGAAACAGCCCAAACGGCTCTAAAGGGCTCCAAACTTGCCTTGAACCGCCTCCGTGGCCTGGCTGAGTATTCAACGCAAACGAAGCACCTATGGGATCGTGTACGGGTGATTGCTACGCGTCTCAATCTATCCGAACACCTCTTCCCAGAGGCATTGAAGGAACAGATTGCAATCCCTGCACAAGCTCCCAGGAGGCCGTCTGCGCTTGCTGACGCATCTGTTCGAGCTGCGCTGACCGTGGATCATTCAGACACACCAGCTCTTGCCCCTCTGAACGATCTTGACGACGAATTCTTCGCGTTTCCCTCCGGGGAGACGACCCCTTGGGGTTTCCAGATGCCATCCTCTTCAGTCCTTGACTTCGATTGGACCCAAGACTTCTCCACGATACTCAACACCACGTGGATGTCATAATCGGAGGCACAAGACACCCGTGACGGTCAAGGGAAACAGCTGGATTTTTCCTGGACCCGCGAATCCCATCGAGCTATCAAGGCCTTGAGATGGGAAGGATCTGACTGTCACTAGCTGCTTTGCTCGCTTTCTCACGACTATCAATCTCCGCCATAAGTTGAGTCCCGAGTGGCTATGGCGAAATTGATGCTCGAGCAGATATCACAAAAGGACTGGAAGCGGTGATTGCCTACTCCTTCAAAGCTCAAGCCACAAAACTAGGAATCCTTGAGCGGACCACTTCTATTGGAACTTTCGAGTTCGTCTATCCATTTGACGTTCTCTAACCGTCTACGTCGTAACGGAGTCTAGAAGAGATCGTGCTATCTCGCTCAGTGTGAGGCCACAATCAGCGTGTCCACAAAGTGCCAATACTTCTTCGCACACATCTTCCGGAACCTCTTGCCCCAAACGGTCATGATCAAAAAGCTGCAGGTGCAGCCAATGAACAGGAAGGCGGTCCCGATAAAGGTGTTTTGGACACCGCTGGCATTGATCCAAGGAGTGATGCCGTACGCCATGCCATAGCCCATGGTGTTGCGGATGACGATAACCAGGATGAGGGTCTCTCCCGCAATTTCCTTGAAGCAGTCGACATTGTAAGCCAGAGATGTCGTCGCGCCTACCACGATGCCGAACTGGAACATGGCCAAGCCAAACATGAGCCCCATCCAGTGGACACGGTGAGCAGCACCCACACCCCAGAGGATGAGCCCAGCCGCCGCAATAATGCCGGATGGCACCAGGACCCAGAGTCTCTGCTCGGGTTCACGAACACCATTATTGCGTCTGGCGAGGTAGAGGGTCACCTTGTCTGCAATCCAGCCGGCATAGACCCAGCCGAGCAACGAACCGATGAGGCCTATAGTTCGTCAGCATTGCGTCCATACAATGAGCAGGCTGAGATGCTGTCCACTTACCGGCTGTATAGGACAACCCCACCATACTGGATGAGAAGTGGTACGGTGCGCCTCCTAGGATGAATGCAACCGTCCCGTTGCCGACTTGATACAAGCAGAGCGAGGCGCCATACAGGAATCCCGCCCAGTCGACATTAGGGAAGAAGAAGAAGATCATCAGCGGTCGAACCATCATGATGAACATCTGCTTGTTGGATGGCCGCTGGGGAAGCAATCGGAAGAGTGTAAGTTTCTGCCAGTAGGTCTTTGGTGGGGAGCGGACAATGTCGCTGGCGGCGGGTGAAGATGACTCGCTCATCACAGGTTCTCCAGCGACTTTGGATTCGTTCTTTTCCCCTACAGCTTCAGTCTGCGTCGTCTCCACCGCGCCGTTGACTCCCTCGATCGCCGAGCGGAAGTAGATGGTTTCTTCCATGCCGAAAAAGATCACGAGCGTGCCCACGGCGGCCACGATAGTGCCGAACCAAATGGCAGCCCTCCAGCCGAGCGAGTTTGCGATGAACCCAGCCAGCAAAGGTGCCAGGGCGTTGGAGCCGAAGAGAAACAAACAATAAAGACCCATGTAGTTTCCTCTTTCGTGAGCGAAGAACAGGTCCGGCACCGACACCTCAGGCAGGGACTCGACGGGCGCGACGAAGAAGCCGATCAGGATGCGATGAGCATACCAAGCGCCTGTTGAAGTTGTGTAGGCCGTCCACACCATAGGAGGGATGCACAGCAGCGAAGAGATGACGTAGACTCCGCGACGGCCGTACGTGAGTGCGATCTGGCGTGTTCATTATCGTTAGCTTTTGCCCGATGATTGGAGGTTCGTCGTCCAGGGGACTTACAGGCTGCCAGAACAAGCAGCCCCAGCTACAGGAGAATCAGCAGTCAGCACCACGCAAGCACAAGCACAACTCCATTCGTTCATCACTCATGCATCCATGCGTTCAAGCAATCATCAACCCAGCCAGGTAGGACGGCAGTGGCCAAAACTCACCCGGCGAACAAGAACATCAACCCCGTCCCCGTGTTCAGATCGGCCAACGAAATGCCCGTCTCCTCGGAGATGTTGGTCAAGATGGAATACTGCACCGTCGTGGGGATGCCGACACCCAGAATGTAGGCGTACACCATGCCGATGTTCCAAAGTTTGCGCTTGCGGGACCAGTTCAGGGGGTCCTCCGGGTCGGCGCTGGGCTGGGGGTGCAGCACGATGTGGCCTTTGCTGTCGTGTTCGCTGGCCTCGAGTTCGACCAGGTGGATCGTGCCGGGGACGTGGTCCCGGAGGGACTGCTCGTGGGTGGTCATAGTCAGGACGGCAGGTACACGACTGGAGTGAGTGATTGCACAAATTGAGCGACAAGCCAACTTGACTCTTGCTTTGCCCTCCCTGTGCTGTCACGTCCTGGTGCGCGAGATCCACGCTGCTTAAGTACCCTGGACAGCTCTCTTGCTGGATTGGGACTCCATCGCACGACAAGCCACTACACCTGAGAGGCGCAAACATACATACCTGCATGCTGATAGACGAGTGATGGAAAGCCTGGCCATAGATAGGCTACCGCAGCGTTATCAAGCGACGATAAGACAAGGCTGGCCGCCTACCAGTAGGCACACGCCAGCTTCCAGGGGGACGAGACATACAACTTCTGGTCCGGAGTACGTACCTACATTTACTTGACCAGTAGTAATGGGGCTGTCGAGTACAGAGGAGTCGAAGCTCTCTTGCCTTTTTGAGTCGAACGTGAAGACCGAACACTAAATGGCGGGCCATTGCCGTACGATCGACATTCCCTTGCCTATGTCTAGACGCGCGTGAATGGTGCGTGTGTGTGCGGCACTGGATGCTTATCCTGATCCTTATGCGCGTGAGTGGCCCTTCAGGATCGGCGTACTGTCACGAGGTTGACCACGCGGTATGTACTTACGCTAAATGCCGAGTCTGGCCAAACGGACAGGCAGGGAACAGGGAAAGGAAGAATTACTGTATTGACGATCCAACCGCTGGACAAGCTCGATCTTGGTCGAGCCGCCATAGGGACAGGTTTCGAGCAAGCACCCCAAGGTAAAATTCATTGCTGGAGTGCTGGTCGTCCCGCGATCGTACTCGCTGCTTTCGTGGTGTCGAGAACCGGTCACCTCAAGACGGAGGGCGTAGCAGGTGGCAGGGGCAGATGGCAGGTGGATACCAACTCAACTCAGTTACCTGTTCGGGACCATTGATCTTGATCCTGTTCCTATTCCTGTTCCTGTTCCTTGCACATCACGTCGCATCGCAGTGGTACTGGCACCGTAGGGAGTGTTATTTCCTCACTTATCTTGCCTACCTGTTCGGGACATCAGCATGCTTCGAAGACTGGGCAGTCTGGGCAGTCCGTTATCTAAGTTGCGCCTCTGGGCTGGGCACGTAAGATACGGGGGCCATACTGTGTAGCTTGACTTTGCGCCGAAGGGCCCCATGATCCTCAAGGGGTGGGGGTTTCATGGCATGGATATCACCGCCGCGGTCAATTAGATTGGACTGGATTGGATTGGACAGGATCGCACCGCACACCACAGGGCGCGCACATGGCCTGGAGTCTCCGGTATCTGTCTGTGCTAACCGGCCGATATCGTGGCGTTTGCATGGGACTCCAATGGCTTGGAATAGGATGCCATCAATGCAGTGGGATACTCCGCACGCGATAGACGGTAATTACAGTATGCCCCTGGCACTCTGCCTGGATAGGTATCTTGCATTCCCGAACATCGCTGATCAGCGGCCCATGGTTTGGGATGTAGCTCGTGGCCCTGCGCTTGGGGACTGTTAAGTTTCGGCCCGCGATTACTTGTACGGAGTAATCGCGGTACAACGCTCGTGCTGGCGACGAGGGTTCGACAAGGCTGTATGTAGGTTGTACGAAAGATTTCACCTTATCCTATCAGTTCCCATTCCTGACCCGTCGATGTCCATCCACCCTACCACTAGAAAGCCATTGATTACCTATCAAACCGGAGGATTAAGACTCGGATTGATACTGATACCGACACCGACGGAGATTGAGATTGGACTCTCGTCCTTGGTCCTGTACAAGTCCTGCACGGAACCGCCAACTCAGGAAGGCGAGATGGGAGGATACCATTGACAGACCGATTGAGTGATAAGGCTGGGATGCATTGCTTGCGAGGCATCCGGCCCTGACCAGCATTAGATACCAACTCAACCACCATCGACTGACTTCCCAATCGCTAATGTGGACGATATAACTTTCTAGGGTATATTAGCCATAGCTACACTGAAGGATCATCATACCGGTATCGTCTGCATCACCATTAGGAACTCATCCACAAATTGAGCCTCACGATCTACTATCGACACCGGTCTCTGTAACCATACCGTCACTCACGGGACAAGCTTCATTTCTGCTTTCGGCACGATACACGTCCACCACGTATGATTACACCATCTGAACATCGTGGGAACGACAAGGTGAGTGAACGGTCATAAGTGAGCGTGATCAAAATGACCACAATCGACACAATCGAACCGCCACCCCAGGACTACCCCCCCGAAATCACCGGCTATGCAGACCCTTGGATCGCCACTCCCGGAGAGGAGGTCGCCATCAAAATATCGTGCACCGAGCCCGAATACTCCCACCGCACCGTGCGCGTCATCCAAGGTGTCGAGACCGAACACTCGCCTCTCAAAAAGCTGGAGCCCATCACGCAGATCCCTACAGGCACGGCAAAGGGACGGTTCCAACGCGCGAGACCGGGTTCGTACGCCGTGGTTGACCCAGGGTTGAGTGGCCCAGCCAGCGAGTCTGGCCTCCACGTCTCGCTCTTCTTCCAGCCGCATCTCCCTGCCGCGGCACACCACCAGGCCATTGTCTCGACGTTGAATCGGGGTGCGAACCGCGGCTTCGCGGTGGTGATCAACGAGGGGGGCGTCGTGGAGGCGTGGATCGGCACCGGTGATGCCGTCGAGGTGGTAGACACGGGGTTCCGGCCCGCGCGGCAACGCTGGGTCGAGATGACGCTCACGCTCGACGGGATGGACTGCTCCCTCGTGCTTCGGCCCGTCGCGTATATCCTGGAAAAGGCGGGCCCGGTGTCGATTTCACGGGCCAGGCTTGCGGGGCCTGCCGTCTGGGTCTCGCCGGATCCTCTGCTTTTCGCGGCAACGTATGATGGCGGTCCCAGTTCTGGTGGCCGCAGTCGACGAGCTGCGTGTTTCTTCAACGGTCGCATCGATAGTCCGACCATCTCTCAAGTGGCGGGTCCCGCCAAGACCGGCAGACTCCTGGCCAAGTATGATTTCTCCTGCAATATCGCCGAGGACACAATCCTAGATGTCTCGGGGAACAACCTGCACGGCGTGCTCGTCAATGCCCCGACCAGGGCCGTCACAGGCCATGACTGGGACGGCAGCGAGGTCGACTGGACGAAAGCCAAGTACGGGTATGGGGCCATCCATTTCCATGAGGACGACCTGGACGACGCGCGATGGGACACGGACTTCACCATCAAGATCCCCGAGACCGCTCGATCCGGCATCTATGCTGTCGAAGTGACTTCGACGAACGGGGAGACGTCCGATATGATCACCTTCATCGTCCGGCCCACGCCGACCACTACCGCGGCCGTCGGTGCAAAGGTGGCTTTCGTCCTTTCCACATTCACGTACCTGGCCTATGCCAACGAGAAGCTCTCGGACACCAACCGCTCGAGCGCGATTGAGGTCGCGCCAGGCTTTGACGTCTCTTCCATCCGACGCGACGAGGACTACGACCGCCTGATGCGCCGCACAGACCTCGGTCTCTCGAACTACGACGTCCACAACGACAACTCGGGCGTCGTCTTCTCCTCGGCCAAGAGACCCATCTTGAACTTCCGCCCGGGGTACGTCATGTGGGCGTTCGAACGGCCGCGAGAATTGAGCGCCGACTCGATGATGATCGGCCTCCTGGAACGGCAGGGGATCCCCTACGACGTCGTGACCGACCACGACCTCCACTTCCACGGCGCGGCAGCTTTGGCGCCGTACAACACCGTCCTCACGGGTTGCCACCCGGAATACCCAACTTTGCAGTCCTACAACGCGTACGAGACCTTCGCCCGCCAGGGTGGCAGTATCTTGTACCTCGGCGGCAACGGCTTCTACTGGGTCTCCTCGGTCGATCCGGCCCGGCCGTGGCGTCTCGAGGTCCGCCGCGGAGATCAAGGCGTCCGCTCGTATGCCCTCCCTGGTGGCGAACGGGTGATGAGTCTCACAGGCCAACAAGGCGGCCTCTGGCGCTCGCGGGGTCGTTCCTCACACGGCCTCTTCGGAGTGGCCTTTTGCGGCGAAGGAACCGGCCCAGGCGTGCCGTTCAAGCGCAATGAAGAGAGCTACGACTCCACGTTTGAGTGGATGTTCAAGGACATTCCTCCCAATCAGCAGCTCATTGGCGAGTATGGTCTCGGAGGTGGCGCCAGTGGCGACGAGATCGACTCCTTCGACCTGCTCTGCGGAAGTCCCGCGACCGCGACAGTCATCGCCACGAGCACAGGCCATTCCGACCAATTCGGGATCGCGCCCGAGTGTACTGTCTTCCCTATCACGGGGACGTTGGGGACCCAGACCAAGGAGATCAGGAGTGATCTCGTCTACTACGAGACGGACGCCGGAGGGGCCGTGTTGTCCGTAGGGAGTATCAATTGGTATTGCTCGCTGGGGTGGGATGACTATGCGAACAATGTGGCCAAGCTGACGGAGAATGTGATTAGAGAGTTTATGCGCAGAGGACGCGGAGGGCTCAACCGAGATAATAGCCCGACGAATGTAGCCGTGTCCAAGCTTTGAGGAGGATTTCGTTACAGCCCAGTGGCGTTGCAAATAGAGTTAGTCAAGGTGTCGAGGAAAGACAATGGCTGAGGTAGACTTCACAAGAGCAAATGTCGTGAACCACATGTTCTAATCCTGGATATCAGATTGCGTTGATCCCGCCGTCTCCAGTTCCGGAGTTAGTCTGATACCCGCGGGTGATATCTTACGGTGAGGATAAGATGGACCTCAGCGACATTTATTGCTTTGATGGAGGAAGCAAGAGTTGTTTGTCCGAGACCCCCCACACCGTCGAGAAGATCGAGCCCGTCACGACATGAGATCCGTGCTTCAAGCTCCTGTTCCCATCGACAGAAGCTACCTGTCCGTGGCTTCGACCCTTGAGTCCGATCAAAGCACGACGCATTCTGTCAAAGCAGGCTTTGGTTGGCGACCATGAAGTCTCCTTGGTCCTTACACTTGGGACTGTTCACGAGTCCATCCATATTGGGCCCCCGAATCGCTCCTGTTAATTGCCATCCAAATTGGACCAGCTGTTGTCGGCGCACCATCCTTCACTCGGATGGCCCAGAAGTCATTTGTTGCTTCGAAATCGAAGACAAAGCGTAAGGCTTGAGGAATATCCCACGGTTGTTGCCCCATTTAGGGCCTTTTGAGTTCTGTACGAGGACTTGACGTTTCTTGTCGTCGAAACCAACGGCGAGCACCCTTTGTCAAAGGGAGTATTTGGGTCGAAGCTGAGTCGGCAAGTATTCGAGCGGCGTATGGGGTGTGGGCAGGGAGTCTTGCCAGAGCCTTCTGGAACGTTCTAGACATCCTCAAGAATCCACGTGTCGCGTGTCTCGTCGAACGATTCTTTCTGTGGCAGGTAGAACCAGAAGGAGAAAGCCACAGGAAACCCTTCGGAGAGGCATCTCCGGAGTCTCTCGAGAGTCGATTAACAGATCCCTTACTTTGTCCTTCACAGTCAATTTCTTGTCGTACTCTTCTGCGCGGTCTGCATCCAATGTCAAGTATTTGGCACTCTTGTGCTTTCAGAGCATCCTGACAAGCGATACCCTTAGGTTTGCGGTTGACAGCATCGTTTGTAAGTTTTGCGAACTCGATCTTGGCCTCCTCGAGACCGAGCTTCCTGTCTTTGATGCCTTTTTTGATGCTGTCGAAATCCGGGAATGGGCAATACTTATCAACACACGTGCCGCATTTTGCCGACACCTTTCATCGCGCCCCGCATGTTAGAACCTGTGTCCTTGGCATCAGAGAAGTTGTCACCGTAGCCACCACGAGCAAGCCAGTATATGAACAGCCTGGAGGGGCCCTCTTCACCTCACGTCGCAACATGACGACCTGCTTTCTCTTCATACCAGAATGCGGCGGCAGTAGCGTTGCCAGTGCACGGATTCGTCTTCCCTTGGCAGTAGACGACAGGTACCACTGACTTGGCATTATCACTTCGCAGGTCCACGACGGAAGGAGGTGCCTCAGGCTTGGGTACATAGTACTCGTCTCTGGGATCGAAAATGTCGAAGAGAGCACCACCGGCAAGTGGCAGTTCTGGGGATGTCTCGTCATCGGACATTGCTTGCGTGGAACAAATGAGCGGCTTGAGTCAATCATGGGTTCTGATGCGAGAACCAAAGCCTGCATGTAGCGTTTCAATTCTTCGTGGACAACCACGAGAACGTAGCTGAGAAACTCCATGCTACAGATCAAGAACTGCTCCTGTGCTACGGGGTGCTTGCCGGGATTGGCCGGCCTCCCATCTCGATGAGATTGCCTTCTGATGTGCATCCCGTGTGGTTGGACAGACGTGTATGCAAGGATTGAATTGATGGTGATATGGTCTTCGTGAACGCACGTAGTTGTCTCGAACGGTCGCTTTACTGCACCCACTCGCTGTCGCTTATTGATAGACAAGCCAAACGTATCACTCGTCTGTCGAACGGACAAAGACACACAGGGGACGGAATCCAACCGGCCCGATGATGGACAGCCTACAGGGAAGCGAGAGGTGTAGGCTTCCGCCCGCCACGAGGCTCGGCTGTTACGTTTGCCACAGCAAGCAAGGGCATCGAGATCCGAATGGCTCGTAAACACGAGCGGTATTCTGAAAATTCCATGGTGGAAATCGCGCCCAGTCGAGGGTCAAATCTTGGCATAGCTTACTTTGGGCTCCTTAGCCTCCGAGCCAAGCTGAAGTCGTCGGCTCAACGGCCTCCGTACGGAGTGCAGAGTATTACTCTACGATGAGCTCAAAGTCACTGACCAGTGGACGCCTCAACCAGGATGTCGGTCTACACAGCAGAGTAAGCTTTGGCTGGGCGAGGGCTCTTCTGACTCATTCATTGATGGTCTGGACGATCTTATGACCTTTTCCATGGTGTCGAGTGCTTTCTCTATGACATCGCTGTGGCCACCGGTGCGGCTATAACTAGGTGCACACACTGTCGTTGATGATATTGACGTCGAGGAGCTCATCGGCCACGATGTATTCTATCGTGAACGCACAAATCCATCTGACGACGATACCGCGCACCTGCAGAGTCGAGGCCATGGTAGTGGGACAGCCGCATCCCGGTTTCTGCCTGATACACACGTTCGAGACGTGTACCGCGATCTGAAGGCGGCCGGAGAATGAGTGTCCGAAGTGACTGTTCTTGCGGTTTGCCAACTCTGTTTGAAAAGCGGCGACCTCTTACATACGGGTTATGCCTCTTCGGTGGTGAGGAAAGACGTGAGCCTATTGGAGCCAGCACCACTTCCCCTAATCTCTAGTGCCGTGTCTCCGCGGCTTGCTCTGTGCAGTGGTGCTTCTACAATGTGTACCTACCTGGTCCGAATCACGAACTCAAGCGCGTATAGCATGTCAAAAGAAGCACCATCAAGGCTTGAGACGTCCAAGCGCAAGCATATCACATTCCAACCATCTCCGCAACTATCAAAGCATCTACTGTATCTCGCAGTCATAAAACTCCCTTCCGTACACGCTACAGTACGTAAAAAAGTACCAGACCAGAGGGCGCGATATCCAAGACAGGGCCGGTACGTGCAAAAGGTCATGTGCGTGCTCCGCTCCTTGCAAATGCTCGATGCTACCCGACTGTGTCTCCGTTTCACTCTTCGTATTTGCCGCCCACAAACGCCAGGTTGCTGTCCTCCAGTTTCTTCTTCAGGAATTCATAGACGGTGAAGGTCACGGCCTGCCCGGGCGCCACCCGCATGACTCTGGGTGTGATACCCTTGTAGAACGCCCTTGCTCCTTCTTGCTTGAACATGTCACCCGAGATGCTCACTATCCGCGATATTGCAGTCTGCCCCGGCTCAGCAGGTGTCTTCTGAAGTCTTGTCTTGATGGTGTCGATGGGTGCGTTGGAGAACGGACCCATGGCCCCCGAAATCAGCCCAATTACTGTTGTCTGATAGCCCGGCAGGTTTTGGTTCTCGTACTGCGGCTGCAAGCGTTGGAGCCACTCTTTCAATTCGGTATAGGCGGTGAAGTTGACAGCCTGGTTCGTGCCCTGGCGAAGAGCGGTGAGAGAGACGCCGCGATAGAGAGCTCCGACGCCTTCCTCGCGGAGGACGGTTACGAGGGCATGAGGTGCGCTTCGATATTTGGGCACATCGAGAGGATCAGAGAGGGAGTGGTATTGCGCTTGCATGCGGATCTTGACGACTTCCATGGGCGTTACGACTGCGACTGCTTCGGTCACGCCAGCGGCCAGTCCAGCTGTTCAGACCTAGTCAGCAAATGTTGACGCCATGTCATTTCCAAAAGCACCGCGGCATACCTAAAAAGGTCGCTTGAGAGCTCACTTTCCCATCCTGGTCCGCCAGTAACTGCTTGTACCACTCGTAACTTGTGAATCGAATGGCCATCTTGGGGACGATACCCGTGAGAACGGCGCCCAATCCCTTATACAGGCCAAAGACCGTTTCCTTCTTGACAATATCTCTGCCGGTCATCAAAAAGCCTCGCTTCTTCGTACCAGGCGCCCGACCTCGCCGTGACAGCTGCATTCGCACTTTGATCGTGTCGAGAGGATGGCACACGAGAGCTTCCATCATGCCTGCGCCGCCACCAGCAATGAGGTTCGTGGCGGCCGAGGCCGGCTTCTTACCGCCTTCACCTTTCACGCTTTTGGCCGACATACTGGGCTAGAGCTCTCGGCAAGGCGGATCTTGATGTCGTGTTCATGCAGCGCGGTGCAGATTGGTAGCGATGCTGGTTTGGAAGCAGCAACAGGTATCGAGGCGCTGATGGAAAGATGAGCTCCTGGACTCGTGTGAGAGCTTGCTGGGCAGCTAGGAGCGTGAACAAGTATTTTGAAACTGTGCTATGACACAAGCAGATGCGGAGACGAGGAAATATGATGCTCCCAAGCCCAGCGCCAATGCTTTAGCGAGTGAGGAGGGAAGAGACGATCGTGACGAACAATACCAAGAAGGTACCAGCACACCAGAGTGAGGTCAGATTTCGCATACGTACAAAACCACGAGGAATGGAGTGAATCTTATGGCAATTCAGGTCTAGCAGCTGGAAGCCGTTCCAATCCGAGACATGATCGAAGATTGGACCTGCGAGACCGTCGACGCGTTAGAGGAATTGTGTGTTTGTCCCTTTCCGCCGAGGCACGAGGCAATGGGCAGCAACAAGCCGAGCCCGGACAGAATTTCGTCATGCCCAGCCAACCTGCAGCTCAGAAGGGCAAAGCTTCAGTGAGCTTCCAGGCACCACGAGACAAGGACGAGAGGAAGCTTGGACGAAAAGAGCTCAAGAGTCAGTCGATTGTCACTCGGTGGGGGGTTTAGGGCAGCTGTCTGACGCATGTGGAGGCTCGAGGAGCGACCACGGAGCTGGCGCTGAGTTGCGGGGAGAAATGGAAGAAGAGGCGGTGCCTCGGCAAATCTGTTGTTCCTTTTCCAGTCTCCAGCCTCCCTCGAGCCCGCCAAGCCGCCAGCAGCCGCCAGCAAGCTTCGTACACACCATCTCGTACACAGTACTCGTACTCTAGAACCAAAAACATCTGTCTATTTCTTGCGACGTGCAACGCCTTTTCACGAGGCACTCAAGATAATGGCATTCGCAGACCTGCAGCCACTGCCAGGGCTTGTGCATGCACACCGGAGAATTCGATGCCCCTCTACGGCTCCGAACAATAACCGAGCCACCGGGATTCCGTTTTCGTACCACTCGTCCCTGCTACAAGACAGCAGCTTGACCACTCCGAGATCTTCCGATTGCAGAGCCCCATGGCTGCGACTTGTACTTGCCCCGTATGCCGTTTAATCACGAACACCCGTGGCAAGTTCGGTCTGGCTCCTGGTATCTCGTGCTTGATGCATGCCATCGCAACGCCGGATGGGAAGTGAGCAGATTGTGGTCTTTCGTTCTACCAACCCAGCTCATATGACCGTAAATGCATTGCAAACCTCGCCGACACGAACCATTACGGCACACCCAGTGCTGGTTCCGTCCCAATGGAATTATAATGCATGGTCAACGATGAACGCGAGGAAGTATCTCCTGTCCAATCTCCGTCGGAGGCGCCTTCTTGGACTTCACAATCACTGACTCAGGACGTGACACAGACGTGGCCAGGCATCCAGACCTCGACTCACCTTTGAAACATACAGCTCAGATTCTGCTGCACGACGCGTCGAAGGATTGGAAGTATAGTACACCATTGTGGTCGTGGGTGGTGGTTGTTAGATCCTGTCTTCTTGCCCTTCCCTTTCCTCTTCTCCGTCCTATCACAAATGCATCCCTCTCACGTCGCTCAAGATCAATTCTGCGATGGGCTCCGTCAAAGTTTCATCCACACTTAAACTCATCAACTTCCCAATTTTGATATTAATCGCCCCCTCCTTGTTGTCCACAATACTCCAGATCCTGTCCTTGATGTCAAACTCCGTCTGGTAATCCAGCAATAACTTTTCAATGCGCTCCCTATGATCGATGACACTCAGCTGTGGGTCGGTACCCAGTGAGATGGTAAGGGTGTATTTCTCCTTGTGAAGTGCTGGAGGCACCTGGACCAGCATTGAAGGGGCTTCTGGGAACTTTGAGACGATGATGTTTGTGTCGCTGGTGCGATCTTGCCCATCGACGGTGACCTTCAGATCCTGGGGAATTTTCGCAATGGCTAGGAAGCGGAAACTCCAGGTCCGACCTGTCACATGGGCAGTGAGTTCACCTTCTTCCTGTTTGTACTGGATGAGCGAGCCACGCTCGTTGGTCGGAGGGCTCTCTTTCTTGACTTGCTCGGAGTCATCCGCAGGATCCTCAAGCACAGAAGTCTGGCCGTTGCGTCCAACGACCACCAGGACCTCGAACTCTTCAGGATTGAGACCTCCGTTCCCGGGTTTCTCGTTTGCATCTAGCGGAATGATGCTTCCTTCATGAGCCAGCACGGGGATCTGACAGAGGGGTCGGTACATGTTCAATTCCCTGTTTCCATCATAGACTGTACCTGTGAATATATCGACGTGCCGGTGCATCGGCGGCAGCCACACCTTGACATGGCCGAGGTTGGTCCTCTTGTCGCGGGGTTTGACAATTGGAGCCACAATCAGCTCTGAGCCAAAGAAATATTGGTTAGGAACCTGATATGCCTCACCACGTTCCGGGAACAACCAATACATCGGTTGAATGAGTGGCTCGTCCTCGGTTGAAGCCAGAACGTTGCGGGTGTACAGATAGGGTATCATGCGGTGGCGGAAACGCATGAAGCTCTCCATGATCTCTTCGCTCTCCTTGCGGTATGACCAAGGTTCCTTTGACGACCACCTCGAGTTCGACGAATGTAGCCGGAAAATGGGGCTGAAGACTCCGAACTCTATCCATCGGGTTACGAGTTCGTCGTCGCGTGAACCGCCAAAGTGGCCGCCGAGATCGTGGCTCCACCATCCATACCCGATGTTGGAAGCTGTGGCCGTGAACTCCGGTTGAAATTCCAGGCTAGCCCACGTCGTGATGGAATCCCCTGAGAAGCCCACTGGGTATCGATGACTTCCGGGACCGGCATATCGAGAGAAGATGAGCGGGCGTTTGCCGTCACGCGCGTTGTCGAGGAAGTGGAAGTGATTCAGCAGCCATAAAGGATCAACACCCGGCACTTTTGTGTGAGAGCCTTGCTGCCAGTCTATCCACCAGAAGTCACATGCCACGTTTTCCACGTTCCGGTGGAGAATGTCCAAATATGCTTCCATAAACTTGCGAGTCGTGGGATCGAACAGTATGGGATTCTTTTTCGACGTGTCGTGGCCCAAGAACTTCACCATCTCCTCGTACGAATCCTCGTGGTGGTGAATCCCGCCGTGTGGATGATCGTTCAGTGTTATCTTCAAGTTCCGGCTGTGTATCTCACGTCCAAAGACAGCGGGGTTAGGGAACAGCTTTTTGTCCCATGTGTAACCCGTCCAGCCAGCGTGCGGAACCTGAGGGTCATCTACCATGTGCCAATCCATATCCACAACTGCGACCGACAGGGGGATGGCCTTCCTTTTGAACTCGTCCATCAAGCCGATGTATTCATCTTGATGGTACTTATAGTACCTCGACCACCAATTGCCAAGGGCCCATCTGGGTAGCACGGGCTGTTTGCCGCTGACCTTGTAAAAGTCTCTTATGGCACCCTTGTAATCATGCCCATGACAAAACAAGTAGCCATCGATGCGATCCCCAGGGCGTCGACCAGCGACAAAACCTTGGCCATCGAAGAGCATTGACTTACTGTCATCGAGGGCAGCGTACCCGAATGTCGAGAGTACGCCGGTCCCGACATCACAACGCCCATCAACTTCATCCAATGTTCGTGCTGTTCCGCCCAGGTTCTCTCGACTACCGTGGATAGGCTCGACGCCATACCGCCACTGTGCGCCCCAGAGCGTAATCTTGGCGGAAAAGCTACACAACAATCCACTCGGACTGAACCGCTTCTTGTCGTAGCTTAGGTGGAAATGATCATTGATGATCTCGAGCTCGTCCGATCGGTCCACGACCTGAAATTTGGGCACTGGGAACTCCCGATTGATAGCGAAGGTAGAGGCGCGGTCCTCGAACTCGCCATCGTAGGACCACTCGTAGCGGAGCAGGCGGTCAGTCAGAACTGTGAAGCGGTAATGGGGACCAGAGACGATGGCATCTTTGTGAGCGACTGGCTTGCTCTCAAAATGGTAGTGCTTCATTTTGACAAAGGCCCTGCTCGTGATTACAGGTTTCGAGAAGTGGACACGACAAGAACTCAACACGAAGCTCATATAGGATCCGGACCGGTGACTGAAAAGTGGTTGTAGTGTAGACGCGGCCGAAAGAAGAGGCGGTCACGACACGCTCAAGCCTCAACTGGCAGATACTACGAGTGACACAAGCAAGCAGTCGGAGTATTGCTCGGTGAAACGAATCACTTGACTGTCGTGGCCGCCTCGCTGTACAGGAGCTCTCCACTTGGCCATGCTGTCATCCCTCACGCCGATCGTGTTTACCTCACAGAAGTCACAAAGTTGTCATATGAAAGTCATGATGAAATGAGAGGACAGTGAGAAAAAGGTGGTCTCTGGACCAAAAGCAGCCTGGCCCCGCACCCCCGGATATGACCGCCGCGAAATGACAAACACGGTTTAAATGCTCGCTAAATCTCATTGACTTCAAAGTCTCCTCCGTGTACTTTCGAGGAGTAGTGGTCCATCTCAAAGATTCATGCGAGCGGTTGGCTTATGGTGCTGGGAAAGAGTCAACATGCAAGGCAAGATCTGACTGGTTTTGCACTAGCTAGGCGACGTTGAGCCAGCTCAGACCCGTTCCCAGATACCTACCGGCTCGTCGTACGCGTCGAATACCTCATCTCTTGCTTTCACAATTTACCCTCCCTTTTTCTGCCAAGAAACGGAAACACCTTTCTCTCTAACCACTCGCCGATGATTTTGTTACAGTCCTCTGGACGTTCCCAGAGTGCCCAATGTCCCGCATCCACCTCCCGTCTTGTCAATCTCGGGATCCGCTCCTCCATCTTCTGCGCCATAAACGGCTTCAGCGCTTGATCTTTCTTGGCCAAAACAAACAGAACTTCCATGGACAGTGTCAGATCTTTCTGGGCCTGGGGACCTGTCTTTGTGCCGCTCGCGAAGAAATCCCGCCACTCGTTCATGTAGTTTACCTCGCGGTTGCGGTACCAGTTGAGGGGCCCGTTGACGCCATGCCTCGCGTACTCAGTCACGTAGTAGTCCATTTCTTCATCGGTCAGGAGCTTGGTCTTGCCGATTCGGGCTTGCTTGGCTAGGTCGATGCCGACGTTCGCGTCGAAGGCGACTTCCTTGGTGTCGGTGGTCCTCGCCCCGAAGAGGTTGTTGAGGAAGTTACGAATCTCGGCCTTTGATTTCACGGCCTCTTCGATCTCGCCGGACGCAAAGTGCGCTTGGTAGCCGAAATTCGGAAGGCGCTTCTGAATCAGAATATCCAGCGGTTCGTATTTCTCGTTTGGTGGAAAGTAAGGCGTGCAGATTGAGAAGACGGCGAAGATCAAGGACGGATAGTACTGCGCGACGCGGTACACGATGCTACCGCCCCAGTCGTGGCCGCCTAGGATGATTTGGGAGAGGCCGAGTTGGCGGGCCAGTTCGGCAATGTCGTCTGCTGCGCGCCTATATGTGTAATCTTGGAGTTTGAAAGGCGGTGCGTCGGTGCGGCCGTAGCCAATACTGTCCGGTGCAACGACGTCCAAGCCTAGTTTTGTCAGGAAGGGGATTTGATACCGCCAGCCCATGCTGAGGTCTGGGAAGCCGTGGATCAAGAAGATTGTCCCACGCTTGGGCACCGAAGGTGACGCTGGGCTGAAGAGGAGGCCATACGTGTATCCGTTCAAGTACGCTGTCAGGTGGGAAATGCGTTGGTCGCCATGTACTTTGATTTTGTCGACGGTGAAGGGTTGATCGGGGGCCATAACGGGCAGTGAGTCGAGCTCTACAGGCTGGTGGTTCCTACGGGTCCGGTCCTGCTGACCGAAGAGTACGTCGACACCGTAAGGCGGTCCTCGAATTTCTTTGCGTTGGATTTTGATCCGAAAGTTGTCTAAATAGTGCTCGAAGACCGCCCTGTCCGCACTCTGACGATAATGATTGTACCTTGCTCGCAGAACGTATTCGGATTTCCTGTCTTCGGCTCACAGCCAGACTCGGGATTCTACCGGTGTTGACGGCTAAATAAGCTTGGAGTGCTCTTGCTCGTGCTTTCTTTTGTGGCAGCGGCTGTGTAACGAAGTGCGATGGATTTGTTGGAGAGGGGTCGATGAGGTTGATGAGAAATATGTCTCCTCGTATACAACTAGTACTTACCTTGGTGCTTGTTTAATTATACCATTACAGTAGCTTTCTGCCAGCGCTGGGCCGAGGTTCAGGCCAAAGCGAGCAGAAGCTCGGCCTCTGCGAAGCCCGGGGTCATTATTGGGCGAATGACACGCTCGAGAGCCGCTGACTTAGCCGACTGACGGATAAGTTTGTTCGCTGTCAGTTTCGTGTGAAATGAAGAGCCACAAACCAAAGATGAAGACCTCTGACAATCACAGAGTCGCCCATCAAAACTAGCGTCAACTCTTGGCACCATCACGTGCATTGCTTTGGGCATCTTTCACTTTGTCTTCATCACGGCCTCATTTCGTTTCATCTCACACGATAATCATGCTTGGGCGAGTGCAGCATACACCGTGACTGAAGACTATCAGTCCTTATTGATGACGCCGACCCTTACTGTTTGAACCTCTCGCCACGTCAGCGTCGGGAAAGGACGAAGCCTTGAAACGCCCTCAGCGACCAAATATGGCGTGATGGAAGCCCCGAATGAGCAATCCCCATCGCTTCCCGTCAGCCTTGTTTCGCGGTCACTTACTGGCGCGACCACCGCCTAAAATGTTGTGATAAGAATCCTCGGTATGTTTGCTTTTTGACATGTGTCCATCGGGCCCCCTTTTTGTCAGCATGGAACTCTCGGTGCGCCAGTACATGTCGCCCTGAGCTGTTCCTGTACACCCTTAGCCTTCCCTCAAAAGCTTCAAGCTCTAGCCACTGCAGGGTCCCTTGTCGCCCTAGAACTGTACACGTGTATTTGCGAGGCAGCATTCGTTCCTGAAGTGGTATCATGTCTCTGGAGACGCACGACCTCGAAACATCCCCTTTGTTGTCGCCTGTTGGCTCTCCGGACAGCTCACCGCGACAATCGATCGAACACCAGCGCAAAGCAACAGTCCTCGACGAACGGAACATTGAAAACGATGTCCTCCCCGAAGAATCTACGGCTGGCCGCAATATTGGCTGGGGAAGCGCGTACGTCCTGGTGATTTCTCGAGTTATTGGATCTGGTATTTTTGCCATGCCCGGGACGATTGTGCAGAACGTGGGAAGCCCGGGCTTAGCTCTGGTACTTTGGATCGTTGGCGCGCTGGTTGCATGGGCTGGTCTTGCCATTGATATGGAGTACGGTTGCATGCTACCTCGATCAGGCGGAGCGAAGGTTTACCTGGAGTACACCTTCCGCAAACCGCGATTTCTTACTTCAACCATGGTCGCTGTCCAAGCTGTCCTGCTGGGGTTTACGGCCAGCAATTGCATTGTGTTCGCCAAGTACACGCTGTTTGCGGCAGGCGTTACTCCTGGGGATATCAATACCAAACTCCTGGCAGTTGGGCTGCTGACGTGGATTACAATTGTCCACATCTGTTTCTACAGGACCGGTATCTGCATCCAGAATGTTCTAGGGTGGCTCAAAGTCGGATTGATTGTCTTCATGATCTTGACCGGCCTATTCGTCGTTTTGTTGCGACCTGTTTCTTCCTCCAGCGCCGCTCCCAGCGGACCAGCAGGCACCAGCTCCTGGAATGATTTATGGGCGGGCTCAGATTGGGCGTGGAACACCTTGTCGACAGCTTTGTTCAAGATTTACTACTCCTACGCAGGACTCAGCAACATCAACAACGTACTGAACGAAGTCAAGGACCCCATCCGAACCATCAAGTCTGTTGGTCCAGCTGCGTTGCTCACAGCTTGTATTATGTATATTCTTGTCAATGTCGCATACCTTGCGGTGGTACCGCTGGAGGAAGTCAAACAGAGCAGCGAGCTTATTGCAGCGCTTTTCTTCGAGCAAGTATTTGGCGCCGGTTTCGGCAACGTTTTCCTCCCACTGGCTATTGCTCTGAGTGCAGCGGGAAATGTCATGGTAGTTACTTTTGCCCTGGTGCGTACTACTTCTTGACGATGGACGGCTACCTCGCTAACCTACGTCGCAGTCCCGAGTGAACCAAGAAGTTGCAAGGCAAGGCTTTTTACCATACGCGGCACTTCTGGCGTCTTCAAAGCCATTTGGTACTCCTATGGGAGGGCTCATCGTTCACTATGTACCGTCGACTCTAGTCATTGCCATACCACCCTCTGCCACAGTCTATGCATTCATCGCCGATGTTGAAGGCTATGCGGGATCGTTCTTTGGTCTGGCGGTCGCTGCTGGCTTGATCCTTCTCCGCTATCAGAAGCCAGACCTGCGACGACCGTTCAAAGCTTGGATCCCAGCCGTGTGGCTCAGACTTCTGTTGTCCGTGGCCTTGATCGGTGCTCCATTCTTCCCTTCCAAGAAGGGCCACTCGGACGTGGACTTCTTCTATGCGACCTACGCACTAGTAGGGATCGCCATGTACGTTGGACGCCCTTCTGCAAGAAGAGCATCACTGACTGTGGACATAGACTCCTGTTTGGAGTTTGTTATTGGTTCGTATGGACCATTGCTGTGCCGCGTTACCGAGGTTATACACTGGAAGAGGAAGCAGGCATATTGGACGACGGGACGACCATCACGAAACTTGCCCGCAAGGAATTATAATCAACGCTGTGTATTGATAAGCCAGCAAGATACCGATTGGAGCGAAATGAGAAATACTGGAAATGTTTCGTATGCCCGACCTACGACCCTCAGCGCCTGAGCCAGTTGGAATGTGCTAGACACAGGCTCATGCAACGTCTGCGCTCCGATTGGCGTTGGGCGTCATGTATACACGTTCTCGATGACTTACCCCACACCGTATCTGGCCATCGCGTGTGAGCACCCCAGGATGGCGTGCTATCTGACAAATCAGGGAATAGCATAGCATTGGCCATAAGTATGGGGTCGCCCTCACTTGAGGCGGTGGGCTTGGGCTATCGACATCAGACAAACGGGAGCAACAAACAACAATGGCACAAGCAGCAGTCCAACAGCCCGGTGGGCACTCTACCTCGTTCGAGCCTTTGACGGCCCGACTGCAGGGCCCTTCCAACACTCAGCACGAGAAGCATCATGTCCGCACGAGCCTCAACTACTACAAGGATCCTGGCGATGGCAGCGCCCCCCAACCGTCCTATATAGGCAAGCCCGAAACGTACGAGAGACCGGTCGAGCCGCTGGAAGTGACCGTCACCGACATCCGAGGCGAGGAGAAGAACTATAACCTGGACAAGAACGGATTTGAGATCTACCGCCATACAAGCGTCGAGAAAGACTTTGTCGACGACGACCAGATCAAGGCGCAATACTACCCAGAAGTCGAGCAGCTTCTAAAGGACGCGTGAGCTGATTCTGGATTTTCTCACTGTGTATTCTGACTGTTGCTTGCTGACCGTTGCTCCTCTGACAGGACGGGGGCCTCCCGTGTCTTCATCTTCGACCACACCATCCGTCGGGCTCCCAAGGACCGTGCGAACCCGGCAACGCTCCTGCGTGGACCAGTAAACCGCGTGCACATCGACCAGAGCTACAGCGCGTCCAAGTCCCGCGTCCCCCATCACCTGCCCGACGAGGCCGACCGACTGCTCCAGACTCGCTATCAGATAATCAACGTCTGGCGGCCTATCAAGACTATCCTGAAGGATCCGCTGACCGTCGCTGATGCTCACTCGGTTCCAGACTCGGACCTCATTGGCGTGGGCCTGATCTATCCAGACCGAAAAGGCGAGACCTACACAGTCCGCCCCAACCACCAGCACAAGTGGTACTATTTGTACGGCCAGACGCCCGAGGAGGTCCTCCTGATCAAGTGCTTCGATTCGAAGCTGGACGGCCGAGCAAGACGGGTACCACACACTGCGTTTGTCAATCCCGAGACTGTCAACGAGTACTCGAGGGAGTCGATCGAGGTGCGCTGCTTGGTTTTCCACGAGGATCAGCCAGCCGAGTGAGTGGGCCAGTGGTGGGGATTTGTTAGCTTCTGTATCCAAGATAAGCTAAGTAGCCATAATCTACCTCGCACGGATGGCGCACCGTGCAGCATTGATGTACCCAATCCGGCCGAATCTGGACTGTCACCGTGAACCTGGTGTACTTTGGTAATTGTTGTCGCGTCGAATCGCCGCTCGGGTAACGGTGCCGTAACCCGTTTGACGCCAAGACCCGGACGCCTGAGCCAAACGCCGCACAGCCTCGTCACATGATCGGGCTTGACTGCATTGGGCCCGGCACTGAGGCGTCAGCCACAATTGCTGATCCGCCACGAGTCGCGGGACCAAAATCAGTGCCCCGCCTTTCACTTGCCTTCCCTCGCTTCTGGCGACCCTCCACCACAGCCAGGCTCCCTGGGCGTGCAGGCTGCAGGCACTGCAGGGCAGTGAAGACGCTGGTCGGGTCCACACGCGGGGCTCAAATTCTCCTTGGCCCTCCGCGATCCTCCCGATGCCGTCATCTGATAGTACAGTCTCACGATTACGAATGAGTCTGCCTTGGCTCTCGAACGCTACTCGGACGGTTCGCCGCAGCACGAACTTATATTAGTTCCAGTAACCCTGAGGTCAAAAGGCGAACAGGCAGCCTACATATCTCCCGCGCGTCCAACCTACCTTCCATCTCCCCACACACGCGCGTGTGTCCCTTATCCTTCCAAGAAACGAAGTGAAATATTCTGGATAGCTGATATACACAGACACACACTTTACCTTAGGCACCTCTCTCGGGGCACTACTTAGCTGCAATGTCATACGGCCCTCCGCAGGGACCGCCTCCAGGGCAATACGGCGGACATGCTCCTCCTCCTGGACCTCCGCCAGGCCAAGGCTACGGCCAGGGCTACAACTACGGCTACCCCCAAGGCCCGCCCCCACAACAAGGTCCCGGCGGATACCAGCAGTTCGGTAGCCCTGCCCCTCCTCAACACGGGAACTGGGCCGCTCCCCCAGGCCCGCCTCCAGGACAGTATGGCGGACCACCACCTCCTGGGCAGGGGAATTGGGGTCCTCCTCCACCTCAAGGACCGCCGCCGGGACAATATAACCAGCAATACGGTGGGGCCCCTCCATTTGCACCCCCAGCGCAGCCCTCCCCAGGCTACATCCCCGGGGCGGCAGCGCAGGGCGACGCGTCGCGCGACGCAGACGCCCTCCGCGCGGCCATGAAAGGCTTCGGCACGGACGAATCGGCGCTGATTCGGATCCTCTCGAAGCCCGACCCGCTCCAGATGGCGCTGCTGCGCAACACGTACAACCAGCGCCACCGGCGCGACCTCGAAAAGGACATCAAATCCGAGACGTCGAAATACTTCCGCGACACGCTCGTGGCGCTCGTCCAAGGCCCGCTCATGCACGACGTGCACAGCGTGCACGAGGCGATCAAGGGCCTGGGCACCAAGGAGTCCGTCCTCAACGACGTGCTGCTGGGCCGCTCCAACGCCGACATGCGCGCCATCAAGCAAGCGTACCAGCAGACGTTCCGGCACACGCTCGAGGCCGACGTAAAAGGCGACCTATCTCTGAAGACGGAGCGGCTGTTCGACATGGTCATGTCGGCAACGCGCAACGAAGAGTCCACCCCGGTAATCCCCCACGAACTGGAACACGACTGCTCGGAACTGCACCGCGCCATGGACGGGCGCGTGGGCACCGATCAGATCGCCGTGTGCAGCATCCTGGCGAAACGGTCGGACGGACAGCTCCGCGCCATCGCCCACCACTGGCAGCAGAAATACCACTCGTCGCTCGAGAAGGTCATCGAGTCCGAATTTTCGGGCCACATGAGGGATGCGCTCGTGCTGATGGTGCGCCGGGCCACCGACCGCGCCATGTCCGACGCCGTCCAGCTGGAGGACGCAATGGCCGGTGCCGGCACAAAGGACGTCTTGTTGGTGCAGCGCGTGGTCAGGGTCCACTGGGACAGGATGCACTTGGACCAGGTCAAGAGGGCTTACGCGCATCGGTATCAACGGGATCTCATCAAGCGCGTCAAGGGAGAGATCCACTTTGACAAATACTACGAGGGCGTGCTGGTTGCTTGCTTGTCGTGATGGGCCGGTCCCGTTGAGATCACGCAACGGTTCTCATTAACATGTAATGGTTTGGTCGAGTACATAGGCGTTCAGCGTTCTGGGGCTTGTTCAGCGATCAACGCACCGGCACCGGCACCGGCACCCGCACTTACACTCGTGCGCGCAAGATGCTTGTTTTATTTTTACGTCAATCCCTGGTGTTGAGCCAGAGGAATACCACACGCTGCAACTCATTATCAAAGCTCTATACGTTGGCTGCCTTGCGGCCATTAGTTCCCAGTCACGTCCCATGGCCACCACGTCTGGCATGCGAACGAATCAACGAGTTGAGGACACGGAGACCCAGGTCCATTTACAAATACATACATTGTCAGATGCTCATGGACGGTTCGTCGGTTACTCTAATTACTCATTGCGTCGCTACGCGGTCGATGGACGATGCATGTCGTGAAGAAAAGGACAAGATATATCATATCATATCGTAACACCCATCCCTTTGGAAAGCCCCGTGACATGATGATGAGACCGACTGTGCCGGCCACCGCGCTGTTTCGCAGCCTTCCCTTCCCAAGGCCAATGCCAATGCCAATGCCAATGCAATCGATCGATCGATGGACCGCCAAACAAGTCCAAGTCCAAGGGCCGATTTCCAACTTCCAACTTCCAACTTCCATCCCCGCCCTTTGCTTGCGTGACCCAAGCTTGGATGGTCAGTCCTCCAGTATGTTGTGCAGATACTAAATAATACTTTAAAACCCCCAATGTGCGCGCGGCTCGAATGAACGAATAGTAGGTATGTGCAATGCGTCAAGCTTCGTAACGGCGTCCGTTTGTCCCTCCCCTCCACCACCCCTGTTCGTGGCAGATTCGGTCATCAAACGCCCCAACCCAAAGTGTACGTCTCGACCAGACGTTGGAGTTCCCCCAAGACGCCCGGTAATCAAATGTGCGGGAACAAATTTGTTCCTTCAAGAACAGCCCCATGCTGGACCTACCAGCCTACCTTCAGCCGGCAACTCCCGGCAACCTCGCTCATTCGCTCATCATCCGCTTCACTACTTTCGCCTTGACTGCTTTCTTCGGAGGTCTCTGGCGTCTTGATCTCACTCCTTCCCGCCTTGACCTCCGCGAGGAGGTTGGCCATCTCACTCAAAATCTCTCCAATCGGCTTGGCCTGCTCAAACAGGCTGACACCCTTCTGGAAAGGCTGATACATGTGTCGGAGTTGCAGAGTGGTGGCACAGGCCTGTAGCGAAAAGGTTAGCATGTGTTAGGAGGTTTGTGGTACAAGGGCAGCCAGCACTTACCTCAACCCGTGTCACCTGATGTTCCAGCAAATTCACCATGAACGCATCGCTCTGCACGCCACCGCGCTCTTTCATCCTGGTGAGCAGGCTCAATTCGGGCTTGTGGAGTCGAGCGGCCCGCTCAGGCACTTCCAAACAACTGCACAACATCTCCAGCCGCAGAGCGATGTCCCAGAGCTTCCAGACCTGGTCCAGTTGCAGGTCCTTGAGCTGGCTGTCTTCGCCCAGAGTCCCTGGCTCACCACCGGGTGGCACCTTGGACTCGACTCCAGGGGAAATCCCAAGTCGACTTGCAAGAGTCGTTGGGTACATCAAATAAATGTACTCGGGGTTTTCTAGCCCTTTCAACTTCTTCTCGCCCAAGTCTTTGACTTCGAAGCCTTGGCTGCTCAATTGGCGCAGTTCGCGCCGGATCTGGACGGACAGAGGATCGTCATTGACTGTGTCCTCCGATCCCATCGAATCTCGACGGTCATCGTCGGCATAGCTCTCCAGAGTCCTTTGCACCTCGGCGATGAAGTCACTGCTGACGGTGATTTGCCCTCCATCTGCAACAGCAGACACTCGAGCAGCCTTGTTGACCATGGGACCAAAATAATCCATCCTTCGTGTAATAGGATCTTGCTCGCACACTGGCCGGCCCCAGTGTATACCCATTCTGACTGAGAGCCCGCGGTAGATGGTGTTCTGGTCTGAATCCAGCTTCTCTTGACAATGCGCGGTTTCTAAAATCTCCTGTGGCCAGGGCAGTTCGAGAAGATGACTTTGACAGCTGAAGCACCAAAGTAAGGCAGATGTCACCGTTGGGAACGACACCATGAAGGCGTCTCCTTCGGTCTTGACTTCGTAGCCCCCTATGATTCGAAGCTGTCGCCGCATGAGCTCATTGTGCATCATGATTGCCGATCTCATGGGCACGGGAAAGAGCTCCCAGAGTGCTGTCGAGTTCTTGATGTCAGTGAAACAGATCGCGACATCGCCGACAGGTGGTTCCGGTTCTTCGAGTCGGGCGAGCCGCGAGTCGCCGACAAGTGTTTCGCCTTTGCGTCGAGCTTTCCGTGAACTCGGGAAAATGGCTCCCTCATCAAGGCCCAACTCCTTTGCCATGGACAAACTAGTTCCACGGAAGCGGTGGTTGCCTCTCTTCCGGAGGTCTGAAATGCCCAGCACCATAACCATGATCTTGTCTCTGGCTCCAAATGCCATGGCCAGATCCCTCAATTTCTGCGCGGCAAGCATAAGATCGTTCTTTTCTGCCCTCGCAGCGTCGACTGCCACATCGACAGTGACATAGTCCCAAAACTCTTTGGTAGCAATGACGATGATCTCGTCCGACTCTGTGATCTGATAGTTGCATGTATGCGGAGCGGCAATGACCGACGGCATGTGGCTGTAATAGCCAAATGCACGGCTCACCTCGAGGACGTCGTTGAGTCTGCCCTGCCTAGAGACATATCCTCCCGCCTCTCGGATCCGCTCTCGTTCTCCTGCCTCGGCTGGGTCGTGCTTGCGTGTAAGCTGCCGATGTTGGCCGTTGGACGAAATGAGAATAGCCTCAATATCACCAACATTTGCAACGTGGAGTTCTTGCCCATTGACGTACAAAACTGTAGCGGTGCCACCCGAGCTCAGATCATCCGGGCCTAGAATGTTGGCAACAGTGGAGCCTCTGTGGCCATTAGCCAGTCTGTGCTCCTTGGTGTCAAACCCGCTGCTGGCAAAATTTGCCATGTCCTTGTTGATGGTGAGGAAGGTCCTTCGGAGAGCATCGATCGGTGTATCTTTCAGATTCTCTGCCTTTTTCAACTCCTCATAGAAGACGGCAGAGAAGTTTTCGTGTAGATACTTCGCAACTCTCGATCCGCCGCTCGACATTGTTTGACCGTCAAACATTGCGATCAAAATCTCACTCTCTTGGCCTCTGAAATTCGGCTTGAGGAGATCAAGGGTTGCCAGATGTTCATTCTTGCCGAGGGTGTCTGCCATACCGTACATCAATGCTCCGACCAACGAAGCCGACGTTCGTACACGGCGGTCTTCGTTGTCGTCTGGGATGGTATTGGTCAAGAGCGTCACGTCCATGAGACCCAAGACCCGGAGATATTTGAGCGTATTGAAGCTGGTGAGATCTGTGGTTTCGTCGCGGGTCACTGCGTGGAAGTGGTTCTGGTTTTGGTGAGTGGCCGGCTTGATCTCAAGCCTCTTGTTGGCTGAAAAGTTGAGGTATTTGAGGTTGGTGTTGCGATTCCAGTTCCAATCATAGGGCCAATTGGAAACATTGTACTTCAGTGAGTTGCTTCCCACGTCCAAGGTAGACAGTTTGTGCACGTTGCACAACTCGGCAGGTAATACTTGGAACCGGTTCGCGTTCAGATGCAAAATCCTGAGATTACTACTCTCTTCGAGATCATCGGAAGGCAGGGAAGTCAGCTCGTTGCCAGACAGATAGAGCTCGCTGAGCTGAGGCCAGCGACGAAGTGCCCCCTGTGGAAAGTCGTCGAGCTCGTTGTAAGACAAATTGAGGACGCGAAGCTCCGGCAACAGAACTAGCTCACGGAAGACGTCGTCTTCCAGGCGATTGTCAGCCAAGTAGAGATATCGAAGTGATCCAGCAAACGTGTTATGGAGCCTGGCGGCCGAGATGCTGGAGTCTTTTCTCGTTGCAGTCGACATCGAATATTCTGTATTTGTCCTAGAAATGACAGACTGCTTTCGGTGAGCACTAAGCGATGCAACTGAATTCTTTCGTGCACCGGGCGAAGTACCAATGCTCATCATCCCGGACGACGCTTGGCTCGGTCGCCGTGCTTGAAAGTCTTCAAGCTTGCCAAGGTCGTCAAAGCTCGGGGAGGTCGACATACCGGGCGTTGCCGTCGGCGTGAAGTCCTTGTCGTTTGGCGGTGGAGCCGCATTCTGCTTGGGGAAGGTTTCCAACACATTCGAGGACAAGTTCAGCGTCTCGAGCTTCCGACAATACCAGATCTCTGGTGGAAGGCTTTTCACATTGCACTCTCTCAAATTCAGGAACTTGAGCTCACCCAGATTCCCAATGGACGGGGGGACGATGTTTAGCGGATTCTTGGCCATGCTCAAGAACTCCAGCTTGGTCAACCGACCAATCTGCGACGACATGTTTGAGAGGTGGTTCTTGTCCAGGTTTAGCTTCTGGAGGTTTGGCATGTAGTCGAACATGGTCTCCTTGAACTCAACCAGTTTTGCTGAAGCTATGTTAAGGCTTGACAGCGTAGGGACGGGTTGGTCCAACTCGAAGGAGGTGATCGGGCAGTGGTCTACGACGAGAACACGCAGCTTTGGAAACGAGCCTTTGAACGTGGTGATGCTGTTGTGACCGACGAGAACCTGTTCGAGGTTGGGCAGGTTTGTTATGTTGTCGATGTTTGTGATTGCATTAAACCTGGCGTCGATCTCTTTCAGGTTGATCAGACTCCGGAACGATTCGTTGAAGGGACCTTTCAAATCGTTGTTGGTCACCCAGAGTCGCTCGAGCGTGGTCAACTGCGCAATCTTGGGAAGCGCAGAAAGCTTGTTGAAGCTGATGTCAAGGTCAACGAGGGACTTCAGACTGCAGATGTTCTCCGGGAAGGTAGTAAAGTTGTTGGAAGAGAGGTTGAGGCTGCGAAGCTGACGGAAGTATGAGAAGTTGGGTGGCAGCTGCGACAATTTGTTGTTTGCGAGCTTCAGGCTCACAAGGCCCATCAACCGGTGCAGCTCAGCATGCTCCAGTTGTTCCAGTCGATTGTTTGATACATCAAGCACAGTCAGCCGGCTGGCCCAAGCCAAGCTGGGAGGTAACCGCCATACTTCGTTCCCGGTAAACTTGATCTCGCGCAAGTTGATGCATGCCGTGATAAAGTCTTTGGGTACCTTTAGTGCAAGGTTCCGAGAGAGGTTGATGGAGATGATTTCCGATGCCTTTGTGTAGAGGATAATAGGGATTGTGACCAGTGACTTCCCGGACAGATCCACATGGCTAAACTTCTGCATCTTGTTGAATGCCGGATCTTTGTCAAGGCCGCTGCCATAACCCGTCTGCTTCTCGTGGCTGAATGTGAATCGGATCAGGTAGCTATTGTCTTCTCTGCCGACATCTTCAACGCGGTCCCTTTCCGTGTATCCAGCCAGGTACAGGAGCTTCTTCTGCATAGCCACAGGCCGTTCTCCTGAGCCCAGTTGTCTTGAGAGCTGGTGTTTGCGCATGACAAGCTGGTAGTTATCTATGGAGTCGTGCAGCACCGATTTCTTTGCAAGCGACTGAAGCACTTCTCCAACCGTGGCATTGATCGACATGGACAAAGTAGCAAACGTGCCATCTGTTCTGAACACACGCATGAAGTAGGAGATGCCGTCCTCTTCCTGAATGGCGGGTAAGCCATCGTCGGTGGCCTCTGGCAGACTATCAAGCACCTCATCCTCCTGGCCTTTCACGGCCCAACTGTCTGGAGCATCCCAAGCAGGCGCCGACAGCTCCGACATTGGCGTGGCTGCAGATTTCCCAGCCCATATCCCTGCTTCTCCAGGAGTTTTAGGCGCAGCTGGCTGAGAGACAATATCCGAGATATCATCAAGGTTGGTGTCCAGGCTGAATATTCCTGCTTGCGATGGACCTTGGTGGCCACTTGTCGATCTACCCTTGTCAGAAGCCTCGCTCTGAATGCTGGGACCGCGATGCCTAGTCCGATGGAACCTGCCAGATTTGGATGAGGCTGTCTGGGTCCGATCAAGCTTCGGAGAAGGCTCGGATGGTTTGATTGTAGATGCACTATCCACCGAGGCGACGCTCGTCTCTCTGTCCCTTTTGTTGTCAGCGTCCGAGGCGGCGGTTTTGTTTGACGTGGCTCTGGGCTTCTTCGGCTCCTCTGGGAGGCGCACGGGCTCGACATTGGTCTTTACGGGCTCTGGCTGGGGCGAGTGCTTGTCCTTGTGCGATTTGGTGAATTTCGAAAACAGGCCTCTTTTCTCTGACTTCGTGGACGTCTCTTTGCGCGACGAGGGGGCCGGGCTGGCATTGCGTGCCAGTGCTGTAGAGGAGCTCATTGGGGTGGTAGCCTGGGGGGTGTTGCGGTAGAAAGCTAGATTGCTTGTGGATGATTCACGGCTGGTGGAAGGCCTCTTGGGCATCGAAGGAGGCGCTGCCTGGCCTTTTGGCGGATCCTCTTTACTTCTAGTATAGCGATGCCGGAACAGGCCATGCCTTTGAGATGACGCCGAGGAGCTGGGAACGAGCGTCTCATTTTGTTGTTGCTCTTGTTGCTCCTGTCGTATTGGCGCAGACCCGAAATTGGACACGTCCTCGAAGTTCTGATAGGCCCAAGGCGTGACGTCGCTGGACGGAGGCGGAGCAGGAGTTTTGGGTCGATCGTCCACCGTGTTCTGCGTCTGCGTAGAGCCACTCCGCTGGGCCGGCTTCTCCGACGAATTCGGAGGCGGCAGTTGTTCTGCCAGATTCGCTGTTGAACCCTTCCGCGAGTCTGTAGGATCCTCGCCAAAAAACCCCTTCAAACTTTTATGGAACCGACCATTTGCAGCGCTACTTCTTGAGCCCGTACTACTGACCGTCGTAGCACTCGCAATCGACGGCCGACGTGCATCACCATCATAGTCTAGAGAATCTGACATGTTCGTTCTAGCGGTATCGGGGCGCCTGAAGGAACCCTGTCCATCGTATCTACCAACAGACTCAGGGAAGTAAGATTGGTTCATGGACCGAGTCCCCGAGATTTGGGCCTGCGGATCTCGTTCCCACGGAGTGATATCGTCGTCGTGTGCAAGACGAGTCTCCCATGGTGCAACTTCGGGAGCTTGTATGGGTCTCGGGAGATGTTTGCGGCTGGCCGAATTCGAGTCCGCGTTGGTCCCGAATATGGCCATGGCTTTGGGGGGCATCGGGGTCGACTGGGAAGGTCTCGTGTCCCACGGTGCGATTTCGCTGTTTGAGGGCACCATGGTGGCGAGCAATACAAGAAGGACGGGATATGCCTAACAACAACACGTCAGTCCTACTTGTGCGGCCATGTCTCGTGCGCTCCCCGTGGTGTAGCACCAACAACCCACAGCGATTCAGCCCTCGGCACGGAAGACCTCAAGGCACGCCACCAGCAGTATAATTCGCGAGGTGAAAACAGCGAATAGCTCGAGCTGACCGCCTGATCCTCGAGCTCTGAATCTCGTTGCCCGAGGTATAGATCCTACTCACAGAGAGAAAGGCGTACCTTCGTCGTTCATCAGCACCAATAACCTTGATGTAACCTTTTGTCCCTCTGGCCGAAGTCTTCAAGTCATGATTATCCGCAATGCTTGTCCACTATGCTTCGGGCGCAAGATGTTGTCAGTACCATGCTCAAGTGAGGCGCAGTCGGCCGGTTATGAGTCGAGACTAAGACACCAGGTACGCTTTCGTGATGAGACCTGCTGAGGGCCTCCGAGGTAATGGGAGGATGGTTATATGGCTTCGGAGCGGGCCTCGATGTGGCTGGGTATATCCAGACGGGGCTGATCCAGCATTGCCAGTCGTCTGCTCGCAGTCGCCTCACCGGTCGCCTGGTGGTGGTGGTGATCGGTCGCTGGATTGAAACTCGAGTGTAGGGCTGTCCACGTTGTAGAAGGGCGTAGTGACGGCCCTCAACGGCGGCGGGGGTCGCAGGCACCTGAAGTTGCAGGTTGACCGTGAAGGCGACGATGAATTGAGGTCAAGCGGGTGAAGGTGGTGATGGCTGCTCGTACCATGGATGCAAGGTGTGGAGATCGCAGGTCAAGTGCGAAGGGACTCGAAGGTGAAGATGGGGGGAGCCAATCGACAGACAGGGATCGGATGCGGTCCAGGCTGCCTTGCCTAAAGCCTTAATTAGCCTTATGCCCTCGCCCGCCCGCGATGCCGACCAGGAGCCCCTCATTATTCACCTAATGTCTTGTGTAGAGGCTGGGATGGGGGTTCACTCTTCCAGCACGGAGTCTGGGTAGAGCTTGCCGAACAGGTACGGACATCAATCAACGCAGAGATCTGGAGCTACATACACTCCATGCATGCATGTCTATTCCGTAGCCAAAATGCGGGTGCAGGGGTGATCGATGCACGCCGGTCAGCTGTTGGTACTGCAGGCAAGGTCAACTACTGGCATGGCCTGTGAGAGATAACATCGGCGACGTGCTACAGCACAACGTCGTACTGTACTATCCCCGGCAGCAAGCAAGACGGATTTTCATCTCGTGATGCATCGCCCTCTTCTGACTGGTGCTCGGCTCCGCGCTTCCAAGATTTCATATCTGGGCATGTGGTACCGTCCGCTTGGAGCTGCCTCGCCGCCAATGCTTCAGAGGACAGGCCATGGATTGTTGTTCATAAACTCCAAAGTTTGATTAAAATAGTCGGTCATATTACGTGCCCACCTTTCGCTTCGCATACATTGAATACAAGAGGCATCTCCGAAGCACATGTTTCCGCCATCCAAGTGTCTGCGACTCCGCCAATGCGCAAAAGCTCGGCGTCCGGAAAGCATCAGGCTGCAGACAATGTCTTCTTCCCATTACCTCTGAACCAGAGCACATCCTTCCCCGACGTTGTCATCATATCCGCAGCAGGTATCGGCGAGACTGGCGCTGAAGCAGACGTAGGTGCCTGAGTAGTTGCTGCCCCCCTCGACAATCCCTCCCTGCTGTCCAACGCTCCAGTGCTTCCCGGACTATTTGCCGAGCTGTGCCGGAAGAAGGCTTTCCATGCAATTTTACTCCCCACGCCGGAGCTGCTATCCTTCTTCTTCTGCTTGCGTTCTCCCTCGAATTGGCCTGCCGTGGCGAAATCGGGTTCCACCATGGATCGTCCGCCAGGAGCTGGCGGTGCTGGAGCTTGTGCAGGCGGCCCAAGCGACCGCGATGATCGATAAGACCAGCGTTGCGCCGAGTTGGAAGAGGCGGTCGACGCAGCTCTTGAGTGAATAGGGCTAGTGGGAGTCCACGAAATATTCTCAATAATTTCCGCGACCGGGTCGACCTTGAGCTTGAGCTTTGGACTGCTTGTAGCGGAAGGCGGAGTTCCACTGGGACTACCGACTTGAACGGGGTCAATCTTGCCGTCTTGCTTGGTCGATTTCACCTTCGATGGCCGGATCGGTTCGGCTGTATTGGGACCCCCAAATTCCTTGGGTTTCATGCAAGACTTGGTGGTTATGTCGGTGTGATGCTTGGAGGAGTCATCAAGCTGGTTGATGCTGGCGAGAGGGGCACCTTTCTCTGTTACCTCGTTCGCCGTAATAGGCCGAGGAGGCAATTTGAAGGTCTGATGGGGGGCCTCCAATTCCACCGGCCCGTCGTCTTTCTTGGGCTTGACAGTAAGTGATTTCGGTACGACGGCTTCCAACTCGGCCACGAACTTTGTAGATGAGTCTGTGCTGGGAGAACGTCGGATAGTTGACCCTTTAGGAGCCAATTCAGGGTTCGCGGCGGGATTGAGGTTGCCGTTAACCATAGTTTGCTCACCAATCCGCCTCTTTGGGTTTTCGTCATCCCTTGCTTCAGCAACTTTCTTGCTGATAAATGGCGTCACTTTGGTTTGTTGTTGGCGAAGAGGTCCAGTGCCCGTCTTTTGTTGAGCTCGGCCAACTGCTTGACTCGAAATTGACTCCAGTTCCACCTTGTGATGTGCCGCCGCGAAGATTTCTTCCGCCACGGAGGCGGGATCCACCGGAACCATTGCCAGAGACGTGTCGATAAAATATCTTGGCTCTGATACTGAGGTTAATATCGTCGTTCCAGCTTCTGGAAACTCTGGTCCAGGCTCGCCTAGGCTTGACATTTGGGACTGAGAGCCTTTTCTGGACGAGGACGAGGACGGCCTTTTTTCCTGTGCCACGGGCCGACCAGTGTCTGTGACAGGCGCCGGAAGCTCGACAGGAGGCGCTGCCATGGCCATGACAGAGGAATGCAAGGTGAACGCCGGGCCCCGGATGGATGAGCGGCGTGTTGCTGGCGTAGATGCCTCATGGAGCGAGGCACGAGCTGACCTTCGCGGGCCAGTTGGAGGATCTTTAGTAGAGTTCAGACCGGTCCTGCTCTCCGGAGTAACGAAGCCGATCGAGGGACTCTGTCCTTGGGCGAGGGAGAATCCAGCCTCGCCTTCAGACATTATGGGTGATACCAGCTTTTGCACCGGCGTACCTTTGATGCCGGCCTCTGGGGTGAGCAGCAACGAAGAAATACCGGGAGATTTCAAGAGATTGCTTAGTGCGTGTGGATAATAAACACTGGATATGCGATGGCTTGCTGTGTCCTTCGACCTCAGACCCAGGGTCATACTAAGTCGATTCTTGACCGAGACCGGCGCCTGCCGGAGCGCATCTTCGGGTACATCAGCTGGAAGTTCACTAAGTTGTTGCTCATTAGATCGGATGAGCAGCCCGCCAACGCTAAGCATACGCTCCGAGGCATGCTGTGCCATGTCGAACGCTGCCGAAGCGGATGATAATGAAGTGGCGGTATAATCAGGCCTCCTGGAGTCCGAGGACTGCGGCGTTTGTAGACCCATAGACTGCGTGTGGGAGATCATACCGTGACTCGAGTTCTGACCGGTGTTCGGTCGACTGGAGAAGCTGGTGAGTTGTGTGCTGCGAGATGAGTTTCTGGTCGACTGTCGTCGACCGGGTTCAGTGGGTAGTGGTTTTTGATCGACTATTGGTCCAAAGGTGGATGGTGCACGGCCAGCCTGGGAGGTTATGTGCCTGGGTTTCTGAGCCTGAGCCCGCTAAGAGTGAGCATGTAGCCAAACGCACAGCAAGATTCAGCCTCACCACAAGATTCCTGCTGACCGCTGCAGCTCGTAGCTGCATCTCCGAGACGACCTCTGCGAGCTTCTTGAGTGACCCTGCCAGTTTGTTTCCCTGCAGATGCAATTCTAAGAAGGCCCGGCGCCACCCTTCAACGTTTCCAAGCATCGCAACAAGGACAGCCTCGTGCTCAGGCGAGTTTCTTTTCCACGTCGAGGTCAAATCGGAGAGATATTTGTCCATGACATTGGTTGCGTCGAATCCTTTCTGCACGTCCTTTAGTGCGTCCTTGGCTGCTTTCTTGGTTCGGCTGATGACATGGTCGATCTTCTCGTTCCCTTCGAGAATCGATGCTCGGAAAGCGCGGTCCTCCAGCATGCGGTCAAAGACGTCTCCGTGTGAAAGGGGAAGTTTTAAACACCGTATTCGCTCGTGAATGTCGCTTTGTGCCAAGTCAAAGTCCTCGGTGGTTCGTTCCAAGAAGGCATCGATATCATCCACGTGAGATTGCAAGATCCTCATCACCTCGTCTTCCGAGATTGCCATGTGCTGAGACAGCAGGTGCATGCCGAAGGTCAATTGGGCCACGAGTTTCCATAAAGGGTGATATTTTTCGCCAGCTTTCTGTTTCCAGCGGCCTGCAATAACTCGCTGATAGGTAGGCGCCTCAAGCAGCATACTCCTCCTGACCATAGCGTCGGTAGGTATATCATCAGCCACCTCATCATTTATTGACTCCATCATGGACTCTTCGAAGGGCAGCTGTAACTGCGGCACCGGATGTGAAGGCGGCGGCACAATTGCCTGTCCCCCATTGCTGATCTTGTCTATTGACATTGTGGGCGACGTAGCCGGTGCTCCACTGCAGACAGATGTCAATCCGACCCCAAGAGCACGGTTATCATTCCGCAACCTTTCGGCCTCCACATAAATTCATGTTCACAATGGCTCGCCCTTACAGCCACAACGCTCCTATATCATTCGTGTCGTCCTGAAGGCCCCCTCTTTGCGGACCACACACGCAGGCACCGGAGCAATGGGACTGAGGAGACGGCGTCGCAGGTCGAAAAGCTGGAAAAGGCCGGTGCAACTCAATCCAGCTCACACGTCTCAGCTGTTGTGTAAGAGTGGTGACAATTCTTCGAGACGATGGAGAAGGGCCTGCACGCGTAGAGGTGCTTCGACAATCGCGTAGAGCAATTGCAGGCTCTGGGTAGGCAATGGTCGGTGCTCTTGCCGGCACGGAGTCTTGACTGATGGGTGGACACAGGACCAGAGCCGCGTCAGATGTACTGAGCTATTCGAAGGAATGACGGACGCGAGGAATCGAATCCCGTGGTCAAGCTGGCGTGCACGCGAGGTACGTCCACTGAAAGGGGAGATACGGGGTAGCAGCTGTGGTAAGTGCTGTCTACCGTCAGTGTGAGCAAATCTATGTCAAGCCGCTACTCACGGAAATGTCTACGCCTGGCCCACCACGATCTTGATGGCCTGACTGCGCCATGTGGGCGATTCTGGAACCGGGTCTCATCGTCTCAGCATTCACGAGCAGCGTGGGACTTCGTGCACTGCTCGAGGACAAGAAAAGCAACGGAGGCACAACCACAGCAGAGCCAGGATTGGCCAGATCCATGTGCGTGAGTGATGGTGAAACTAAGCCTGCATTTCGCCGTGGGCTGCGATAGGTGCAACAAATGCCCGGCATGACGCTAACAAATTAAGGAAGCAGCTCATCAGTGGCTCGAATCCACTTGGGCGACCAGGGACGGACGGAAGCTTGCCGGTGATCTTTAATGGCTTGATCTTGGCGGATGCTGATGTTTGCGCCAGAACAAGCAGGTGAGGTGCTTGAGTGGAATAAAGATCTCAGGGGGACATTTATTCAACCGCGGCGCTTTGCGAGGAGGATGTGATGTGACGCCGTGGAAGGGTTTTTGAATATCATTGTCCGTGCTGCTGTGGTGGAATTGCCTACGGAGATTTTGCATCACCACTGCTGGGAGCCTGATTGGTAGCGCCGCCGCTCCGAATCTCGGGCGCGATCCCAAGCGAGGAGCCGGTGTTTTGGCGGCCCAGTGGCCTAGTGGTGCCCATCACGTCCATCGACGTCCATCCCACCCCATCGCAGGAGATGGATGGCATCGCTCATGGCCCCCGCACATCGCAGCATACGGGGGGTACTGTAGTAACTTTTCAACACCGTTCACGTCGCTTAGACTTCACAATTCAATAAAGCCCAGGACTCCATATCGGGTTCGAGAATCATTGAGAATGTCGCCAACACCGTATCCTCTTTCGCCCAGAGAAGATCTGCTGCGAAAATATCAGCACGTGTCATTGCACGACGTCCCTGTTCCTGCGGCTGTGATCGACATTGCAAAGGTAAAGGCAAACTGCTCTGCCATGCTCAATGCTGTCAAAGAGCTGCAGGTCAGCTTCAGAGCCCATGTCAAGACTCACAAGACAGCGGAAATCACCAGGTTACAGGTTGGCCAAGACTGCCAAGATGTGAGGCTCATTGTGTCAACCATCGTCGAAGCAGAGCAATTGGTGCCCTTGATGCTGGACTACCAAGGCCGGAATGCAAAGGTCAACGTCTTGTATGGTGTTCCCCTGGGGCCCTCACATGTCCAGCGACTTGCTGCTGTGGCTGCTCAACTTGGTAAAGGGTCGATCGCTGTGATGATCGACCATCCAGCGCAGCTGAAATGCTTGGTAGAATTCAAGAAACACGCGGGCTTCCCTGTATTGGTCTTTGTCAAGACAGATGCAGGCTACCACAGGGCAGGCCTGGCTCCCGACTCGAATGAGATGGTGGACCTGGTGCGGAGGGTCAGCACTGCTGAAGAGCAAGGTGATTTGATTCTGCTCGGATTCTATTCGCATAACAGCCTGAGTTATGGCGGCAGCTCCCCCGATGATGCCATGGACATGCTCAAGGTCGAGATTGACGTCTGCAGGCAAGCTTCTCAGCACTTGCGCCAGAGTCGACAGACGCCGCTTCTGGTCTCGGTGGGAGCGTCGCCAACTGCTCTTTCTCTGGAGAACATCCTACCCTCGGCATCGGCCTCCACTGCTTCTGCCAATGCTCTCAAAGAGACCCTGCAATTGACCAAGTCCAATCTCGAGCTGGAAATTCATGCCGGCGTGTATCCAATCTTTGATCTTCAACAAGTGGCCGCGTCCAGCCGTCACTTCACCACCGATCCGCACGATATCATTAGCGTGTCTGTCCTCGCCGAAGTCTGTTCTCTATATCCTAATCGAACTGAGCACCCGGAAGCCCTGACATCGGCAGGCTGTCTCGCACTCGCCAGGGAGCCTTGCAAAGACTACGATGGCTGGGGTGTAGTCAGTCCTTGGAATATGCCGAAACACTACAGCATCAAGAGAGACGAGCGCGTAGTTGTCAGCCGCATAAGTCAGGAGCATGGCATCTTGGCTTTTGAGCAAGGAAGCATTCAACGGCATCTCCCCCTCGAATACGGACAAAAGATCCGTATCTGGCCCAACCATGCCTGCATCACTCTCGCAATGTTTGGGTGGTATTTTGTCGTCGATTCGGACACGGATTCTCCCGACAAAGTTGTTGATGTCTACGCAAGATGGCGCGGTTGGTGACCGCCGGGCGACTCAGTCAGAGGGATACTGAGGCGATATCGTTTGTCATTCGACTCATCAACAACCTGTAAAGAACCAGGCCTGAATGTCCACATCCCAGGACTGGCTACACGATCCAAGCACTTCTTGTTCCCTGGACCATCAGCTGCTCCGAGCTATCCTTTGTTCATCTTCACAATCACCGGAAACAACGTAAAATTGACATTGCATCCAGGAAGTATGGAATACTTTGAAAAACAGCCATAATGACGACCATCCGAATTACATTCAAGCCGCTCCTAGCCTTCCGCATTGCGTCCGCCGGAACGCGCATTCGAGGGCCTGTGCTGGCTCCTGGTCCTTGTCTGCGAGATTTCAAGAGGATGTCAGATCGTTGAGCAGACATGTTTGAAGACCAACGGATGCAGTTCCAGCGATACAAGAGCGTATTTAGCCCCGGTCCCTCAAGATGTCGGTCAAGAGAGTCCGTCGTCGCCGTCTTATCTCCGGCACGAGGTCTTGACGAAGTCCATCTTGGCAAGACTCAGAGGCCAGCTACATACGATGTTTCGAGTCGAGATGCCACAACTGTTCCTAGAAGTCAATAAAACCGTACCGGGAAGCCAAACAGCTCCCAGACTCGATGTGCTCCCATTCTGCACACTGTTTCGTACACGCCTCAACCATCCCTTGGCCTTGCTTCCACACTTAGCCTGGACATCGACTTCTTGATCTTCATGCTTCTGCTTTCGCAAGATGAGGTCGAGCAACAAGTCCAGGAGAAGCTCTGATGCAACTCAGCTGAGCTGAGACGGAGCGAACCCAGCTCTTCACCTCACATACTCAGCCCTAGGAGCAACGATGAGAGCAGTTGGGCCACTGGCGGTGCGTCCAAGCCCTCTGGGACACTGTCCAGAACCGAGATAGGGTACGACTGCTGTGACGCCGTCAGGTTCCCTCCAAGATACTGTAGCGGCCATTGGAATTCCTGTAGTCTTTCTGCCCTTCTTCAGAGGGTACTCGCATGCCAGCCCTCCATCCGCAATGGGCCGTGATCTCGGGCAAGCAGGGACTTCAGAATGATCGGCCCTTCTTCTCAGCACGCATGTAGCGATTCTGGGCTAGTGAAGAACCCAGCACAGAGTGTTGCTGGTCTCCGTCAGCAGGAACGGAGGGACGAAGGAAAAGGAGGGATTTGGGATGTCCGGGTATGACATAGGCACGTCTGCATTTACTGTGGCGGGCAGTCTCAGCCCTGTCCTTTCCTTGTTATGTCGTTGGTCCTCGCATGGCGAGGCAGGAGCTGTGTACTGCATAGATAGTTCATAGCTCTGAGAGCTTTGCTCTCAGGAGATAGACAGTCAGAGATTGACAAGAGTTTACGGTGCCCTACCACATTTACCTTGATAGGATACCATGGCAAGACAAGAAAAGGTAGAGTAATCATTTTTGGCTGACCTGCTCACGGTACTTACTTCTCGTCCAAGGACACTCGAGCTGCAAGTCCCGCTTATGCGTATATTGATAGCCAGTTGTAAGTTGGTGGAAGAGTACTGCTCGACGCGACAACTTTGCCGTTATCTATGGCATAGCATGGCGTGGTCTGGTGCGCTGAAGGCCCAACCATCACGCGGGGGACGATTGTTCAGGGGCATCGTGGCAGTCCGGTCTTGGATGTCCCGGAGAAGGTCGAAGCTTTGCACGTTCGCATCAAAAGACGTTCATGCGGCCGGCACCACGAACACTAGCAGTCAGGGACGAGAACGGACCCAAGGCAACACAGGTCAAGTCAAGTCAGCTCAGCTCAGCTCAGCTCAGCGACCTAGTCCAGAAGTTTTGCAAGCGGGAAGGGCGGGTAAAGATGTGCAGCAACCACTCAAGGCCTGCCTGCCCACCTTGCCGATGTAGTCAGTTGCGCGCTCGCACGCGGGCCGCACGAATAAAGTGAAAGAGCATCCATCAAGCCGGTCCAGCGCGTTTCGGGCTTGGTTGTCAACATCGCTTCGAACGAGCTTGGGAATGTTCCTTCACTGTCTCAAGTCATTAAGTGAATGAGTGAGTGGGCCTGTCTGGTTTGTGAAGGTATGGGCATGAGTTAGCGATGAAGACGAGAGGCCACGGTCTCACCTTCGCCTCATGTCGCCGTCTCACGCACCGTCACAGCACGCAGCAGGAGTAGAGCTGCTAGACGGCTTGGTCTGTACTGTATGCATTGCCTGTCAGACAACCGGAGAGTTCACTCGGATAGAGTCTGTATTCTGTCCCTGCACGGCCCGAAAGCCAATTCTGACTTTCAGTTCAATCTCAAAGTCCCCGGAGGAGGCCTTGGGCGGTTCAAATAGCACGTGAAAGGCGGGAGAACCCTCACATGGGACAGATTGAGAGTATCTTCCCATCTGCAGGGACGGTACCTACAAGATGTACATTCCATTTCTTCGCATCTTGGCCTGAGTTGACGCCGGTGGAGCTTACTTGAACTTCGCAGCGCCGGCGGATACGGGAGAATGGGGACGGCAGACGGCAGGCATGTAGACACGGGACAAGGGAGGTTGCATGTATGTAGTTTGTACAGAGTACGGCGTACGGTAAGCGATATGCGGTGTCTTTGAGACAGCCCAAGAGGTGCTGGATTCAGATCCCGACTGCATAGGGATTGCCGCGAGGGCCATGCAGAAACGGGAAGCTGCAGGACGGAGGAGGCACAACGGCCCCAGAGTCAGCCGACCAAAGTGACGACAAAGTGACAGTATGCAAAGAGAGGGGGGAGGCGAGGTGTGGTCGGCACTGAACAGTCGGTGGTGGTCGTCGAGTCTTGGCCCAGAATTGTGGAGGATGGGCGATGTGAGCATGTCGAGATGGACGAGTACGGGGTAGAGGAGCTTGCGACCCCTACACAGTAGCTCAGTTCCGGTGACTAGCTACCGCGTGGGAATGAAACCCCGTGGCGCCAGCAGCGGGAACAAATACCCGTTGAGGTTTGCCCACAAGCTTGGGAAATTCACCATCTCCACATTCTCGCCTTTCAGGAAAGCGAGTCACACATGCCGAGCGCGAGAATGCCATGTTGGAATCTTCGAGGTTCACTAAAAATTACAGTGTGCGTGGTTAGTGGAAAAGGGGGGAAGGGTGGCGACATACGAGGAGATGACATCAGGGAGCATCATGGCCTCGAGAACCCCCCTTGCCGGGGTAGGGCAAGCATGCAAGTGGGCAAGCTCAATCAGCATCCCAAGTGATGGGCAAAGGGGACGGCGCAACGCTCAACGCTTGCACCTGACATTAGTTGCGATTCAAGGGGATCTACTGTCTCACAGCAAGTAGGCAGTGGTCTTGCAAGACAAGGTCACGCACGACGAGTGTGTGCTGATCGGCCGCTGCACCGCTGAACACCAAGGAGTTCCAGCATGCTGGATGGACTATCAATATAGCGGTCTTGGTCGAGCGCTAGTAAGAGCCCCATGTCCTGTTCATATCCGGAAAATGGGGTGGAAGTCTTTTCCACCTCGTCACATCGCTCGATCGCTTGACACATCGCTGTCGGAGAACTCACAAGTCGGTCAACGGGCGCTACTCGAAGGCGGGGGGCAACCAAGAGTGATGGTTGCCGATGAGCCTTGTTCGCCGATGCCCAGTCAGGCCAGGACGACTATGATGTCCTGATGATGGGTTGAAAAACACCTTTCGTCATGTGTGCAAAGGTCGATAAAAGGTTTCGGATAGGAGAGCCTGGTGAGTTTTAGTCCTCGTAGGCAGGAGGCCCTTCCTGCAGGAAAGAATATCCGACTTGGGCTTCGGATACGACATCAGACGCATTTGTCGCATGTGAGATCAGATCGTGGTCAGATCCAGGGAAGTCCAATTCTTGGGGTACAGGTGTCAGCCGGGGCTTCGAGGCACACACTTGAAAGAACACAGTGTTGTTGTATCCTTTGCTTGCTGTGCGGATAGCCGTCGATACTCCAAAAGCATGGAGTGTGAGCAAGCTATTGGTAAAAGGTTCAGGTCTAGCACGATATGTATGAGCGCGGATAAACCCTGGGATAAAGCTTTACTGTGTAGACGCCTTCGGGGTTGGGGCGAGCGGATGATATGACCCTTGCGATTCTGGCGTGCATCATACGGACTACAGTATATCAGATACGGGGTCCTACGTCGGTTCCCTGCAAGACCACCCCTTAGCCTTTGACAAATGCGAAACAGCACTACGGGATACAGTGAGCGGATTGAATGGAGTTTAGAGGCGTGGGTCAATCGAGCCCAAAGGTTGACAGAGCGATGTGCATATCCAAGAGCACCGAGACATCATCTCAGGACCTTTATGTAATCAAGATGGACGGCCAAGGAGAGAGTTTACACAGTAAGAACTAAAATCGCCCACGGCAGTGGGAGAGCGAGAGCATTTTGGTAGTTTTGGACTCTCGTATGCGGCCATGTCGCACGAATGGGAAGTCTGCAAGCTCTCGGACAGAGGGCGGTGTTTACTCCGTATTGTGTGCTCGAATGTGCAACTCCGAGACGCTCCGCTGATCACCGCTGGGCGATGGGCAACATTGCCCGTGATGTGGGACGCCCCGAAGAGCTACTCCGTATACGAAATGAGTGTACGACACAACTGGGGACAGCTATCAGATGTCCGGCAGTTTTCAGCAGTTTTCCGCCCGAGAATCCGTTTCTTTAGTGAAGTCGACGGTCATGGCAATCAGCGACCGTACCAGGTATAATCCATTTGACAGGAGACGTTGGCTCGAGCTATCACAGAAGCGAAAACTTGGAAACTGCACTTGTTGCTCGGTGCCAAAACCCGGAGTTGCGGATTGCGGGACCAATTGTCCCGCCCGGTCAGACGGGGAAGTACCCCAGCGGTCGCTAAGAGTCCGACAAAGGTGGGAGACTCTGCGAAGTCAGTGTTATGCGTCAACCTTTGCGGAATCGGCATGGTCTTCTTCCTTTTCGAGGTCGGGCTTCTTCTCGGCCAGTTGATCACTTGCTGGATCTGCAGAGTCTGGGGAGCTGTTAGCATGACCAATCTGGATGGGGGAGAGACGTGGGGAAACGACCTTGATGTATGTTCTTACGAGTGGGTGATCACAAGCATTGCGAGACGTGCGAGCACAGCCAAAGTATCTTGAGGCAATCCGAGCCGACGAATGAATGGGTCATTCGGTTGTTTACCGCAACAGAGGCAAACGCCCCGATGGTTAGGTGCTTGCGGATGCTGTTGAATGGACGCCTCTATGTAGCCACGTAGCATGGGAGGCTCGTTCCCAACTGTGCGCCAACACTTTGAAACTCGAGCAGGATGCGAACATTACCGCGTGGCTTGGAGGTGGCCGCTTCAAAAGTCCGTGTGGGTGTAGGGGGTGGATGTGATGCACGAAGTCAAGAACCCCATACGAATGGCATTTTGATAGGACTTAGCTTTTGCTACTGGAGTATCAGCGCCGCGCAGACGAAGCTTGAAGATTAGGGGCTCTGCTGAAGCCGGACCTCTTCGTTGCCTTGAGTAGCGACTTTCCAGCAGCACCCAAAGTCATATAAGGCCCTATGTGCACTGGTGTCCAGAAGTCAGGCTCTCGAATCTCGTTATCGAGTAACATGCCCCGAAGCGTCCGTGCTCGCTCACAGGTCAAGCAGTCGGACGCAAGAGGAAGGGATGAGCACATGTCAAGCAAGATTTTCGAGGGGAGTTCCACGTGCTGAGGGAACAATTGTCCAGGTGACTCGGTTCCGAGCCACTCACAGGGTTTGTTGTGCACTCTTGACGCGCCTCCTGGGGAGCTTCGTTAGTGTCGACGGGGAACCGGGAGCCGCAGGCCCTGCGGAAGGGTGACATGCTCACTTACCACACGCTCAGGTAATAGTCGTCGTGCCGTGGCTGGGATGACTTTTTCGGCAGAATTCAAAATTCACCATCGCTTGCCCAATGATAATGGGAATTATCCCTTAAATTCACCGTGATTCAATTCGCCCCAGTCGAGTCAGCTGCCTCGACCGTGTCTGGCACGGTGCACAGTAGTATCCTCTAGCATTCTGGCTCGCCGAGCTGTCGGTGGAAGTACAGTCTGGCGACACAGTCCCTAACACTGTTACCGTGTACGAGTCAGTCAGTCGCTTCTCGAATTCGGCGGCGATGTCGAGGGCTAGATGTGTGGCTGAGGCAGAAACAATCCTGGCATGTGACCCGCAAGACTCCTTCCAGGCCTGCAAGCTGCGTCGCAGTGCCACCTGTAACCGTCTGGTTAGCGGCTTCCTATCACTGCTGCAGGACGGACGAGGTACGAATCAGTGGGTAGGACAGATACCGCCGCCGAAGTAGCACTAGTTCCTATGGGCTCGGGGGTACCGTGAACACAAAAATCCCGGCGCCCAATTGGTGCCTGGCACCAGCACTTTGGTGCCTGGACGAGTGTCAGTTGGGGCTGCGGTAGAGAGTGCTCCGGGCTGTGATGGACCTCTAGGACCGGCATGTGGAGCAGCTGTTTTAGCGACCCCCATTTTCCCCAGAAGGAGCCATAATTCACCCCCAAGCGCGGACCGATGGGTACGTGTCCTGTCATTACAATCGCTTTGCCCTTAGCACTTGTTTTGGCCATGGTCGCTGCAAACGTCGCACCCCTTGGAAGGGCGAGCAGGTCTTCTCCCACTTTTTCCCTCGTGTCTCGAACCCTGCACCTCCACTGGCAAGATGCTCGCCTAGTCCCTTTCCCTGGCTGGGCTTCTGCTGTTCCCGGAGGTCGCAAAACTGAAAGGTCAAGTTGGGGGTCCCTCTCGAAACCTTGTCCACCCGAGCGCCGGGTTCTGTTATCCACCCCCTGGTCACTTTTCGTGCCTTGTGCCCTGCTCCTGCAACTCACACCTTTCAACCCTGGCGAAGTTGCACCTGCTCTCCGGCTTGTCGTCCTTATACCGTCCTTCCCCATCCGCGAATCTCCATCACCATTTCTCCCACACGTCTCTTCGGTAACCGCGCTCCTACACACCTCACCACCATATTTTCGTCCCTGGCACGCATCGTTGCACACCCTTCGACTGACCTTGAGAGACTGTCTCGATATCGATTTGCAGGGAAATTCACCGTCTGAAAGCGTCCCCATTGATCGGCCCGAGGTCTTCGTATTGCGTCACAAGCCGATCCCACCAAATTCCCACCCGTTTGCAGACAGCACCTTCACTGTCTGCGACTCTACTTGATCCTCCGCTGCGACACATTTCGGCGCCGACTCACTTCCTGCTTCTTCCCCTGCGGCTGTACGAATCACCAGCTTCGTCGAAATGCCTTCGCGCTTAAATGCGCCCCCCGTACTGTCCCTCGACAGGGGCAAGATGCACCACATCGATCCCTCCAACGCCTGCAGTCTCATGGCGATGTGGTCGATCTTTTCCAAATGCTCAGAGACATTAGAAGAAGGCCCACGGTTAGAGAATCTGAGTTGGCGGGTTTGGTCCAGAGAATCCTTATGCGTCACTCCCATCGACAACCCACCCCGGGCGAGCCAAGTGCCTTCACTCTCGAGCTCATGGTCTTCGAGTGACAGCTTGGCTGAAATGAGGTCCATACCAGTGAAGATCCGACACAGATCGAAATCACCCTCCCAGCACGACTGCGCCAGCTCCCTCTCCAAGTCTCGACACCTGAGCCCCGTGACACTCGAGAAAATAGTGGCTACGATACAAGAGAAGACCGATCTAGGCCCTTTATCGCCATCCCTGGAGGCCAGTCCTCCTTTCACCAAGTCATTTTCAACCGGGAAAGAGACTCCACCCGGGTCAGAGCTGGGGCCCCAGCCAGATCATGCGGTTCAAGTGAAGAACCTTCAAGACTCCACCGAATCATGCCTTTCCACCACCACCACTGCAACAATAAGTACTCAGCGTCAGAGCGAGCACCGCGACTCTGACACCTCTGTCTCCTCCGACGGACTCATCCGAAGCGGCTCCATCGTTCACGGGTTCTCGCCAGTTGCATCCTCGTGTCGTTCTCGGACGATCAGCTCAAGTCTCAAGCCCGTCGCTTCCACGAAGCTCATTCCCCAAGCCAAGAACGGCCTCAAATCGAAAGCCATGTTCACTCTCGGTGGATCGTCCGAGGATGATGAGTCTTCCTTTGAGCAGCGAGTGCTTTCTGTCAAGGCTGCCCCGCAGCGAAGCTCCCTGTCTCAAAGCTTGAGCAGACAGAACTTGTCCGGAGGCAAGAGTCAGCTTCAACCAAAACGAACCTCGTTCAAGGACGTTATTGCGCAGCGACGAATTCAAGAGGACGCCGAAAACGACGAAGGCGCCATCGAAAGCAGCGATGAGGAGGATGACACCGACGAAGTCATGGAGTCAGCCATTGACGAAGACGAGGAAGATGCCGATGACTGGGAGGACTCAAATTCCGACGACGGAAAGCCGTCTCAAGAGCCACATCTCTTCCGAAGGGTCGAGAGTCGACCTGACCTGGTCTCACGTCGCTCCATGTTGACTTTGGCTCTCAATAAAGGCCAAGGTGGCCTTGCTCACGCTTATTCCCAACCTGCCCTATATCGGTCGAGGAAGTCATCTCCCCCACAAGGACCATCGATGGCAAACTCACCTGAAGACGAGGATGGCATGGTGATGCACACATCAAACCGACCGCCCATCGCCGTCCCACCTCCTAGGTCGTCCAAATCACTGGCCCATTCACCCAGAACAACCAGGATCCATATGTTGTCGACAGAATTGACCGAGTCCTTGAGAAGACAGCTTCTTTTGGAAAGGAAAGTTCAATCTAACGCGGCTAACGCTTTCCTCAAGCGAAGCAGAAACGCTCAATCCATGGCCAACCTCACAACCATAGGCCGAGCAACAGGTGGTCCTGCGCCAGTCCTTGACACATCGAGAGACGAAAACTGGACTGTGGACAACACTTGGGAATACAACACCAAGGGATGGTAGCAGTCCACCTACACGAGTCTACTGTCACGCTTGAACTCTTTTTTTGGCTTTTAGCTTTCTCGTCTGCGTTCCGAGCGGATCATGTTATTAATGTGCTTTACGACCTTTTCCTTTCTGATGAGCGGGCGTGGAACCCATGCAAGGATGGTGTGGCCAAGCCCCATCCCATGTACAGAGGCGCATTTCGGACCTACATTGTGTGGTGGGAGGCTCAAAAGTGATTGTTTTGCTGCTAGCAAGGGAACTAGGTACATCCGACAGGACCTCACGGTCATCAAGGAGGCCCCTTGGAACCGAGTCGTGGTCCCATCAACGGGTAATTGCTTTGCTATTTCGACGACATGTACTATACTGCTGTATACCTGATAGCTCCGCCTACATACTTCGGTGGCAGTCTTGGGGGGAGGGCAGATGAGATTGCGGTCGAACGTGTACCACTACCATTAGCAGCCAATAATATCCGAGAAAAATTCAGTGCCCTCAGCTGTTTTCTTTCACGGATCATGATCATGCACAAAAATAATATCAAGTAACGGCGGCGGGGCTGATTGGACGGCATCCCAGCTGACCGGTCGTTGATGAGTTGTCCACACTTTCATGCATGGTGGTGTGCTCATGTGAGGACCTCGACATTTTCCAATTTGCCCGTGAGCCTACGAGGCCGGTAAGCTAGCTAACCGAACAGCACAGCCGTCCAGCCAGCAAAGCGTCCAGCGTCCAGCGTCTAGCGTCCAGCAGCCCATCCCGTCCGAGGCTTTGTGTGGCCTTCTTCCTACCTACCCAAAGGTTCCAAAGTCGCGAGTCCTAGCGCTATCTACAGTACTTTCACACCGCAAAGAGTAATTATTGTATGTAATTAACCCCCAATCTCCCTTTCCAACCTTGGAAGGCTCAAACACTGCGTCTTCCCAACAGGGAAATCAGAGGACGGGTGGATTACGGCACCGGCATCGGCATGTTTTAGCAAGTCGTCTCCAACGTGAGTAATCTACACACCTGAGTAGTAGTCCTGAGTACGGAGTACTATGTAAGTGAATAAGGGTAAATGAGTGAGTGCTGAAGGCACGCGGGTCATGAGTCATGGCGACCTACCTAGGTACCTAGTGTCTCTGGCCTCCTCGTACCTACGGTTACATGCGTAACACGAGAGCTTACTATACACTGTGTACTCTTATGTCTCTGTCTCCTTTGTCAAACTGTTCGTGCACCGTGTGTTTCCTTCCTGTATTCGGTACGTACGTGGTACAGGGTTCTGGAGCAAGAGACATCGGAAAAGGCGACGCGCGGAACAGATAACAACCTGACTCGACTGTGGACGTATCCTGGACGGAGTAGGGAGTACTCTGGCGCTGTGCGGGTACTGTACAGTAGCGAGGCTAGGTAGTTGGTATGTGCGTGAGAGGACGGAATGAGGTAGCCTTTGGCAGCTTCCTATTCCGACATGGTCCCATTCCAAGTCAACTCCCGGTGGGTGCCCGGTGGTGAACCGAGAGAGCGGTAACTCTACGGAGTACAACACACCTAGTCGCAATGCGGACGGGGGACGCGGGACACGGGACACGGAAAAAAGGTACCTGGTAGGTATACTCCCGCGACTCCGTGCTCCTGTCCGGTTATGGTGTGTGGGAGGTGAAGGTTGGGTAAAGAGGGCTGCCCGGTGACCTGAAGAAAAAGGGACCCGAAAGCTTAAAAGCCTAAACATCGAGTTGTGATTGAACTTAAGGTTGAATATTCGGGCGCCAGAATGCCAGTCACAGTGAAGTCCCGGGGCGGACATTTGTCCGAAAGTTATAATGGTCGGGCCTGGGCTTGGGCTTGGGCTTTCTCATGCTGAAACTCACAGACACCGGACTCGCAATTGCACGAAGGAAACGGATACACCGGACGGCAGGCAAGGTCCTGGGCTTCATGTCTTTATCTCAGGGTGCATGAGGCCGTGTGGACTACCTACGTTGTGATCATTTCCCCTCTCGCTATCACGAGTTTATCTCGTCATCAATCACATCTGCACCGTAAGTACCCGTGCTGTCCAGATGGGTGCCAGAGCAGGCAGCCTGGAACGTAGTCCGTCCAACGGCGCCAAGGCTGCCACCTTCTTCGTCCGGTTCGCGCTTAGAGTTGTCAAGAGCCGCGGCTCCGGGTAAATTACTAGAAGGCACATCCACACTCGTTCAGAGTACGGAATACACGGTTTGGGCATGCCTACGAGGAAGCCAGTAGTTAGCGTTGTGTGGTAAGCAGAGCTAAAGCCGGCGAGATGGATGAAGCGCGGTCGCGTTGGACAAGGGCCTCTGAGAGAACAAGCGTGCTGCTGACCTATGTACTTGATCTTGCTGACACTGTTATGGCATGCCAATACGAAGCATTATGTGCAGGTACCACACGCGTGTTGATAACGATGCTGGTGCTGCAGCCCAATCGAAAGCAGAAGATCGGATGGGGAATGGAAGTACGGAGTACACAGCACAGCAGATGATACTCCGACTGGAGTACTCCGTACTCGTACTGAACACGGAGTACAGAGTACCTGCCTTCTGATCATGGACGCAATGCAGGAGCTGTGGGATAGCCGCCTAGACACCCGGAAGTGGGCTCTTCACCTAACCATCGGTACCGAGGGCTTCCTGAAGCGTAGCGCTGCGAATGCAGAATAGAAGCCGTTATCCCAGCCATGTACTATACACTACCGAGTACCTCCACAGTCAACCGTACTACGAGAGCCCTTTCCTTTTCCGCCACGGGACGTCAATTGGGTCTCGTAAGTGAGTAAGTGAGGCGTACTGTAAAGAAAGGAGGTCACCATCCGACTAAGCGAGAACACCAAGTCTTCTCAACGCAATGTTTGGGACTATGTAGGCGAATCGCCTAGCGAGAGGTACCGCGGTACTTCGCCGCATAACACTCCTTACGAGTAGGGCACCCAGAGGTACCTAGATACTCCGTACCCTCCCGAGGACTCGCCATGATATCCCCTCGTTTGCCGGGTTGGACCCCAACGGGTTAAACCAACGAGTCAGTCGATTGCCGGAAACCCGAGACGTGCAGGGCGCGATCTCACGAGGCCTCAGGCATTACTCCGTGCTGTTGAATGTATCGCATGCAAGAAGAGCAACCTCACAAGGCACATTCGAATTTGAGCAAGGTGGTCAGGTGGCCCGAAAAGAAACGTGGAGAAACTGTGGAGGACTGGGCCAGCAGTTGGACCCAGCAGTAATGTGGAAAGTCCCGCCTTGGGACGAACGTTGTCCCCGGGAGGCCTAAGGATCTGTGTACTGTGGTACGAGTCTACACAGTAGAGTCGAGCGTCGAGAGTCTAGACAGCCAGAAAATCCATTGCGAGTCTCCTCGAGGTTCTGGAACGTGGTCAGTGATCGCACGATAGGGCATCTCTGGCCCTCGTCCAAGGCTGTATGTGTACTCCGTACTGTGTAGTGTCCGTTCATCAGTGGACCTTGGCCTCTGAAAGCAGGTACCACACATGTACTATCTACCCACCCATAGTGTGTTGGCCAGCCTTCTGCCCTTCATACTGACTGAAGGTCCATCAAAGGACGATCATCTGCCGAGCCCGGACCTTTACCTACGTGCCGAATCTGCAGTGAAGTTGGAGTCTAGGCCTTGTTGCCAGATTGCGGGGTGCATGAGCCCCAAATCCTAGACATGACTCTGGCCGGTGCGCCGGTCTGGGTACTTTGTACTCTGTGCTATACCGTGTCGCACGAGGTCGGATTAGGAAATAATTAGCACAGACCCGCATCGCGACTGTGTCTCGCAGCGATGAGGGCCCTACTTTGCCCGTGGTAATTGCTGGCTACTATCGTACAGGTAGCCTACCCCCATACACTACTCAGAACTGGGTACATGACGGTAGAGTGAGGCGCCTCCTGGTCGGGCCTGTGCCCCTGTTGAATATCCTGAAGCTCCGGCCCGGCTCAATGTGACTGAGGCGTCGGCGAGGGGAGCAAAGGCCAATCTCGAGGCTTCATGCAATGATCAGGAAGGACGTGTACGTACCCCAACCTGGTGCGGAGGGCCATCTCAAAGCTAGTTGCTTCGAGAACCACATCTATCTGCACAAGACAAACGGCGTATTTTGTCCCGGTCCGGAATATGTCCGCCCAACTGAGGCGCCGCTGCAAACTCTACTTGCCTGATTGATTGAACGGCGTCTAGAATATTGCTGCGGACTCGTGTCTTATTTCTTTCGTACCGAGTCTGTTATTTGTCTGTCAAGCTGGTATTGTGACTCTGTGCTGACAGCTACACTAACGGACCCGTGTTTGCCTCTTCTTCGCTCTCGGGATTGACGCCCCGAAATGCATTAACAAAAGTGGCGGTCCGACGACAGGGAGGACCCTGCATTGAATACGCAAACCCACCACTTGCACCTGCTGTTCGGCTTACCCGCGAAAATGACGACCCGTTGGCACATGCCAAACAGATGACTTCTGCATGATGCGTAGATCTCTTCATGCATGATCGCAATAATGCAACAGTAATTGGTGGCAAGAGAGGCGGCAGAGGCAAATGCCAGAGTGGACGATCAAATGTCTGTGGCGGCGTCGGTCAGGGTTTGCGCAATCTTCATCAAAATTCTGCGTGTCTCCGGGTGTGTGCTGGACGTCGCCGCAGTCCTCCCGAGGGAGGTCAGGACGTTGCGGTGAGGAGTGCCTTGGTCTCAGATCATGGAAGCCGACAGACAATCGTAGAGCACGTTGGGTTCCGGTGAATCTTCGTTTCTGCGGGGAAGAGAGCGTTCCGATGCCGAGGTCAGCGTTTCATTCCGACCGATCACGACGAGAGAAGCAACTGCTGAGACCATCGGATCCGATGCGTCGGGTGAAGTTCTCGTGGTCGCTTGAGGCCTCAGGCATGATGCCAACGACGAGTGTGAAAGTCTCCATCTTGACCTCGTCAGGCCTCATGCGATGGGAGAAACGCGTACAAGGGATGGATTGCGGTACCAGTATGGGTAGCAACACCGCAACGTCAGCCCAGCAGCCGGCATTCCGCGACCCTGGAGGAAGGCTGTGGCATGCATTCCTGTAGGCGGCGTGGCTCATCCATAAGCTTGAAGCTCTGTACACAGTACCCAGCCAGACAGGCCCTTGATTTTGCGGGGGAAAAGGCAAATCCGTCGCCCACTTGCACCTGGGCATACACTTTACGTAGCCTTGGTTGTACAGAGTAGCAAAGTACGGAGCATTTGGAACCGTCTCAAAAAGGATCTACGAGAACCGTACCTCGTATTCGTTCCTTCTGGCGCTCCGGTTGGTGGTCTGTCTTTTGTCGCATGTGCTGCTGGCTCCTGATGCAACTCTACTCGGGGCATAGGCAGGTTTTTGAGCCTCGTCAAGGTCAACACTCACTAGTACGGCATGCGAGCCAGTCACACGCGCTTGCGAGTAAGCTGTGGTTAGTGGTGAGCGGCGGGAGGTTCCTAATGTAGCAGAGACCTGGCCACGGTGGGCGACTCAGCAGAGCGCATACTCTGTCAGTCGATGCGTACCGAGTGATAATTACGTATTATTCTGAAACTCGTTCGACAACTCGTGAGGAACCTATGTAGCCAGAAAGGTAGTGGGATGTTTCCCGGTCGATACAACTTCCAAAGGTTCTACGAGGTGGGGGGAAAGTTAGAGATGGACGAATTGCTCCACGCAGCGTCGATTCGGGGAGATCTCGCCGGCCAGTGGCTTTAACTCAAGCACCGTTCACTGCCTGGTATTGTCCTGTGTAGCATCGAGAAATGACTCGAACCAGCGACGTCGTCCCCCCCAGCGTTCTAAGGACGAGTGATGGAATTTGACAGAGTAACAATATTTTCCACGAAGGATGAACTTAAATTTCTGAAGCCAATTGCATGGCAACGACTAACCTGCGTACTGTGGTACAGTGTCTCAAACCTGTGCCTGCCTAGTTCTGAAAGCACGTGTTTTGCAGAGAAGCCGGTGACTGTGTAGGGAGGGGCTGGCCATGCCCGAGCGTCTGGCTCGTCGTGGAAACCTGCACTTCTGCATCTGTTGTGACCTGAGCGAGAATACTGATTTAATCTTGCTGCCATTCTTGACGATTACAGACAGTCTTCAGCGAGTGTTTGGGATGTCGACAAGTCCAATAGGAGGCGACCACGATGCTAGCAGGACTGCTTGACTTGTCCAGGCATGGCCATGTAGCATGAGACCGAATACAAGATGCTGACCTTTTCGATAGTTGAGTGGTAGATCCTTCTTTGAAGCAATACAGGTCCATGTTTGGCAAAAACAAACCGCTAGTCTGGCCCACGCCCAGAGCGACAGACTTCGCGAGACGAGCCTATCGAAGCTGCAGACTCACCCTGCGTGTCGAACTCTTCAAGAGCTTGACCATGACCCTGTGTCATCCTTGACTGCTATCGCAACTCAGAGAACAAGATAGGTAAGCATCTCAACAATATCGTCCACCTTATCCGCCCGGCTGCGAATGGCTGAGGGGGCTGCTTTTCCGTGCTCATCCCCTGGTGATGTTGGAAGTGGTCCAGGGGTGACCCATACTACGGATGGAAAGAATCCAAGCATGAAAGCACATGCAAGCGATTACGGATAATGTCCTTTTTGAGATTGGGCCCGAGCCAACATAGACGGGCGATCGGCTGAGATACGTCTCCTCGGAGTTGGTAACATGCAGATGGGAGCATCAGGCCTCTGTGTGCCACTTTCCCAGGGGGGCCTACAGTCGCACATGGCGGAGCCCGAGTAACCAAGCTGGGTTCCGGAAGGCTGGAAGCAATACAACAATCCTTGATTTACTGGGTGTTGCAGTCTCACAGCGAGGTTCTATGAAAATATCCGGATCCGACTAGTTGGGCTGCGCGGTGAGCCGGACATTCAACACTGTTTACGGTTTGACAGGCGTGACAGGTTGATTGGAGCATGGAAGAGATGGGTATGCAGACGCAATCGCAGGATCGAGCCGCCGCTTCCTCCCGTGTGGATAGGGAGGCCTTGCGCCTACAGTACCTTGCGACGTTGTCAGGTCGCATTAGCCACTGTCCACGGATCAACTGGGTCTAAAAGACGGCCACCGTCGCTCTTGGGGGTCTGCTGGAGAGCAAGGACGAACATGCTGACGACGTACTCCGTATGTGAGCTTCTTCTCTTGCATTGACCTGTAGTAAACTGGAAGTCTTGGACAAAGAATTAGGAGCTCAACCCCACGCTCTCGGAAGCACGGAGGCAACAGTGGGCAAAGTTTGATGGCCAGATTGGGCGGCGCCTTTCTACAGTAAGAGCTATCAACTGTCCGCGAATAACTGATTGACCAACGCGTAGACTGACCGGCACAGGATATAGAGAAATAAAGAAAGTACTGTACTATGAACACGGCGTGATAGTTGCGCGTGACCAGGCTGTGGAGCTGGGCGTTATGAACCGGGAACGGCAGCTTCCGAACCGCAGATACGGTGTCCAGACAGTCGAAAGGGTATGGCAACGACCCTGAGTGGACATCCCACCCTCCCACGGGCCTGGGGTGGTGTGTGCCAGAAGGCGCCCAGCGAGACCGGCGGTTGAACTTCCACGTGGGGTGTCGAAGCAGTGGGTGCTAACGGACGCCGCACCTCCTCAGTTGACTCTACTGGGCGATAGACGAACAAGACGTCAAACGGTGTGCACGCCGAGTCACCGATTGAGCGTCGCATCAGCTAACGGAGAATAAGCAAGTTCAAAGATAGCCGACGCACTGAAGATGTGTTGACAATACCCCTGCGTTAACGATAGGACGGGTTGACTTACTGCATTCCAGGAAGAGATGGGTTTGGCGTTTAGTGATGAGGCTAGGGGAGATGCTGTCTGTTATGAGGCGACCCCTTCACCTAGCCGCCGTGACTTTTCACACTCGAGCAGCCAGTGAGTTCAGTTGAATCAATCACGTTGGGCCATGTGCCGTCCTCTCGACAATGTAGTGTATACCTGGACTCGGGGCACCGAGATTGGGAACGAAGCGGACTTGGCTGCAAACGTCCACAAAGTCTGCACCTGGCATTATTCGCTCACAAGACTGAGTGCAGTGTAACTAGGCGAGTACAAGGTCAACTGCACGCTCGGACAGCTGAGAGGACCAAAATTCACAAGAGTCATCAGGTGGTCGTTGTTGTCGTTCTAGTGATGTCACTGTAGACGAAACGAGAGTGCTTAATACCTAAGTAAATGCGAGGTGAGTGCGAGCCAACACCCGAGTGAGTCAGAAGTCACAACAACTGACCTCCTCGCCGCCAAGATCACAGCTCGATGTTCTCGCGCTTGTGTGACTCAATCTCAGATCACTTTGTCTTATTACCGGGAGAAGCATACCTTGATGCGCTGGTCGCACCTCTTAAGACGTTGGCACAGAGTTTCGGTGCCCCATTTCAAGTCACTTGACCTTTCCTTCGCCTCCATTTGCCTTCTCGTCACTCGATCTTCATCTCCCTGTACTCCGTGCTGTGCAGACGTCTCCACCTTCCACCCATCATCAGATTCGGAAGTCTTGCATCTCTCATCTCAACGTCCCAATAACCGAACCTGGTCTGCCGACACCGGACGATCTCATCATCTGTGCCTAAAACGGACACGGCGCAAATCAAGGAACGGAATCTTTGTGTCTAACCATCCTGCTAGCCACGGTGCCAACTCATCAACAAGATGTCACTTGACGATTCTAGCCTCAGTAAGCCTGCAGCTTCTTTGTTCGCCCGCCTCGTTGCGCTTTTGCCTTGCATTAATCCCGATTCAATCGCAATTCCACCATTCGAAGGCGGCCCCCGCGTAAACGAACACCAAGGCGCCTCCGCGTCGAATCTGTTCCTAGCCTGGGGTGATGTGCACGATACGGTCCAGCCGTTGAAACACTGCCCTCCGGTCATCTGATTGCTGACTTGTTCCATTTGCTGATCGCGACTTGCGCCCGAATCCAGGCACCAACCACCAAATTGACCGTGTCAGCAGCCAAAATGAGCATCAACCACAACCCGAGCATCAACAACCTGATCCTTCGAGATCGGCCCAAGCACAGCCAAGGGTATGCCGCTTCTTCAATACGAACAAAGGTATTTTTCCTCTGTCTTTTGCATTTCAATTTTCTCATTGGCCAACGCCATGAAACGATATCCCTCCAATCGGCCCCAGGTCGAACATCCTCCAGAGGTTCCAGCCTGATGCCTGGCTGCGCACCAGAACGATAGTGCTCGTCTTGTACCGCGTACCCGCTCGTGGAACTCAATCACACATGGGCAACATCGCACGTGATGGCATCTCTGACAAATGGTGGTAGGTTGTCGCGTTGGCTCTCAATGTCCTTTCAGACACGTTCAGAGCAAAGGAAAAGCCCCATCCACAGAGCAGACGCCTGGCCGGCAGAAGGCCCAAGACAGGGCAGGCTTTTCGGTCGGAGACGAACGGCAGGCTCTCCCACATCCAGCTAGATTCCCCGTTACTCGACTAAGTCCGAGCCAGAGGCCTGTCTCGCAGCTCCAGCAGGCCAATCCACGTGAGTTTCAGCTAGGTCAAGTGCTCAAGAGATTCGGTCCGACTCGCAGCGAGACTCAAGACGGAACGCTCTTGTCCTTTGCTCTGGCCCCGTCGGATCCGGATTTTCCGTTCGAATTGCAGGGGGGACTACGATGCAGCCTGACCGTTCCGGCCGGATACCCGCAACATGGCAAGCCGACGATCCGAGTCACGAATGCTCAGATGGCACGAGGCTTCCAGATCAATGTGGAAAAGGGATTCGACAGCCTTGTCGCGAGCTCCCCGAAGAAGACACTCTTAGCGCTGTTGAACGACCTGGACAGGAACTTAGAGAAATTCCTGACGACAGAAAAGGCACAGACAATCAAGCTCGTCGCTAATGCGGATAAGAGACACGAGGCACCCCAGCCGTTACCAGGACCAGCTCGGCATCGATCTCCTTCACCGGTATCCGTAGCGGTGGTGTCCCGGACGTGGACAGCGCACCAGAAGTCTGACGCTCTGGCTAAGAGACAAGCTGATGTCCGGCAACTCGAGGCTCGCATGAGCCGGATGCCCAACTTCTCCAGATCGCCTGATGGCACAGCTTTTAACATTCCCGTACACTTGCCCAAGGCAGCCAGACTTCCTCCCAGCCTTCAGTCCCTGAAAGAGGTAACTTTATCGGTGCCAAAACTGTACAACCTGGAGCCATGTACAGTGTCGTTGAAGGGTGTGAGTGGACCGGAAGTGGAGAAAGTCCAACTCGCCTTCAAGAGGCATGTTCGAGATAAACGCGACATGACCCTCATGGCACATGTCAACTATCTAACGCAAAATATGCACACGATGGCTTCGGAAATGGCAGGCGCTACGGAGCCTCCCGAGACCCATGACCAAACCAAGCAAGATGCCCCGGAGGAGACAAAGCCTGAAGCGTCGCTGGATGAAGGATCAGAACCACTGCGAGGGATCTTAGAGGAAGAACGCCCACACGTGAAGTTCATTCCTTGTCCACCCGAGTGGGAGCGCCACGGTTCAGAGGACGAAACTGACGGGTCTTCCTATGATTCAGACGATTATTCTGACACTGAAGATGACGAAGACGAAGGTGAAGATGAGGATGATGACGGAGAAGATGAACAAGGCGGTGCTTCACTTCCTGCACCAGCAGCATCGACCTCAACCGACACAGGTATTCATCTCTCCTTCCCGCAGCTGGAGCTCCAAAACGTCGAGCTCTTGACCCTCGTCTCCCTGTCACTTTCAGTAAAGTGTCTCCGATGCAAAACGCTCTCGGATGTCTCCAAGATTAAAGCCAGCAGCAAGGCCGACGACGCCGGTTCCATCGCCTCCAGCACCCGCACGGAATCCTGCCCAAAATGTTCAACTTCGTTCACCTTCCTTTACGTGCCCAACACGTTACACGCGAACACGATCCGCGCCGGCACGATCGAAGCAACAGGTTGCACCATCACGGACCTGCTCCCCTCCGTTTTTCAACCGACCTGCTCGTCTTGTTCTACAGCATTTCCGGTCCCGCCCGGAGTGGTCTCGGTGCGCGGCGACACTCCCATCCAAGTGTGCCGCTCGTGCCACGCGAAGATGACGTTCACGATCCACGAGGTTAAATTCCTGCGTGTGTCACACGCTGCGGCCGCCATTCCAGTGCGCCGTCCGAGGAAAGAAAACCTAGGCATCTCCGCCGGCACCCCTCTCCCCAACAACGGCACTTGTCCCCACTACCGTCATTCGTACCGCTGGTTTCGCTTCTCGTGCTGTAATCGTGTGCATCCGTGTGATCGGTGCCACGACGCCGCAGAGGCTCATGTCAATGAACGCGCCGAAAGGATGGTGTGCGGGTGGTGTTCTCGCGAGCAGCGCTTCCGGCGTGACGACTGTGGCCTGTGCGGTAGGAGCGTGACCAGGCAGCGGAAGGTCGGTGGGTTCTGGGAAGGAGGCCAGGGCACGAGGGAGAGACGGTTGATGAGCAGGAACGAGAAGAGGAAATACAAGCGGCCTAGCGCAAAAGAGGCGGCTGCCGCACAGGGGAAGAAGCACGTCAAGAAGGAAGGATGAGGTTTCACGCCGGACTTTGATCGAAATACCTGTGGGGAGCGAGTGAATAGCTTGGTCTGTAAGTCTTTGTTCTCCAATACCTGGGTCTCCACAGTAATGTCACTGGCAGAGCGAGACAGATGCTTGGACTCAATCACCCCTTGCTTCACGCACACGAACGGAACATTCATCTATCTTTCGTCTTCTATTGTTCGATATCTATTTCCTTATCTGGCTTGTCTAGTTCCGGACCATTCTGTCGCATAACGCGCAATGAAGCCAAAGCAGCGTCTGCGAGTCGCAACTTAAGCAAGAGTTTCCGCCAGTACTATTGCCCGTCACACCACCATCGCCGTGCGCAAGCCAAGTCGACTAAAATAGGGCTGGACATATGCTACGTGCACCGCCATACTAGCGGAGGCTTCGCCTGCTCAGCAGCTCAAGATGGAGCCCCGGCGCAAATCGAACTGGACGTCTCCTTCACGCCACGAGGGCTCAGCACTTTTCGCCGTACTGTTTCGAGCGGCGACACCGTATCGGTTGCTTGCCGCCACGTGACCTTCATCCACATCCCATAGGCCCCGGTTGGATGCCGGTATTGCACGACTTTCCAAGCCAGAGATACTTGCGCATGATGTGTTTCAGATGCATAAAGCCGTGCTGGCTTTTCGGGTTACTGGAGACGCCACTAGAGACTCTTGAACCTTCCCCGTGGTGGTATTCAAGGTGAAAGGGACAAGCCCTTCCAATCACAAGCCGGACAGACAGCAGAACAACGCTGGCCATGGTGGAAAGCATCCTGTTAGTCACATTTTCGTGGCCTTAATCATCCTTCATTCTTCTATCTCATTTTGTGGGTGGGTATCATATCGGTACATGGGTCGTAGCTTTTGTTCATGCCATGCAGGCTCTTGCTGATGGCCTCCGAGGAATGCCGATGCCATGCCGCTGAAATAGGTCTAAAAGTCATTGTCGTCGCTTCCAGCTACAATCACATTGTTGATTTTCAATACCTGGTGGATGTTGGTCAGTGGAGGTCATCAGAACAGTGGCGTAGACTTACCATCCGGCACAACTGAGTTGCAAGCAGCAATTGTTGGCGCTTCCCAATCAGCGGATCGATCACGAAGTTTTCGCGCATATCTATCGTCCTGTCAGTGATTGTCCAGAACTTGACGTTCGTGGATAGATTACCGTTGTTGCCGGTTTGCATGCAGTCGACACCTAGCCTGGAGTTGTGTTCTCTGATCTGCCGTGACTTGACTTCGGCCAGGGTCTCGATCGGACTCAAGCCAGAGTTCTCTGCAAGGGCCATCGGGATTGCATCAAGAGCGTCAGCGAAGGCCCGCATAGCATATTGCTCCAAGCCCGGGGACTTCGATGCAGCATCCTCGACTGCTATTGAACACGCGATCTCGGCAGCTCCGCCACCGTAGACTACTCTGTTGTCCCTAACTAGGTTCCGTACGACACAGAGAGCGTCGTGGAGAGATCTCTTCGCCTCATCAATGATCATCTTGTTGCTGCCCCTGACGAAAACTGTGACAGCCCGGGTGTTCGCGCATTCCTCTATGACAAGCATCTTCTCGCGCGTCGTGCCGAATGCCATCTCTCTGACTACGCCAGCCTTGCCGAGTTTCTCTGCACTGAGGTCTTCAAAGCGAGGCACGATTCTGCCGTTTGTCGCGATGGCGATCAGCTCGATCTCGGGGCCGCCCACCCATCGTACAGCCGGTAACTTATTCTGAAGTAGCAGATGGTTTGCTTCATCATCAAAACCCCATTGACAGATGACAAGATTAGCCCCCGTAGCTTTGATCATCTCGATCATCTCGATGAACTTGTTCCTCTCGTACTGCTGCAATTTCTGGAACTCTGCGACGGTGGAGATATCGAGTTTATGTTTCGTCTTGGGTTTCGGAGGTTCAAAGGCGCACGTGAGGATGGCTAGTTTCGCGTCTCTCACCTCACTGGGCATCTGTGGGTGAGAGAAGTCCTTATCCACAATGACGCCTTTGACGAGCAGTGAGTCCTCGATCGAGCCCCCAGCCTTGCCATCGACCTTGATCAGCTCAAAGTCAACGTCTTTGCGTTCCAGGTCAGCAACTGACATGACAGCGTCGACAGCAATCTTCGCAAACTGGTCATGCGCCTTGCTGACAATTTTACTTCCAAGGCTCGTCTTTGCAACCTTCATTAGATTCTCCTGCTTTTCGCGAGTGAAGGTGATCTCGTCGCTGATCTGGTCCAGATGTGCCACAGCAACCTCGCATGCCTGGTCGAAGCCATCAGCGATTCGTATGGGATGGATGCCCTTGTCGATCAGATCAGCGGCTTGGTCCAGCAGAGCGGCGGCCAAGACGACTACACCCGTAGTACCATCACCAATCTCTTCGTCCTGTGATTTTGAGAGTTCCACCATCAGTTTGGCGATAGGATGTGTCAACTCCATCTCGGACATGATTGTGCGGCCATCATTGGAAATTTGGATATCTCCGTCTGGAGATATGAGGATCTTATCGAGGCCTCGAGGACCCAAGGACGTTCGGACGATGTTGGCGACCGTGCGGGCTGCAACAATGTGCTGCTTGACGGCATCTGTGCCGTGCGCTCGTTTCTTCTTTCCTTGATCTCGAACGATGATAAAAGGTCGTCCGCTCTCATCTTTGGCTATTTGAGCCTGCGAGAGGTCCAATTGCATCGCCATAACGCCAGAGATGTCCGACACCAACCTCCACCGCTCCTACTCCTCTTGGATGACTGGGTCTTCTGCCGCGCAAAGCGAATGCGGTCGTAGGATTAGTGGAGCCTGTCTTGTTGAATGATTGGAAAGCGGAATGTGCAACAGAGACTCAGCGGATCAAGACCTTTCTTCAGACCTGCAGCCTTCGTTCTTCCTACACTAGGGTTCAACTAAGTAGAAAGGTAGAAAGGAGCGAGCCGCTCGGACTGCGCGCGTGAGTTTCTGTCCCCTCGATGGCATGCCCTCAAAATTTTGGAGTGTGCCCCGAACTCCACCGTAGGCCTCTCCGCTTATTCCTTTGTGGGCTCTATGCGTAGCCGTAAGATTCGATCGTCCTCCGCACCACCCATCGCATCGCATCGCAGCCGTTCGAGTTCGATTTCACGCGCATTAAGCGCAGAATGCGCGACACTCTTCTCCCGCATTAATCCATACCTTGCTTCTTCGTTGACTCGTTTACCGGTGCATTGGCACGAAAATGCCTCGACTTGCGGGTAAGCCGAAGCTCAGACTCGTTTGAGTTGTCCCAGATTACTTCTCAGCTACTTACGGTTGTTTAGGGGAGGATGGCTCCGATATCGACGATGTCTACGAAGAGGCAGGAGTCGACGTCGACACTGAAGCCAAACAACAACTGAATGGCGAATTGAAGGACAACCTTGACAACGATGCAGAGTCAGCGCCCAGCCGAGCGAAAGACGACGACGACGAGGAAGACCTGACGACTGAGGCTAAAGCACGCGAAGAAGATGAAGAGGACGACGAAGATGAGGAAGCAGAGGAGTACAATGTCGAGTCAATCCAGGACCATAAGTTTGTCAAGGGACAACTTCTCTACTTCATCAAATGGCAAGGCTATCCGGCTTCGCAAAACACGTGGGAACCGGAAGAACATCTTCTACCGTATGATCTGTATCCTTATCGTCAAGCGTGACAGGACTAATAAGGCAGCCTTGTAGACATTCCCGTCTCATACTTGCGGCATACCACAAAAGGATTGGGGTTATACCACAAGCACCTATGAAGAAGGGCAAATCAAAACAAAGTCTACGGGAAACGGCCTCTTCTGAAGATCTTCCACCACCCAAGCGTCAGAAGCGCAATGGCGCGAAGTATGCGAAAGACGCTGAACAAGACCTGTCCTGGTTGCCGAAGGGTGATCAGTGGGAGCCCCAGGTCGAAAAGGTCGAGACAATCGAGCGCGACGAAGAGACCAAACAGCTGATGGCATACATCCTGTTCAAGAACGGAAAACGGTCCAAGATCAGCATGGATATGGTCTACAAGCACTGTCCTAGACCTATGCTTAGGTTCTACGAGGAGCATTTGAAGTTCAAGTGAGCAATGGTGCTTACCGCGATGATTGCACATGTGCTCACAGAACGTTCAGTGGTTGAACGCCGATCATTTTCACTGTACTAACACCCAGACGTGATTCTGAACTTTCGACGCGTCTAGGACCGCGACTTCTCATGCTTTGTGATGTTGATTGTGCATGGCGCAGGAACAGGAGGGCGGCTTATGTCTGGGGTGCAGATGAAGAGTCTCACTCAAGCTGAGGGAGAGGTGCCATGGCGCTGAATCAGCGAGCAGTGATGAATCTGAACTGATGCGCTCCGGCCTGGAAACCTTAACGTGGATACCGCGACCAGGGTTACAGTCCCCCGAGAGTCGGGAACATTGCAACTCAACAAATAATTGGCTGAGAGCAACGACTGAGCTTTCTACGACCAAGGCCTGGCGTGCAGAGGTTCATTCCAGACCACGTGGGCTTAGGCTGATGAAGGAAGGAGTCCAAGACTGCGGCCAGCATAAAAGTCCCATGGCAGAGCCTAAATCGGAGAGATGCTCATCGAACGTTTCCCCCCTTGCTTACCACGACTGTCTCTGTCACTGGCATTGTTGTAGCTGCAGATTCAGCTATGGTGTCCCATATATGTATGCCCCGATGTGAATTGTAAGACGCTTATGTGCTAGCACGTCTTGGTTGTGTACTGAGCAGTCCTTACACGTTCTTGCGCAGCACTGGCCACCAGCTACTGTATATGAACATCTGCAGGGAACATGCTTTCGGATGGGTGGATGCCTGGTTCAACTAGAGCAATTTCGAACCTAAAGATGGCTAGAATCTTCTGAGATAATATATCGCAATCGGGTTCGGTTTACGGTCTAGGCTCAACCACGAGCCCGAGAGTCGCGAAGCAAGCGACTCGGGACAACGGTTACTCCGCCAGCCTGCGTCGGGTTGAAACAACACCCGCGCAAAGGACCTTCAAAACAGTGTTGCTTGATTGACGGCTGTTCCCCTAAGGACCCAGTTGCAGTCTCCTCAAGCTCAATCTTCACAACAATTCAGACACACCTGCGTTGAAAACAATCATCAGGCGTGACCAAGGACAATCAGAATGGTTTACACGCTCTCAACCCCCGATGGCTACGGGTAAGTGGCCCCCTTTGCGTACGAATCAAGTCAGCTTGACGTATCTGACTGTGTGTCTATAGCTACGTCGTCCTCGTCGCGCTGGGAGCGATCCCGCTTCTCTCGAATATCCAAGGCAATGTGGTGACGTTCCTGCGCAAACCGGCAAAGGTCCCATATCCGAACGCGTATGCGTCGCATGAGCAAGCAAAGGAGAGCCAAGATGCCTACAAATTCAACTGCGCCCAAAGAGCGCACGCCAACTTGCTCGAGAATATGCCTCAGACTATGGCTACCATGCTCTTCGCGGGATTGGAGTATCCCACCGCAACAGCAGCGCTGGGATTGGGGTGGGTACTGGCTCGCGCTCTGTATGCCTTCGGGTACATCAAGTATAACAGGAGGTATGGCTTGGGTGGGGGTGTATTCTGGCTGTGTCAGGGAGGTATTTGGGCAATGTGCTGTGCAACAGCACTGAAGATGCTTTAGGAGATGGGTTCTTGACGACCTTGTTAGGCCGGAGGAAACCAGAGATGACAGAAGGCATAACGACATTGGTAGAATACCATATGGCTCTGAACCGAGGGGAAATTCCAACCACCTACCCACCCAGAATATTATCTGGTGGAACGTGACTCGCAGAACATGACTTGAGGATGAACAACAGAAGTAAGGCACGCTTGATGCTTCTACTGGGCTACGAGCACCGATTCACTAGTCAGGCACGCGAGAGAGTCACATCATCCCCCGCACTCAAGTGGGGGTCATAATTCGAGTCAAAATATTTGGCGACTCTTCTCCCGACCACGTATAATTTTCACTGTGGCATTACGCTGCTAACTTCTCAGTCTCGCATCACGACTTCCAACATGACCGACGCAACGGAGTCCATTGCGCAAGATGCGGCGAACTTACACCTGGATGAGGTAACAGGTGAACGCGTATCCAAGTCGGAACTCAAGAAGAGACAGAAGCAAAGACAAGCGGAGGAGAGAAAGAGAGAAAAGGCTGCTGCAGCACCGCCCAAGGCGGCATCGAAGAAGGAGGCCGAAGTTGACCTCACTCCGAATGTCAGGATTTCCACCGGCCCACCAAGTTCCCAGTACTGACTTGATGCAGCAATACTTCGAGATCAGAAGCCGCGATGTCATGCGGCTCAAGAACAGCCATGACCCGAACCCATATCCTCACAAGTTCGAGGTCAATATAGAAATCGACGTGTTCAAAAAGCAGTACGGCCATCTGAAGCCCGGCGAGACCGAAGAAGTCGAGATCCGAGTCGCGGGCCGGGTATACGTCAAGCGTTCCGCAGGTGCGAAGCTCGTGTTCTACGATTTGATCGACGGCAACACCAAGGTCCAGATCATGTGTCAAGCGCAAGACGCCGAGGGCGACTTTGAGAAAGTTCACGGGCTGATACACAGAGGCGACATTATCGGTGTCATCGGCTATCCGCGTCGTACGGCGCCCAAAAACCGTCCAAACGACGGCGAGCTCTCTGTCTGCGCCCGCCAGGTCATCCTCCTCACCCCATGCCTACAACAACTCCCAGATACCACCGGTTTCCACTCTGGAGAGCTGAATGTCGAGACACGCTTTCGTCAGCGCTATTTCGACCTCTTGATGAATGCAAAGTCTCGCAACATCCTCATCACCCGAGCACGAGTTGTCTCATACATCCGGCGGTACTTCGACTCCAATGGCTTTGTCGAAGTTGAGACACCAATGATGAACCAAATTGCTGGCGGCGCGACAGCCAGGCCCTTCAAGACCTTTATCAACGAATACAAACAGGACATGTTCATGCGCGTCGCCCCCGAGCTGTACCTCAAGATGCTTGTCGTCGGCGGCATCAAGCGAGTCTACGAACTGGGCAAGCAATTCCGCAACGAGGGTGCAGACCTGACACACAATCCCGAGTTCACCACCTGCGAGTTCTACGAAGCCTACGCTGACGTGTTTGACGTCATGAACCGCACAGAGGAACTAGTCTCCGGCCTTGTCCAAGAGGTCCACGGCAGCCAGCAGACCACTTTCACCACCCAGGAAGGCGAGGAGTACCAAGTCGACTGGTCGCGCCCTTGGAAGCGCGTCGACATGATCCCGGCCCTCGAGGAAGCGACGGGCGAGAAGTTTCCTCCCGGGGACCAGCTCCACACCGACGAAACTAGCGCGTTCCTCAAGGGCATCCTCAAGAAATGCAACGTCGAATGTTCGCCGCCGCTGACCAACGCTCGCATGCTCGATAAATTGGTCGGAGAGTTCATAGAAGAAAAGTGCATCAACCCGACGTTCATCACGGGACACCCGCAAATTATGTCGCCTCTGGCCAAATATCACCGCTCGAGACCCGGCATCTGCGAACGCTTCGAAGCGTTCGTGTGCAAGAAGGAAATCGTCAATGCCTACACCGAGTTGAATGACCCGTTTGAGCAACGCGCCCGGTTCGAAGAGCAGGCGCGGCAGAAGGAACAAGGCGACGACGAAGCACAGTTGATTGATGAAAATTTCATTCGCGCCCTGGAATATGGATTGCCACCTACGGGCGGTTGGGGGATGGGGATCGACAGGATCGTCATGTTCCTCACGAACAACTACAGCATCCGAGAGGTGTTGGCCTTCCCCTTCATGAAGGAGGATCAGAAGAGTGCCGTGGCCGGCGAGTTGGCCGCGACGAGGCCAGCCCCCTGAGGGAGTTTGGATGGTTATCTTGGATGATAAGAGACACAAGAGGGCTGTGGGCAGAGAATTTCCGGCTCCCCTTGCCGGCGTCTTGAAAAAGTTCGGTTTACGTTGCGAGGGCTACGGATGCCACCACACTTGGGAGGTCGCTGGGAATGAATGAGGAAATGCAGGTTCTCCGAAGATGGGTCGATGTGCGTGTTTTAGATGGATAGGAGTGAAAGCTCCATGCACTTGCGAGGGTGCATAGACGAGGGCGGGACCCCTTGAAGGGTGAGACGCAGAAACCATGTGGGCAGCATCACGACATGTCAAGAATGAAACACGACCGAAGACACTGTCGTCATGAATTGCAGAGGCAGCCTGGGAAGCGAAATCTGCAAGGTAGATAGACCACTAGACGTGAGCACTCCAGCCGGACAGGAGAGGTCGGACCAAACTGTGCGGATGCCCGAATGAAGGACGAGACAACGAGTAGTCTGTCTGCCTAATCACCAGATCCTCTTGGCCACCATCTCATATCTCTTAACCTTCTCAAAGCTCTCCACCCCGTTCCCCCTCTCCTTGCTCTTCTTGTCCTTCTCCTCGCGATCCTTGACATTCTTGTGCCCGGCTGGGTCGTCGTCGTAGATCCATCGTCTCTTGTCGTCATCGACCTCGACGACACCCCAGCCGCCGACCCTACGTCCACCGTCGACGTGGTAAATGGGGTTGCGCTCGCGAAGTTTCATGCTCCGATAGCGAGATCGTGCGAACGAAAGTAGGAGCATGCCGAGCACGAGCTTCAACGCTAGCAGGACGAGGAAGAAGAGCAAGAAGAGCAGGAATGTGGTAATGTGCGTGACCGCGCTAGAGGTCTTGAGAGAACTGGGGATAAAGGCGATGATTTCGTCGAGCGTATGTGATATGGCGGTGGACGTTGTCATTGGCATTACGCCGCGTGCGGAAGAAGAGTAGTGTTCATGGATACTGGCGAGACTGGTCGAGCTGGTGGGCGAAGAGGGGACCCAGGCCGCCATGAACATCTTGTAGGTCTGCACGCTCGCTCGGATCAGGAGGCAGGATAGGGGGATGACTGGTAGGCCCAGTCTTTTGGTGAGGTTTTGGTCGCCGAAGGCGTTGGTGTAGTAGTCTTTCGCCAGCACGTCGAGGAATCGTTCGTAGATCGCGGGACGGGTATTGTTGAATTTGTTGATGTAGGCGTGTTTGAGCCAGTCGACGAGCATTTCGGAGCCCAGGACGGCGAGAAAGGGGCCAAGTACCTGCGAGACAGCCGGCGCATACGTTGTTATCGTTTGCACCACGGCTGGCACCAAGGTGAATGATTTGGGTAGAATGGAGGAGACGGAGCCAGGAGGAAGGGCGGTGGTAATAGGGATGCTGGAGTTTGTGATCAGTGGAGCCGGGGGTGAGGATGCTGTCGTTTTGGTGAAAGCTGTCAGTCCTGCGCTCAAGCCACCTGTTTCGACGATGTTGCGAGACGCGATGATGACAAGCATGTGCCAGAGTTGGAAACGTTCGACCACATCCGCGCAGGTCAATTGGAACAGGTTCTCCTTCTCGAATTTTTTGAAGACCGTGGATTTGATCTCGACGAATTGATTGGACATGAGGAGCGTGATGAGTGCGTTGGAGTAAGAGTTTACGGCAACGTTGAGAGTGATGACTTGGTAGAAGAGAGCCGTTGAGTGAATGACTGTGTAAATAAGCGCCAGTACGAACAACCAGAACGGCCGCAAAACCTTGCTGTGTCCGTCAGGCTTGCGCTCCAGGGCTTCCTTTGAGAAGAGACATTCGAGGACATCCTGTCCGATAGCAGAAAACAAGCGGTCGCAGACTTCGAGGAGGTTGTAGATCACATAAAGCTTGATCGCAGCTTGCCCACGAATCCAGTGGTACATCCGGCTCGCATCGAGCCTAAGAAGCACAAGGCTGGTGCAGATAATCAGAAGACCTTTCAACATGTCGGCCTTGTCGTCAGGCAGCAATGCTGAAGGGATAGACTTCATTCGCTGATGTTGTCTCCCAGGTTTGCGGGTATGAGAGGAGAGGGACTGGCTTACTTTATGCTCAGCAGCATCGGAGCCTGAGGGCTTTCGGATCGTCGTAGGCACAACACTGCTTCGTCTTCTCCGCCACATCCGGCCGGCACCGCTGTACACGAAACGGGACACGAAATGCACTTCTCCCATGAAGTTGGCACACCATGACTTGGCTAAGATGTAAATAGACTTTAGAAGCCGCAGGGGGAGAATGGTGAATGTATACAACCAAGAGTCAACGCATGCCAGAGTGCCGAACCAAAGCACACTCTCGAGGTAGAATGGTAGCACCAGGAAATTCAACAATCTCTCAGTCTTGACGCGAGAGGATTCGTATGGGAAGTCGCTGTTGGCGGCTCTGTGGATGTAGAGTGGCGATGGTCGTTGCGATGATAGCTCGAGCTGAAGATATGTTGGTATTGATAACGGCGGCAGTGGAATAGACGTAGGCATAGGAGACGGTAGAGGCCGCCCTGAAGACGAATGTCTTCTTCCCCCTGTTCCCTCACTCCTAGCTGCGGTTTCGGGGATCTTAAGAGTTGGCCGTGAGCCAACTTTATCGCCCTTGTGGGGAGACAAAGGGCTTCTCACTGAGCCAGGAGTGGACAGAGCCCGTTGAGAGAGACCAGGCCGTGCTGAATAGCTAAGTACAGAAGGCACGACTTTGTTTCCTGTTTCGATTGTCAAATTGCGAGGCCGTCTTGCGTCTGCGTCTACTGACGGTCCCAGGCTCATAGGCTCGACATCTGGTGTTGAAGTGAAGGCATCTCCGTTTGAAGACGTTGGAAGTCCGCCGGTCCCGGTCGGCGTGACACTGTGAGGGTTAGGCTCCTCGTTAGAGATTGGTGGTTTGTCCTGAAGGTCGACAGATCCGCCAAGAAGTGATCCCAGGGAGGTCATAGGCCCTTGTCCCTTTTCATCGGACATTTTGAGTCCCTCGTCCGCCGACCTGGTTGCTACTCCATTCGTGACCGGGCTCGCGTGTACCTCACTCGTCCTCATCTCATTGCGAGCTGCTACTGGTGTAAGCGATGCAGCCAAACCACTAAGTTGTTGAACCTCTGGCATGTCGTCGGAGGATGCCATGGCTGCATGCGGTTCCACGTATTCATGTGCGACATCATTGCGACCTTTGTCAGCCCCATTTAATCCTGCTGCGCCATCTGCAATCCTCACTCCTGCCGGAATATCCTTCTCGACCGCGATGGATGAGCCATAGTTTGGATCCTGCGCCTGCACACCGCCCGCGTCTTTTGGAGTCCTAGCTATATCGGCATCCGCACTGATATTCTGAGGATCGCAAGATGCGAGGGGATCTCGAGGGAAATTGTGGTGATCGCCGTTCAGAAATGGTACGGTCTTAGTAGGACCCTCCATGTCGAGCAGGAAAGGAAGGGATTTTATAGTGTGTAGCAAGGTCTGCCATGCTGGTATGCGTCAACGACCCAGCCTAGCACCAGGACTCCGAGCGATTGGCAGTAACAAAGTGTCCGGTAGTGGTAAGAAAGGATGAGCGAGGGAGCGTCAAAGTACACGGCAGGGATCACTTTAAGCCCGCAGTAACCCCGAAGCAAAGTGTTGCCGCCACTCCACCAGCCACACGTGCCACAACGGCTCCACCGCCAAACCCTTAGTCCCCCTCCAGCGTCCAATGACGTTGTTTGTCCTCCCATCACCAGCCATCATCAGCCATCATCGGTGCCACCGTTGTGTCCAACGCTGGTCACAAGCCTGCCAACTTCAGACTACTGTACAGAGTAATTATCTCCTCTACACGTAGTCGACTGATCACCTTTTCATAGACTCAGCGATCCCTTGCGTCTCCTTGCCCCAGATAAGTTCTGCAATTGCTTCTTTCGCAGACATATTAGCATTCATCCTGCAGGCTAATCAGACCTCCCTCGTTGTCCGACGATTTGCAGCTGCCTTTGATAGCCAAGATGCAGCTGCCACGTGCGGTCACTCACTGATATATGCCCACCACGCGACTCATTATGATCTTGCAAGAGAGTTTCTACTCGCAACTGCAGCTCTCAACTTTGCATCATGGATCCAGACCAGTTCCCAGGCTGGAACCCACCCAGAGACGACTTGGATGGACTCCTGTCAAACTACGACCCATCCGCTTCGAACGTAGAAACCGGTAGAGGTGCCTGGAGCGAGCAAGGCACACCGGTATCCAGCCCTTACCCAGCACGATATTCTGAGCCTACGATATCAGGCATCGTCAGATCCCCACTCCAACAGCCAACAAGCACGCTCGTCAGCTCCAGGCCACTGCCTCAGCGAAGAGCGGCATCGTCGAACCAGATTCACGGTTCCCCCTATGGGGACCCGCTCCCATCAGCCTCGTTCGAACCTCCTTTGCGCTCAATCTTCGTGTCCGGTCCACCAACTGCCTCGGTCTCTGCAAATACTGCTCTGGCCTCCCTCAGCGCCGCGGTATCCTCGAGTAACTCTGGCCCCTTAGCTGCTTTGACAAATGCGGGGGGGAATCGCCGTATTAATTCAAAGGCAGCAGATGCGATAATTACCGGCTCGCCCGCCACATCCAGCAGTAGACATCCTCTGCTCGGCTCAGAGAAGGACGTGGATGATCCCACCATGAACTCAACGGGAAATGCATTCGATACCGAAGCAGCCAATACCTCAACTGCTCTGGCACGTCTGTTTGTCCCGGGTGATGGAGTAAGTCCCGGTCCACTGTCCAGAGGAGCTTCCCATCTACGTACATTGTCGAGCCTTGGCCGAAGCATAGGTGACACTTCAAGCCTTACGGGCCACCTCTTTCACCACGGCTTTGGAGAAGGTCGCCATTCCGATATCACCATCTTCGCCTTTGGCCAGAGCTATAGGCTCCATAAACTCCTCCTCGACCGTGTGCCCTATTTCTCCACAGCCTTTTCCGGGTCCTGGGCGGAGAGTACGGCGAGAGAGATGAAGATCCCTTGTGAAGATCTTGATCCGAACATCACCAAGAATGCATTTGAGCTAGCCGTGAAAAGAATATATGGTACGCAGTTTCCAGCTCAGGAGGAAGAAGAGGCTATCGGCTTGTTTGCCACTGCTTGTTGGCTAGACATGCCCGAGCTGGTGGACTCATGCGTTGACTCGATTTTGCGCCAGATGGAGCCCGCTAGCCTCCACAGCCTCATAAAATTGGTGACCAACAACTATTACGGTAAGGCTGGCGACCGGATCCTCGCTTCCGCAAAAGCCATGCTGTGCAAAGAAGGATGGGAAATGCCATACGAGTATTGGGATGAGATCCCTGCTGAGATCATTCGAGAGATTGTGGGGGGCGACCCGTTCTTCTGCCCAGGTGAATGGGAACGGTGGTATCTGACCTTGAAGCTTTTAAACCGTCGGCTGAGAGCAAAAGCGATTGAAGTCGGTCTTGTCTCTGCTAGTGGCCACTATCTCCACACGAAGCCCAACAGTCTCCGGTTTTTTGCCGTGAGGTTTGATGCACCGTACAGCATCGCTGGAAATCATCGGTACGTGTCAGAGAAAGACGAGGCGTGGGTTGCATTATACACATCCCCAGAAATCGCACCTTTGCTGGTTCTGCTCGACGAAGGCATTCACTATGTCCATCTCCGCTTTGAACAGCTGCAGCAAATAAGAATGCAGAAGGACATTCTTGGAGTCCCGGTACTGCCGGAGAAGGTGATATCTGATGCCTTGTGGATGTCTATGGAACTTCGCCAGAAAGTGCTGAACGCTCGCGAGACAGATGAGATGCTCGGATTGAGTGAAGTGGCTGAAGACTTCGAAGAAGCTGAGGATCAGTCCGAGCGCACCCAGGCCCACAATAAGGGCAAATCCCGCGACGATGACCCAGTAGGTGTAAGCCAGATATCTGCAGAGATGGAGTCTGGCTCATGGGATGGTAATGGAAAACCCCGGAAATTCTGGATCCCCAGTCACGACGTTTCGTGTATTATGGGTGGCACCCGCGAAGCCTATGTGGCCGACAATTCCACCAGTCTCGCAGAATGGAGCACTCATGCCGCCAGGTTGTCGGCCAGCCTTGAGCCTACTGACGTAGCCTGGGCTCTTGATTTCACGAGCGGCAATGCAATTGAGAGTGCCCGGCCACCGTCAAGAGGGTTTTCACCAACCTCAGCGCCACGTTTCAGTTACTATCCCCCTTTTAGATTTTCCGCAGAGTTTCCAAACCCGCGCACCCTGAAAGAGAAGAAACGAGTCTACTCGCACACAGTATGGTATGCTGGAAGCCTGTGGAATCTTTATATTCAGCGTGTCAACAACTCCAAAGTCCAACAACTGGGCATCTACCTGCACAGGGCCAAGGAGAAGGAGCCGGTCGATGACCCTCTCAACCAGTGGATGGCCGCAAATGTGGACGAGCGCATCGGGCAGCTGGAGCGGGAGATGCTACTTCGCAAGAACGAACGAGGAGGTCGAAGCTGGCAGATTGTCGACGCTCTGCGGCGGTCGACGGTCGACCAAGAAGACACATCGGTCGAACCTACTCATGAGTATGACAGTGCGCATCCGCAGCCGAGTGGAGGTGGCGCTCAAGCTCCGCGACCACAATCGGCGAAGTTGACACAGAAAGGTCCTTGGGTTGCTGGGCGCTTGTCCGCTTCCACTGCCGTCCCAGAAGGACAGCTGCCTGACTCGGACGAAGAGGATGCAGAGTTGTTGCGGACCAACAGGAAGTACAACGTTTCTGCAATGCCACCTTATATGGATTCTCGTCCAACGATCCGGACATATTTCAAGATTTATTCACCTAGCAAGGCCGGTCGGCTCCTCAGCATCTACGAGAGTGCGCCCGATAAATTCGATGTCAGTAAGAGTTGGGGCTGGAAGAGTAGCCAGATGCAGCTTGATGATGGGATTGGCGGTTCCGACAACATCAAGTCTAGCAAGGACGGAAAGTTGAGGTATATGGTCGTCATTGGGAATATCTGAGCATTTGAGCGACATTTCTCTTCCTGCTCAGAGCCGCATACGACCTGTGTCGCATGACGACCTGCGGCAGGTACCGTGGACTCTTATCGTGGACATGACACGACCTTGGGCGTGTGTCTGTACGGGGTAGCTGTTGTCAGCACCTGAGTCCCGTCGAGGAAAGTCGGGGATGACATGCCATTGGTCCATTGACGCTATCGGCCCTGGCGCTTTATCTATTACCAGTTTCTCATTCAATATACTCTCGGGCAAGCATTTGTTCGGCAAGGAAGAATTAGTTAACCAGAGCTTATGTAACAGGAGGCTTACCTAGATGAGTAGTGACTCGTACAAGGGTTGATTTCACGAAAATTGCATTGCTTGGTATCTGTCATGGGCCCGAGAGCGGACGATGCTCTCGGATAGGGACGGTGGTCCGAACGACTCAAATTGAGAAGTGACGCCGACTTGAAAGCCTGTGCGAAGCGGGAGGGAGGCCACTAAAGTGTGTAGACAGTACGGAGTACCTCGATACGTGAGGAGTATGACGACGGGCACGGTCGTACAGGCAGGACTGTGTGGTCTGTGTTCACTGTTCGGTGACCCAAGAAAGGAGGTTTGAAGCGGGCTACGTCACAGGCACGAGCACGCCACCACTGAAGATGCTCGTACTGGACGAACTATTCCGTACCTGAAGTACATGCCGTAGTAGGTATGGCTGGGATATCCGAGTCCTGGTGTCCATGTGGGATTCGCCGCGGATTCGAGAAAAATCTGGAGGTAATTGTGACGCCAAACCACCATTGTTCATACGACAAATGCGTGTCCATATCAGATTGAATTTGATTGATGATTGGCAGCCTTTCTGTCCTGATTTCAAAGCCTGCCTTCGATTTGCATAGCGTGGATCTGCAGACTCGGAGGCCAGGGGGAAAAGAGCAGATAGATCACGAATAAATATGTTCGACTTCTTTTGACCAGGTCTGGCACCTTTTCTGAACGGTGATCCTTCTGTAGCGCGAGTCTCCGAACACCATTTTTAGTCCGACCCTATCACTTGCACCACGACGTCGGTTCAAGCTCGACACTGCATCCATCGTCAATCGTACACTACCGCTACGATGGCCGCCCTCCCTTCCTACGAGGCAAAGCCTCTCATTGTAAACAGAGGCGCGCCGGGCATCAGCTACTACACACCCGCCCAGATACCGCCGTCCGGCACAGCTAAGGACCCCCAGTCTGATGGCAGCCCCATCCCCAAGCTCTTCCAACCCCTCAAAATCCGCGGAACCACATTTCAAAACCGCATCTTCGTGTCGCCTATGTGCCAGTACTCTGCTCAGAACGGTTACCTGACCGACTGGCACCTGACCCATCTGGGGGGCATCATCCAACGAGGTCCCGGTCTCACAATCGTGGAAGCAACTTCTGTAACACCCGAGGGTCGCATTACCCCAGAAGACAGCGGACTCTGGGAAGACGGACAAATTGCCCCGCTCAAGCGAATCGTCGAGTTCGCCCACAGCCAGAACCAGAAAATCGGTATTCAGCTCGGCCATGCGGGCCGTAAAGCAAGCACTGTTGCTCCTTGGTTGAGCCGAGGTGACACTGCACAGAAGGAGGCTGATGGCTGGCCCGACGACGTCCTTGCACCCTCGGCCATCGCGTTCCAGGACACATACCCCAGCCCCAAGGCAGTCACCATCGAGGATGTCGAAAGAATCAAGAGCGCATTTGCCGACGCTAGCAAGAGAGCCGTGGAAGCTGGTTTTGATGTCATTGAGCTGCACGGCGCGCACGGCTATCTCATCCATGAGTTCCTCAGCCCCATTAGCAACACACGAGACGACGAATATGGCGGATCCTTTGAGAACCGAACACGCTTTGCCAGAGAGACCGTTGAGGCCATCCGCGCTGTAATCCCAAAGGAGATGCCCTTGTTCTTCCGGATCAGCGCAGATGACTGGCTCAGTGGACAGAAGGAGTATCCGGACAGCTGGACGGTGGATCAGACTGTCAAATTCGCACCCATCTTGCGCGATTTGGGCGTGGACCTGCTAGATGTAAGCTCAGGCGGTGCCCATCCTGCTCAAAAGATCACAGGCGGTCCAGGCTATCAAGCCCCCTTTGCCAACGCCGTCAAGAAGGAAGTTGGGGAGTCTTTACTGGTTGGCACGGTCGGCTCGATCACCAGCGGCACCCTCGCACAGGAGTTGCTCGATCAAGGTCCCGACGTCGCTTTTGTTGGGCGCTTCTTTCAGAAGAATCCAGGTCTGGTGTGGCAATTTGCGGAGGAGCTCGGCATTGAGATCACGGCTGCGCATCAGATCTCTTGGGGCTTCCAGGGCCGCATCGGCGGTAAAGGCAAACCCCCGTTGAAATCTGCTCGTTAGATGTGTGTAATGTTGCAGGGAGCTCGAGAGAAGAATGATGAGAGCAACAGCAAGCGACGGGTTCGTAGGTAGGACAGGGCGCGTAGAAGAGAAACATACATAGAGACATCGAGGGCAATACCCAAGTAGAGCAGTTGTTCAAGACAAATCCACGGTCACGACCTCTACAAAGTATCTTCCAGAACGCTCGCCGCGTGTAGATCTGCTCTCCTAGCCAAACAATCAATACCGGGTTCCATGCATCGCGCCGCTGTGCAGAATTCTGAGAGCGAACCAGAATCAGGCGCTTGGCCGGAGGCTGTTTCGGGTGCTCGGGGCTAAGCCAGTTAAGCTCAGAAATGTCTTGGCGCGTTTGAGCTTCAGGTTCGGGGTGCATTGAGGCATCTGTCACACCCTCCGTCGTCCTATTCAGCAGCCTCCCTATTCAGCCACCTCGTCCACTCATTCAAGTTGTGTTCTCGTATCAAGTCTCTCATTACTGGTCCCTTCAGAATACATCTCGCTTTCCACGCTCCCTATTTCGGGGTCATTGTTCTGCGGGTCACCCTAGACCCGCGTTCGTTCTTTATTTCCCCTGCTACCCCTTGTCTTCTCCAGTCTTGCGCACGCCTTTGTACACTTTGGGCTCCCCGAACCCTTACCAAGGGCTTCCTCGACTTCGACGACGTGCCTCTCCATCCTCGATCGTCAACCGACAGACGGTGCAGGGCGGTGTTTGCTGGTCAAAAGGCATCGGCAGTGGCACTGGCAGACTCAGAAGCAGGCGTCACTGCCGTCTCACCGAGAGCACGCGACAACAAACAATGAAATAGCCTCATTTCAAGCCAGGGGTGTGTCTCTAGACGCACAAGACGATTGAGCTGGACTCTTCACACAAGTTACCTGATTAGCGGCAGTGCCGCCGGTGTCCTCGGTCACTCCAGGCACCACATTTCACACGGATATACAAGCAGTTGCCCGTTCCCCCAGGGCTTTACGAATCTCCTCTATAAACAGCTGCCAGGTTGCAGCTGCACCTACGATCTTTAAAACAATTCGGATATTGTCTTCGCCATGGGGTGCTGCGGTGGAGAAAGAGAGAAGTTTGGCAACTTGAGCGCCGAACAGAAATGGGACTACATTGTATGTCTTCGCTGGGAGTGGTGGATCTGGGCTGACACGTGTTGCAGAATCTTGACGATTTCAGGTCCTCGTCGTGCTGGACACCTTTCGCCTATGGCTACCTCATGGTTATGGGTATCGTCTCGATATCCGTCTATGCTGTCGACACCTTTACTGCAATCAACCTCCTCGCCTTCGACAAGTGGGCCGGCCAGATCAAGCCCGAGATACCCTTGAACATCTCACGATGGATCTTTGCCGGCTGTATTATCCTGTCGTTCATTCTGCTCGTCTATCGATGGGTGAGAGCCGTTCGGGTCATGCGTCAAGGAGGGGTTGCCAAAAGCTATCTTGACCCTTTGGCTGTCCGCGTACAATCCATCCGATGGGGAAAGGGAAGAGGATGGAGACGGTTTCTGGTTTTTGCCGAGTTGACAAAGAGTCGGAAGGGCGCTGACTACGTTGCCCTTTTCACTTATTTCTCTTTTGAAGCTTGGCTTAGGATCGTCTTCGCCGAAGGACCACGACAGGTGGTAAACGCCATCACCTTGTACTCAGTCTTGAGACTGAAACTAGTCCCAGAGGGTGAACACGCGCCTTCGGACGGCCACTCACCCGTGGTACAATTTTTTGTCAACGTGGGAATATTGGCCGATTCCAACCACCTGCAGGCGGTTATCCTCTTCGGCATGTTATGGACCCTTGTGATATGGGTTATCTCGGTTATCAGTCTGATCGTCTCGGTTATCCTGTACCTCGTCTTCCTCTGGCATCACATTCCGACGGAGGATGGCGGTCTCACAGGGTACTGCCGTAACAAAATCAACAAGAGGATGGAGAGAGTCGTGAGGATCAAGGTTGACAAAGCACTTAAGAAAGAAAATGCCATTCGCGCTCGGAAAGAGGCCCTGGCTGGCCGTGGGGGGATAATGTCAGACATTAAGAAGCAACCCACGCTCCCCGACCTTGGCGATGTTGGCTCCCTGCCAACTTTGTCGAGGACGACGACGATGACGACCCTTCCGGAGTACACATCCCGTCCAACCACCAGCAGAAACAGTGGTGATCCCGTTCCTACTCTGCCGACTTTGCCTAATATTGCACCGCGTCCGCCTATGCCTTCACGGACGGTGACGCATGAATCTGCAGCATCGTGGTCAAGCTACAAATCAGATGCTCCTTTAATGGGCAATGCAGAAGAGATGGGCTTTGCACAAGATCGGATCCAAACGCCCGGGTCCGAGTTGAACGGTGGTTGGTATGGAAGACCTGCAAATCGGAGCGTCACGAACCTGTCGCAACCATCTCTTCGGTCTTTCAGTCCCGCGCTTCCTCGGCCAGGGACAGCGCAAGGAGATAGGAACGGCCCTGGATCATATCAAATGGACCCCCTTCCGCGTCCAGGTACGAGTAATTCCAATGGTGGACGCTTCAGACAGGCCTCCGACGAAAACAGTGCTCTTCCGTACCCGATGGATCGAAGTTTGACACCATCCGATGAGCAGCCATCACGGACGGGACCAATTTTTGATAGTCCAATCGACGGAGCTGGTCGTCGTACCCCAGCTGTCGCGGTCGGCCCGACATTTCCACGTATTCCTGAAGAGCAGAGCCGGATGTCACCACTACCCGGACCGCAATTTCGCTCACAAACTCCTAGCCAACGACCTCCGGAAAGATCATTCACACCCGCAGGTTTGCCTCCAGCGAGGTCAATAACCCCGAGTGGCGCTCCCACTTTACCACGATTACAGACCTCACAGTCTTCTGGCTACATCCCATACTCTGCAGGACGATCGATGACACCGGCCTCGTCATCGATTCCCCCAAGTGCTACTATTCGTAGCGTGACTGACCCAGTTAGAACGTATACACCTTTTGGACAGCAACCACAGGGTCTTCCCAGTGGCTCACGAGGAGGCTCAGCACCCTACAGAGAGGGGAGGCAGGATACCGACGACATCTTGGACCATTATTGAGCTAGTGGACCCGGATCAAATAAATATTAGAGCAACTTCTGCGCTCTTGGCGATGAGGCAGTAATGACGGTTGGTATTGGCGAGATTTTGTAGCGAGAATGTCACATTATCTTGCTTCCGTCCCTCGGTGTTTCCCCCGTCGTAATCGTAGAGTTCGGTGTTACAATGAGATCCGGGTCGTCTGATCGTGATGGCCGTTAGTGGTACGAGGTATGTAGAATGTCGAATCCGTCAAGGTGCGCCACCTGAGCTCTGCGATTGGTCAATTTGAAGTGCACGCTTCATCCATGTGATACTTCCTCCGTCCTTGACTGTTGTACCCTGAGCCACGGCCGCGCTGCGTTTGTTACCGGTGTTCAGTTCCATTAAGCACAATGCTGCCAGCAAGTGGCTTCTCTAGAGCTCTGCGAGAAGCCGCGCCTGGCTTGTCAAGACGCTTTTTCGAATGCAGTGGTCGAAGACACGCCTCGCAGGTTAGCATCGCGAAGGAAAAGTCGATACTCAATGGACAAGCTCGAAAACCCAGCACATCACCGACGAAGCCCACGGGATACCTCTCTAGTACGAAGCTATGCTCCCCGTCCAGTTACTACACGCGGTCACCCTTCCCGGCCCCGTACTTTCGGGCATTTACCCAATCTACAAGAGCCAGAAGAACAACCTCTCCGGAGGTAGGGGATCGCGCGAATGCAGAACATCAGGATAGTGGAAAGCACGGGGATGAGACCGGGAGCAGAAAATCATTTTTTCCAGACGCATCATCGAACACGGTTGGCTACTGGCTTCTGGGGAGTGCTGCCAGCGTCTTTGGGATCGTCGTGTTTGGAGGTCTCACAAGACTTACAGAGTCTGGGTTCGTATACCTTATGGTTTTGACCTTCTCGAAACATGCAGAGCGTGCTGACCCGAGACAACAGCCTGAGTATCACGGAATGGAAACCAGTCACCGGCTCTCTACCTCCCATGTCTGAGGCTGACTGGGAGTCTGAATTCGCCAAATACCGTTCAAGTCCCGAGTTCAAGATGCTCAACTCACGCATGACGCTCGACGAGTTCAAGTCTATCTACTGGATGGAATGGATCCATCGCATCTGGGGCCGCTTCGTGGGCCTATCTTTCGTCTTGCCCGCGGCTTTTTTCATTGCGAGGAGGCAGGTCTCCAGATCCATGGCCGCGAGACTGCTCGGTATAGCTGGGTTAATCGGCTTTCAGGGTTTTATCGGCTGGTGGATGGTGAAGTCCGGCCTGAAGGACGACCTTTTCGCTCCCGGTTCGCACCCACGTGTATCACAGTACAGATTGACTGCGCACTTGGGGGCAGCCTTTATTTGTTACCTCGCCATGTTCTGGAACGGTCTCGACATCTTGCGCACGAACAAGATCTTGCGCGCGACTCCTGACACAGCGAACACGACGCTGCATGCTTTGAAGAATCCCGCCCTGAGACCTTTCAAGCGCTACGTTGCCTTCCTCGCCGGTCTAGTCTTCATTACAGCCATGTCTGGAGGCCTGGTAGCTGGTCTAGACGCAGGCTTGATCTACAACGAGTTCCCATATATGGGGCTGGGACTTACGCCGCCAAAGACCGAGCTGTGGGACAAATTCTACAGCCGCGAAGCTGATAACAGCGATCTCTGGTGGCGGAATATGCTCGAGAACCCCAGCCTAGTTCAGCTCGACCATCGGATCCTCGCCACCACGACGTTCACAGCAGTCATGGCTCTCTGGACTTTCGCACGCTCCGGCGCGATGCAGAAAGCTCTACCCCGGGCGGCGCAACGAGGCGTCCACGGTGTCGTCGGGTTCGTCTTTTTGCAGGTCACCTTGGGCATTACTACGCTACTGTATTTGGTGCCTACGGGGCTGGCGAGCGCGCATCAGGCGGGCAGTCTCGCGCTATTGACTTGGACGATCGTGCTGGGCAGTCGGGTCTGGTTCCCAACACAAGCTGCGCGAATTTTGGCTCAGCGAACGGCGACTGCGACACAGGCGAACTTGGGCAGCAGCAAGTTTACGCCAAATGCCACGGAGATGCTCAAAGCGAGGTCGAATGGACTGATGCCTGGAAAACCCGTCGCGTTGGCGGCCGCGGGAATCATGCCGCTTGGAACGGCAATAGGTCTGATCTTGTCGAATGAGGCGGAAGGTTCACTACGAGAACAGCTGTCCAGAGGAGGCTCTCAGGATTCGTCGAGGTCGAGAGATGAGCAGGTGCGATTGAAGTGAGTCTGGGAAGGCTGGCATGAGAGCCCTGCACAACGTGTTCATTTATGCAAACCAACTTTTCTTCACTCTTCATCGAAATGGCTTTCCATCTCTCATAAAACTGCTTTGCTTTCCTTGTCTTCACTTTGACCCTGAGGGCTTTCGCTGCCATCCGAAATGCTCACGGGTTCAGCGGTCGAGGATTGCGACGGTCCTGGCTCCAACATGGGACAGCTGGACGGGACTGACAGTCGGGCCACGCAATGTGGCATGGGCTTACTTACTTACGCTGCCAGTCCTCCGGCAGTCTCGCCAGCGGCAGGACGGCAGCAGGTAGCTTGGAAGCGCCGACCGTGATATCAGCTTCAATAACGCCTATCTCTGATATGCCTTCAAGCCATGACCAGGGTCCGCATCCGCCATAAAGTGTTTCCGATGCTCACTTCACAGCACGATCGAGCCCAACGCACTTCTCTGCAGACTCGAGAAAGATCCAGAAAGCTGAAGGGCAACGAAAGAAACCACTTCTTCGGCTGACGCTATCTCACGTACGGAGTACTACTTGCCTTTAAGGAGGTCCGTCGAGCACCGAGAGAAGTCGAGTCAGGAACAGGAGCAATGATGAACCTGAGAAATGAGCTTCGGAGCGGGCCGCCGCAGAAACGGCAGATTGTACTCCGTACTCCGTAGGGCGAAATGAAAAGCCCAACGGGTGGGAACATTCTGCTCTGGCCACGACGCAAAAGCTGCTTGCTCGGGGACACCCTGGGAAAATGGGTACTACGAGTTACCCAACCATCAAAATTGACCTTGCAGCGGATGCGCATCTCAAACGCTCCGGACATGCAGCCTCAACATCACTGCTGGGCCAGGGCCACGAGTGGCGTTAGGGCTTGACTATTCCGTGACAGCTGCCTGGTGTGTTTCAGGATACCCAGCAACTGTGTGGGGTGGCGCGCTGTGGCAGCAATAACGCCCGCCTTGACCGCAGCCTCCGGGTCGAGCAATGTTCTTGTTGATCAGAGACCGGGAAGCAGAATCGGGTAGTCAACCCATTCAACAACGGGTTTCTTGTTAATTTAGAACCACGTGGGAGGCACCAGAGAGGAAGCGACAGTCGTCTCTTTGCTAAAAAGAGTGCATCTCCGTCAGGATCAGCCAGAGATCGCCCGGAAAAGTATCGGGAAAATCAATGTTAGGACACTGCGTGATCGATTGTGGACGCGGTGCACCACTGTCTACCCCCGTAGTAGAATTGAACAGGTACAGAAGTGGGGTGCCATGAGATTGAACCAGGCTCCCAGGGCTTGAGGCAAGCAGAAGAGATTGCGCGACAGACAAGCCATTGATCCGTATGATGACAGTGACGCGCTTCTCAGCATGCTGTTGATGACTGTTGTTGAAAGGGGGCTGCAGCAAGGCCGTTGAAATGCAGCGTTGGCATAGTTCACTAAGTCAGCCATGTGGCATGCGATGACAGCCACCGCCTGGTTTTCTGGGCTTGATCGGCCTGTTTGACCGCTATCCTGACAAGGGTCCAGGTGATAGTACGGAGTACGGAGTACGTGAAAGAGTTTGCCTGGTCTGCTACGATGGTGTTTTCTCTTGATGGCCGTTCAAAACACAAAGCGACAAATCACTCACATGTGAAGTCTGCTTGGTGAGGAAGCACGTTAGCGCTGAAGTACGGACAAAGATGGACGACTACTGCTGGGAGCTAAATATACTCTCCATGTGAACAAGTTTGACCATGGTCGTCGAGCCTTGTAGTTGGGCCGGCAGAGTTCTTTGCGCGTCTCTTACCGCTGTGTGCTGCAGTAGCAGAGCAGCAAGTGGATAGCATGGGCGTGGCACGTAGAAGCCAGCATAGAAACACAACGCCCATCGCCCACTCTCTGTCTGTCCTCCCATTGTCTGTCACTCTCTCTGTCCCCTTCGGCGCTGCCTGATAAACAGCCAGTCACATCTACCTAGGGCTGAACACTGGTCGGCGCGGTTGTCGCTTGCCCTTGCTCAGATTAAGCGCCCCTCATACACCTGCTCCGGAGCATTTTAGTTACAGTAGAAGGTTGCAAGCTGGACTCCAGGCCCGGTTTAGTGCAGTGTCTCGCTGCCCGCTTTTCCCTGCCCGCGCCATCTTGCCTCGTGCAACTGGCACCTGCACTGCGCTACACATCACCGCACCGCACGTCTCTGGCAAACTGCACCTGCCAGACTGACCATGGACCACGACATTTACAACTCGGCCACAGCCAACTCGACCACTTTCTCATCCTCCAAGAAGCGACGCAACACTCTGACCAAGAACCCTCCGCCTTCTGCTTACCCCTCCAAAGGATCGCTGCCCAAGCTGCAATCGTCTGCGGCACTTCAGCGAACGCCATCCGCGCCGTCTCCATATCAGCGCAGTCACGACGCCTCCCAGTCAGCCCGCGATTTCCACCACCGATCCCAGTCCAACGCGTACGGCTCATCCAGTTCTTCTCTCGAACACATTAGCGGTGCGCCCTCGCCTATAGTCACCTCTACCAACTTCTTCGCCGCCTCCGCCAACAGCTACCAACTGCCGCAGCACACTCCCCTCTCGCCTCAAACCTCAGATGACCGTCACAACGACCTGATCGGTGCGCCATTCGACGCCTCAGGTCTTCTGTCCTCCTTTCAAGCTACCAGCATGAACGAGAAGCAAAATGGGGGTGGCTCGTCGCCATTCCCTGCGCCTTTGACACACACTTACACCAGTCCCGATCTTAGATCTCACCCGCTTCGCAACTCACAGACCTTCGGGCCTGGCGCCGTGGCCATGATGGAAGTTACTCCCCCCAGATCAGAGAACGGCACGTTCAGTCCCAAGCGGTTTTCGGGCGAGGGCCACGTCAAACCTGCCGGGCCCTTTCGCAAGAAGAGTGGCTTCTCAAGCTTCGTCAATAACATGCTGGGCTCTCCCAGAACCATCAAGATATCTGCTCCCGAGAATCCAATGCACATGATACACGTTGGCTATGACAATCAGACGGGGCAGTTTACGGTAAGTGGTGCAGTGACCTCCTAATTACCGCTTGCGTGATGCAGCGCTACTCTCAGCCTCACAGCTAACGCATTCTTGACACAGGGACTACCTGCGGACTGGCAGAGGATCCTGTCCGACAGTGGCATCACCAAGGTTGAGCAAGACCAGAACCCGCAAATGATGATGAACATCGTGGAAACATACAAGAACAACTTGGGTGGCAACGACGACGGGGTTTGGCAGAAGTTCGACCACGCGAAGCTTTCCGACTCTCCACAAAGTAGCAACAGCAGTTACCGGAACCCAGGCAGCCCTCACATTGGCTCTAGTCCTGCCCAGTTCTCGCCCATAGCCGGTGTTATTTCACCACCCGCAAGTCCTCGGTTCCCACAAAATCATGAAGGCAGTTTCGAAAATCCTCGAGCACCGCCGCCCATTCCATCAGGGACCTCTGGCAGCACAACGCCCGGCCTGAAGCCAGGTCAAACACCGACAATCATGATGCCGAACCGACCTGCACCCAAAGCTCCTGCGCAGAGCCTACGAGATCTGGCGCCCACGCGGCCTGCGCCGCCGCCTCCGATCAACAGAGACCTGCCATTACGGCCACCTCCGGAACAGTCCAGACCGCAGCCCGCACCAGCATCACAGCCCAACACACCACAAGTCTCGCAAGAAGAGTCAGCAGCGCGGAGTCGCTCCAATTCCAAAGGTCCTAGTACGACGCCTCCACGCTCACAACAAGCGATCCAATCTCCAGTCCAATACCAGCAACAACAGGAGCATGCGATGCTGCTCGCGCAACAAGCGATTCAAAGCAAGCAATTGGACCGGAGCAGAAGCCAGCGTCAAGTTGCACCAGGTGCACCAGAAGTTCCACCAAAGATTCTACCTCAGCAGTACAGCCCGAATGTGCCACAGACACAATTTGCTGCAGTGACAGCTGCACCAGCCTTGGACAATGCTCCACAGGTGGCTGCCGTACCCCGACCCCGGCAGAAGCGGCAACAAAGTAACATAGTGGACGTGACGGCAAGGTTACGCGCAATATGCAGCCCGGGTGACCCTACGGCGAAGTACAGTAATCTCAACAAGATTGGACAGGGTGCTTCTGGTGGTGTCTTCACCGCGTATGAGGTTGGGTCGAAGAGATGTGTTGCAATCAAGCAGATGAACTTGGAACAGCAACCAAAGAAAGACTTGATCATCAACGAGATCGTGGTGATGAAGGGCAGCCAACACAAGAATATTGTCAACTTTATCGACAGCTATCTGCACGATGGAGATCTGTGGGTCGTGATGGAATACATGCAAGGTGGATCTCTTACGGATGTTGTGACATTCAATGTCATGAGCGAAGGACAAATCGCCGCAGTGTGTAGAGAGGTGAGTGCGCTCGGACAATGTGTCCCGAAGCACAGCTGACTGTCTTAGACCCTGTTCGGCTTACAGCATCTTCATTCCAAGAACGTGATACACCGCGACATCAAGTCGGACAACATCCTTCTTTCGGAAAGAGGAGACATCAAGCTCACCGACTTCGGCTTCTGTGCGCAGATCAACGACTCGCACAACAAACGCACGACCATGGTGGGAACACCATACTGGATGGCTCCGGAAGTTGTGACAAGGAAAGAATACGGCCGCAAGGTTGACATCTGGAGCTTGGGCATCATGGCGATCGAAATGATCGAAGGAGAACCACCGTACTTGACCGAGTCGCCACTGCGTGCATTGTACCTGATCGCTAAATACGGGACACCGCGCATCAAAGACGAACAGGCGCTGTCGCCTGTTTTCCGAGACTTCCTCCATTTCGCCTTGAAGGTCGAGCCTGAGAAACGAGCCAGTGCCCACGACCTGCTACATGTAAGTTGGCCACCTCTCTGTGCCCATGTCGCTCTCTGACAATAACTCAGCATCCGTTCATGCACAACTGTGCGCCGCTCACCAGCCTAGCTCCCTTGGTGCAATCAGCCAGAGAAAGCAGAGCTGCTGAGAAGGCCAACAGAGTCAATTGACGACTGTGGTGGTTGAATAACTGTACAATTATTGCAGCGAGGGTACGATAAGGTGGATCCCTTCCGACTGGGGCGTATTTTGGACAGGACGATCGTATGTTAAACCGGTTCAAGCTGTCGATTGATTGGCGTATGGGTATTTGCGCCGTCAAACCCACCGAGAACGGTGCACAATTAGACGGCCGGACACGAGTCTCTAGCGGTGAGGATTACAAGCACAACGGCCGGCCCTTCCTCACAAAGAGCTATTGATTCGAGACGGGCTCAACTGGCCTGCTTTTTTTTCTGTCCGACGTTTTCCGCAAGCTCTTGGCTTGCCGCTTCCTTCACGACCGCGAACATGTTACGAAGCATACGAAATGGCAATGGAGTTGCTGGGATAGGCGCCTGGGCAGGGGTGCCGTGAGCAGTCTCGAGGCGACAAGAGCCCGGGACAAGATCTAGAGGTTCAAAAGTGCTGAGATGAGCTACGAGTTTCACCTTGGAACGTGTAATACCAAGGCGGAAAGGCAAGCAAATCAGCCATGTAGACGAGCCAGCTCTCGAAATCATTGAGCTATGGAACAGTACGCACGCCGTGTAGTCGTACCGTGTACTGTATCGAGCCCGCACTTCTGTGGCGTTGCCCGTTTGACTCGAGGAAGTCATGTGGCTGTGCAGCACCTGAATCTGAGCTTCACATTCACCCGCCACTTACTCCGTAGTGCTGCGTCATTCGAAGGCTGGACAGACCAGGCTGCGCCCAAGTATCTCGTGCTCGAAGGCAGATAGCTCAGGTAGTCGACGGCCCTGCGCACCGTTTCTGCACTCTAATTTGATCACCAACTCACTCTCTACTGTCTACAAAGTTCTCCATCGGAAGCGCAACCGTCATGTTTCGGACCCAACAGAATGTATTCGACGATGCCGTCGGTAAGCTCCTCCATACGAACCAGCCTGCCTGGACCTCTCTCGATGAAGGTAGCCCACTGACTGTTGCTTCTTCGCACATGTAGCCAAAGCCACCGACGAGAACCTAACCTCCGAGAACTGGGAGTACATCCTCGATGTGTGCGACCGGGTATCGTCCAGTGAGAGCGGCAGCAAAGACGTCGTGGCCGCCATGATCAAACGACTCGCACACCGCAATGCGAATGTCCAACTCTACACGCTCGAGCTGGCGAATGCCCTGAGCCAGAATTGCGGGATCAACATGCACAGGGAATTGGCGAGTCGCAGTTTTACAGATGCGTTGTTGAGGCTGGCCAACGATCGGGTATGTTTGACCGTTGCGGTTACCAGTAGATGCGCTCGTCGCATTTCGGCTTGTCCTCAGTATATACGGTGGTCGCATTTCGGCTTGTCATCAGTATATACGCTGGGTCGCATTTCGACTTATGCTATGGTGGTGCTGCTGGGTAAGGACAAAGTGATGCTGACGGGGAAAGCAGAACACCCATCAACAAGTCAAATCCAAGATTCTCGAGCGGATGGAGGAGTGGACAAAGATGTTTGCGAGTAATACTGAATTGGGCATCATGGAGCAGGCGTACATGAGGTTGAAGGCGCAAAGTGAGTCCCCCATGGTACATGGTACAGCGGGTGTTCAGTTGGGCTGACGGCGTGGTACAGATCCTAGTCTCCAACCACCGCAGGCCCCAGTGAAGAGCGCAATTACAGATTATGACAGAAGGCGAGAAGAGGAAGAGCTACAGATGGCCCTCAAGCTGTCAATCCAAGACAAGTCGTCTTCGGCTGCTGGTCCCTCTACCTCTAGCCAACCATCAGACGCACCAGCAGAACTGGCGGCACAAACACCGGGCGGTCCGCAGCAGCAGACAATTCCTCAGCCCGTCCCCTCCGGCACCACAGCTGCGACGGTATCCCGAGTACGAGCGCTCTTCGACTTCCAGCCCTCGGAGCCGGGTGAGCTCCAGTTCCGCAAGGGCGACGTTATCGCCGTGCTAGAATCCGTGTACAAAGACTGGTGGAAAGGCTCGCTACGCGGCCAGACGGGTATCTTCCCTCTGAACTACGTCGAAAAACTACAAGATCCCACACCAGAAGAGTTACAAAGGGAGGCGCAGACGGAGGCCGAAGTGTTCGGCCAGATCAAGAACGTGGAGAAACTGCTCGCGCTGCTGAGCACGAGTACGGCGGACATGAATGTGCGGGATAACGAGGAGATTACCGAGCTATATCAGAGCACGTTGGCGATCAGGCCCAAATTGATTGACTTGATTGGAAAGTACACGCAGAAGAAAGGTGAGGCCGGCTTCAAACCCAGGCGCACAGGTGACTAACCATGACTATTAGATGACTTCCAACAACTCAACGAGAAGTTCATAAAGGCCCGCCGCGACTACGAAGCCCTCCTCGAAACGTCCATGGCGCAATCCGCCGCACAATACGGAAGACCCAGCCCAGCACCGTACGGGTACGGGCCTGCCGTAGGGGGTGGGCTCCCACCAGGCCAGCCTCCAGCAGGAGCGGCAGGCTATCCGCCTCAGAGATTCTACACGCCTGGTGAGTTTGGCACCGCCACTCCGGGAGCGCCGCAGCATTGGATCTAAATGAGCGGGTACAGATGGTCAAGCTCCAAACAACGGCGTTCCGTACCCTTTCAACCCTCCGCAACCTCAATTGGCATACCAGCCGCCTTATCCTGTCTCAAGCCCGCCTCCGCAGAGTCACACGCCGAGTAATCTCAATCATCAGCCTGCTCCCCCAACTCAATCGGACGGCTATCCTTCGTACCCTCCCACAACCGCAGCAGGTCCCGTCCGTCGTCAATCCCACCCCCCTTCCGAAGCTGCATATACCGGCTATCCACCCGCGCAGCGGCCAATGGTTCAACCCCCAAATATATCCCAACTACAACTCCACGACGACCCCGCCAAAGACTACTCACCCAGCAACTACTCCATGGACGAGACCCCGAACCAGCAGCAATCCCTGGGCGGCCCGTCCGCGCAGCCTCCGCTATCTCAACCATCGTACCACCCACCTATGCCCCAGGCACCGACCACGTCGTCACAACCTCCTCAAACATCGTACCCGCCACCGTTGTCGTCACAACCGCCCCCAGCAACCTATGATTACCCACCTCAGAATCCCATGTCTCCTCCACCGCCTTCTCATGGCCCACCACCGATTCCTCAGGGAGCGCCGCCAGGGGCGGGAGATGCCCCGCAGCACAGGCCCGTCACGCCCCTCGCGCAAAGTTCCGCGTACCCGGTGTTTTCGTCCCCGGGCCAGCATCAGCAGCAGTACCAGGCTTATAACCAGCGGCCGACGAGTTATTATCGTTGAAATTGGCGACCACGAAGCCGACAATAACGTGAAGCGAAGCAATCACGCAGGGCACGAGAAGAAGGAACATAGTGGTGGACCGACATCGTCCCTTCAATACTGGGCGGCCAAGTGTAGAAGGCATCTTCATCCAGTGCTACGCGAGGATCTGAATCCCAGAATGTAAAGGACAGCGCACACGGGCAGCGAGTGAGCGGGTCTTTACCCCGTCCATAGTACCGGGCGACAGACAAGTGGGCGTATGTACCGCATGTACACTTTTGCAGACAAAAATGGGAGCAAGTATTCCGCGTGGCACGTCATGTCAGGTGGTCAGTTCAGGTCATGTCAGAATGCAGGCACGCCTAGGGGCAAGGGACAAGGGACAAGGGACAAGGGACAAGGAGATGAAGGAAATTGGGTTCTGTAGAATTCATTTCCAGTCGAACTTCAAGTCAAATACTGTACTTGGGCCGCTCAATCAGCTTACAGTAGGCCGTGTCGTGAGCGGTCCAGCTCCGGGGGCCATAGAGGCTCGAGAATGGCTACGTTACTGTATATCGGAATCTCGGGTAGTGTATATCATGTACGGCGCCGGACCTGAGCCTGGGCCTGGGGCGTGAGAGTCAAGTCGAGATGAAATTGCATTGCATCGAATCGGCTACTGTCTCGTAGGTGGACGGATGGGTTCAGTGGGTTCATGGTGTGTATAGGTGTATAGGTGCGTAGAGGTATTGTGCTAAGAGGTCGGAGGTACAGCGTCCAGAGTACAGCGTTCAAAGCAATGGTGGTAAGCATACCAGCGCAAATAGAAATGAATGCTCAGGTCACCAAGTTTGAGGTCAACAATCTACTGATACGTATCGCAAATCGGTACAATATGCCGAAAGTGTCGGGAGTGGAGAATTGGAGGGACAGCTGGATGGATGGACCGAACGGACGGCCTTGTCTAGGATCAGTCTCTGATACGCGACGAACGCAAAAGTGGATGAGAGTATATCTGTGCTCTGCCTGTTTTACCATCATAGGACCGTCGTGACATGTGTAGTCACGACAAGGTTAGTAAAGCCGGTCCTCACATATGTAGTCAGGACAGCGTTAATAAACTGACTGGCGGGAGAACATGCAACTGAGACTTCCTTTCTACATGGGTGACAAGGATTAGATTGATTTGGCCGACTTTTCAAGTGCAAGACGACAGTGGGTTGGTATGAACGGTGTCGTTCAAGACCAACTGCTTGAGAAAAGTCTTGATCCTGCTGCTGCCGCTGGAGAAGAGACCTGTCTGGCTCGCTCCATATAGACACCGTCCGAGCCGTAGCTTCCAGGTCTAGTCGATATGAAATACCTGCTTCCGTCCCTGGAGTCACGGTCGTAGAGAGCCAATGTGTATGCGTTGCGTGGGCCGAGCCAGCCCAGCCCGGCCCGAGGAAAATCGATATGAACTAAACGCCGCAATGTGTTCAAAAGCACCGTTTGACTCCGCCGCCGTTTCGCGGAACAGATCTTTTGAATCTCCTTCTATTTCTTGTCTTGACTCTGCATGTATGTGTATCCAAAATATGCGACAGCAGCACCGATCAGGAGGACAGCGTAGGCAGCGATGCCGAGACCAGCACCGCCGTCGGACCTTCCCCCAGGACCGGCTGCGATCTTGTCCGTGGCTCCAACTTTGGGGGCTGGGTCGCCGGGACCGCGCTTCAAGCTGCCAACTTTGAGGCCCTCGAGGATTTCTCGTGCTTCGTCCGAGTGGCCGACATCTTCGAATGCTTCGGTTGCGTCCTGGCCGCCGACGTCGAGGAGGACTTCTTCACCGCCCCTACATTGGTTTCATTAGGTTAGTCTGGTGGTCGTAACACTGGTGACCATACGGCTACCGATACAGGTGCCGATACTGCCGTCCATCGCACTGTAGGCGGAGGACGTGCTGAGTATCGTGCTGTATGTGGGGCTCCCAGGTGGTGGGGAAAGATGCGTGCATTTGGGGTATTACTGGCATGAGCTGAGCAGGCGAGGACAGAGACTTACGGATGCTCGTCGACGAATGTAGACGCGTTGTAGACCTTGTCGTGGATGACGAGGTAGAGGTCCTTCTTTGTAGAGTGCTTGGACACCTCAGCGTAGGTGAGTTCTTCGGACATGGTTGCGGTGAGATCTGATCGGAGACAGAAGCGATAATCAGAGAGATGGCTTTGCACCGAGTTGAGGCGAAGGAGGTGAGGAGAGCTGGAGGCCGCTTGATTGACTGATTGACGGCAAGAGCGAGTCGACGAGGTTGCGCAGATGTGCGGCAGAGGAGGGAGTGGCAGAGGACTAATTAATCGGAGTGAACGTGTGAAGAAGTGGACAGAACAATATCCATGCACGCACTGACTCGGCAAATCAGAGAGGAGACAATTGCTGATTCCAACTCCAACGCTCGCTTCCGAAAAGTTACCGCATCCCGCTCGCTTTTCCCGTGGTTACCCCCATCACTCGTCGCTCTGATTCCGCTTCTATTCCCCTTGCCGGGCGACTGATGGGTCACTTTCCCGGGTGCCCAACATGGTGTGGGCGCTTTCCGTACTTCGTCCCAGTGCTGTTAGCTCGGTCCTTTGTACCACAACAGGCAGTTCGAGAGCGCAGGCCAGTCACGTGATTACGTGCTCACGAACACGAGCTTGAAGGCAGGAAGCCGTCGGACTTTTGCGCGGGCTCACCACCAGTAAACAATGCGCTGGGCCAGTTCAATATGCAGCAAGAACCCCACCATACCTGACGACGATGTCTAGTGGCATCGTGTACCAAGGTGTCCCATACTCGCGTGAAACCAATGACAATGACAGCGATCAGACCTTGTTCGCAGGGCAGAAGCTCTGGTTCTCTCATGTCATTCCACAGCGCAGATGGCTGATCGAAAATGCGCGACGTAATGGGGCAGTCATTGTGGACACCGATACGGATGCCGACGTGAGACTTGTCGACCATGCGAAGAAGAACAACGCCCCCGGAACACACTCCTACAAGTACGTTGAATCGTCCATCCGCAATGGCAGACTCGAGGACCTTACGACCCATACAGTTGGCGCACCTTCGAGAGTTACGAGACCTATCGGCAGTAGCGTGACGTCGTCCAAAGGAGGGAGGACTCCTTTCACACCTGCAGATGATCAGTTCCTTTGGAATTGGCTGAAACCGTTTGTGGACCGCGGCGGCTCGTGGAAAGGGAATGAGATCTACAAACAGCTGGAAGAAGTGAATCCAAGACATACCTTTCAGAGTTGGCGCGACAGATGGATCAAACATACACAGTATCAGAAGAGACAAGTCACCGAGATCGTCGAACCCAACCATCATCAACAACCAGAGGGACCAGCTGCAGCGCCGTCGGCCCCTGCCGCGCAGAAGAAGAGGCGGAGAGAGTTGGATGACGATGGGGAGGCTTGGCGGATGAAACATGGCCAGGAACAGCGCAGTGAGAGACCCTTACGTACGGAGAGATCTGCTGCCCCGAAATCTCCTGTTACCGCCACGCCAGTGCGAGCAATCCGAGAGCGCATCCCATATCAGACTTCCGCTGGCCGTCAAACTAGGGTGGACGTTGCAACGAAAACGCAGCCAGCCGTTTCCAAGCCCTTCACAGAGGAGGAGGCTGATATGCTGTATGGTCTTGTCGCGACTGTCAGGGGGATGAAACTTGAGGAGTTTGATGCGCTTTGGGAGGTGCTGGCCGAGCAGAATGATAGGCACACGGCTGCCGGGTGGAAGGGTCATTTTGTCGCGAAGGTACTCCCTGACTATTGCAGAAGAAATGGGCTCGCCATCTCAAAGGTTACGCCTTTCTTGTCTCAAGAATTTCAAAATGGCACTGCCGCTGTCTCTGGGGGCCTTGAGAGTCAGACAGGCTGTCGCACGGGATCCGTGGCGGCGTCAAGCCAGGGTGAGTTGCAATGCGCTATCTGCTTCATTGACGAACCTAGCAAGTGGCGGCAGGACAAAGAAGGCCGAGTTCTTTGCCATGATTGCTACAGGCTCGTGAAGGTGCATGGATTCCGGAGGGCGTCGATGCTAAGAGCTGGACAGGAGGGGGAGGGGGGAGGTAAAGCCCGCGACGCAGAGATAATGGAGGAAAGAGAAGGTGAAGAAGAACAAACTTCACATATTTCGCCTGAAGACAACAATGTTTCTACGCAAACCGTCCCAACTTGCAGACATACGACGCTTTCAGATGAAATCGTCGAAGCTTCGCAAAGCGCAGATCAGACCAGCCCTCAATCGCGGCGCCGGACAAGATCACCTTCATTCCAACCTGATTCTCCTCCCTTCACTCGTCTCCCCGAGTCCAACACCTCGAGAAAGAGAAGTGCGGGAAGAAGTACACAATCTCAGTCGACACAGCCCTCGAATCCGTCAAATGTAAACAGTCAGGATAGCGCCTCCGGTACTCACAGTCAAAGTCAAGAGCGGGCGTCTCAGGCTGCGGTGGCCGCTATGGGGGCGGAGCAGTCGACGGAGAGTCATCCTCAATCAGTCGGCCCACAAGCCGGCGCCCGTGGAACATCCTCGATTGTTGCCCCTGCATTCCGAACATCCTCAAGAGACACGCGAAAAGGGCTGCATAATGAGCCAACACTTTTACCCACACAGCAGCACTCTTCACTGAGCACTGATGGCCGGCCCAGTAGCCAGCGAACTGCCCACCTGGTTAGCACCGACACCGACAAAAAGAGCCAGAAGATGCCTGCGCTAACATCACCGCCCATACCAACGTCGCCATCAGGACGATCCGAGACACAAGTGCGTGGCACTTCATGGCTTTTTGTTTCAGAGAGTGAAGATGACGACAACGCCGAAGGCGACGCAGAGGCTAACGGTAGACTACTTCGAGACGCCGCTGGCGCTCAAGCCTCACCTTCTACTAGTGTGCAACTGTTCAGCGACAAACCAGGTCCCAATGTCCACTCATCCTCGGAATATGATGTTGATGAGACGGATGAAGATGTCGAAGTCGATTTCGCCGACCTCGTACCGCCGAACAAGCGCCAGAGATCGGATGAATTTGAGACTGCCCAAGAGATACGGGAGAACTATGAGACGGCGCAAGAGGAAAAGGCCCAACAAGACAAAAATCAACGTGGATGCAGGGAAGCACCGTCCGACCAACTCACTAGCGACGAGGATATCGACCTGACAGAGCTTCCTGACCCGGAAGGAGGATTCGAAGCTTATGGCGTTGATGCTTCAGTCATGCCTCCTGACGATGAAAGTAACGATGCTTTTGACTCCACCGAGCACCCCGCCTCCGAGGGGAAAGATCGTGACGAATCGCCCGAGATTAAGATCGAAGACGAAACCTGGCTCAGACCTCGCCACGGGGCTATGCTACCCCTTGAAGATTCACAATATCTCTCCATTCCCAGTGCCGAAAGCCTAGGAGAGCCCGTCGAATGGCAAGAAGGCGCACAGAGAGCTGAGGTGCACTACGTGAAACAAGAGGATGACAATGATGAGGCACAATTGCAGAAGGAGAGGCGGATTGCAGTACACTGTCAAGAAACACAACAGCCCGAAGCAGAGCCTCAAGACGCACGACACAAAGGAGCACAATCGAGAGAAGCAGAACACGCAAGACAGGGACGAAGCTCAACAACATCAGTTCCAGATCAAGCACAACCTTTGCCTACCCCCGAACACCCGATGGACAAGTGGTTCGACGAGCAACGCAAGTCTTACCCGACCACCCGCGCCTGCGAACAGGTGCTTCTCAAAGCCGCCGAATCCACCACCTTCCAATGGGAGCTCGCCAGCACCATCGTGCCCATTATGCTCAGTAACCGCCATGCCCACGCCACTCGCCTGCGTCGCCAACGCAGAGGCAAGGAGCTCTCAACGGCAGAGCTCGCAATGTTCGACCACGACAAGTTCCTGCCTAGGGATATTCAAGGAGTGTGGACTGTGGAGGACGATAAGGACTTGTGCAGTAAGGATGGGGAGAGGCAGAATCGCGTGTTGAGAAAGCACGGCCGCTCAAGCTGCGCTGCTAGATTTGAGTTCTTGAAGGATGCGTCTGACTAGACTAGAAGTGAATGATTGCGCGCCACACAGAGAGAGCAGGTTGTCTTCTTCAAGGATATTGGACAGAAGATTCTCGTCTATATGATCAGCAATGGGGTCGGTGATCTGCGGTGTCTTGCATGTTGCAACACTGATGGTTCTGCCCCTGAATGGTTTAATGTGGCGTTGACATCAGCTGCGTTGCAATGACCTCGGAGTTGAGAGGCTTGAATATCGAGGACTCTAGCCCAGAGCAGCCATTGAATAGACCAGACGGACAGCATAGAGCAGAGGGAATGCCCGGGGACTTGGTCCGTACCTCGTTGACTACCTAGCTAGCAGAAGTAAAGCAGCAAAGCAGGCAGACAATCCCGACACAATCTTCTGCGCATGCCTGGACTGCTTTTCTCTATCACCTTTCCGGCCTAGAACACCAGACAACGGGGGAATGATTGATGGTGGGGGAAAGACCCTTCTCTCGGCATGCCCACCAGACGAAAACATCTCACTACATGATGACCTCGTTTGCAACGTCGCGCTTCAACTCCTTGTACGGCAGGCAGATGCAGTTCTGGACACGGACCTCGTCGCCGACACCGCACTCCTTGCCCAGGATGGTGATGCTCTGGACCTTGACGCCGTTCTTGATGATGGTGGTGTTGTGGCTGGTGATCGGGGTGGCGGTGCCCTCGACACGGGCCCACGCGCCGACGCGACTGTTCCAGCCGATGATGGCGTAGAGGACACAGGCGTCGTGTTTGATCTCGGCCTCGTCGAGCACGATGGCGTCCTTGACGCGGGCGCCCGCGCCTATGACGGCCTTGGGCCCGACGGAGACATTTGGGCCGAGCTTCGCGGTCGGGTCGACCTGGGCGGTCGGGTGGATGAAGACGGGCGGCACAATGGTCGCGGACGGCTTGGCGATTTCGTCGCTCTGCGACTGGAAGGCCTTTTGCAGGTAGAGGGCGTTGGCCGGCACGGCGGAGCCCGCAGTCTTGATCTGGCGCCAGAAGTCTTTCGTTTCGTGCACGAAGAAGCGGTTGCTGTCGGCGAGCTCGGGGAGGATGTCCTGCTCGAGGCGCATGACCTCGTTGCGCTCGCCGTCTTCCTCCGGGTCGGCCATGAAGGACGAGTCCAGGTTCTCGGACGACGGGTAATTGATCATGCGCGGGCGTTCCGTCTTGCGCTTGATCGCCGTCTTGATGGAGGGAAAGATGGCGTCGGTCGCAAACAGGTACACGCCGCAGTTGATCAGGTTGGAGATGTGCGACTCGGGCTTCTCGACGTAGTGCAGCACGCGCTTGGTGTGCGTGTCCGACACGATGCAGCCGAAGTTGGTCGCCGCGTCGTTGCTGACCCGCGTGCCCAGGATCACGGCCTCGGCGTCCTTTTCCTCGAACAGCTTGAGCATCGCCTCCAGCGGGAAGGAGCAGCAGACGTCCGAGTTGAGCACGAAGAATCGGTCCGGTCGGCCTTTTAGGATGGCGTCGCGGAAGTGGTACAGCCCGCCGGCCGTGCCCAGCGCTTGGTATTCGCGGAGATAGGTGATTTTGAACTGAGGGAATTCTCGCGACGAGTCCTTGATGAAGTCGCGGAAGACATTTTCTTCATAATAGCCGATCAGGATGACTTCCTTGATGTCGTCGACTTTGGACACCGCCTTCAGGCAGTGCCAGATGATGGGGTGGCCGGCAACATCGAAGAGAGGCTACAGAGGGATAGTAAATGAGCGAGGTGCGACGCAGTGGGGATGACCGTCGACCTACTTACCTTGGGGACATCGAGACTCAATGGCCGGAAACGGGTGCCTCGCGATGGACCACCAACCTGGTACTGCTCAGTTCGGGGTCTCATGCTGATCTTGATGCGCCAAGCTTACCAGAATGACCGCCTTGGTGAGAGGCTGCTGGCCGCCAGGCTTGTTGCGCGACGGCACTTTCAACATCTTGAGACCGTCAATTTTCAGTCGAGGCTCTGTGAGGAGAAGCAAGACGACGATACCAGTCTCCGCGGCAAGTTCAGTCTAAATTACAATATTTCGCAGTTCTGAGGGGACTGCAAGGGAGGGCTGAACAAAAGCTGAGGCCACGGGTTCACTTCACTTTCTTTTCACCGCAAATCACCAGCCCGTCGGTCCAGCCGTGACGCCCGCAACAATGGCCAAGGCGCTAAACCCAGTCAGGCGCTATGGCGTTTCACTGCCCCTAAGTCTGGCAAAACTGCAGCGGCGGTGAATAAAAGTACAGAGATGATTGCTCTGCGCCAGCCACGAGCGTCGCACGTGGAGATTGCCTCCCCACGTGGAACACTGTGATTATTCTCGTCTGTACGGAGTACACAGTAGATACAAGGCGTTTACCGTTATCACATTAAGCGGCGCGCTGTGGTACCAACGCCGTCCACCGTCAACTTCACACCCGCTCCTTCTTGACGTCCTCCTCGGAGAACTCTCTTTGAACACCAGTCTGAGCAACGCCGCCAGTAAGTGCCGCTGTGCCAACTTCTTTCACGAATCCTAGAGTCGAAGATTCCTTCTTCCAATACACGATATACTTGCTCTGGACCTCAATCAGACTCATTCGGGGGTCCTTGTACGTTCCGTCGTGGACGCCATCCTTCAGGTCGCCGAACCAGGCGCTGACTGCGGAACTGTACAGTTCCTTGATGCGAGGGTCGTCATTGCTGGTGGTCGTGGCAGTCCCGGAGATGGAGATCCAGTCCTGCGTCTTACTGTCTTGAAAGGTAATTTGGACTTCTTTGTTCTTTTCCAGGTCTGAGAACTTCCGCGAATGCTTGTTGGCGAGGTACAGGATGTCGGGTCCAACGCGTTTCGCAACGCCCATCGAGCGGCCGACAGGCCCGACGCCTTCACGGTAAGTGCTGAAGATACCAATCTTCTTGCCGTCGATCATCTCGTACAGTTCCTTCCACTGCTGCTCTTTGGGTGTCTCGCGGTCGTATTGTTTTGCGACTGAGGGGTCGGTCTCCGAGTTGATCTCGTTTGCGTGGAGTGGTTCAGGCATGTTGAGACGTGTTGTTGCACAAATAGTACGGGGACAGGATTGTTTTGCAAGTGACTGGCCGAATGGATGGCGAAACGATGTGACTTTCGAGGGACGTGTTGATGCGAGCAAGAGCCTGGGGATTGGAATTCGAGACATTTGCCAGATGGGTTGAATCGGGCACACCAGGTGTTCTTATTCCAGTCGCCTGATGAAATCATCTTTACCTACATGACAACATGACGAAACCATTAACATGGTTTGCGGCACGGGTACAAGACTCCCCACCACATAGATCGACCAACGACGAGTGCAGCTCGGCAGCAGCCGAGCGAAGGATGCACACTGATCCAAGGACAAGGCGTGTCTCATGCTTGGGCCGTGGATCGTTTCATGTTGCTGGACGAAGTATTCGCGTGGGAACAGCCGTCGGTCGTTGTGAATGGTTGGGTTCGTCGGTGGAGCGGGAAGTGGTGACGACAACAATCACACTTGGGAGCATTTGTGCCAAGGCTGAATTGGACTCGGCCTGTGAAAGACCGACTGCGCTGAACTGGTCATGGAGTATCCGCGGCTACGGGAGAAGCAGTCCACCATATAAGATCTGGCATTTGGCATACTGATAAGGCGCACCCCGTCATAGTAGATGTAACCAATGAGCTCTACATTCAGTGCTTTCCACGACATGGCGTCAAATTGGCACGAAAAATACTATTCATTCAAGTGTCTAAGTAACGCTAGTAGTCGTGCAACCATCTCATCAAGTCTTGTAAGCTCTTGTGATCTCCACCTTGGTGGACTAACGACCACCGATCTGTTTCTTGGAAACCGGGGGTATCCAGCATACGGCCAAGTTAATGCCAATAGTCATAACACCGGTGATCCAGAAGGACTTGGCATAGTCGGTCTTCATGTACCTGAATATGATGGCAAAGATGATGCCACCGAAGTTTCCAGTAGCGCCGGTCATACCAGACACCACGCCGTTGGCGTGAGGCAGAACGTGCGGAACCAATGCGAAGTTGGCACCGTTGCCAGCTTCCAGGAAGACAGCCATGCCAGCAATGAGACCGAACATGGTGCTCGTGTCATGCGGATCCAAGACGCCGATGACGATAAGAAAGACACCGGTTATGACTCCCAGGGCGTGAATCCAGATCTTCTTGATCCAGACGTTCGGGAACTGTCGGTAGAGCAAGTCGGCGATGATGCCTCCCAGGGGACGAGTAACCACGTTAAGGAGACCAAACATAGCCGCCCATTGGCCCGAAGTGGTCTGGCCGAGGTGCTTGAAGTTCTTCTGATAGTATGTGCCGAGGATGGAGTTGATCGCCAACTCAGCACCAAATGAACAGAAGTAGCAGAATGCTAGGACAAGGGTTTGTGGTGCGAACATGACTTTGAAGACTTGCATGAGTGTTGGCTTGACGACGATCTCACCACGAGCAGTGTCGAGCATTTGTTGCTCGGTAAGTTGAGCCTCGTGATCCAAGAATACAGACTGCTTGCGCTCTCCAGTCGCATCGTACTGCATTTTCTCCCCTGCAGGCGGGCTACCTGTGCCAGAAGACAGGGATGCAGGCTTGTCTGCGATGCTAACATGGGGTCTGTCGACAACGGTGGCCTGGACACCATGCGCGGCTAGGTTGGTCTGAGCAGCATTATGGCGTTCGCTCCATTTGCCCACAGGTGTATCTTGGCAGAGGAGAAGCAGGCCAGCGGCCACAGAGAGGATGATGATACCAGGTACAATAAAGGTGACACGCCAAGCAACATGAGGAGTCAGCCCATCACTAACAAGAGAGTCATAGATGGACGGCATCAAGAAACTATACAGTTCGTCAGCATACGGTCATTTGTTATTATGGTGGGAATAGGCGAGCAAAGATGCACATACTAGGTGACGCCACCACCGGCATTACCAAAGCCAGCGGTAAATGCATTGGCTGTGCCGACCACGTTCTTGTCAAAGAAGCCGGTGCTCCACACCTGGCAAGGAACGAAGCTGCCACCGAGGATGCCGACAAAGAAGCGAACAGCGAATAACTGGCTTTTGGTGTAAGCGGTTCCTGCCAGGAATGTAGGAATGGCACCAATAACGAGGCACCCAGTAAATGTCCAGCGCGGTCCGAAGCGGTCGCAACAAGGGCCCGCTATCAATCGAACGAGCAGAGTGGCACAGAGGGCAATGATGTTCGAGTTCGCAACATCGATCTTGGTCAAGTTGAGATCCTTCTGGATGGTGTCGTGCAACTGTTGCACGTCAGTTCATGCTCACGAAGTCATATGCGTGATGTTCGACTTACCAGTGGTGGGAAAGCGTACCAACTCCAAAACGCAATGAAGAAGCCAAACCAACTGAAGAAGAACACCCGGCCGTACATATTAAGGGGGTTTAGGAAGGGGATAGCCCGGGCCTTGCGAGTGATAGGATTGACCTCAGGGGCCTTGAACGGCAAGCCGAAGTCGACAGCCATCGTGTTGGGTTGACGTTTGTGTATCCGCCCGGTGTCGTTGTGGTTGTTGAGCTGGTTCCTTGGGTAGCAAGAAGTATGCGGAATAGGTTAACGTGGGCATTCCACCATGAGACAGTAGAAGGTACATATACTGCTGGGGAGTCTCTTGTCGCGCCGTGGGGGACTTCCTTCCAAGCACAACAAACTCGAAATGACGTTCTTGTGCTTCTCCGGGGACGAAGTATAGATTCGCTTCGAGACCTCACTTTCACTGAAACAGTAAATCTGCAGCAGATCTCACGACGAGATCGAGAGGCTGTGAGCGAATCAGAATCCTGGACATATAAGCCACCCTCTGGATTTGGCCAAAGGCTTGCTGATAACGGCACCAAGATGGGTCTTACCTTTTCACAGCAGACCCCCAGTCAATCAGTGAAGCTCCGAGGCATGGTGTATAAGTCCAAGTGTGTGCAAATAGCTGGGCGTACACACGCTGTCAACCCACGTTGTCCACATGCCTCGGAAGTCTTCGACAATGTCGCAGACCCTTATCCTCGTGCTCACCACTGTCTGGACTCCTCTCAATGAATTCACTCCGGCTTTCAGCAAGATGGCCCAAACGAAGTATTCAAAATGAACTGCTGTGGCCCATTTGAGCAGTTGACTGTCAGGTGTTCAAAAGCCCTCCGAGGCTGATTCTCGGATCGAAAGTGCCGATTCAGCGTCCAGGGTCGATGAACGCGATAGCTCGGCAGTGGTAGATCACAAAGTGGCATTGGTGTTGTTTGTGCAGCACTGGAATAGCTGGCCCCCAAGTGCAGGGACAAGGCCCACGGTCGTCTACCGTGTCAGGCGTGACGCCTGGGAACCTGATAACGAGCAGGGGTCAGCTATGTTGAGGCAGGATTGACAGCAGCCTCTCGGCTTGAGGTCTGACGTTGAAAGAATGTGCAGTTGTGGTTGGACAAGGCTTATCTGTACCATGCGCATTTTGGTGCAACCTGGTGGAGCCTGCTTATCAGACAGCTACTTTCTGCGGTATCTTCGCGCTGTTGTTCACATGAGATTGTGATAAGAACCTGGCATTCCCTCGAAGTCTTATATCGCTTGATGTTCTCCGCGGGATTGTAAACCAGATTGCCGACCTCAAACTCAGATCCTGTGATATTGGATCTCCAGCACTCACCTCGGATACATGGCATCGGTGCAAAGTCTAAAGCCTCACCATTCGAGCATTTGTCTCCGATCTGGCGATTGAGCTGTTCAGACATACGCTGGCAGACGTAACTCAGCGCTCGGCGTGGTGTTGGCGACATCAAGGTCAAGAGCATGAAATGTTGTCGAGATAAGACGTGGCAAGGACCAATCAAGGAAGAAGTGAGAGAGAAGTGAGAGAATCGCACAAGCCGGTCTGTGTTGCGCCGCAGCCACTGGACATTCGACTGAACTCTCAACTCAGTCATAAAGAGACCCAGCTACTCCGTCTAGTGCCCGCCGTCCTGTATTCGTTGTGATGCTGCTACAGAGCATATCTTGCGCTACGTCTAGGATCGGGATAGGAGTTCTGCTAGAGGGATGCATGGCGCCATCATGCTGTCGCACGTGGATCATACAAACAAGCTGTTCTATCATCCTCTCACGCAAGGACCGAAAACCGGTTTCCTGTTGTACCCAGGTGAGCCAGGTAAATTGGTGCCTCCATCGCAACGCCGTCTTATAATTAGACGACTACATCGCCAGATAGTCCGAGTGGATGAAAAACGCAGTAGAAGAGACGGCAAGAATCGCCACCTGGACATTTGATTACTGTGTACAGAGTCTCCCGGCGTGGTCTTGATTCTCGACCGCTAGCTTCTAGCGGGTCAGATGGTTCATTCAACTCCAGTGCGCATAATATCAGTAGAATCCATATTCGTGAAGATGAATGTAACACACGGCCTGCGCCTCGATAGCCACCTCCTCCAAAAGTCCGTAGAATGGATAACCGAACGACACGACAGTACCTTGCGTTGCTTTTGTTTCCCAACCTATGAGTACATTTGTCGAGGAGCTCTCTTGCAGAACCTTCTAAACATGCAAAGGGACACTCATATCCGGCGGTCCCTGGAGGCGAAGCCGCAAAACAATAGTGGCGAGAATTCAAGAGGCAGAAGCGAACTTCTTTCTCCTTGCCTCCGCGGCCATGCGATCCGCTTCCGATGAAAAAGCCCCCGACTGCTTACCGACACCGGTAGGCTTCTCGCCCGTCCTGCGCCGTGAATTCTCTCGCCCACCTCGTCCACGGAGGCGGCCACCCCGACCCCGACCACCTCGACCGCCAAAGCTTTTCCTTAGAGCTGGATCGTCCATAGCACTGGTTTCCTCAGTTCTGCCTCGTTTCCTTGAGCCACGTTCGCGCTCCTCGGGAAGGGCCTCGTCCAGTTTGCCCATCGCCGTTTGGGCCGTGCCGAAGCGCTTCGCGCGCTCCAAGGCCTTCTGCGCATCGGCATCGGTAGCACTGTCTCCTGTCTCTCCGTTAGCACCAGAGGCGCCGGTGCCAAATCGTTCGGCCCTGGCCTTGCGCTTGGCCATCTCAGCGTCCATCTCTGAGTGCGGCAGATTCAAAGAGTATGAGGCTGAGTTCGCTAGTGCAGTATCGGTATTCGCAGAGGGGGAGTCGGCGGGCTCTTCGGCAATCTCGCGGGCTGTTGCTGCAGGTGCGGCTTCTACAGGTGCGGATTCGTCAGGCGCAGGTTTCAATGCAGGCTCGGTTGCAGGCTCTGGCTCTTGCACGGGAGGCGCGCTGGTGGACTCTGCCGGGGGAGCCTTCTCAGCTTCTATACACGTACATGTCAGCGTCATACCAGTTTGTATTTGAGCCACGCAGGGGGGTTGCAATAAGTTCGCTGTAGAGCAACCCTTGCGCCAACGACCACAGTCCACACGTACCATTCTCTTGGGCTACTTTGTCTGCTTCGTTCAGTCTCGCGACGAGGTCCGCCTTCTTCCCCGAATGCGGTAAACTTCGTGACTTCAGGATCTCTGTCAGCTCGGCCACCGTTTTCTTCGAGTAATCGACCATGGCTCTCGTGAAATGGAAGACGCGCCGTCGCAGTTGAGAGCCCGTTCAGAACAGTGAACTCCAGGGTGGCCGGTCAGGACCAAGTCGCGATCTTCGACCTTGACAGCGTGGTCGATAATGAGTGCGGATAGGATCCACCAACTGTAGCTTGCAATAATGTTGATATATTTCTTCACTCAAAACGCGTCTGGGGAACGAGGCTGCCGGGCGAGTATCGACAAAAGAATGCCCCGGCTGCTTTAACCCGCTACGGAATACTGTCGACACAGACGTCATTCTCACAGTGGAGCTGCTCTACGCCACTTCTAGCTAGTGCCTAGTTGCAACCGTTCCATCTCTCGGTCTCGAGTCTGGAGCTTTGCACAGACTTCCACGCGCACAGTCTAACAATTATTTGATGTCAGTGTTATCACGGTCGGATTGTATAAGGATCAGGGCAAACAATGACAATATCTTACTTACAAACCCCACGGGGATTAGGCCGCTAAATAAGTCAGCACGAATCCCTTGATAGTATCGTCCACCCTCCAATGGCAGAACTCTTTTGGTGGTGTTTGGGGAACGAAGCATGGTGAGATATGGCAACTCCTTTGGCGCCATCCACCAGGCGAAGATGATGCGCCTTATTATCAGTCCTGTTATCAGTGAACCCAGCAATGCGCTGCAGGTTCAGGCTGTCACACGTTCGCCTATCTGACATACCATTCAGCCTGCAACTAGCGTTGAATTGGGAAGGTACGAAGTCACTCAACGAGTCACTGCTACAGCTGAGGTATCGGCAACCGGAGGACCCGTAGCAAGCTAGTTATGGCAGAGTGTCCAATCCTCCTGTCAAGCAAGCCAAGTTGATCTGGGATTTCTTATGCACCATTGCTCGTGGGAATGCTCATGCGGCGGGATATGAAATCGGGGTCAACGAGGTGTAGAAACTCTGGAACATCTGCCGTCACTCCGAGTTTCAGGCACCATTGACAGGCTGGGCGCGGACCAGCACAGCCTTCCATGCATACAAGGGGGAGCCATGTCGGAAAGTGGCTACTTAACCGGTACGTCGATATACACGCCCTAGATGCACGCACACGATCTTGCTGGGTAACAGTGCTGCGGAAGGATTCGCTGTCGGCTTCGGCTTGCTGCCCTTCAGCTTTGACGCTTTACGCCGCGGTGATTCTTGAGGTCCATGGCATCTGTTTGGACGCGAACTCCTTTCATTGGGCAAGCTACTGTCCCTCCGCCCCCCTTGGATGAGCTGTGGTGCACGTACTGGCTTTTCTGACTCTCTATGAAAATTCGCCCCGCAAAGTCGCTATTCTTCTCGTCTTATGCGTCGGAGATGCAATGTCAGGGGCGCCTGGCAAAGCAACAGCGCACCGGCCTCGTCCGACCGAAAGTACAGGTAGATTCTTGGATCGTCCTACAAACTTCCTGGAAGAATTAGCTCCTGGAGATCCAAAGGACCAGCTCGTGAAGCGTTCAAGCCACTCAACAGAAGAATCGTCAATACCTCGACAAGCATTGTGCGAACCGCAAAATTCCTGCGTGGTGAGTTTGTCGAGGGAAAAGACTGGGTGTCAGCTGCAAGATTCTCATCCTATCATCCTGATTTGCTCCAAAGCCAGTGGTGAACCAAAGCGCGCCCTGAACGCCGTCTTTCGAAGTGGGCCTCTAGATGGCTACCCAGGTTTCGCGACTGAAGAGGCAAGAAAGCCTCTGGACCTGCATCAACTCGATGCTGCAGATGTCACTGGCAGATCGAGGGGTAAGAGCGCCAGGTTAGGGGCAGAAGCCATAGACTGTGTACACTGGACAGTTCTTTGCTGTGCCGCCTCTGCAGCTCCGAAGGTGATCGTGCTTCTCTACCATTGCTCTGAATATTGCACGCCGGAGGCCGAAATTCTTTTACTCATCGTGCAAGTTGCGCCAGCCTCACCTCCGGGTCAATATTGATGTCGACGGAGATTCAAGGTATTGGCTACGGAGACAAGTTCTAAGACTTCGAGTTGTTAGCGGATCTAATTAACGTCTCAGCCGCATTCGCTTCAGCTGGGATGGTCCTCTCGGTCCCAAGGCTGAGGGCGCTAGACATGCGCTATACCGCATGTGGGAGGCGGCTGGCCCGGTTGTGGACCGAGCTATACAGATGCTGCGGGCGCATCACTTCTGATGGGAAGCAAGACTGTCATAGCCCTTCGAGTGCTGATAGAACGGGTCGGGCCAAGAGTTGCCTGGGTTCTTTCAAGTCATACTCCGTGTTTGACATCACTTTCTGGTTTGCGACTAGACTATCATACTGAGCGGGTTTCAACAGCGACAGAGGCGTTCTCAATCACAGCTGTCTCTCAGGATGAAGCTTCCGAGCTGCGCAACGGCTAGCCACTCATCCCTCAGTCGAGCCTGGCGAGGTTCTCCGCTGAGGTGTTAGCCAAGCGTCTACCTCGGCGGACCTTATTCGTCCTCAGAGAACGCCCCTGCCTTTCGTCTCCGCTCCAGGCTCTCCTTTGACCACACCTCCTCACGAACATACTGGTCGTCTTGGAAAGCGGGAGATTTGTCTGAAAGGATAATCCATGGCTGTTTGTCGGAAATCCAAACATGGGCATTGGGCGGCCAAGAATCCGGGTTGTCCAATGTCCCGACATCGACGATGCGGATAGAGTCCTTCACACGCGCTCTGATTTCCCCAGCGTTGTAAACACTCCAAACAGCGGTCTTGCATGTAGGGCACCGAGCCATACGCTGACCAGCGCCGCTTGCACTCGGTACCGTAGTCCATTCCGGCTCGCCCTTGAGCAGTTTCAATCTCTCCGTCTCGATCATAGCGTGGAGTGCGAAGGAAGCTCCAGTCTCCCGCTGGCACCATCGGCAGCTGTATCGTTTCAGCAGGGGGCGAAGAGCCTGGTGGCGTCCTCTAAAACTCACTGACAGCAGTGGACAATCATGGGCTCTGTTGTCATGGAATAACGGACTCCTCCACAAACACACCCTCCTTCGATGGGATATGCGACTCCTTGTGGCGCCATGGTGCGAACTAGGGGCGTTGGTGAGGTGGTTGAGCAGAGGAGTCCTACACGATACACAGTACTGCGGTACAAATATTCACCATCGCTTGTGGTTGACCCCTCACCTAGCCCGGCAGAAGCTCGACATCTGAAATCATCGTCGCTGGAGGTATCAGGTGATCGGGTAAAGCTGCTTTCACACGGCCTTGAGTTGGGACGATCGGGAATTTCGAGCCAACAGGATTCCCCGACTCCCAGATAGGCTGCTCAAAGTCTTTTAAGCGCGTCCTATCAAACGTCCTCAGTGTCAAGATCAGCCACAAACAGACGATGTTGAGTCGTTTCTGAACTCTTATTGGCAGAGGGCAAGGAAAATCGTTGCTGCGCGAGGAGGAAAGCGGGAAAGAAGTTGCAGATCTGGAAAGTTCGCTTCGGAGGATTTGGCAGCCACAACGTCCCTGGGAAGCTTGCAGCACGCACGCTAAGGCGGTGCGCATCAGTGGCTTGCAGAAGCACGTTTGAAGTCAGTGACTGCGTGCAGTGACTACAGTGACCAGCTTTGGTCAACGCATCGTTGGGGATCTGTCAACCTTGTCAGAAGCGTTTCATACCGGTGGAGGAGATTGGAGAGCGGCTACGGCAGCGTTCCAGGGAAGCAGACGCCGACGAGGAACTTTCTCAGTACGTACTGTGTACTCAGTAGTCGTCCTAGGGCGCGGAACAGAAGTCGCAGTACTCCGTACGGAGAAGGGTATCGGCATATTATTCTCTTCGAAACTTGTGGCTGGCTCAAGCCGAGCAGGCGATATTTTTGTGCCGACTCAATCAGATGCCCGGTTTAGCATACGAGAGCAGGTTGTAAAGCCCAGAAGGACGTGCCTTCGATCCGCCGAGGGTAGTGGCCCGAGCCTTCCCAGAAAATTCCCAGCGGCTCACCAGCGGTGCCTTAGTGGTGCCCGGTGGTGCCTGCGTATAGCCACTAGGGAAGTCTCACACGTTATTGTTCACGCGATCCTCAGCTGTCGCCACCTGCGGGAGACCAAAATCGAACCCTGCGCCTCGGTCCTGCTTCCCCTCATGTCTCCACTCCGCGGCAGCTCCTTCTCCCAAGCCTCAGTTCAACCTGATTACTGGCTCCCATTTCTTTCACTTTTTTGGCCCGTCGCTCTCTGTTGGATAGCCGCCATTCAAGCCCCCCAGCGACGTCTGATTCTACTCCATTCTGGGAACAATACGAGGGCACCAGTCAGTCAAGAGCCGTCCAGCTGTCCACTCTGACGGCGGCTGATCGAAGCGTCGCCACATGATCCGCCCTCGTGTAATCCCATCCCGCGCTCGCTGAGGCCTTTTCAACGGCCTCTGGTAGTCGGCCCTGCCTTTGCATAACGGTTCTGCCTATGACGCCGCCGAAGAGCCGCCTACCGACGAGATTGGTCCTTCGCACATGACCCGTAAAGAAGACCGAAACCAGCAGGACGCACCACGCACGAGCACACGCGCGACATCTTCGGCCTCCCCTGCCTAGCTGCATGATCGGTACGTAGTCGTGATATTCTTGACCACAATACAGGTGGCCACGGGAGCTCCATTAGCACGGTTCTACCAAGTCGGTGGCTGTCCTAATTAGTCTTCCTGCTCCAACTGGAAGCGGGAGGAGCCATGATGGAGACGGTCGAGACAGACCTTAGATGGGGTCTGGAGTCGGAGACCCCAAGTGGTTGACGCCTTGAAAGCTCAACATTGAATACGACACATGTGCGGCCCATCTGTCGCCCCACCCCACACGTCTATACCACGCAGCCTGTGGATACAGACACTCTCTGGTCATGAAGCAAGCCTCAGCATCAGCCCGTTGGAGGATTCGAGTGCTTTTGTGCTCGTGCCAACTAAGCCGAATTCGCTTATGCCGCCCTCGTTACAAGATGCCTGCATGATCCGCCCACTTTCATGCCACTGTTTCCTTCTTGAGCCTTTATCATCCCAGAAAGACTTTGCCTCCAACCTGCTTTTCCATTATTTCCTGTCTCAAACACGCGGCCTTTGCGCAGACCGCAGTGTTCATTGGCGGATCACGTGCCTTGACCAGGGCCACTGCGTACTATTTTTCGCCCACCTTACAGTAACCTCGGTCTTCGCCGAGCATTGAGGCTTGTGTGGCGCGTATTGTCGATCAGAGTCCACGACTATACTATTCCCATGGCATCCAGAGGACCTTGACATTTACTCGTCTCAGGCAGATTGCCTTGTGCGACATTGTATCCGAATCACTCTTGGAAAGAATTATCTGGCGACATCATTTCTCGGTCTTCACTTGACGCTGGTGGCCGCGAACTATTTTCTTGACATCTACTATTCGGCCTGAACAACGATTCGACCTGAATGTCGCAGCCTCAGGCGTGAGGACCACGGGATGAGCCTAATGTGTCTATCGCCATTGCACGTATCTACGGAGGCTGGACCGGAGGATACGAACCGACCGAGGATATGTCGCACAGAAAACCGATGTATGACAGCCGACAGGGTGCCTCGAGAACCAGAGATGCAACCGTTCCACGAACATTACCAACTGCCAGTAACAATGCACGTCAACTCAATACGAGTCGCCCCAACGCCAGTACGCGACTGGCTTCGCGCTCTCCACCCTTCGTAGGAGAAGATTCCGCCAGTGCTCCTGAAAGGGTTGGGCAGAAATCAACAGCCATCCCTCGGCCGAGCACCAGAAATCCCTCACAGAGGTCTATAAGCACTGCAAAGAATGCCACGACTCCTTCGGGAACAGTCAAGTCAACTGCACGCCCAGAATCAACATCGCAAGAAGTCCCTTTGGTGATGGAACCATACCATCGCCCGAGACGAGGAGAGCAAACCTCCGGTGACAGGAGCTTTGCGCCGGCCCAGGACACCTCGGAGTATGAGCAATCGTCTTTGGACCTACGGCCAGACGCGATCTTCGGCATAGTGATGCCGCGAGCTAATCCTACAGCCCGCGCTATGGAGCTCCCTCCTCGATTGATACCAGAGCTGCAAGCTCTCGCCGCCTCATCCACGAGATTACAGCAGGCGTCTGACAAGTCCGTGAGCTCTGTTAGCAGCCCTTCAACGCGGTTTTCCAGCTCGCCCAGCCCCTGGAGTGTATCCACTACCACTACGACACCCACATCATGGTCTTCCACGTCACCCGGTATCGTGCAGCAAGTTCCAATGATAAATCCTACAAAGAGGTCACAGACAATTCCGCTTCCTGCAGGCAAGCGAGATAGAGTCCCTAAAATGCCTGCTCTTCCAGAATCTTTCACTCCGTCTGTTGAGGGTGCCTGGCAAGCCAAGTCAAAGGAAACGACCAAGTCATCGACCAGAAAAAATACACTGTTACATACGCCAGCCCCTACACCTCCCCCACGCACTTCATCTGCGAAACGTTCTCCGAGCGGAAGTAGTAGCAAGAGCGATAGGCATTGGAAAGCCGCTATGCAGGAGCCGACGCCTTCATCGTCAGAGCTAGAGCGCAGTCCCTTGGCAGGACGTGGTCGCACAGATCTAGAGACTGAAGGAGACTCGTGGCAGCACCGCACTGTTGCACAGGCTCATGACAATCTGCAACAGTCATTGCGGAATGAATTGTCGGGAAGCAGTCGGCGGGAAACGCACGCGCTAGCCCCCAGAAGAGCTTTGACGGTCGACGCCAATCACCCCGTTCCTGTCGCTCATGCGCGGCCAATACCATACTACGAAGACCGCAGTATACGACGACCGGTTGAAGCTGTACAGCAACAGGAGCGGTACAACGTTGCAGAGAGCCTCCCCAGAGTACCACAAGTTCCTGAAGCCCAAGTACGAAACTCCCCTGGCCGTACAGGCAAATTCTCTCGCTTGGGTCTATTCGGTCGCCGAACCAAATCTCCCTCGACTGAGGTCGAAAAGTCACCGCGCAAGTTGCAGCGGAAAGGTCCTGCCGCCGGTACAGGCCATGAGGCATATGGAAGGTACGGGAGAAGAGGCCGCAAAACGTCACAAGATGATTCATCTGCCAGGGGTAGTGAGAGTGAGAGGTCCGCTAGCAGTAACAGAAGAGTACCTCTGTTCACGTCAAGGACAAAGGAGACCCGCAGCACTAGTCGCCATAATCGCAGCAGCCAATCTGACCTGGACGAATTTGCAGCCACTCGTTTGAAGCCAGTGCCCATGGTTGGTGGCTCTGGCAACAATATGAAGAGCGAGTCTGGCAGCCAACTCAACATATACAGCACCTCAGCACCTGCTGGCCCCGTCTTCGACGGATGGGACACTCCTGCACAGTCAAAGACTTCTTTGGGCCAACAGTCTTCCCACGACAGACAGTCTACCACCAAGGACCCATCAACCGGTCCCACTCTGGCATTACGGCGGTCGCAACGTTTTGGGAATGATGCGGAGGCTTTCATTCTGCCAACTCCAATCAGGACCGATGGCCTCTCGGCGCCCTTGTATATCAATAGCCAGGACGAAAGCCGGTCTTCGGCCTTTCCGACGTCTACACCAAGCACAATTCCTGATCCCAGTCGCGGAGACATTGTGTCCCAGAAGCCTAAGGAGAAAAAGTCCAGGAAGCTTCGATGGAATATTTTCCGACGGAGAGGCACAGAGCCCGAACCTGAGGAGCCTGTTGGTCTACCATTTTCGTCCCCTGAAGAGATGCCTGTCAGCGTTTCTGCGATCCCCATATCGCGACCGATGCCATACTATGCGATGATTGATTGCGAGAGTGATGTCAACCCACCTGAACCTGTTGGGGACTACCTCGCACAAGTGGTAGACTTTCCAGGAGTCAGTCCCTTGGTTGAAGGCTATGACGCGGATCTTGGGGAAGATGAGCCGCACCACGAAGTCTCTGAAGACGAAATCTTTCTTCCAAGTGTCCCAGTCTCGCCACAGCAGACTTTTGCAAGAGCACCGCCTTCAGTACCGCTACAAAATCCGATCGAGCAAGAACCGCTCCCAATAGAGCCGCCGGCACAACGGCCGCCACGTCTCGTCCGCGTTGGCAGGATCCCGCCAGTCGTACCGCGGACCGAAAGGGAACATAAACCCAGCCGGGCGTCTTTTTCTCAACCGTTCATGAGATCTCCTGTGATGGAGGATTCTGACGCGGTATCAAGCTTCTCAGATGTCCCGCCGTCAATGCCACTTCAGATCAGCACTGACGTGCTATTAACTCGACCTTGCGACAACTCTGACAGCAATCAAGCCGTCAATGCCTCCAATCTCGGAGAAGCTGAGTTCTTGCAATTCCCATCGAGGCAGACTTCTGAAGTCTCAACTTCGAGCGGTTCAGCAGGTGTAGCGAGTATTCTTGGTCCGCCCCTCGTTCCAGGACCTTCGATAGTTCGAATGCCTGAGAGAAGCGCCTTGCAGACAGGTACTTACTTTCCTGGTAGTCCAATTAGTGACGAGGTCTGGAACGAGTACGACGACTTCATTGATCATGTCATGTCGCCGTCCCAAGCCCGAAAAAGCATCAGGGCACCAGCGCAACCAGATAGCCCAAGCCTCGAGCGTTCCGGGCTTGAAAGATGGCAGATGGTGCAAGATCACTCGTTGAGAGCACAATCATCAGATCCCATCCTGGCGGAGTTCCCCATCCCAGCCATGAAAAGACCCCTCTATGCAGGAGTGCCGGCGACATCAGTCACGCCGCCAGTCGTGTTTCCACCTCCGACTATGCCCGAGCGACTTGTCGGGGATGACATTCGATTGCGCCGCTCAAGGATCGCTTCGGCGTTGCATTCCTCAATGGACCCTTCGTCGCCGCTGTCTATTCGAGATCTCCTGAACGAGTACGGACATCAATCGGCAAGTAGTGCCAAATTTTCCGAGCGCCTGAGCACATCTAGTGCGAGTCATTCGCTCGAACGCCCGATGACGATTACAAGTGCGCCTGATTTGCCCTCCGAACCGTCTCATCAGGACAATGTAGCAATGCTGGAAGTTGTCGAACGGAGCAAAGATCCAATCGCTCAAAGCGAGCTTCACTATGCGTCCCTTATGGTGTCCAAATGGCTTTCATTCGGCAGGGTGCTGTTTTCGCCTGCACATGACGAAATTCAAACCATTCCTGAAAGACATATTCTCGTCATTGATGGGCTTGGGAACGAAGATTGGTCGATCTACTGCGCCGTCACTTACGAAGCGCAAAAAGCCTTTGTTCATGACCTCAAGGAGAAGACCCAAGCGAAGGGAATGAGAATGTCCCAGCCATCTCAGCACGCCCCAGACAACCATCGACGAGCGGAGGTGGCCAGTTTCCACGAGCGCTTCCCTTTCCCGCCCAGCTTCTTTTCCGTAATTGTACTACGCTTTCCACCTGCAATGGCAGAAGCCAAGATGAAGAACATCATCGCCGAGTGCCGGCGCGTGTTGCTTCCTGGGGGCTATCTCGAAATGATGCTTCTGGACCTTGACATTGTCAATATGGGGGTGCAGACTCGACGCGCCGTCCGAGAACTGAAGTTTAGGATGACCACAGCAGACAAGCAGCTTAGTCTTCGACCTATCATCGACAATGTCCAGAGCGTGCTCGGCTCACGAGGCTTCACTAACATCAGTCGCTGTGTCGTTGGCGTCCCAGTTGCAGGACGCCCGCCTGGGTCGGCCGATTCCTCCTCGTCCTCGCGTTCGAGTCGAGGATCAGACGGGATCGCCAAACGACGGTCTGGTGATGCGAGGCCATCCGATGCATCTCCCCGAATGACTTTTAGCCAAGGCCGCAGGGGGACCAGCCTTTCATTGAATGAGCTGCTGTCCGACCGTTCAGACAATGCCGATCTGCGTATCGGGAAGATCGTGTCGACGACCGCACGAACATGGTGGCAGCGTTGCTTTGAAGCAAGCGTCATCAGCGACGGCAATCTCGCTAAAAGCATCTTCGCCGACAAGAACGTGCTGGGCGAGTGCAAAGGGCGTGGCTCCAGCTTCAAGATGCTCATCGCATATGCGCAACGCCCAGTCTTTGAGACCCGGCGGCGGACTATGAGTGAACCGGTTGTCCCGACACTCGCTACGGCCGGAGGAAAGAGGCACACGCCATCCACTGGCAACCCGTGCACGGCTTGATCCGACCTACATCATCTATATTTATTACCATTCTGAAACCTATCACAACACGCCCTGGAGGCTTCACGAAGAACATGAGACGATATATCACGACATGATGTTGAAGAGAAGATATGTAACGTATTGGTTTTCTGCCTTGAAGATACCCACTCACGTACGGCCGGCATCCACGAATAGCTATCTTTGTGAAGCGACCTAGCATGTTCAAAAGCAAGCGAATTGTTATTGGATCACCAAAAGTCCAGCACGTACGGGTAAAAATGAAGATTTGGCTCAGCGCCTCTGAGGACTCCAGATGGGCGCAAGCCAGACAGGACAGATGCCCTCGTATATATAGGAAGCTGCGGGTCAGCATTTCCTCGGAGGAGGCGTTTAGATTTAATACGTAAATTAATCTTGATGCGCGGAAGTCCTCGACATGTTCGTGTGCAAGACAGAGCAATCGCAACATAGAGAGCCTATCTCTTGAGGAAGGCCACATGAGGCTGAAGCAGGGCGGTTGTCTGAGACAGGCCTATTCCTATTCATCGCGACACTGTAGGCAAGCGCCGAGGTATTGGTACCCTTCACCCGCATCTGCCCAGCAAGCAACAACAGGCGAGACACAGGCGCGGCTTCTGCATCCTGACCAGTTGTAGACGCTTGAAACCAACGAGCAAACAGCGAATGGCGGGGTACAGAGGCGCCCTGCTTGAAGACTCTGGGAATGAAGTAACATGTTTCGGATTGTTCTGATGCTTCTGTTTGGTGAACATCGGAGTAACCACGCTCTTCTCACCCACCGCGATCCCCCTGGCACTTTCTGAGCCGCTCGTGGCAAATGATTCGCGTGGTACTGGAGTCTGGCCTGGTGCTTGAAGATCGTCGCCGCCAACCACCAATCTGAGTGAAATCCCAGAGAGGCTGCATCTCTTTTTCTGGGCCTGACCCCCGGCTGCCTTGTCAATGTCTTCCTCGCGTTCCGCTTCCATCCCGCATCGCTCCTCGGTGTCTTCAAATACGTCTTCACAACACTCGCAGTCCCAGTCCCAGCCCCAGCCGCAGTCGCAGCCTCAGCAGGCAAGTCGTCAACAGCCTCCACGACTCACAGCACAGCAGCTCGCCGAGCGAGTGATTTCCCCCTCAGCAGTGCTGTTTCAAGGCACCACTGCCCCGCCTCCTGCAAGGACAAACGTGCAAGAGCGTAGATCATACACAGACATGGACCGGAGGCATCCCAGTTCGTTCCAGCAGTTGGAGAAGGTATGCTGGGTCAGTTGTGTACGCAAACGTCGCCGGACTGACATGCAGCCCAGTTAGGTGAAGGGACATACGCGACCGTCTACAAGGGCCGGAACCGACAGACGGGCGAGCTGGTGGCTCTCAAGGAAATCCATCTCGACTCGGAGGAGGGCACACCCTCCACCGCCATTCGAGAAATCAGTTTGATGAAGGAGCTCAAGCATGAGAACATTGTCACGCTGCACGATGTCATCCACACGGAGAACAAGCTCATGCTGGTCTTTGAGTACATGGACAAGGACCTGAAAAAGTACATGGATGCACGGGGAGACAGAGGCCAACTGGACCATGTCACCATCAAGAGGTTCATGCAGGATTTACTACGAGGCACCGCATTCTGCCACGAGAATCGGGTCCTTCACCGCGACCTGAAGCCTCAAAACTTGCTCATCAACACCAAGGGGCAGTTAAAGCTGGCAGATTTTGGCCTGGCAAGAGCATTCGGGATTCCAGTCAACACGTTCTCGAACGAAGTGGTCACACTGTGGTACCGAGCGCCGGACGTTCTGCTGGGATCGCGGACCTACAACACTAGTATTGACATCTGGTCCGCGGGTTGCATCATGGCAGAGATGTACACTGGCCGACCGCTTTTCCCCGGCACTACGAACGAAGACCAACTACAGAAGATTTTCAGACTAATGGGCACGCCCTCGGAGAGGACGTGGCCCGGCATTTCTCAGCTGCCTGAATACAAGAGCAACTTCCCTTCATACGCCACTCAGTCGTTAGCCATTCTTCTACCACAAATCGACCAACTAGGGCTAGACCTTTTGGGAAAGTTGTTGCAGCTCAGGCCGGAGAATAGAATCAGCGCACAAGATGCGCTGCGCCACCCGTGGTTCTCTGATTTACCCAACTATGCTGGACACGGTCGATCCCATGTCAGTTCAACTCTGCAGCAACCTGCGCAATTAGGACATCAGGGAGGAGTTGCTGGGGGGTACGGCGCTCAACCAGGGCTGGTAGGACCTGGGGGCTATTGAGGTACTATGTGGTGGAGGAGGCGGGAACAGTGAAACGGTCGTCAAGGCTGTAGTTGTGATACCCTCGTTGATCGTGTGGACACGGAGAGCATACACCTCGTTGACGGGCCACCAGGGAGATTTGCATCCAGACAGAAACGCCCTTCAGCAGATTCGAATGATGACATGAGCATATGAAAGTGTCAAAAGTGTTGTATTGTCGCGTACTGTGTATTCGTAGGACAGTGTCAGTCGTGAGTTTCGGTGAAGGCTGAAAAGCGGCGCCAAACGCCAGACGGGATCCGATCCATTGAGCTCCGCTTCTTTTTTCGGCGTCCCAACACGATCCAGCTAAGAAACACCTAACAATCCCCCATCCTCGCGTCCTCTCTATTGCTCTCTCAGTTGCATCTTCTCCTCTTCCCTTCCTTTCGCTCCTTTGCCAGCCATGTTGTCGCGAGCCTGTCTGAGAGGCTTCGGCCTGCAGTCGCTTCCCAAGAGACAGGCATTCCAGCTAGCCCGGAGGACCGTCACAACGGACGCCGCGAGCTCGCATGCTGAGAAAGACGATGTCCCCGACGTAAGGCCTCGAATAGCATTCAGTGGATGATCGAGGCGGAAACTCACCCTTCTTGTGCAGGAAGATGATAAGCCTTTTCCCGTGAAGCTCTCGGAGGAGAGTTTCGAAACCTACAACCTCGACCCGCCCCCGTACACGCTCGACACAACCAAGGGGGAACTGAAAAAGATGTACTATGACATGGTGGCAGTCCGGTGAGTGAAGAGCACGCGCACGAGGGCTGGGGCCGCTTTGCTGACCAGGGCACAGTCGTATGGAAATGGCGGCCGACAGGCTCTACAAGGAGAAGAAGATCCGAGGGTTCTGCCACTTGTCGACCGGGCAAGAAGCTGTCGCCGTCGGCATTGAACACGCCATTACTCGAGACGATGCTGTAATTACCGCTTACCGATGCCACGGTTTTGCCCTTATGCGCGGTGGCACAGTCAAATCCATCATTGGTGAACTCCTTGGGCGACGAGAGGGCATCGCCTACGGAAAAGGAGGGTCTATGCACATGTTCGCGCCCGGTTTTTATGGCGGCAATGGTATCGTGGGAGCGCAGGTCCCAGTTGGCGCGGGTATTGCCTTTGCGCACCAATACAACGGCAGCAAGACTACGACATTGGCTCTGTACGGTGATGGCGCCTCCAACCAAGGGCAGGTCTTCGAAGCATTCAACATGGCCAAGCTGTGGAACTTGCCCATTATGTTTGGGTGCGAGAACAACAAGTACGGTATGGGCACTTCTGCGGCTCGATCCTCCGCCTTGACCGAGTACTACAAGCGAGGCCAATACATTCCCGGTTTGAAGATCAACGCCATGGATGTGCTTGCTGTCAAGGCAGCAGTGCAGTATGGCCGGGAATACACCACCAGCGAGAAGGGACCTCTTGTGTATGAATACGTCACCTACAGATACGGTGGCCACTCCATGTCCGACCCGGGCACGACATACCGAACCCGAGAAGAAATCCAGCGGATGCGGTCGACCAACGATCCCATTGCCGGCCTCAAACAGAAGATCCTCGACTGGGGTGTTTGCAGCGAAGACGAGCTCAAGCAGATTGACAAGAAGGCGAGGGAAGATGTTGACCGTGAGGTCGCGGAGGCGGAGAAGATGCCCGTCCCAGAGCCGACACCCAAGATCTTGTTCGAGGATATCTATGTGCGTGGCAGCGAGCCCGCATACCTGCGCGGGCGTACACCCCACGAGAACTACTACTACTGAATGCTCCTTTCACCTTGGTGTTGGGTTATTGGCAGCGGGGGTCGGAGCGAAAGGAAAAGCGGCCTTCTAGGACGTTGTACATTTAGCAGGTCTCAGTAGTTTCTTGCCGCGGTTAGCATAGGGATGGAACGAATTGCGTCTTGCCTCAGGTCCTTGGATGTGCTTGAACGATAGCTCAGTCTTATCGTGTCCCTAGGATTATTTGCACGTGGCACCGGCATCTTATATAATCAGGTGCGGAGTGCAATCCTGGTAGAGCTCGGAGATGGAAACTACCAGGTAGAGGCGATGATGCCATGGCGTGGTCCAGGTCTTGTACCTGAACACACCACCGTCTAGACAGCACCCTTCCACCTCCGCACTTACCAGCACCTAAGTCGTGTTGTCCAGCTCTTTGCATTGGTCTTCCGGTCCTGTTACCTGTGCATCCAGCTAGGCTGTGGACAGACCCAGATCATGGCGACCACGGTGAGCGAGTCGTCACCGTTGCTTCCGCAGCATAACTCGCCCAGCGTCTCGCCTTCGCGTCCTGGCCTGCGTGCTTCACGGACGGTAACATTTAACCCATTGACGTCTGTCAGTACACAGTCCGGAGCCATGTCGTCGGCAGCTCTCAGACCCTCGCAAAGTCCCTCCTCTGCACTGACGGGGTCAAATCAACCGACCCGTGAGCAACAGCCTATGCTGAGTGCTTTCAACTCAAAACTACGGCGAAGAAATAGTCATGGAGCTCCTTTGCCTACCACCCAATCGTTCAGTGGCGCCCCGCGAGCTGGCGCACAGAGAACGACGAAAACTACGGAAAAGCTGAAGATATTACCAAATCCCGACATAGACGAGGAGGAGGCCGACGAGGAAAGTGGCAGAGATGTATACGCACAATTTACCAGGATAAAAGACCCCACAGCCAGAAGAGACGCTGCGAGACTGGGCAAGGCAGATCGAGACAGACTACCTCGAGTGACTGCGTACTGTATGGCCCAAGGTTACCGAATGGAAGGTATCATGAAATTCATGAAGTCGAGGGCCAGAACCCGAGGTGCAAACCCCAAACTGTTCGACGAGTGTCTGTACAGCCCCTACTACTACGAGTATCTCAAGAAGAAGAAAGGAAGCGAGCGTGGTTCAAGTCCAGTTCAAGAGCGGCTGGCACGGGTCATGGCATCTCCGAGAATGAATCCCGGCGAAAGAAGGTTCTCAGACAGCGCCGTCGAAGTCGAAGACAATAACAAACACCGACGAGAGAACCTCATCGACTTGCAAGATGAACTGGGTCCGCCTGCAGGAGCAACCGCGACGGAACCCGGTACACTCGAAGACCTGGCCATCGTGGCCAGCCGTTCCTCCACTGACCTGCGCCATTCCGAGGGGGACGAAATGCACGATCGATCGAATTCCGAGCTTTCCACCACTGTTCACACTCCCGAAATCTTCATCTTCGACTATGGCACTGTTGTTATCTGGGGCATGACCGTCCAACAGGAACAAAGGTTCTTGAATGACATGTCGAAGTTCAGCGACGCCCCCTTGCCCACCGAGTCGGTTCAAACCGAGAACTTCAACTTCTATTACACGAAAGAATACCAAGCACGGATTTACAACGATTTCATCTCGCTTAGAGACCCGCGGAATCATATGACCAAGCTGGCGATCTCCCATGCCCTGTCCCAATCCGTCAAGACGAGCTTGTTTGAGGATCTCGTCAGTGAGACGATCGAGACGACAAGTCCTCTTCCGGCGCTTATTGCGCAGACCGGCAGTGTCAACTTGACGAGAAGACAGCTAAACATGCAAATTGGAGAGCTGTTCATCTTGAGGATTAACATCCACCTGCAAGGATCTGTTCTGGATAGTCCGGAATTGATGTGGGCAGAACCGCATCTTGAGCCCGTGTATGCTGCTGTCAGGAGTTATCTGGAGATTGAACAGCGGGTAGGCTTGTTGACGGAGAGGCTGGATGTGATTGCTGGTGAGTCCAATCTGCTCTTCCCTGACCTGATCAGGTAGAAATCGACTAACTTGAGCTAGACTTGCTCGCGGTCCTGAGAGAGCAAGGCAGTAGACGACACGGCGAGGTTCTAGAGTGGATCGGTAAGCTTTCTGGAGCCTGCTGTCGGCCGCGCCGCTGACAGCCAACAGTCATCATTCTTATCGCTGCGGAAATCCTCGTTGCGTAGGTCTATCGTCTTGTTAGTGGGAATGATACAATCACTAACAATCTTCTTCCAGTGCCGTCAACATCGTTGTCGACCTCTATGCTGGCGTCGATTGAGCCAATACTGGAGCAGATGTGACACAAAACATTTACAGATCTTCTGCCCGAGACAATGCACTCAGTAGACCGATGGTCTTTAAGGTCCAGTCACCGGGACTCTTGTATGGGTTGCAGACCAGCCACGTTACCGTCACCGACGGAAAGCTACATGCGATCCAACTGTTCGAGCCACCGATTACCATCTTGACACTGGCAACCAGCGTTTCCTGCCGACCACCCAACGAACAGCAGAGGCAGGACCTTCATTCTCAGCTAGCTAGCGAAGGCGTTGGAGGAGTCCAACCTATGCACATCGAGGAGGCGAGCCACTTCGGATTTTTACCGCCGTCTAATGCCGAGGTGCCTCAGAGCCTCCCTTTTCTCCGACCACCTCATATCCTCCATGTACATTTCCCGACATTTTTAATCCTTTGTCTGCTTCACTGTCGGGATGGGAACGGACAGAGTTCTGGGCCATGGGTCACAGTACGTAGTAGAAGGATTGCAGAGAAGATGGCAGCAAAAGAGCTCGCTCTTAGAGTAATGTACAGTGAGTCAATATGAAGAATACCCCCCGTCCTCGTCCGTAGCCGTGTTCGTGTTGCCGGATAGGCCTCACAGTGATTTTGCCTCTGTCTTTGTGGAACACGATCCTTGTGCATCAAGTCATAGAGAGGGCACCTTTTTTGAAGGCCGGTCTGTGCGTACTACGACTAACCTGACTGATTGGCCACATTATCCAGCTTTACCAGCTTTCAGTTCAAGCTTCGACTCCGACCTCTGAGCTTTGCTCAATAGATGCGTACAGGACGACGGAGTGACTTGACTTGCGAGATTCGATAATTACCTGATGTGTACTGTGATGTCTGAGTGTCCAAACTTTTTCACGCCGTACGCATACATAGGAGATTGGGACTTTGATTATGTTCTTGTCCGGGTCTCTTGTTCTTGATCTTGATATTGATCTTGATCTTGTTCATGTCTATCTACCTCCCGTGGGATTCCCATCGAGACCCACTCGACTTCTCACTCTCAGTCTCACTCTCTGTTTTGTCTCATCTCATCTAGTCCCTGGTCCTTCTCAGTAAGTAGGGTTCCACCACATGTCTTCTTCGCTGTCTCTCCGCCGCTTCTGGCTGGCACCGCCGTGATCATGCACATTCTCATGCCTCGCTGTCATCAACCAGACCCATCCATCATTCAAGGTAGTACATGTTCCATCACATCGTCGATCGCTGCTCACTCCTGATCTCCCCTCTCAAAGTCCGACTTTGAAAATACCCCCGTGTTCTCTGCCATCCTTTCCTCTGCTCCATCTCGATTTCCTTCGCTCGATCTCGACTTCCCTCCACTCCACCTCAACCTCCACACATCCTCATCACTCCGCCAGGGTGCTTGTCCTCATGGCCCTACTATGTACTTCCTCCAAGCAGAGAGCTTTCCCATTCCATGTCTTCACCCGCTCAATGCTCAATGCTCAACGGCTCATTCTACCTAGCAGACCGGCACACTCTTCCCCTTGATTGACGCTCCAGGGAGAGATATTGCGACTTTTTTCCTTTTTCCCGCTCTGCACTTTTGAGTCCTCCGGCAATAGAGCTTTCCCATGTCTGACTTGCCCGCTCTTTGCTCGTGTTTCTTTTCCTATCTGCTTTCTTGGCCTGTTTTCTTCTCTGTTTTTCGAGAATGGCCCTTTGATACTCTCGCTCTCGACATTGTCGGAGGTTCTTGTGGATGAGAGATCTGATCATTTGACTTTGATCCTGTTGTTGACTTGTGTTGATTTTTTTGGGTTTTTTCCTTGCTTTCCTTTTTCGAGTCTTGTTTTCTTTTTTTTGTTTCTCTGTTGTTCTCCTGCGGCGCCACGAGGACAAGCACCCTTCCTTGCCTTCCCTTCCTTTGCCATGCCTTTCCTTCCTTTCCCATGCCTTTCCTTCCTTTCCATGCCTTCCCTTCCCATGCCTTCCCTCCCATGCCTTTCCTTCGTCTCTGCCACAACACCTTCCTTCCAAACTGTACAAGATCACATCCATGATATCCTTCTTATACCACCGCTGCCGCCGAGCTTGTCCACATCAATAATTACAAAACCCACCCGCCCACCACCCGCAGCTCTGCGTGACTTCAATGCAGAATGGATTGATGTATCCCTGCGGTGCTATCTTCGTGCTTGTTGGCTCTGCACTTTGACCTTTTTGATAGCGTGGCCTTGATTTTTTCTTCGTGTCGTGGCCTTCCTTCTGGGGCATCTTTGCTTTGCTTTTTTTGGTTTTGCTTTTTTTCTGCTTGGTTGTGACTTACGCCTGCAGGTTCTTGTGTGTACTGACTGGCTCTTGATTGAGACTTGAGACCTTCCTCCTATTGCTGATCCACCAATGGTGACTCCAGATGCTGTTGACTGTGCTGTTGGCTGTGCTGTTGACTGTGCTGTTGACTTGCTGCTGACACTTCCATCTCAAACTTCAAATCACTCCACTCTCGCACCACACCAGTCTCAACCTGAAGCGGTTCAATTTCAGGTCAGTCTCATCTCATTCATGGAGGCGAACTCTTCGAGGTCAACGACTCACCTGAATGTCGCCCGTACAACGCTACCACGCAGACACAATCGTTGTGCAGACCAGTACCCGTTCTGGAACGTAGATGAGATGTCAGTAATTGTAAACTGAGACGGGGGTGAGACTTACCTTGCTTCTCGATTCGAAGGCTCGCTGTCGTCGGCGGTTCGCGGTGATGAGACCTCGTGGCGGTCATTCGGGCTCGTGGGAGTCGGCGGCGGTCGCCGGCGGTTCGGATCTCGTGGCGGTCGTCGGCGGCGGTTGGTGAGATGAGACCTCGAGGCGGTCGTCGGCGGTTCGTGCGAAGGGGACCTCGCAGCGGTCATTGTTGATCGTGTCTAGCAGGTCAGCAAGGCTCGATGTCGAGTGTCTCGTGAGCTTACCGTCGGTTCGTAGCCAATTCGGTGAAGGCCACCAGTCTCTGCAGTCTTATCAGCTAGAAGTCAGTTCCAAGTGGTAAGGGAGGGTGAGACTGTCCCAAAAAATTGTGGCAAGAAGCCAGATAAAGTCCAAAGGACCAGCCATCTCTTCCCATAAGTCGTTGATGCAAGCATCACCGCTCGAGAGAAGGTGGTGGTATGAAGAAAAGGAAGGAGGAAAAAGAGGAGAGAAGGCAGACAACGACGTTTAAAAAGAAGATGAGATGAACAGTGTGTGGGAATTCTCTCGCCAAGACGAAAGTGAAGTTGCAAGACGGCCAGCCTCGAAGTTTCTGTGGTGGTGCGGCAGAATGATGTCGTCGTCGAGGGATGGAGGAATCTTCCGGCCGACGGCGGTGTCCTGCTCCCTGGCGTCCATAACATCCAAGTACAGTAGAACGCTGTGTGAGCTTCGGCTCCCCATTGCACACCCCCTCCTGGTAGCAATCCATTTCTATCTTGATTCTTCAGCTTCCCCAGAACAGCGAAGAGGAAGTAATCAATTCATCTCCATTGTCCGGCAAGACTCTGCATCTCATGAAACCACTGGGTGTAGCCTGCGGCACCCGCTCTCCTCCCAATGATTTAGACACCCGAGCTCATACTGTATGCCTCCGTTCTTTTGCTGGTCTCGATGTGGTACATGTCAAACAAGGGGCAAGCGGATGCTGCTGGACTCGAGGCATTTCAGGAAATGCTGACGGCTTCATGGTCGGGGTAAAGCCATACTCCCTCGCCCATGATCAAAACCTCACTGCCAGTCCGTCGCATTATTAGCCATTTAAGATCAGTAAATATTTGTTGACCAATATGCTGCTGAGCCTTGCTCGGACTTCTGTGATGTTCCTCTTCTGGCCGTGCACAGTAACCATCATCTTCATTGAAAGCCGACAAATACTTTCTCCGGTCGCCCACCTTTGATATGATCTTACTCAAGTATTGACTGATCGGCTCACCTGCGCCCAATTGCAGACACGCACCACCCGGTGCTGAATCGTTCCACTTCTTGCCAGGCAGAAAGCGAGCATGAGTCCACCTGATCTGCCTGATGCTTGGCAGAGACCACACAGCATCCGTCCTCCGGTCTACAAATATCCTTCTGTTCCCCAAGCTCTTTTGAATTTTTCTTCTCCTCTTACATATCCTCCCAGACCATTTCTGCTGCGCTTTCGTCGCTTCAACACGATGATTCTGGCTCACACTCGCCCTTGTGCAACACAGGCCTTACACTTCTGTCTGTTGTTGTCTCGAGGTGCCCATCTTGCCGCCAGCAGATCTCGACTCTGATTCAAGATAAGTCAACTCATTGGGTCTGTCCCCGCCTTTGGGGGTCATCTTGACTAGGTCACGTTGCGGTTAAGTCACGCTGCCGTCCCCTTGCCTTTACACAGCTTGACTTGGGGCTCCGGTATTTACCTCGATAGTGCCCCCAGGGACGGATCATCCGATCGGGGTCCCTGGCGTGGTCAGAGGAGACGTGGCTGAGGATGTCAAGTGGCTCGTGGGGATGGGATGTAAAAGTCCTGCAGTTTTTCTCACAAAGCTGTTTTCGCGATGATGGCAGTCCAGGAATGTTCAACCAGGGCATTTACCGAAGGTGGTCTAGGTGTATGTCCGCTTTCTCTCGAGCAACTCCGTGCCTAGAGGCATCTTCCACCATAAGGCACACTCTCTTGCGGAGTGGTACAACGACCCTTGATGATCACCGTTGACAAAATCTTGTTTGACTTCTTCTCAGCTCTGTATCCTCCAGACACGACTGAGAATTCTACTTTTTCATCGTCCCACTTGCCTTGTGCAAGGTTGCGGAGAAGGAGACCTGCACCTCGGTGTCGCCAATCAGGTTGGCCCTTTTACCTTGTCATGGTCTGCGATTTCCGACACTGTTGAGTACTATCATATAGAAATTGAGCGGCTGCAGTCTATTGTGACGTATCGTCATTTGTCGAGGGTATCAAGTTGCGGCTTGTCGTCCTTCGAGCTCGTTGACAAAGCAGGTAGGAATGGTTACCGAGCATTGAGCGTGTGGATTGTCCTAGGCGCTCTTGCGTCAATGGTGTGTATCCGCCAAATTATCAATGCTTTCTCATAGTACGGTAGTAGTTGAACCAGCATACTGCACCAACGTCTGTCTTGAAAACTGTGATCTTACGGCGTCCCAATGAAGATCTTTGCAACTCCGCCCAGTATATCTGTATAGCTTCAAGCGTGCTCTGATCTGCCCACCACTGCAAGACCAATAAGTCAAGTAAGATATCGTCCACGCTGAGGGCAGTCAAAGTGTAGTCCGCGCCCACTCTTCATTTCTTGCTTGATGAGGCTCCTGATTGTTGTTGCTGCTGCTGGATCTGCGCCATCTTGGCCCTCGCGCTCCGACTGCCTCCCAACTTCGGACCTCTCGATTCCGTCGCGGCGGCACCTTTTGCCTGAGTGGTGGTCTTGGTCTTACTCCTCCTTTCTGCTATTGCGTCCATGAACTCCTGGCGAAACCTTTCGGCGAATTGCTCATCATCATCAGCGTCAACGCCTTCTCCACTTTCACCATCTCGTCTAGTGACATTTGTGGGTTCTGGTGTACTCGTGTCGTAGATATCGATCTTGTTCTCGTGCAGGAACTGCTCGACAAGGGCATCACGAGCAAGGTCTTCGCTGTTCCGTCGCTTTCTCGGTCGTGGTTTCATTGGCTTGCCGTCTCGGCCAAGACGCGGTTTTCGAGGCTTTGGTGGCTTGACATCATCCTCAATGGGAGCTTGACCTGCCTTGACACGTTCGAGTGCAGCTTGCGTGCGGGCAAGATTGAGGTGGTGGGCGGATGTGCCCAGGTCAACTTCGGCTAATGGACGAGCAACAGTCGCATTGGCTAAAGACTTCTTCTCGTCCGGGGGACTTTTGTCGTTGGAGGCGGTAGAATCCTGCTCGGAGCCGTCGGCTGGACGCCGTTGTACACTGGAAACAGGTGTGTTGCGTCTCCTAGCTAATTCTGAATCTATGAATGCCACCCTTATCTTGTTAGCCAGCTGGATTCAAGATCAAGTAAGAAATCTGCTAGGGCCACGAACATATGCTTGTCGACATTAACTGCTTGGCCAGTGCTACCCACGAAGCGGCCCGTGATGTCGATAGGTTTCGCTTCGCTCTCGTCAGATCTTACCAGCTCTGTTGACGGGCTGGGGTCTTCTTGATGAACCGCCTTCATATTTGAGAACTGGACGCCAGTAACAGGCTTCCGGATATGCTTCCTTGATCGTATCAGGGTTGAAATTCCAGAGCCAGCTTCTTCGTGATCATTGTCGTTACTTTCTAGCGTTGGCTCCGCCCTCTCGTCGGCACTAAGAGCTGGCGGCTGCTGTACGGAGTCGGGCGAAACGTCCTCCCGTGGACGAGTGAACTTTCTGCGCTTCGCGACTCTGAAAACGGGCACTTCATCCATGTTTGGTTTCCTGCCAGAATTGAACGGGCGCGGATCACCCAGTCAGCGAGAAAACGATAACTTTGAGCAAGCCTGAGTCATCACATCCATTTCGAGCTATGCACGGAGATAAGCATGTGATTCCTGTATATCACACTTCCTTCACTTGATGTTCGACTGATACTGATCATGCGGCTCTACTGAGTGATGAGTGGGGTCAAGGTTGATGGCGAATTGAGACGTCCTCCAAGAACTCGCTCCTTCTGGTCACATGATTGACTTGGCAATTTCAATGCATTCATTCGGCGCGCGACCATGGAGACTTTTCTAATTCAATCAACGGCGTCACCTTCCCGAGTTCATCTAAGCCTCCTTAATCCTCTCGGAGCCCGATCCCAGCTCCTAGACAAGATATGTCTTCACAAATACCCTCCGCAACGTACCGTTGCTGCCAGCTTGCAGCTCGAACCCAACCGCGAAGCCTCTCCTCTCAATGTCTTCGACTCTCCATGGGCACTGGAAACCAGCAGAGACGAAGGAACAACTTGAAGCAGTCAAGAAGATGGCAGTCAACAGACGCATCAGCTGCTCTTACGAACCCTAAGATAGCTGGAATCGTGGACCAAATATCTCAATTGACATTGCTGGAGACTGCTGATTTGGTTGCGAGCTTGAAGGTACGTTAGGAGGGCATGTTGTAGACCAGCAGGGCGGACAATCTATCGTGGCATCTGATTTCAGATTGTGTATGCACCTGCTTACATTCCTACCATAGTCCCGACTCAACATTCCCGACATGGCCTTCGCCGCTCCAGCAGCAGCCTCTGGTGCAGGCGCCGCAGCAGCTCCGGCCGCCGAGGCAGAGCCCGAAGAAGCAGCGCCTGCACCCGCCGAGAAGACGATGTTTACTCTGAAACTTGAGTCATTCGACGCAGCCGCCAAACCCAAGGTCATCAAGGAGGTGAAAGGCCTACTCGGGCTGTCACTTGTTGATTCGAAGAAGTTCGTGGAGAGCGCGCCAAAGCAGATGAAGGAGGGTGTACCGAAGGAGGACGCAGAGAAGATTGTTGCGGCTATGAAGGCTTTGGGCGCCGTTGTCTCGATGTCGTGAAAGATCGGAGTGTGGGGGTTGGGTGAGGAGGATAGGCGCGCGCAAGTGGCACTGGGACTGCTTGCTGCATACCCCCTGCTGATCGGAAACTGCGATTATGGTGCGAACAGCACTGCATCATGGCTCATGGTGTCCGGAAGACATTTGGAGAACACAGTTTGCAGCATGCGTCGTCGTGCCGGCTGTTCAACTGCTCACTCTGGAGCCCCAGTATCAATGTGAGACCCTTCATTCAGAGGACGTTGTACTTATACTATGGCTTGGTAGAGAAAGCGGATCAATATCGAGACTGTACAAATCCAGCTTCGGTTACTCACTCGCAGGAGAACTCTTCCTGACTCATGGTGTAGACCAAAGTAACCACGTCTACTGGTGGGTTTACCACCGAACCCATTCGCAATCATCACGCTGCTGCCAAAGGGCCGAGCATAGTCTCCAGGATCGGAACCTCCCTAAGTATAGTGTCTGATTTTGTCCCACCTGACTGAAAAGTGTGCTCCATCTGGTACATGAACCGAAATCTATGTTGTTGCTGGGTTAGTAGCACTGCGTACTTGGCCTTCGACTGACTAATTGTTGCTTCGGGTAGAGAGCTGCTGCTGCCCTGTTGGAAGGCAAGATCAAGCCGCAAGGTCCGTCGGCTCAACAGGAAGGGAGAGATGGATGCGGTCCTCGAAGGCAGCATCTCCATGTTGGCTACCCTATCGTTCGTCTGATTTACTGTCTCTCAAACCTCGTGCCGTTGACACCACTAACGCCCTTCCCGAGTTGCGCCGCCACGACAGTCGCCTCCCTAACACTCCTGGCGACGGTGCCCCTGACCCTGCCTTCCTCCAACACAAGCAGTCCTCCAATCGTACACCCTCCTGGGGTGGACACCTTTTCCCTCACCAGAGCAGGATGCTCGCCGTGCAATACCATGCCTGCCGTGCCTCGCATTGTCTGCGCCGCCATCAACTGTGCTTCCGCACGCGGCAAGCCCATCGCCACGGCGCCATCAGCGAGACTTTCGAGCATGAGTGCCAGAAACGCAGGCCCTGACCCGCATAACGCGGTGCTTACGTCCATCATACTGGGCGGGAGATGTACCACCCGTCCGATCCGTGTGAATATCCATTCCACAATACTTGACAGCTCAGCCGGCAAAGGTGGTGACGTGTTCGCAATGACTGTCATGCTTTCCCTCACGATCGCCGCGGTATTGGGCATGACTCTCACAATGCGACACGCGTTGCTCGGTATGTTTTCGGGGTATGACTCCCCGTAGAGGACCCGGCCGATCTGCTCGACAGGCACGCCCGCACAAATCGAGATCAGAAGTTTCCCGGCCAGCGCTTCTTTGATGCCATCTTCGCGGAGGAGTTCCCCGACCATATATGGTTTGCAGCCAAGGATCACAACATCGGCATTTTGTGTACCCTTGACGTTATCATTCTGTAGGACCGTCACGGCAGGGCGGTACGCTTGCACTGCCAGTTTTATGCGCTTGGCTGATTCGGGGCGGCGGACGCAGGCGACGAAGTTTGTGGGAGTGCGTTGAGGGGTGGGGGGAGCTTCCGTGGTGGGTGTCGCGGTGCCGGAGTCGGGGTAGGCGGGGGAGGGGGCGTGGGAAACCGTGGATTCGCTAAGAGAGGAGAGGATGCCGCTGAGGATGGCGATGCCGAGCGTGCCTTGGGAAGTCAGTGAGCTGGTCACGCAAGGGGAAGTTGAAGCACCCACCGCATCCTAGGATTGTCAGAGTCATGCCGTTGGATGAGTCGCCATTGACGCCATTGGGCACTCGGAGGGCGGTGGTCATCTTTGGACCAATCAAATATACTGGACTGCACGGCAGACTCACGTTTCAGGGTTGTGCGTCCGGGTCGTCTTTTGCCCTCAACTACTTGTTTATTCTGTATGCCGCCCTTCGTAGAAGAATGAGAAGTCAAAATGCGGGGATACCGAAAAATAAATTTCGACGGGGCGAAAGGCGGAGAGCAGCTTCCTCTCCCACCTTGGGTTGACTCGATCATCGCTCAAATCCGTCTGCAAGGCACACCAATGACCTCGCTCCTACGAGGTAACGTCCTGGTCTGATGCGGAGCCAATGGGCACGTTTCAAACCGCATCGACTTTGGCGCGAATATCCTCCGAGTCGAAGCGCAGCGGGCGAGCACTGTGCTTCACCTTGTTTGCTAGACATTTTCACCCCACCCACATCACGATGTGAACGGCGGACCTGCAAACTGTGTTCCTCCATCTGATCTGTAGTGGTCCCTATCACGCAAGGAAGTCTCTACTACAGTACGCTTTTCGCATCAGCATCCCACCATGGCCGACCCCTTCGAAGTGCGCATGCGCTTCACGAACCTGCTCTCCCACCTCTCCGCGTCCGCCACTGCCAGCATAAAGACGGCACACTACGCCCTGAAACACCGCGACATGGACGAAGACCTGCACTCCTGCATTCTGGAGAACCTCGAGCGCGGGCACAACTCCAACATGAACAACAAAGCCAACATCATGTACTTCCTCGAGCATCACGCCGATCTCAATCTAAAGGAGGGCGGACACGCCGCGTACATTGAGATGGTGAAGCGGGACATCCTGCGGATCATCGACGCCGTGGCGCAGAGTGGCGCGAACGTCAAGGTGGTGCGACGGGTGGTGACGGGCCTGGGGGAAAAGGGCGTGCTCTCCGCCGAGACCATCAGCGGTATCGAGACCGGGTTGAGGGACAAGGAGGAGAAATTGGGCAAATTGCTCGGTGATGAGGCTGAAGCTGGTGCCGACGAAGACGCCGCAGAGACAGCGGCTGCGGCAGATGGCCCTGCTCCGGAGGGAAGCCAGAAAGCGACGCCTCGAACGGGAGCGGAACGCTCAGGTAAACCCAATGGGGTCTCCAAAATGGACAAGAGAGCCATCGAGCAGAGAATCGAAGAGGATCGGGAGCGCAACAAGCGATTGCGGGAGAGTGTGTGGGCTGTGTCGGGCGATGATGATCAAGAGCTGGACATGATGTGGGAAGACGGTGCCACGCTGGGCGAAGACGAACACATCATTGCTGACGAAGAGGCGGAGGAGCGTCTTCAGTTCGTGAGCTACCATCGTGCTACGTTGGGGGCCTAGAGAGGTCGTGGCCCAAAGTGGAAGAGCACCTACCCTTCCCAAGATCTCGGTCAACATTACAATTCGATGGACTGCCCGTTCAGCAGCACCCGGCTGGTCATCAGCTTGCGACGGCAACATAATCCACGCGGGCGAGACCGTTCTCTACTACAGAACGTTTTCCCTATTCGTTTCCGTCTTCGACTCACGGTCCTCATAGATAGCAACACAATCTCGGCACATCCAGATCACTGAGGGTTACATTCCGGGGTGAGAACGGCCCCCGGATTCTCAACCATCGCGCCGAAGATTGCGCGCAGCTCAACATAGATCTGCGGGTCCGCCTAGGATCCAAGTTTGGCCTTCTTGGATGCGGAGCCATAGCCATTCAGCTCTTCTTCCGCCTCATCCTCCTCCTCCTCGTCATCATCGATTACTTTTCTCTTCCGGGCCGCCGAAGACGATGAGGCTCCATTCCCGTGCCGGTTCGCCTCCTTGTCCTTTCTCAGGGCATACATCATTATGAGACCCTCGTATTCATCTTCCTGACCACGAGCACTGTCCTCGATCTGTGGGTGTCGGTCTTCCAGCGGGACTTGCATGAGCACATCTTTGTTCTTTTTTACAATGCGCTGTTTCAGCAATAGCCGCCACCAGTAATACGCTCGGTCATCGGCATTAGGATTCCTAGCACCTCGGACCTTGAGACTAGTGAGCGATGCTCCCCCTGCCGCTCGCCTCGAGTATGGAATTTGTGCGAGAAGATACATTTCGACCATGCGGGCGAATTGACGACTTGCGATCTTTTTCTTAGCCCGAATCTCTTGTAGCTTGTCAAGAGGAAGCAGTTTGGTGGTCGGTATTCTCTTCAGACGACCCCGCTCCAGGCTGGTCAAGGCTGATGAGTCGATCTTGATGTCGGCGGCTTCGAACTGTGGTCTTAGGGTCTCGTAATCATTCATGTCGCGCAACTTGTCGAACTCTTCACTCGGATCCTCGACTGTCACTTCCAAGATGGTGGGATCGGTCATCGCCTCATCGTACACGGCCTGGTACAGTGCTGAGCCATGACCGGAGTTCTGGTAGGGTGGAGTGATCAAGAACTGTGATATGCGAAGGCGCGAAGAGAGTTTATTGGGTGTGATTGATTCTGAGAACGGAAACGAAATAGGGACATGGCCCTTGGCTGGTTTTTGGAAAATGTAAAAGCGGTAGGTTGTCGCATAACCAACGAAAGTGTATGGAGACGCGCGAGGTGTAGGCGGTTTCGATGCCTTGTGGTATGTGAGATAGACCCTCCATCTATCTAGTGTCCAATCCACGTCTTCAAGGTTGATGAACTGCCCGCCCTCAATGAAGGAGACAATCAAGATCTGGATGTTGTCGACCAGTGTTCGCATTGGCATCCCGAGCAACGAGCCAGCCCAGACTTCGTAGTTCTCACCACCTCTTGTGTACCTCTTGACGCACTCGCCGGGCGGTGTCCATGCTGCCGCATCCGGATCGTCCTGCACCAGCGACTCGAATCCTCGCTCGAAAGCTGTGGGTGGTAGGAAATCGCGGAACTTTTTGTTCAGATCGAGCGCGCTTGTTGTGCCGACGGTCTCGAATTTCTTTTCATAGGAGATGTTGATATGCGGCAGCAGATTGTGTGCTGCGAATTGAATCTCAACATCTAGACCTTTGTAGCCGAAGATCTGTTCGGCCTCGCCGACAATGGGATATGTGAACTCGGGATGGAAGTTGTGTCGCCTAACGAGCTGGTCATGGGGCCCGGGTTGGACAATTGAAATGTGCACAGCCTCATTCGCGCTGACCGTGACTGTGAAGCTATCAATACTAGTTCATGGTCAACAGACTCGCAATTCTTACATTCTTCCGACAGGGCAGCCATGGTTGTCGAGGTCTTGCAAGATCAGTTGTGGTTCATGTGTGCGGTATTTGTTAGCAAAGTATTCGTAAGATTGGAAGGACAAGTCAATATGAGCAGAGGCGCATGAACGGGTATCGCATGGGAAGTGTTAACGATTGAGCAACTTCCTTTGCTGGATGCGACAATTCAATGCCACTTTGCGCGGTAGCCTCGACGCGAGGAGCGCGTCTTGAGAAATGAATGAAGAAAGTCTGACGAATTGTGGATTCACTGGAGCTGCACGACCTCACAGGCGACGCGATTTAGCACCGACATTTCTCGACTTTTCCTCACGCCCAACATCACCATCATTGGCGCAAGCTTCTTCACATAGACGGGAAGAGCTTGGTGGAAAAGCCCATCAAGCCCGCTCTGGACATTATATGATTCAGGCCAACAAGGTTGCAGCCATGGTTATGCAGACTACCTGTGCAGTGGTTTCGAGAAAACCCAGGACTATTTCCTTGCGGCTACCAACACCAAAGCCAGCTTCACCTAGTCTACAACTCGATCCAACCAGTGGTCTACGTCAGCATTTGAGACTGTGTCGAACTAGAACGCTCAAGTCAAGCAGCACTACACGGTTGATATTGACTGCGAAGTCAGCCATGCGCATCAATAGCAACCGAACGCAGCCAGAATCGTGCGACATCGAAGATATCACTGCTTGATTGCCTACCACTGGACATGGGAGGACGAATGCTCTGCTCCCAAATCCTTCCCATGGTCAGTAACAGCTGTTTGTGGAACCTCGCCCTTGCTTCTCAGCTTCTCAACTTCTCATCACGTTCTGTTGTGACGGGAGCAGCGTGCTAATTTCGCAGTCCTGCATACCACCGTTGCTTGATCGAACATGGACCTAGTCGGACGTCAATGCTCCCACCTGCATCGGATTCAGGCTTCCCAGATTCTTTGCTGCCTTTCAGGTGCGTGGTCGCTGGCTCTTGATCTCTTGCTTTGTCCTCGGGCCTGCTGCTGGCAAGCATATATCTTTCCTGGTGGGCTTCCCTCGGAGATACCAGCGACTACTTGATTAGCGTGCTTGGGCTCTGCGTCTTGATTCACTAAACCTGCATAAGACAAAATCCGTGTAAAGTTGGAAGTCTCTGGGGAGCGCCGCGAAAGGAGTGATGATACTGTCACTAGGGATACTTCTTCTTCGTTCGGAGCACTCTGGCTTCGGCCTCAAAGGGAAAACACAGAACCATAGGAGATTAGTCTACAATCCTGATATAAGAGTTGAGTAGAGCTGCAACTTGCGATTGGCATTTTGAAAATGTGACATGGCAGCCATTCCCATGACTCAGTTTGCAGGCAACTCTACGGGAACTCCTTGAAGTTTGAGGTCCTCCCGTTGAGCCCAGTGGTACGGCAATTCTTATTCGTTGAGCCAGCCTCGTATTCATGCTCTTTGAGCATCATTTCACCTGCAGAGTGCAATGTGCTTTCCGGCTGTTGTTCATAAGCCGCCTCGGCCGATTTTTGCCAGCGGGGACACAGACATTGATCCTTCTCGACTGATACACCCGACTCGGGAAGAGCTAGCGTTCTGCCTTTCTCCACCATTGAACGTCTTTGCTGCCGCGGTGCACAGGATACATCTAGCAACAGGTTGATAATTTCTATGGAGAGGGGTCTTTGTATACTTTCCACTCTCAAGTTCGGAGGCTGTCTTAGCTCGCTGCTGCCGATTGGCGATTATGTGAGCTTGCTGAGGACCTGGGGCTAGAAACAAAGTATCCCAATCAGACCCTGTCGAGTCCGCGAATCGCAAAACTGACGTTATTTGGACAAGAGTTTGCTTATCGAGTCCCGCGTTTTCGCTTACTCGCCCTCCGAAGAGAGTATGGCGTAAAGCTCGAAGGAAATGCTGTTGCAAGATGGATGTGAGGGCATTGAAACGACCTCGCCGCCCCTAAGTAGTGATGGGCAAGATCTTGAAACAAGTTGGCCCCTGCAGGTACCTTCAGCTTTCTCCGTATGCACCCTGTGTGAAAGGACAGGCGCTGGGCGTTGGGGATGCCGGTTGTGATAGCATGGCCCGTGCCACTGACAACTCGCTAACTAGCTCGGGGTCTAGCTTGCACCTTTTGCGTCAAAATGGAATCGCTGGTACGTGAGTCGAGGCCTCGAGGCTCGAAGCGAGTCGTCACCCCGTCGTTCTCCCCTCGAAATCCGCGCCCCAACTCCAACGGTCAGCCCGCCTGCCCACAACCCTGGTCCTGCTCCAACATCGGCCTGCGGTATTAGGAACCCACTGTCCCAGCTGCAGGTCACTTGCAGTAAGACCCATCTTCTGCCCTATCCATCCGTGCCATCTCACCTCCCGTCCCTCCCTACCTTCTCGACCGCAGTTTACACCATCCCAGAGATCCGCGACAACCTCTGGCCATGCTGCTGCCGCGCCTGAAATGCACATCGCATGTGTCGACTGCCACACGGAGGCCTAACCACGACTCCAAATAGCAGCAAAGCACAGACTCAATGGGTTTGTGCTGATTCGAACCCGCGCCTACGATGTTGGTGTCGTCCGAAGAAGCGAAGGTTGGAGGATGGGTCTGTGCAGGGTTGTCCTTGGTCATCCTGGTTATCCGGATGTTTGCGGCGAGGCTACACCATGGCTCTTTCGACATCAGTACAGTTGTCTGTGTCGCTGCCATTGTCACAATCATCGCACGCTTGGTGGTTAACCAATTCGTCCTCACCTTCGGCACATCGAACGACGCACTGAATGGGAGGTCAGGATACTTCAATGCCGAAGATCTGGGAAATCTCAAGATTGGAAGTGTCCTGTCATTGATCGCGCGACTCTTGATCACCACTATATGCTGGCTGCAGAACTGCTTGTTGCTACTATTCTACTCTCGAATCTTTGAAATTCGTGCGCGGTGGACGACGAAGCTCATCCGGATTACTTGGATTGCAATACCCGTCACATACATTATTGTGATACTCTCGACCTTTCTCGAATGTTACCCTTTCCACCTCTATTGGCAGGTCGACCCGAGTCCCGGCAGATGTGTCAAAGCCTATGTTCAATTACTCCTTCAAGGGATCTCGAACATCGTATTGGACCTCCTACTCCTGGCCATCTCCTACCCGCTTCTCGCTGCGGTGCGTCAACGGAGTCTACCAGAACAGCTGAGGGTTGGGACGTTATGCTGTTTGGGCGTCTTTTGTATCATCATCACGATCGTGCGCATCGCCTACATTTACGCGGAATTATCCTATCAACCGGTCCGCAGCTTCTTTGCCTCGGTTCAGATCGGAGCATCATGCTTCGTGGCGAATGTGCCAACAATCTACGGATGTGTCAGAATGATTAGGAGGCGCAAGTCGGAGCAAATGATGAGGCGAGGAAGCCGACCAGAAATATGGTTGCAGCTGCAAGCTACCAATGAAAGCAGTTCTCCGGTCAATGTTCCCGTCGCCATGATAAGGGAAACGAGTACCTCAACGAACGCTTCGGAGAAGACATGGGCGCGTTGGGTCCCATGACGGCGGGTTGGATAGGGCAACTTCATTTAAATTGACGGACCGTTAGTGCGGTGGGAGCATCTCTTCCTACATCCCAGAGGCCGTCGCCACTGCGAATACCTTGCCTTGTTCGGTCATTGCAACCTTTCGCTCTAAAACCAGACTGGTCGCAACGTCAGCATCCTCTGGCTGGTGGTCGTGAGCCCCACCTCCAGATGCCAGTCTCTACTCTATCGCTCAATCCCTAGTCAGGTTGAATCCAACTTCAATTGTCTGCCACCGACTTTTACTCACCATCGTCACATCGGTCGTCGACTCGCCCGCACCTCGCCGCGCCAGTCGCAATCCCCTGGATACACATCACATGGTTAATCCGCCAGAAGATCCGATGTGGTAGTGATGAGAGCATCCTTACCATGACGCAAAGAGTGAACTTTCAAAACATCGGTGGGTTCGGGACGAACTGTAGCTGAATACCTACTTGATATGGCCACCAACAACGGTTGTCACTGTCTCAAGACCCACTCTGTTTGCCTCTGGATATTGATACAGCATGCGTTGGTTAGGCAGGCTCATTGCGGAGGGCTGCGATCGCTATCGTATTATTTGAGCTAGCTATGTGAGGATAAGTGGTTGGAATGGGTTAATGATACGATAAACGACACTGCAGTCACCACAGAAGAGAGAGACATGGTGTAAACTTGCAGGGGTCGAAGGTCAGCATTGAGTGGCGGCACGGGAGAGACGAAAAGCGAAGAGAAGGAACAGGAAGTCAGAGGGAGGCCGAAATATCGTCAAGAAGGGGAAGCGAGGATCACCACGGATGGTGGGGATTGTGAATGAGCAAGGATGGCACCAGGTCCAGCAGAAGTGGCTGGCTGTTGGCAGTCTCTGTACCATCACGAGGTGGACATGCGATTGCAATCTACAAGAGCCCCCAGTCTGCTCGTGCAACAGCAAGACTGGCTTCCCGGACGGCATAGTACAGTATATACGTGGTGTTGCGCCTTTTTTCGTTCTGTGTACACCCTCCCATGCTCTTGCGCCAGACTCAAACAGATATCAATGTCGAAGTGCAGAAATACCATCTGCTGTTTAATATCCTCTTTCTCTTCTCTCTTCCCTATTCTGGTCACCGGCTCGGCATTGTTAGTTTGCATTGCTTTCGATCATGAGAAGAGGAGCATTATTTGCACGTAGCCTAACACGTGCGAGCACGTGGTGATAAGGGCATCACTAGTGTCTTATCGGGGTCCTGCCAAAAGGATGCTGCCGAACTTGACTGCGATTTCAGGAGTCACTCTCAATCGCTTCAACTGTCGCGTGTAGCGACTGAGCCTTCAAACCTGTGCCTCTTTGGTATGCACAATTGGAACCAAAGACAAACGAAATGTCTCTTCAATTATCGGGACCTTGGCCGTAGTCAATTCAGGCCCTAGCCCTTCACCCCACCGGCGCTGACAATGGACGGACTCTTTACTCTGCTCAGTCTGAGCACCGTCATGGCAGTGGCCTCTTTCCTGGCGGGTATCCTACCTTTGACATTGAAATTGTCTCCATCGCAACTAAGATTAATAGCGACAATTGGCATGGGTGTGCTGGTTGGCACGTCCCTGGTTGTCATTATCCCCGAAGGAGTGGAAACCCTGTACAGTGCTTCCGAAGCTGGGCAGGCGCATTCACATACGAGGAGACACGACTTTTTGGGCGAAGCAGACATACAGGCGCCACGGTTTCATACGCTTGAATCAGTCCACGAGCTGGTGGCACGCAGCCCGGTGGACGACACAAGCCCTTTCAATGTCCCGGGTCCTGTCATTCCCTCAGAACTCGACCCACCACCAAAAACTCCTACCGAACCAGGCGTGGTCGGGATTATGGACGCGGGTAACAATGGTGGCGGGACTGGAGAAGCACAGCACGAGCACAATGATGATGTCCACAAGGAAGCGCATCATGCATGGATTGGGGTTGCTTTGCTGGCAGGATTCATGCTTATGTATTTGATTGACAAGGTACCACAATACAGTCAACCGTCAAAGCAAAGGACGAGGACCCATCATATTGCACTCAACAATCTCGGCCGCAGATTCAATTTTACGACTTCGCTGGACCGTGAAGAGGAGGCGGACACGTTCCTCGACTCATCAGAGGGCTCCCATATTCACCAACGGAGCTTCGCGACCACGATTGGCTTGGTCATACACGCCGCAGCCGATGGGATAGCGCTGGGAGCGTCATCAACGGCAACAACGTCTGGACTGAGTTTCGTCATCTTCTTTGCGATTATGATTCACAAAGCACCCGCGGCGTTTGGTCTCACTTCTGTGCTGATCAAACAAGGCCTTTCGAAAAGAGCAGCCCGGGGGCATCTCGTACTCTTCAGCTTAGCTGCACCTACCGGGGCAGTTGCCACGTGGGTTCTCGCCCATCTTCTGGGCGGTGTGCGAAATCATAGCGCGCAGACTACGACGTGGTGGACTGGAATACTCCTACTTTTTTCAGCGGGGACGTTTCTCTACGTCGCAATGCATTCAATGCAAGAGGCGTCAAGGTCCCATCAAGAAGGAGCGAATGGGCATGTCAATGGCTACATTGACGGGCGCGAGAACGCGCAGAGTGAGTCGAAACCGACGTGGAAGGATCTGGGAGCGGCATGCTTCGGCATGATCCTGCCATTATTTTTGCAAGTCGGGCATGCTCACTGAGTCCAACCGTTTTCACATTTCCAGCTCGACGTTGTCATTGGGGCCGCCCTTCCGGCGACAGCAGTGACCCCTGCTCGGAGAAGACTGTGAAAGTCAATATTTCTGAGCGAGACTCTAATGCTATGTACTGATGGAACAAGGTCTCCAAGCGCTGAGGTTGGCCATCTTGTGTTGCCAAAAAGCTTGTTGTATTGTACTGAATGAACGCTACGAGGCATATCTACCCTTGGACAATAGCTACTGCTTCCCGAGTCACCATCCGCGTTGCCTATCAGCATCACCGTACAACAACTGCCGTATATTAGTTGGGCATCCTCAGTTACAAGAGAAGTCGGGCTTGAATTTTTCTTGCCGATTCGCAATGCAACCGAGCGTTCAATGTTGCAAGAGGGCCAACCACTCCCGAGCAGCAACGGGCTTAATCGCGACGAGTCTGTGTAGTGCTTCAATATAGCGGCCCAACATCATCAGGCACGAAGAGGCTCTATGTATCAGGTACTAGTGTAGCTTTATTGGCCGGTTCTAGAGCAGAGATCATCAAGCATCCAGAAGATAATGGAGCGTTGGCAGAGGCGGTCAGTGGTGAGAATCGAGTCGGCCCCGCCTCTGCGAACCTCCTGCGTGCCTGCTTTCGCCGCTGTCAGCGCTCCGAAGAGTTGGCAAGATCAACCAGCCACACCGTCCACAGTCTACAGTTGCAAGTGATTTGGCTCTCAACAACAACTGCTCATCTATTTTACAAAGACACGATATCCGGATATACATTTGTTTCCAATGGCCTGTTGATGTGTATACAGACCTATAGCGAATCTTGCTGACAAAGCTCCCACGGCGTCCCAGTTCCCACCCAGTCGGTGCGCCACCTCCTCTTCCTGTATCGCACCGGTCATTCCAGTCTCTGGGCTAGGCCCTGCCTTGCATGTCATAAGCGCTTTCTGCCAACACCGCACCTGCAGCTCGAGTTTCCCTAATCCCCTTCTCCATCTCACTACTCTGACGCTGACATGGCATGATACGGAGGGAGTCTCGACTACACTGTGGTAAAAAGTCCGTTCGTTTTGCGTCTGCAGCGGTGCCGCTTGTTTGCTGGACAGTTACTCCCAGGGTGACCCGAGTCGGCGGCCGGAAAGCGCAGGTGCCATCGCCAACTCGTCATTCCGCCTTCACGACCCAACAGTACTGATAAGAGATGGATTTCCTGGAGGATGACAATAACCAGATGGTGCTGGACAGGCCTCTCTCGCCTAGGCCATCGAGATCAGTCACAATAGATCCGAATCAACTGGTCAAAAGTGCCTGCAGTAATGCCAGTACGGACTCGATCGACCAGGAGACCGACTTCCCTTTTCCTACGCCGCATGACCATAGCCCTCAGATAGACGCGATCCGCTCCTCCAAACATCCTCGACCCGGTGTTTCTCATGCCCGCCCAAAACGACTGTCCACGTCGAATAAGTCAGGCATGCCCTTGAGCATACTTCCCTCAGCGCCCGCCTCGCCGCCGACACCTGCACCCTCACCGACGCCTTATCAACGGGCTCCTAGTTGGACATGTGCCGGCGAGAATGAGGATGCTTTCCTACGAGATGCCCGGGGCCATTTCCGAGACTTGAACGCCGCCGAGCGCGAGAGGTATCTCGCCGAACTACTTAATATGTGTGACAGCCAGTTGCTGTCCTTTGTTCACAACTTTGTCTCGCCCAGGCTGAAGAAAGATCCGTTCGAGCATCTCCCAGACGAGCTTTGCTTAAGGGTAAGCCAAAATGTCCTTAGATCTGATTGCGTGCACTGACGAGAGCGCAGGTTCTGTCCTACATCGATGATCCTCTCAGTCTGGCTCGAGCCTCCCAAGTCTCACGTCGGTGGCACAAACTTCTAAACGATGACATGCTCTGGAAGATCATGTGCGATAAACACGCTTGGCGCAGGTCGTCGTCCTCCGGTCCGAACGACGACCCAGACTCGCCGTCTTTGCCGCAAGCAATTCAAGGACCATATGCACGCTCACCCAAGAGAAACTTGGATGGCTCGATTGTTGGGCCGTCAAGTAGCGCCCCGAACCTGACTTTGCCGAAACATGACTCGCTGTCAACGAGTCCAAAAGCAAAAAAGCGTGTATCGCAATCACATTACTCTCATTTCCGCCACAAATACATGATTGAGGCGGCGTGGAGAAAAGGAGGCGAAAGCATTATTAAACACATCACCCCGGATCAAGGAGTTGTCACAAGTCTGCATTTGACCGAGAGATATATCGTGGTGGCAATGGACAACGCCAAAATCCATGTCTTCAACACTGTTGGTGATCACCAAAAGACGCTTAAGGGGCACGTCATGGGGGTTTGGGCCATGGTGCCTTGGGATGACATTCTCGTATCTGGTGGATGTGACCGCGATGTGAGGGTATGGGACATGAAGACTGGTCGCAGCATCCACGTGTTAAGAGGCCACACCTCGACAGTGAGATGCCTTAAGATGTCAGATGCCAACACTGCCATCTCAGGTTCCAGAGATACGACCCTGAGGGTTTGGGACTTGCAGTCTGGAGTTTGCAAGAATGTTTTAGTCGGCCATCAAGCCAGTGTTCGGTGCCTCGCCATCCACGGTGATGTTGTCATCTCTGGGTCCTACGACACTACTGCCCGGGTCTGGAGCATCTCTGAAGGACGCTGTCTTCGAACACTCACGGGACACTTCAGTCAAATATACGCCATAGCCTTTGATGGTAAGCGATGCGCTACAGGGTCTCTGGATACCAGCGTGAGGATATGGGATCCAAAGACCGGCATGTGCACTGCCATTTTGCAGGGCCACACCTCGTTGGTCGGCCAATTGCAGCTTCGTGGTGACACACTCGTCACTGGTAAGTCCTTTTACCCCTCTCTGTTGACTTCCGCTCATTGTGTTGGCAGGTGGCTCTGATGGATCCGTTCGCGTTTGGTCACTCAAAACAAATTCTCCCATACATCGCCTGGCTGCGCACGATAATAGTGTTACGAGTCTGCAGTTCGACGATAACCGAATCCTGAGTGGTGGCAGTGACGGGCGTGTCAAGGTCTGGAGCGTCGAGACCGGCCAGTTGGTTCGCGAGCTCAGCCAACCTGCCGAAGCCGTTTGGCGGGTCGCTTTCGAGGAGGAGAAGGCTGTGATCATGGCAAGCCGGTCAAACCGAACTGTCATGGAGGTATGGGGTACAGCTTCCGTGTACCATGTATCAATGCTGACTTCTGTAGGTTTGGTCATTCTCCCCACCCGACGAGCAGATGGACCGACGTTCAGAGAGCCCTCTGAGTTTGCCGGAACAACCACCGCCGATAGACGACGACGAAGAACCGACTCAGTTTCACCAGGAGATCGACGTGGACGCAAATATGAGCGATGCCTAGGAGACTGCCGCATACAGAAGAGCTGTTTCCACATACCTTTCCTCAAACGGGACCGATGAGGCAGCTTATATACTGATCAGAAACGCAACATGGGCAAACCCATTAATGCCTCTAATAGGTCCTGCAGGAGAGGAGATTCCCCCGCCAGACCTATCCGTCTCTATTCATCCGTGGCCCGAAGCTGCTGAGCCGAAAGAGAACCAGATCGGGGAATGATGGATATCTTTCGCCGGAGAACCGTCAGCGATTCATCAGGTGTGTTCAGGTGTATTGGCATCCGGGCATCAACATCGCAATATACCCAGGTATACTTGATTCTTCATGCATAGCGTTGGAGCAGGGAGCATGGCTTTACGGCGGCATGAGTCGATCTATCTCACGGATATTATTGGTATTGTTAACGGACGACACACTTGGTCCGTATGAAGTAGCCTTGAGTGCTCAACTCGACCCTTAAGGGGCAAAATGAAGTGATATTACGTACAATACTGCATACAGACTCTTCTGCCCGTGTTTAAGACCGCTGTTTGTTATATTGCTGCTCTTCGTTCTATTGCTTAATAAGGTGCCACAGGGCAGTGAGTAGTGCCCTACCCTTCTTGAGATGACACCGAGATCAGGTGCCCAAAAATTGTGTATTCTAATTCAGGACACCTGCTAGCAGCTCCAGCAAGTGTACCGGGTACATCTCGTCCAACGAGGCAACCCCATAATCTCGATCTCAGAGAAAAGAGGAATCGAGCCGCCGGCCACCGTATCCGTCGGTAGGCACTCCGTGGCCGCAAATCCGGCATAGTCTTGGACGATTGAGGGCCTAAGAAGTCACGATATAGGCATTGATACATATCATTCAACACATTCCAAGGCAGTTCATCCATATAGCCATAATGACGATCGACGCCCCATCAGCGCCGCGTTAGACATTTTGTCGGTCTATAATTATCCCTGCCTGGACTTTCTTGTCTATATCCCGAACCCTGTGCGAGTCTACTGTATGTCCCTGTCCGTGCCTGTGCCAGCAAGTCTTCTTGCATTTTTCGATTCTCGATTCTCAATTCTCAATTCCGCCGAGACCCAACGCCTTTGGCGCCGTACGTACGCAAGTGGAATATGTATCTTGCCAAAAAGTTCTGTGGAAGAGACAGCCTTCCCCACGAAGGGTCCTTTTGCGGATAGGAGAGATAGGGGATTATTGTGTGGTCCTTGGTGATATCGCCCTTCTCCCGCCCCCTCCGTCCATGGGGCCTCCCGGTTCAGTTAGGTTCAGAGTTTGTTCGAAAAATATGGTAGCTCGCAAGGCGGGTGATCTTGGATGCGGACCTCTGTCTCTTAGGCGACCGTGCGAAAACGATTTGGTTCGGAGTACAGAGTTTTGAATTGTCAGCTCCAGTACCTAGTTAGCCAGCCAGGGCCGTAAGCTCGTCGATACGGGTAGCGCAATCTCGTCAAGTCAGGTACAGTCCCACGCCGGTGTGAAATGCAGGTTAAATCAGGCCCCCTCGTGGGTCGCGTGTGGGCCTTCCCGCCCGCGGCATATGCATGCTGTATCGATCTCACTGCCTAGTGACCGCCCGTAGTCGGCAGACCGAGATAGACCTTGAACGAGTCATAGCTGAGGGGAAGGAAAGGCCTCGTCAGCACCGAGTACGTAGAGCGGATTGCACGGGGGTTGCAAGGGGATACGTATACATACATCAACCACTGGAAGCCGGTCAGGGTGCCGATCATGACGATCCTCACGGGCAGACCGTTCCACAGGCCCGAGAAGCCGATGTTCTTGTAGATTCGGGACATGGCCGCGCCGGCGCCCTCGCCAGCTAGGGGATGATCGTTAGCGTGAGTTCCCTTGATTCGAAAAAACCGCCACCAGGGAACGCGGGTAACGGTCATCGGCGATACACACATACCTTTGCGATCCGAATTCAACTTGCTGACCATGACGTCCGCGGGGTGGCTGACCACCGCGCAGGCGATACCCGCAATGTACCCGGCCGAGAAACTCACGGCCGTCTGCTGCAAGCTGTTGTAGCTCTCCTTTGGCTTGCCGAGCTGCTTGTAGATGATCTTGACCGTCTCCTCAAAGGTGGCGAACTTGCACATGGTGTAGGGGATCTGGCGGCCCCAAAGCGGGTACAGGCCCTTGTACAGGCCCGCGAACCCTTCCTTGTCGACGATCTTGCTCCACCCTTCGCGCAGGGTGTTGGCGTAGGGTGGCAGCGTGGTCTGCATGCGCACCTTGATGGCCTCCCACGGACACAACAAAATGTCGGCGAGGAACTCGGCGCTGGCGCTCGCGCCCAGGTACACCAATGTGCGATTTGTGTTGAGGAACATGTTGTCGCCGTAGAGGTGCTTGAAGATCTCGTAGAAGCCGTACTTGCCCAGGCCTTGGAACGAGTAGCCTACAAACGTGGGCGTCCAGCCGAAGAAGACCCCTCGGAGGCCCTCCTTTGCGTAGATGCTGCTCCACCCCTGCAGGTTCGACTTGTAGATGCCCGGCACGACTTGGCGGCGCGTCTTGACCAGGTCGAGCGGCGTCACGAGCGTGTGAGTTGGGCCGCATGCCACGACGCCGCCAAGCATGCATGCAGCGAAGTATTTCGTCTGGCGGATAACGATGTTAGCGTGTTGGTCTCTGTGGAGAAAGCACTCTCTGTACTTCTTGCGTGCAGTCCGATGTATGGGGGAGAAAACGTACCGAGTTCGGTTCAATCTTGCCGAAGGGGTATGTTCTGAGCACGTCCGCAGACGGCGGTTTCAGGCCCGTCGACGAGGTCGACATTGCGTAAAACTAGTGAGAAAAGCGTGACACCAGACTCCTTCGTGCTGTAGTAGTGCTGGTACAGGGTTACCTGGGATGCGCTGGGTTTAGTAGAGGAGCTCGTAAGGAGCTGTTGTGCACCGGAAAGTAATTCGTCGCAGGGAGCACGAGGTTACGAAGCTCAATTGAGCCGGAGTAGCATCAAGAAGTCGAGAGTTAGAGACGCCCTGGTCGGTGAATGGGTTTGCGAGTTTCGCACGTTTTCAGCACAGCGCTTTTCGACAACCAGGAACAAAAAAGAAATACTGTCGTAACGTCAGGAAGACGTCAGGTGTAAATAAAAAGTAAGGGTTGTCGGTTGAGTCGACACGCAAGCTCCTCTTCCACTAGATATGGCTCATGGCTACCCGCGTCTGCCGCAGAAGCCGTTGATAGCTACGAGGCACTTGTGCAGATCTGGGCTGAAAAGCCGCGAGATCTGTAGCGATTTGATTCATTCACAGGCATCACAGGCATGGCAGGGTGCATCGCATCATCACCCAATCTTGCTCCGAAACAATTTGATAGCCGGCTAATCCGGGCACAGAGCCTGACATCATAGCGCTACAAAGCTTAGCAGGGCAAGCCAGGGCTGGGTGGGCTGGGTAGAGCTAGTCACAGGCTAGGGCTCCCTAGGCTAGGCGAGTTTAGGCATAATGTAGCCAAGCTACGCAAAGCTGGGCTATCCGTTGCTTATTCATCGTGCTCGTGCAGCTCCCTCAGCCAACCAATAAGTTCGCCTGGTTCCTCTTCCAGACTGGTACGAGGTTTGGATAGTGAGGGTAAAATCCAGGTCTACCCAGTGTACGTATGTATATAGACTGGCCTGCCCGAAGCTGTAGGCACGACAGGGAAAGGCGGTCGCTATGCCATCCCAAATGGATTCGACATTGCAAAAGGGCCCGTAGTACTTTCAGGCGGGAACAACTGGTCCCATTCGTGCTGCGGCGACGTGTCAGTAGGTCAGAACATTAGACAGCTAGGCCATACTTACCCAGTCAATGTCTAGCATTACCGAATCGCTTCGGCTATTGTTCTGTAGCTGGGGAATATTGATTTGGTCACTTGGGAATCCCGACTTGATACCAAAGGGACTGCCGCCTCCAGAAGATGATTGTCGGCTCTGAACTGACTGCATGGCCGGGACAGGAGGGGAAGGATGGCTGCCCGGCCCCAGGACCATCCGCCAGCTTATTTGGTCGGTCGTGATTAGAGGAGGCCACGACTCGTTCGTCCCAGAGTCACTGGGACTGTGGAAGTCAATTTGCTGGCCTGGCGAGGTCTGGTTCGTCTCCGTACTTGGTGCTTTTGGTTGTGGCGGCGACTGCAAGGCAGCCGGTTGTGGTGCCGGTGGCGATATCTGGAATTGCGAGTTGACCAATCGTCCAAAGGGCCCCGTGTTCCCCTTCGGCAAGTAGTTGATCTCCTGATACATTGTCGCAGGAGTGTCGAAGCTCCATGGTTGATCAGACGAATACCGGGCATCACCAGCTCCGGGATCCGCTTGTGACGAGATTGTTGTGAGTGCGGCCTGTGAGATGTTGGGCTCCTCCTTGACTTTCAATGTGGCTTCGGGGACACGGCGCCGCGAATCCAACCCATCTTTCATGCTGACCGGAATTCGGATTCTGCGCAAGTCTCGATAAACCGCCGTCCGATCTCTGACTGCCGTGATGACCGCTCTAGCTCTTTGCGGCCGTGACAGTGATAGATCTGGCTCGAAGACAAAATCGATGACATCCCAGATCCTTTCAGCGTTCGGCAGGTTCGGCTGCTGGTGGGTCACCGAAAGGAGAAGGAAAGCTATGTGCCATTGCTGGTAAGCTCCATTGTACCACTTCCATCTGCCCAGCTCGGTAATACGCTCCATCGCGACCGCATTCTCCATGGAGAGCAAGCCGCTCTGAATCGTCAGGTTGGAAAGCCGTTCAGGCACCTTTTGCGAAAGGTTGGTCAGGTATCGGTGAAGAACCATGACGTATAGGCGTTGAATCATCAGGTTCATGAGCATCTGTGCGTACTTCTGTATGGGAACTTCGAAATCCAAGATGGGCCTGTACTTGGCCTCCATGGCTTTACGAAAGCTCTCGATCTTGCTCAAGACGTGTGTCAACGACGCCCTTTTCTTCTCTATCCGGATGCGATCGTACCAGATGACTCGTTGCATCTCTGTGCATTCAAAATGTATCCGTGACACGGTCATATCTGTGAACTTGGTCTTTGCCTCTTGGGGTTTTGCTAGGAGCAGGTCGTTGTCATTGATGTTGAGTGGAAACTTAGTGTCATAGTCCTCGCGCTTGACACCTGGCCGCGGACCCTGCGACTCGCATGTGCGAAAGTCCAGGAAGCACAGTTGAAACCAGACTATGCGTCGGACATGAGACTCCACTGGAGAGAGCCCGTAGACTTCGTCGGGATCGCGATGCAGCCCCATGCATTCGCCGAGACGGACAGCCATGCCCACTATCACCGAGTGCGCTCGAGAGAGCTGATCTCGACACATGGGGATGAGATAGATCACAAGAGCCTGCAAGGTCTCCAGTTTCGTGGCTCTAAGAAATTGTGCCTTGCTCAGTGCAACCTCCGTCCCGGTCTGGAAGTTCCCGAGGATGGTGCTCTGCGGTCGAGCGAAGATGGCAATGACATCTTGCTCAGCCATGCTCGCCACGGCCGAGAACAAGACGGCGAGAACGAGGGATTGTTGCCACGCCGGAGGCTCTAGTCCAGCGAGCACGGAAGTCCAGAAGTTGTCGTAATGCAGCTGAAAACTTGGCCAATGAACAACACGGGCGATGAAGTGCACATTCTCAAAGTAATTCCGGACCAGAATATCGGCCGCGGCTTTTGCTGGTAGGAAATTGAGAAGGGATCTTTTGCTGCCCACATCCCCGAATACGAAGCCCGAGCCTGGCGCAATGTATGAAGGACCAGGAGCTAGGAAGTCGCTGGTATGATCGGGAAGTTGGGGAACGGCTGACAGCTTTTCATTGGCTGTCCGACGGTCATTGGCGGGCTCGGCGAGCTGGATATCCATTTCCTCGTGGAGTCTGGGGCGGAAAAAGCCACCCAGTCGTTCAGTCAAGCGCATCTTTCCGATCTTGATCCCTAGGTCGAGCACGTCGTCGTTAGCGTCGTCTTCGTACGAAGCATCGATGACGGCCAGAGGCGTAGGCTCAAGGCCCTTTTCGTCTTCCGGGACGGCGGCCTCATTGTCAGAACTGCTCTCTTCGCCGCCAGGGAGGTCAGCGGACGTCCTCCGTTGCTTCTGGGAAGAGGTGGAACCGGTCCTTCCTTCCTTGCGCGCAACATCCTGCTCAAGCACTCGCTCCAGCGAGCCCATCTTCTCCTTGATTTCATTGAGACGCTGTTGCGAGACGGAGTCAAGCGCAGGGGCTAGGAAGAGACAGTCCCGCGAGAACTTGCTGCAGTTCGTGCAGGGATGTAACTTGTCACATTTCAGCTTTCGGCGCCGGCACTCCAGACACGATGTAATCATCCGGTTGCGACGGCGGACCCTGTTCTGGGCGGCAGCTCGCGACTTGTCGTCCGCGGGTGCTGGGCTGTCCATGGTGCGACAAGCTATCGCGAGACTCGCGACGGTGTGTTGTTGGCAGATTTTCGGAGTAGATAATAGCGAGATCCTATAACCAAGGTCGCATGGATAGGTGCTGGTCTTATCACACCCAGTGGCCCGGTGGTGGGGCACCGGTTAAGGTTGGCGAGTCGAAGCAGGCTAGATCGATACACCCTCCGCACATGGAGGGAGACTGACAATCAAATTGAGACCTTGTAATATGTGCTGGAGGAACAACGTAGGGCTGAGGCGATCTAGGCGGGACCTTCAAATTCAGATGTCGAACAAAGTCGATGGGTGGCCTTGACATGAGGAGCACCACCACAGTGATGCGGTTAGATAGGCAGCCAAGGCGCGTGCAATTTGGACGCGAATATGCGGCCGAGACATCACCCTTGACCTGCTTCTGCCGTTCTGCCGAAACGGAAAGCGACTTGATCTGACTGGCGGGTTCACCACCCTCAGCCCGCCAACCCTTTCTGCCACAACTGAAGCGCGGTGTTGCCGTGCTGACTCAGCGACGCAAGGGTGCGCTCTTCGCTCAGGTGTCCTTGAGACAAGCATGCATATTGGGCTCAGAGCGTGGAGTTTCTTGAAGAAGAGGTGGTGACTCCGGGGACAGGCTGCGGACTTGTGCCACGTTCTCACCAGCGTTTATCGACCGGGTGCTCCATTGCTAGGACGCCAGCAGGTGGCCCGCTCGGTTCCGGTGCTCTCCGAAGAACGACGACTCGCTCCTGGTCACCTAGCATTTGGAAAGTTGAATCCACGTCATCCGCGCCATCGTATCGCACTGCTCCTGCGATATCCCCAATCTGAGAAGAACGGAGGTACCACGCTATGATTGGGAAGTGCTACCACATCAACATTGGGGGACGGGCGCCAGTCCCCGTCATATGTCTCAAAAACAGAAAGGGTAAGCAGGCACGACCAGGATCAAAGCACGCGGTCCAATCTGGCTGGCGCAAATGGTCTTACATCGTTCGCCTGGGGGCCAAATAACTCGGTGTCGTGGACTGTCCTGGAATTCTATATGTCCCACCGCGACGTGCTCAATGTATCTGTAACAAGATCCCAGCGATTGGCGACTCTATCTGTTCCACCATCCCACACCAGACATCGCGGGATACCGACTTGCTTCCTGCACTACATAAATTCTATCCCGCCCATCGCGACTGAGAACGAGACGGTTCAAACTTCTTTCTGGTGTTGACCTGACACACCCTGGCTCGCCGGCTACCCAGCACCTGCCATATGTATTCGAGGTTGTTGAACAGGCGAAGTGATACGCTTGTGTTGACTGAGAGAGAGTTTATTTCCAGGCTGAATTCTGGAAGTCGCAAAGATGAAAACCCGAGCACTGGTCTCGTGCTAGTCGGCAAGGCAACGACGACTCTTTCCTCACTTGGAGACGATGCCTTCCACAGATGCAGACCGTCACAAGACTGAGAAGGTGGCGAGTACCACTAGGATCTTGTCAATAGCGAAGCCTTCCGCGCCATGAGCGGTGAAATTGACATTATTGTAAACTTTGAAGCTGGCCCACCACTGATCGGCATGGACAGCGCCGAACGAGTGATCAATATGTGTGCATTTACTTCCGATGCTAAGTAACAGTCCCCGTCAGCCTGCAATCACATCGCAACACCCGTCTTAAGTTGCCCGTTGGGGCGACCGAACAGGAGTAGTTGGTATGCAAGACTCCAGCCTCGACCTTACGGGACTTTCCGCCACGCAAGACGTGCTGCACTGGATGGGCGACTGGCTGGGTGAGTGCCAGTGACCAATTTGGTGACCCGAGGATGACCAACCAGAGAACCAGTTCCGGACGCGAACGCACCCAAAGATCAAGCCCTCGCTTTAACCGACTCCTTCGCCTGGCGAAGCAAAGAAGACTTCGAGAAGGTCAAAGGCGAGCAGTCATTCGTGAAGCGATATCCGCCGCCACCCCTGCCGCGAAAGCAGCAAGACTCCTTCCTGGTTGGACTGCACCAAGGGTGATAGTCATTGACGTGTGCGGACGCTGCTGGGAGAATAAAGTGCTGTCAGGGCCACTAGTTACTTCCACTTCGACATGACAGGGTGGGGAACGTTAAGAAGCTTTAAAGATCCCCGTGCTGCATATTCTGCAAAGCCTCGTAGTAGGTGATGTCACATTGCAGGACAGTATGCTGTCACCCAGGTCGCTGTCACCCAGATGGTAGGTGGCTGTCGAGGTGTTGGTGTATCTAGGTACGAGGTAGGCTGTTCTGTGGAGTGAAGTTTCGCACTCTGCAGCTTGTAGTGATCCCGAGCAGAGATCAACCACCGGTCAGATTTGGCGCAAAAATAGCACGGAGATCGCCATCACGGGTATCCCGAGACTCGGTCCTCGGTACTGCTCACTACTGGGTGAATCGAAGTGATCGAAGTCGCAATCCTTCGTCGCATCTCTTTCTCTGCCACCTGGCCCAAGGCGAGTATCAAGCGAGAGCCGGAGAGATTGGCTTCGTGCTCCTACCCAATCACGCAGCTTGATCTGACATCCCTGTGAAGATCCTCCAAGCGGCCCATTCTTGCGGGCACCTCGGTGGTGGGGAGCTTTAGCTTGACGCCACAAACGCTCACGCGTCCTCACTTCGCGTCGTCAACAAACACCTTGTTGGATCTCAGATCCAGAACAGAGACTCGATCACTGAAGCAACCATCAATGGCAGGTCCAGCTACGAACTCGTTGTCCTCGGTCTTTCCTTCGTCAGCCAATTGGACGCTCTCAGAGAGTAATTGTCCGTGGGCGCAGACACTCCACGAGCAACGAAGACGTCAAGCCCGTTGTTGTGCATCTGGTCCTGATTATCATGATCTTCTCGCTACAGGAGAGGCAGCTACTCCACACTTAATAGACGCAATAGCGAGCACGGGCTTGCAAGATGCTCAGACACAAAGGGCACCTTAGACCAAGGCTCTGAAGACTCGAAGCAGTGCCTAAGCACGCACCCAGGTGCTTCGCTTGTGAAAGGCCTTGCAATCACTTCTATACTAAGGAACAAAGTATCACCGCCAGTGAGCGCCAAGTTGGTGAGAGGCTGATTCCAGACCTAACGAGCTGTACGTGTTTACAAGGATCCCGCCAGCTAGGGATTAGGCTGGAGCCCGGACACCGATCGCCATCGTCCATGGCACACTACACCTCGGATACTTTGGTTTAGAGTTCAGCCTCATTTCCAAAGACGGTCATCGATGGTGTCTTTCAGTCTCGTGGGACCGCTTTTCCTCAAGGTGTGCAACCAGGTGAGCTTCGTTGCGATGGCTTGAGCATTGTTTACAGAGTACACAAGAGAAGAGCACTTCCGACGATCGATATATGCTGGTGCTCTTCCCATTCTGGGCTTTCGTGTCCTATTCCTCCTCCTATCGCACACACAATCCTCGAACCTAACCATCCTTATCTTACTCGCGATATGAAGCATCCACTTCTCAATCCATTTGTTTGGCCGCTGGTGCTGCAGCCGAGCCTCTCGCTCGCATACTGGCGCCAGGCTTGCAGTGTTTCTCAAACTGCTCGGATAGACCTCATACTCAATCCTGGCAACGTCTCCGGACATGTACACAAGTTTGCGGGGGGTAGCAGTGAGTGGACTTCCTCCCGTGAAGAAGTGTTGCTGACTGGCCAGATGTCAACGAGAATTCCGACTTCAACTCCTTACAGTCTTCAAATTGCTCATCGTGCGAAGTTCAAGCCGACAAATCAGCATATTGGACCCCACAACTATACTACGCTCACGACAATGGTACTTTCGAAGAAGTGCCCAACTATGGGATGACGGTGTACTACGTCGGTACGTGACTCGTCGGCTTGGTTCAGCACCTATACTTATCATCGGAGCAGGACGAGGAGGAAACTCTTCGAACACAGTGCCATTCCCTCCCGGATTCAAGATGCTCACCGGCGACAGCCTGCTCAGATCCTACGACAATACCACCTTGACACATCTGGACACGAGGCCGGTGGCTGACAGGGTAAGTTTCCGCTGCATAAACGACGCTAACGATATTCCAGAAGAACATTACATGTTCCGTACAGATTGCACAAACGGCATGCGGGCCCAAGTGAACTTCCAGTCATGTTGGGATGGAGTCAACCTCTACCTCGAGGACAATGCGCACGTTGCTTATCTATCAGGGATCGACTATGGCGAATGTCCGCCCACTCATCCTGTTTCAATTCCAGGTCTATTCTTCGAGTAAGCTTCGTCGCCTATCTTTTGGCCCGGCACAAGACTCACCGGGCTCAGGGTTCTTTACTGGACTAACGACATTGACCAAACTGCTGGCGGTCAATTTGTCTTCTCGAACGGCGATACCACCGGCTATGGCTTCCACGGTGACTTTCTCAACGGCTGGGACATGGATGTGCAGACAAACGCGGTTCAGGATTGTCTTTACACCGACGATGGCGGAGTCATTGGTGCCTGTCCATCCTTGTCTCGAAGCGACAACATCAACTTTCCACGAGACTGCGGGGAGCAACCATCGGTCTTCAGTGAGCAGGTCCACGGTCTGCTCACCGCGCTCCCTGGATGCAATCCGATCACGAGTGGCCCTGATCCAGCTTCTCAAGTTGTGTGTGGGTTTGACTCTAATGTATTGGCCGTTTTGGAACCGACCTCGTCGCTCACCGCCGCTGCAACTTCGAACACTTCCTCATCCGAGAGCTCCAGTACTACCACTGCGACCTCATCGAGCGACCATTTGGCGTTACAAAGCAACCTCTTGACCTCGAGCACTTCGACGACCGAGTCAAACCCCATTGTCACCGTCACTGTTTTCAAGCAAGTCCCTGCGCTGACAACAGTAACTGGGGTCGTCTCAAGCGTCGGCACTATGGTTTCTGGGCTCGCAGCCAGCGTCATCACTGAGTGGATTACCGTGACGGTGACATCACCAACCAACGTTGTGACAAGTGCTGTTGGCCTAGTTTCAACAACTACGGCCTCATCATTGAGCCAACAAACACTTCTGCAGGACACAACCTTCACCACTATTACAGTCGGCTTCCTCGACAACTCCACCACCAGCGACGCGTCCTCGAGCACCATCATCACCAACGATGCGCTCCCCAGCACCAGCGCCAGCACCACCAGCGACGCCTCCGTCACTCCAGCCACACTGGATGCCAGTGCTTCGTTCGCCTGTTCACTGTACTCGGACTTCACGATCGAGGGATGCCCGCCTCCAACGTCTACTGTGTCATCCATCTCGTCAATGGCAGGAGTTGATACTGCATTAGTGACAGTAACACAGCTCGTTGCGGCGGCCACCGATTCATCGAGTGGGACAGCATCGACCGAGTCCTCCACGACAGCAACGGAGCTAGCTAACACGGCCGCCGCTTCGTCGAGTGAATCCTCCACGACAGCAACGGAGCTAGCTAACACGGCCGCCGC